CACCGAACAGCGGACGATTAAAGGCGGACTAACGCATGGCATGCCTTGAGACCGCGGTGCTCCGTCTGAGCGTCTTGCGCAGGCTGTGCTTCTGGCAATTCTGGCGACATGCTGAACAATTCTGCAGAACTCCCGTATCCTGGCAGGAAATGTGGAATGTACTGTACGGGTATGTGCTATGAGCTTATCGGGAGATGTACCAGTAATCACCAACATGTGCCAATCACATGCATTCACTTTGCCCTCGGCCTGATCCGATTACCCGAAGACTGCCCTTCGGCCTTCGTACCTGAGTATCCTAGCGACTCATCTGTTGTCATCTGCTCAGCATCTGCTTATAGCGTTCCAGTGGCGTCCGACTATCATCCCTTTTGCTTCAAGCTCAAGATACTCTCTATTGATATATATCGGATCTATCATGTCTAAAATTTGGAATACATACCTTATTCCGTTCTCTACTTATAGGCTCAAGACCAGCCTCAGAGAATCGTTGCAGCCCCCCCCCCCCCTCTTCGAACTTGGAAGAAGGCCTCCGATCGGAGGGTACTCAGGCCGTACTCAGGGACGAAGGGGCGACCATTGAGTAAAATCCCAGGTATTTCGTTACTGGTCTTCTGCGCTCGAGTCAGCTGAGCATCTGGCATCTGGTCCCCGAGACTCCAGATTGCAAATTCATCCGTCGTCAGTCCGTCGTGTGCATCAAGATGGGTTTCGAATCTCCCAGACCTGGCTTATATATGGGCCGCGACACCTGTATTTATTACGGTGTTTATTCTCCGTTTCTTCGCTTCACCAGTCCATATACTGCTCAAGATGCCCGCACCCATTGACGGTCCTATGATGATCTCTCTGTCCGAAGAGGAGAGACTCAGTGGAGTTCTTACCCCCGAGCACCTTTTCGACGCTGTAACTGCCATGTTCCGTGATGGCCTTGTTGTCCTCAGCAACGCTATCGATGTTCAGGTCATTGACAAGCTCAATGACAAGATGAAGGATGATACTGCCAAGATCCTTTCTGGAGCCGTCAAAGTTCACTGGAAGTGAGTTAGTTGTGTTGTATCAGTATCCAGACAAAACTGACTTGACTGGTCAGCCAAGGACGAGACAAGGGCAATGTATCCCAGGTACCTCCTATCGCCGAAGGTAAGATCACTCTACACTCCGATTATATGTCAATCAACTGACTTCTGTCAAGACTGGCTCTTCCCCGAGATCTACGCCAACAAAGCGGCTTCACATGTTCTATCTCATGTTCTCGGTCCCAAGCCTGAACTTCGCTACATCCGATCCAACACTCTCCTCGGTAACGCTACCGAGCGTCAGCGAGTCCACAAAGACGTCAAGATGCGTCACCTCATGCACCCTTTCGCCATCGCCATGAACGTTTGTCTCATCGATGCTTTCCCTGAGAATGGGTCGACAGAAGTCTGGCTCGGTACCACTTCTCAATCGACTTCGGATGATCTTCAGGAAATCGGGCTTGGATTTGTGCGCGAGGACAAACTCGAGGAGCGAAGAGCAGTAAGGCCTCCTGTTCAGGCAAGTATCCCCAAAGGCAGTCTGATCCTCCGTGACCTTCGTTTGTGGTACGTTGCGATTTGTCTCAAGTCATTGATTCCCCTAACGCTGTGCAGGCACGCTGGTATGCCCAACAACACCCCCGAGACCCGTGTCATGCTCGCATTCGTCTACTTTGCCGCGTATGTCCTTCGCATCCATTTCCGCTGCTCGACACCATGGCCTTTTTACTGACCCGTCGATAGCTGGTACGGTTGTGAGATGCAACAGCCTGTCCCTCGATCTCTCAAGCCTGCCATTGAAGCTCTAGCGGCTTCCAACGACTCCAAGATTGTGGTCGAGTACGTTGATGACGAGCTTGCCAGCGACTATCTCATCGTCGAGTTTGAGGCCAAGTTCTGGTCCAAGCTCCAGCAAGGGGCTATGTAGCCGTTTCCGCTGGACTGTTCTATTTGTCGACAGGCTATTATGTATATCACTTACGTGTTCGGACTATCATTTTTGGCCCACGAGAGGAGAATACATAAAAGACTTACGGTGTCCCCGAATCATGATCTGACTGAGGGCCACGCACTTTGGTCAATGACCTTTGCTCATAAAATCGCCAGATCATCTGCATATGCCTGTATTGCAGAACAGCGGATCCATATGGTGTACTAAGTACTTGTAGATGATGCTGACGCACTTTCGTGATTGACGGTGTGGTTCGCGGGGGAGGTGATTGGCGAAAGATAGCGCGTTTCCTTGGCAGGGAGCTCAGGGAGGAGGCTGATTGCCATGAATTCTCCGACCACTGGACGCCGAAATCCGAAAAGCATTGTTCTATGTATTGCCCGCGCATCTACTCTGCCGTCGACATGCTCATACCCGCCACCTGACCCCAAGATAAGGGCATATAATCCTCCCATGCCAATCAAAGTCGCCCCATATTGCTTTATCCATATCCTCTTCTCCTCAAGCTCAAGATGTCTGCTCCACAACCTGTAACAAAGACCCTCAAAGAAGTCAAGCTTGTTGGCGAAGAAGTCCATGTCTACAACGTCTCGGACGACAAGAAGCCCGCCGAGGATGAGCCGGTCGACACTGCCTTCGCTGGCCTGAACAAGATGCAGGCTATGCGCAAGTTCTGGAGAGCCTGTCTGTTCTGTGGTATCACGACCTTTGGGGTCATGATGGATGGTTATCAGACTTCCATGCCTGGTGAGCTAGTCTTGAGACTTCGTGGTGACTGGTAGGTAGCAGCCGCTGATGTCATCTTCAGGCTCCATCTTGGCGAATGCAGGTTTCATCGAGCAGTTCGGCACCAAGATATCTTCAGCAGGAGTGAAGAGTCTCGATGCCAAATATGTGTCGATGTGGTCTGGTCTGGTGAGTATGACAACATAACCTCCGTGTTTCAAACCAGATTGACATGGTTTCAGGGCTACCTGATGCAGTTCATCGGCAATTGGGCAGCCGGATTCATCTCTGACAGATTCGGTCGACGGGCGGTACTCTGGGCTCTCTCTCTTGTGTTCGCCCTAGTGAGTCAAGTCGAGATCATCATGAAGAATACTCATACTGACTCATCATAAGGGTATTGTCGCTGAGATGGTCGCTAAGAACTATAAAGACTGGCTAGGAGCAAAGATGCTTATGGGTCTTGGCCAAGGCCTTGTTCAACAGGGTGTCCTCACGGTACGCCTCTTCTACCCGATCTATCTCCTGATGCTTACTATGCTGGCTAGTACATCTCTGAAATTGCGCCCACTCAAGTCCGAGGTACTCTTATGAGCAGCTACGGCTGGTCATACTCTATTGGTCAGCTGTTGGTGGCTATAGCTCTTCAAATCATCAACGTCGTGAGTAATACTTGCAATGCTCTATCATTGGTCACTTAAAATGACATGATATAGACCGACACTTACGCCTGGAAGAAAGCCATCTACTCCGAGTGGGTCTTCATGGGTCTCTGGATCATTGCCTTGCCTTTCCTGCCCGAATCCCCTTGGTTCTATGCTCGAAACGAGAATGAGAAATCTGCCAAAGCTGTGATGGCCAGAATATACAAGGGTGTGGAAGACTATGACGTCGACAGGGAGTACACCGCCATGCAGGTCGAGATACAACACGAGAAGGAGAATGCCGAATCCAATTCTCAAGTGGCTATCAAAGATATCTTTAGAGGGACAAACTTCGTGAGATACACGACGTTGGTTGAGATTGTTGGTGCTGATCGCGATACTTGCAGTGGCGAACGATGGCTTCTGTGTTTGGTCTGGTCATGCAAAATTGGTCCGGGAGTGCCGTCGTGTTCAATTATACCACTTGCGGGTCGCCTTGCATTGTTGTTTATTCGTCGAGCATCTGCTGACATGTCTCCAGACTTTTTCCAGCAAGCTGGTATTCCGGAGCCTTTCCAAGCTTCCGTCATTGTTTAGTAAGATTCTTTGCTCGATACCTGGTATGTAATGATTGACATCAGCAACAGCTGTATCCTCCTGGGTGCCCTCATGATCTCCTTCTACACTATCGAACGCTTCGGCCGTCGAACCCTCATCCTCGCTGGCGGCGTTGGCTGTACGATCTTCAACGTCATCATCGGAGCTACCGGCTTCATGCCCAAAGACTCTACCACTACCAATAACACCACCCTCGCATTCATCTGTCTCTGGGTGTTCACCTATGCTACCACATTTGCCGGGACTTGTTGGTCTATCTCTGCGGAGGTTGCGACGCCGAGGTTGAGGGCCAAGGCAACTGCTTTTGCGATCTCGACCAACGCCATGTCTGGGGCGCTGTTCAATACTACCGTGAGTCCTGCCTCTGTCCACATCGCTGTTTGATGCTTACAACATGACGCTGCAGGTCCCACTCATGATCTCCACCACCTCCCGCAATTGGGGTGTCAAAACCCTCTTCATGTTTGCCATCCTCTGCGGTTTCGGAACAATAATCAACTACTTCCTCTTACCCGAGACAAAGAACCGAAATTTCTCGGAAATGGATGAGATGTACGAGAACAAGATTCCTCCTAGGAGGATGGCGAGCTATGTGAGTAGCATGGAGCAGAGCGGTTCAAAGTGAAGAGGGTCGGTTAGAGGGCTAGAGATTGTTTGTAGTATACTGATGTGGTCTGTTCTGTTTCTTTACAGGGTCTGTATGGTACGCTTTATATGCACTTGGGTATGATACTCTATGTCTAGACGGTTCGAGCAGTATGTTGTTGAATGACTACGCGAGTAATGCAGCGCCGCAAGGGCCAAAGGGTGACTACAGCATCAACGTCGGTTGAAGCGGCATTTGCGTCCATACACATGGATGACATGACCCTGATGCTCTGCATTGAACTTGTTGATGAACAAGTAAACAACTACAAATGACACAACCCGTATGCAAAAACCGCACAACAAATGTTGGTTCGCGTTGCGCACCCCACTTAAACATCATATCGATGGACTTCGCGCTTTTTCGTCGATTCCACTATCGTCTTCTTGCCCATCCATACGTGAAACCCCCACGCCTCGCGTCAAAAGTAGTGGACAGGGTACCTGGCCATACTCCCTTCCAACCAACTCACTTCTACCCCGAAAAATAATCCAACAGAATGTCGACAGAAGACTACGACGGTTCGTAATATCCCAGACGCCTGGATAGGACTGACCTCCTTGACAGAATTCGGAAACTATATCGGAGGCGACCTCGACTCTGAAGAGGACTCCGATGCCGACATTGCCCCTTCCTACGCCCCCGGTCCCAGCGCACAACCCTTGGCTTCCTACGCGCCTTTAGAAGGTCTTGAAGATGAGGATGATGATATGGACGACCCCTCCGCCGGGATGCAGCTCACCGAGTACGGCATTGAGCAGGTGGACGGATCAGCCAATCAGGTGGTGCTGCATGAGGATGAAAAGTACTATGCGACGGCGGAAGAGACGTATGGGCCGGATGTGGAGACAATGGTGCAGGAGGAGGACTTGCAGCTTCTTTCCGAGCCTATTGTCGCGCCTGTAAAGAACAGGGCGTTTACTGTGCAAGAGAAGGGTCTTCCAGAGACACGATACGACAAAAAGTGAGTCACAATTCGAGTGGGTATGGAAGTAAGAGCAAGCGTTGACGAGACGTCAAGCTTCCTCATCGATATGATGGAGTACCCCGATATGATTCGTAACGTCATGGTTGGAGGTCACATCCACCATGGCAAGACATCACTTCTCGACATGCTCGTCTACGAAACCCACAAGATGACTTGGGATGCCGACACTCCTATCCGCTACACCGATACCCATATCCTTACCCGGTCCCGCGGTATTTCGATCAAATCCGGACCCATGTCTCTCGTCCTTCAAAACTCCAAAGGCAAATCCAACTTGATCAACATCGTTGACACGCCCGGACACGTCAACTTTGCCGATGAAGTTGCGTCTGTTGCGCGATTGGTGGACGGTGTTGTGATTGTGGTAGATGTTGTCGAGGGTGTCATGCTGGGGACGGAGCAGTTGATCAGGCACGCGATGCAGGAGAAGCTCAAGATGACGCTGGTGGTCAACAAGATGGATCGATTGATTCTGGAATTGAGAATACCACCGAGCGAGGCGTTCTTCAAGATCAAGCACACGATCGAAGAAGTCAACTCAATCATCGCGTACGTTAAATAATTCAAATATCTACGTTCATCGCTGACGGTTGTGCAGCTCGGTTGATTCTGACGAGTCCTACCGTCTCTCTCCCGAGAAAGGCAACGTCGCTTTCGCCTCCACCCAGATGGGATGGTGTTTCACCCTCAACACCTTTGCCAGCATGTACGCCGACACCTTTGGGTCCTTCGATGTCGAAGACTTTGCCGTTCGGCTGTGGGGTAACATCTACTTCGACCCCGCCTCCCGCAAGTTTACCCGTAAACCTACGGACGCGGAGAGCAAGCGCTCTTTCGTTCACTTTATCCTCGAGCCGCTGTATAAGCTGTATACGCAGGTCAGTCACCTTTCCAGGAAGCGAGGAGTTCAGCTAATGGTCTGGGGCAGGTTTTAAGTGCCGACAGAGAGGCTTTGCAGGAGACACTTGCCGACCTGCAAATCACACTCAAACCCTCAGCTTACAAGATGGACGTCCGTCCTCTTCTCAAGGTTGTGCTTGAAGCTTTCTTCGGCCCTTCAGTCGGCCTGGTCGACATGATTACAGAGTTCATCCCCTCTCCCAAAGAAGCTGCCGACACCAAGATACGGCACACCTACACTGGCCCTCTTACCTCCAATCTGGCCGACTCTATGATTAGCTGTGACCCTCAAGGGCCCACAGTCGTGCATGTCACGAAGCTCTTCCATACCGCCGATGCGGAGCAATTCAGGGCATACGGAAGAGTGATGAGTGGTACCGTCAAGGTGGGGCAGGTGGTCAAGGTATTGGGTGAGGGCTATTCGCTCGAGGACGAGGAGGATATGGCCAAAGCCATTGTCGAAGGTGTTATGTTGAGCGAATCCCGATACACGGTGGACACCCAGACTGCTCCCGCGGGCAATCTCGTTCTTCTCTCCGGCGTTGACAACTCAATAGCCAAGACAGCTACTTTGGTCTCCAACGACGCTGAGGATGATCTCTACATCTTCCGGCCTATCAAGCACCTCACGACATCTGTTCTCAAAGTTGCTGTCGAGCCTGTTGCCCCTTCGGAACTGCCAAAGATGCTTGATGGTCTGAGAAAGGTCAACAAGTCTTATCCTCTTGTGACGACCAAGGTTGAAGAGAGCGGAGAACACGTGATTCTGGGGACGGGCGAGCTGTACATGGACTCGGTATTGCACGACTTGAGAAGGGTGTTCTCAGAGATTGAGATCAAGGTCTCGGATCCCGTGACGAAGTTCTGTGAGACGGTAGTTGAGACTTCTGCCCTGAAGTGCTACGCGGACACGCCCAACAAAAAGTGGGTTCGACTCGAAAGGTACGAGAAGCTCGTTGACTAATATTGTCTCTAGGAACAAGCTCACCATGATCTCTGAACCCCTTGAACCTGGAATTGCTGCCGACATTGAGGCTGGGAGAGTGTCCATGAAGATGACGAACAAGGAGCGCGGAAAGTTCTTCGAGAACAGGTATCAGTGGGATGTGTTGGCTTCGCGGAACATTTGGGCTTTCGGCCCTGAGGACAACGGGCCTAATGTTTTGATAAACGACACTCTTCCCTCCGAGGTTGGTACTCGTGTGCAGCCGCGATGGATTGTGGCTAACAGAGACAAATAGGTCGACACAAAACTCCTCAACAGTGTCAAGGAAAGTGTCAAGCAAGGTTTCCAATGGGGTACGCGTGAAGGTCCCTTGTGTGATGAGCCTATTCGAGGCGTCAAATTCCGTGTCCTCGATGCTGCTCTTGCCCAAGAACCAATCTACCGAGGTGGTGGTCAGATCATTCCCACAGCGCGTCGTGTCTGCTATTCGTCCTTCCTTCTCGCCACTCCCCGTCTCCTCGAACCCGTCTATTATGTCGAAGTTCAAGCGCCCGCTGATTGCGTTGCCGCCGTTTACACTGTCCTTTCCCGCCGACGTGGTCACGTCACAAAAGACATCCCCAAGCCCGGATCTCCGCTGTATACCGTCAAAGCGTTCATTCCTGTACTGGACGCGAATGGGTTTGAGACAGATTTGAGAACGGCGACCATGGGACAGGCGTTCGTGCAAATGAGCTTTGACCACTGGAGTGTGGTGCCCGGTGATCCCACGGATACCTCCATCCAATTGAGACCACTGGAGCCTGCGATAGGCCAGTCGTTGGCGAGGGATTTGGTGCTGAAGACGAGAAGAAGAAAGGGTCTGAGTGACAGTATCGCTGTCAGCAAGTATCTCGAAGACGAGGTGAGTCACCTTTGCCTGACCTATGAGATGCGTACTGATACTCGAGTCAGACCATTATTGCTATCAGCGCTTCCGGTAACGCCGATCTGTTGGGTTAGAAAAATACAGAGAGCAGACATAGGGAGGCAAGAGATCCGCCGGACGTGGTGTACAAGGAGAAAGATGTGCCGTTGTCTTTCCAAAAATGCATTCTAACACACTAGTCTTGCTTTTCCGAAGCCACCTTCTTGCAACGCTGGTCAGAAACGCTATGCCTTACCATGTCATCATCAGCTTGAGGTTGGCTGAGAAAGCAGTTGCTTACTTATATGCCACCGAGATGGAGCACGAGCGTCTCGGCAGTATATTGTTCGTCACACGCCTTTGATGGAAGTATCCTCTCTTCTTGCCACCTGTTATGATATTCTTCGCCCTTTTCGCAAGGCAATCCGAGTTTCGCCAGTACTTGCTGGTTGAACGACAGCTGGGGCGATACAATGTGCTGCTTTTTACGGGCCAGAAGGTAGCCGAGTGTGAATGAGGTGGCCGTCGAGGCAAGAAGAAGGGTCTTTCAGTGGTGGGCGATGGTAGTCATGATTGACGGGTTAAGCATGTCACTTGTATTGTGGTGGGGGAGTAGTGGCGGTTTTTGTACAAGTAGACAACATTGTAGCATGCGCACCTCATGGCGGGTACTTCAACAAGAAAAGAGAGCACTACTAAGGGTGGTTCATCGACATAGGAAGATCAGGACTGCGTGGTGATCGTTTCATTGCATGTACAGACTGCATGAGACAGTCAGCAGTTGAGCCAGGCCACGAGTTGTCCCGACCATGATGCTCCGGCAGGCTGCTGAACGGGCTCTCCCTCCGGCGATTGGGAGACAGCGAAGATTGCCAGTCCTCCTTTGTAGAAGCATTCGTCTGGTCACTCATGTGCGGAAAGTCATTCTTACTACGTCTGCAATCGCGACGAGGACACATACATCCGAGTCGTGTTGATGAAGGCGCTAAGAAGCCGCAGTCTTACATGACTGATGCCTTACGCCCAAAATCGAGTCTTCTCCCATTCCAACTGTGTGCTATGCGTATGATCACCGGTGCACAGCATTGAAGAGCCGAAGATCGGACTAAAATGACATCTGAGTATCTTTGCATGTACTATATATGAGGGCGCATGTTATACAACTTGCTAAGTTGCCACCCACAATCAACTACTGCCAGCATGTCCACCCCTCAAGTGCCACAGCCCACCGTCCCCAAAAACGCTGCCTGTGCAGTCGACGCACCTGTCTCTCAGCAGCCTCGGGGAAGAAGCATGATGTGTCAGTACTATGCTCTCTCCGTCTGTGTTTGCCTTCTGTTGAGCTTGTGCCGTAGCGCCCATGGGCATTGACGATTCTCTTACCAGCAACGGGCAGGCTAAGACGTCCAGTGAAGATCCCTTGAGAGTCAGGGGTGGCGCAGGGCCCTGCTGTTCCCTGTTGGGTCTCTGTGTAAGTAGTGGGGATATTGTTCCGACATTGAAGGATATGCTGATCCGAGATAAGCTGTGTTGCTGTGCTTTGGAAGACGTCTGTTGCTGTGGGGTAAGCAGATGTCTCTTCGTTGAATGAGCAGGTCGGCTGACACGAATACAGCTCGAAGAATGCTGTTAGTCTTCCTGCGGTCAAGTCAGAGAAGACGAGAGAAGAATGGATGTCTAGATCATTACTCGCGTAATCGCGACGGCACATACACGCCACAGCCGTCGACAAGGATAAGTTCACAGAGATAATCAAATGTGATGATGAACCTACATATGTCTCGATGAGCATCGGCTCATTGCACTCAACAGCTTACTCTCGGTGATACATTGTGGAATGCTGTAGACCCCTCGGCAGATTGATCGATAGACTCTGGCAACATCTGAACGCATAACCAGACGCGTTGCTACGACTCGGGCGATTGGCGGGGTGGGGCGATTACATTGTCGGCAGTCAGCTAGTAGACACTGTAGCTTGAGGAATTGTGTCAGTTACCCCAAAGAAGAATTGTGCTGGAAACCCCGATGCCACATGAATGGGCGCGCGGTCAGAAGCTGAGATGTGAAATCTATAACATTAAAAGCCGTATCGTAATAGTACACCCAAACGTCGGCAGATGGTCCTGCGAGAGGTCAGGGGGGCGCCCTCTCCCCATGCCAGGCATTCCACCATTCAAAGAAGGCGACACTACCATTGGCGACAGGGCCCAGCCACAATCGTCTATTCGGAAGGGGCGGCCTCGCCACATCTTCTTCGGTTTCTGTTGGGGAAGGGGGTAGTGGGGAGCGCTGCGGGCTTTTTAATGTCGGCGTTGTCGCCCAGTTCGGTGTCTTCATGCACCCTCAGCTCTGCAAAGCGTTAGTTTCGAGTTGCCCACAAAAGAGAGGAAATGTACGCACTGAAGACGCCATCGTCACTCTTGACACCCTGCACAACATTCTTCCTCAAAAATTTGGCCACATCTTTCCACTCGTTGATCCTCCTTGCGACATCGTCCCTGCCTATGCTCTCCTCTTGCACAATGGGCACCTTCGCCGGGGAACCCTCTGCTGAAGCAGACGGGGGAGGAGTGAGAGTGGGGGAGGAGAAGGTGGCTCGAAGGGCTGTGAGGAGCGCCTGATGTCGCGTAGGGTCACCTATATATTCCAATCTGATAAGCTGCCGAAAAACAAACAAAAAACGTAACGATAAGATTTTGTGGACGAATGAACGCACCTTGGAAAGTCACTCGGGCGGACCTGAGCATGTCTCTGTAGGCAGCCCTGGCCTGAGGCTTGAGCGCAGCGGGAAAGACGGGCATGCTGGGCAGGGTGTAGGGGTTCGACGAAAAGCGAACGAAAAGTCAGAGATGATAAGCGGAGGAATTCGATCGTTGTCATCTTGCTATTGTCATATTTGATCCCGCTAATCACCTCTTCCGAAATATCCACCAATCGCCTTCGCTTTGCTTTGCTTTTGCTTTTCTTCCCAGGCGATCATCCATTATCAGAGACATGTTCCTATTCGAATTGATAGAGGGGAACGAAAGCGGATGAGCGAGAACGAGAATGACGGATGTCAGCCCCACGCCCCCGCCCTCCGACTTCTTCAATTCCTTTACCTCCCTGCTTCTTGGCACTGGTTCTACGAGTACAACAGAATATCATGGGTATCATCTCACTTTGCTCCACATAATCCGAGGCATTCATATGATGTTTACATACTACTCTGACTCCTGTTGCCGCCGTGCACTATGTTATCTCAAATGCTTCCACGAAAGAAGGCGCTGCTGACTAGCTTAATGTCTCATGAAAGGGCCTCCTTCAAACCAACCCTGTAGGGCTGTAAGCTACGCCAATGGTTCGCTCTCCGCTTTCTTCCTCCCCGTGTTCCCCTCTCTACGTGTCCATCCCCCGCATGCCATTCTGACAGAATTGATACATCCTCCGCTAGCTTGGTCCGCCGATCTGATTGTCTCGTTATGGGCGCCCCCCTTCCGTTCCGTTTCCCGACCCCGTAGGCATCGCCCTTGTGTTTCGCCAAATGGACAGTCCCAGCCCTAGGCCTTCAGTCAGAGGCCTCTGGGACAACTGTCACGAGAGGGCAATGGTTTGCTGAGTGTCCCTCGTGATTAAGTCGTATATCGCATAAGTGTAGTCGTATCTCGTCATCACCGGCATCGCCCTGCCGCTGCTTCAACACCACATTTCTAGAGGATACTACTCCTCCCCCCGAGTGATACTCTGACTCAAATCACCAGGCACTGCTCTACTTGATCAGCGTCGTTCCCAAAAACCGCAGTATATCTCGAGTGTTCTTGCATTGGAGGATCTTACCCGGGGTGGAACGCATACCTCCCCACAGTCCACAGAGTTCGACATATTTTCTTCCAGACAGTTGTCCATTCTTGCGAGCCCTGTTCGGCTCTTGTGCATTGTCAGAAAACAGGCTATGTGGGCACTGTATGGACATATGTACAGGTCTCAGCCATGATACACGACTAAGACCTCAAATGAGCTGCGAGATAAACGAGTGCTCGCATATCATATCGCAACCAGTTCCGCCACCACTGATTAGTAGGGGTAAGAGCGACGGATGCCTACAGGTGTGCAGTGTCCAGCACCGTGTACTGCGGAGTTCTTATTGTGGACGTTTGCCAAGAGATAGATGATGCCTTCGCTGATCAGCCGGTCCGCTTGAAGCTTTCGTGATCAATCGAATGATATGGACATGCACACCGTCGGTTGCGCTCCCCCTCGACTTATGATCCAAGCCAGAAGGCGCCATGCACTCCCATGCCTTTATGCGGTTAGCGCGTCCACATAGCTTGACAAAAAGCTGCGCAAATACAATATGAACGACCAGACGAAAACGCTCCCTTATCTCGACTTATCTCGGACCAACGAGCGTCGCGCGGTTCCACACCAGCCTGCCTCGAGCTGCATGTACGCCTCTTCAATATGTTGCGAGGGCTTGACAGAGATGAACAGTCGTGTGCACTGGCTGTATATGCTGTTGGTGGTGCTGCTGCGCGCTGCAAGAAGGGATACACGAGTATATCGGGCGCTGCGTTGTCCGTTATACATAGGAGAAACGTGATTGAGCGGCGGAAGCAGATTAGAGGCACATCAGGTCCCGTCAAAACATTACATGCGCCGCGCGAGGCATTCCGCTTTCGGCGCATTGCATGTTTCCGCCCATTTCTCTATAAAACAGCAATCAAACCCCTGCTCGGTCTCTGGCAGACGAGTATATCTCAAGCGCACTTTTACATACTCCCCGACACACCTGCAGGCCAGATCAACTATGCGCTTCAATACGGCTTTACTGTGGGCGACCACCGCGCTTCACTTGTCTGCTTTGGAAGCGGGGGCGACCATTACCGGGCAGAAATGGTGCAACAAGGTGAGTTCCTTTCCATATTGAAGAAGCTTCATTATTCTATGGGTCTGACTCCCCTCACTAGTATATGTGCGTGACTGGACAGCACGACAGTTCTCAGAAGATAGATCAATGTAAGTTTTGCGAGCCGAATTAAGGTTCAACACCGCAAGATCTCTGCTGAGCCTGGAGCTAACGATATGCCAGATACTCTGGAACCCCCAGAGGGCGATACTATCCCACTGAGCAGCTTTGGGTGGATGGCTATGTAAGTGCCTGCTTCTCTTCTGAGCCTTTGGTGCTTGTTCTTGGCACCGATGAGCTAACATGAGGCTTGCGACTGCGCAGAGGATTTGGTTCAACCATGGCGGACACTCCTATGGTTATTGGCTGGCCCAATTCTGATGGGTCTATCACTCTCTCCCAGCGAGAGTCCGCAAGTCATGCAATGCCAAAGGGTGAGCGCTCCCGTTTCACCTCGCCTTCATTACACTTACGTTATCCACAGTCGTCTCTTCCCCATCACGGGAAGCCACCCTTCTTTCCTCAGCTTCCTTCTCCAACTCGTCCACTACTTCCATATCATTTACACTCCCGTCAAACTCTACTGTTAGCAACGGCACATCCATCATCTTTGCCGTCGGCAGCACCAATCCGGGCGACTCTGCGGAAGATGCAACTCTCAAGCAGCATTCCGTCAGCGGAAACACCGAAATCTACCTCCTTACACCCTGGTCGGCAAACTCAACCGGCAGTAGCAACACGACCTCTTCCAATGGTTCGGGCGATGATGATACAAGCTCTGCCGACTCAGCATCCAGCAAGCGTCACAAGATGCTCATTGCACACGTTGTTTGCGGGGCAGTAGCGACCATGGCGCTCTTCCCGATCGGGATAATCACTCCTCGTATCGCTCGTGGATTGACGACCAGCAGGTGGTGGTTCCCCGTCCATGGAGCTGTGAATGGAATGTTGGGCTTTGGGTTGGTGGTGGCCGCTTTTGGGATTGCAAGAGGCAATTTCGATGGAAACTTTGAGACTTCTCACCGGGTGCGTCTCTTTGATATTCGATGTTGCATATCTGACTGAAATTGTTCAGAAACTTGGACTTGCCCTCTTCATTCTCTGTATATTCCAAACCCTCCTGGGTATCTACACCCACTCATACCGCCCCACCCCGAACCAAAAACGATTCACTACCTCCTCTGGTCGCGGTCCTTCCAACTTTATCCACATGGCTCTCGGGCTGGTGGTGGTGGCAATCGGGTTTGCGACTGTCTGGAAAGGGTTGGATGAAGAATGGGAGATCTGGAGTGGCACTGGGAAACCGGCAACAGGGTGGAAAGCCGGGTGGGGGTTGGTCGTTGGTGTAAGTTCATTCGACGACTGGAAGGCGCGACAGGAGCTGACGAGATTCACAGATCACAGCTCTCGTCTACCTTGCGGGTCTCTACCTCATCCCCCGTCAACTCCATAATGAACGCCAACGCCGCAACCTTTCTTCAACCATCAACCACCCCAACCCCTCTGCCAACTACGGCGCGCCTCCACCTGGCAATCACGCATCTTTCGTCAGAGGAGACTTTCCTTCGATGCAAAAGGATTTGAACAGTAGTACGGAGAGCCGAGAGCAGTATGGGATGGGGTATGTACCCAGACAGGGGCACGAGAGGCTGCCTCCACCGCCAGTGACGGTGCAGCCGCAGCAACAGAGGAGGTTGCCTCCCAAGTGGGTTCCAGACAGCAGTCGTGGTCGATCCACTTACTAGCCGGCTGTGGTGATTGATCCACTTATCATATTCGAGTGCTGTACATAAGAAGAAGACAGGGAACTCGGCATATATCTCTTTTGGGAAACTACTTGCTTTGCATAATTACAAGCTTTGATGATACTATCTCTGGCGCGGATGCCCTATGTATTATGTACACAATCTCACATCACGGTTCAAAAAAGACGACTCAGCCGAACTAAGACGATTACAGAGTGACACAAGCAAAACCCATCAAACAAAATATATAGAAAATAACAACCGGAAAAATTAGCCATGATCCTTCTTGTACAGTACGTTCAAAAGCCGTTCAAGCAACCTCCTTCCAACCCTTCCCCTTTCCCTCGTCAGCCACATCTCCTTCCGGATGGGGTGGCGTCTCCATAGTAGCAGGCGTGGGGGAAGGGCCTGTGAGCTCTGACTCTTCGACTTCCTTATGTTCTACTTCCGGCTTCTCCACATCTGGCGTTCCTGCACCTCCGCCAACCCATCCAGGCCTCACGCTGTCACTACCCGCCTCCTTGTCTTCATCCTCCTCCAACTCCAAATCCGCATCTGCCCCCTCCGGCCGTAGCCCCTCCAAGAACCTCTCTGCGCCATCCGGCAACGTCGGAGCGAGGGACTTTGTCGTTCGCGTCGTCCGAACAGACGCGCGACTGGGCTGGCGAGAGAGTTCCTGATGGGACTGTGCTTCGGAAGCCTTGGCTTGGGGAAGAGCAAGGCGCAGGAGAGAGGTGTAAGGTTGTCGACATACAGGGCAGTACCAACCCTTGACCTTCTTTTTGCGACGCTCGCGATGTGTTGTGGTGGTGGCTGGGGCAGCAGCCGGCGTATCTGTGCCACCTTCACCACCTGCTTCGCTATCGCCTCCACCCCCGGCCCCGGTCCCAGTAGCAGGAGTTTCCTCTCGCCTAGCGACCTTGCCACCCGCTCCGAATTCTACCATCCCCACCGCACAATCTCGGCAGACAACAAGATGTCTGCAGGGGAGCAGGACGACATCTCGCGGAGAGGTGAGGCAGACGATGCACTCATTGGGCGTGGAAGCGTAAGGATCGTCGGCGGTGGGCGGGTAGGATGTTGCAGTGGAGGAAGTGGCAGAAAGACCGAAGATCTCTTTGAGGAGGAAAGTGTGAGAGCCGATCTATGATGGTGTCAGCCAGATGAAAGATGGGGAGATGGTGACGTACAACAGCTTCCCGCCTGGCGACCTTGACAACCCAGACCCGCTTGCCTCCAGGGCCGGCGTCATCTCCAGAGTTCGGGTCGTTTACCCATGTACCCGTGATCAGAATGTGTGTCAACTGAGCATTTCTCCTCTTCAGGGGTTGTCCTGTAACTCTGTCAGCATGTTCAAGTGGCGAGAATAGACATGACCGACCTTCGGGCCCCGCAGCTTCAATCTTGATGAGTACCCTCATTCCATACTCCACTTGCTTTGGCGCCTCTTTCTCTTCTGACTGTGTTACCGGCGAGGTCATCTCAATATTGGCATTCCCAGCTTCCACATCACTTTCTCCCCTTCTTCGTCCAAAGATGCCAAACCGACGCCTGCCTTGTTGCTCTTCAGGCTGCTCGTTGAGCTCCTGCACTTGTTCACCAGGCTCTTCTTTGACTTCGGGTTTGTTGGGCTGGTCTTCTTCCTCGAGGCGAATAGCTGATGAGAGGTCCATGGCCCACTCTTTCGGCAGGTCGAACACTTGCCCGAACCCACCCGCGTGTAAACCTGTGTAAATCACTGTCGGCTCCTGTTCTTCCTCTTCCCCTTCTTCAAAGCTCGCCTTGCCCCCGCCTTCAGGAATGGTGGGGCGGGGACGGGGATTGGGATAGAGCAAAAGGGTGATACGTGCAGCAGGGGTAGTGGCGTCGTAGGTAAACTTGAGCGTGTGTAACGGCGGGGTGGGAAGGAGAGAAGTCGGTGAGATAGGGTAGTCGCTTTGTGCGGCAGTGGGGTATGGTGCGATATCCTCATACTTGTCGGCTTTGGGTTGGGGCTGGTCCACTTGTTGTAACAGAAGACTCGGTCTTTTAAGGTTGACCAGCGCTTGGAGGGTCGTCGTCGGGTGAATTCCCTTTTGAGCAGTCAGTGGCATATCTCTGAGTATGCAGAATCACTCACCTCATCCGTCTTTGCCTTTTCCACCCATTTCTTGACAACGTCGACACTGATCTTTTCCTTACCGCCTTCTCCCCACCCGGGTTCATCGTCCTCCCCTACATCCGGACCAAATACCGTCTCCCTCCTCCTGACATTTCTGACCCCGTCCTTCCCCTCAGGGTTGGCGTCATCCGCAGATGGGGAGTTGTTGTGAGCGGCGTCGACCACAAGGGTTTGCTGGACTGGGGCGGGGATACGGGCGCCTGGGAGAAGGGAAGGGGCGCGGAGGCGGGAGGTTCGGAAGGGGCCCGAACTGTCCGAGTATGAGTATGCAGTCTGGTCAGAATGGGAGGAGACGTACTAGGCGTTTGTGTACCAGCCTGACACCGAGTTGAGGGAGGTCATGCTGGGGGTGGTGGTGGAAAGATGGATGTGAAAGGGAGATGGATGCGTTCGATTGTTCGGCGATGGCGGGCGGTCTAGCCCGAGTGGCGGGGCGACGGCCGTAAGAGGCGGGGGGGGGATTCAGAGGCTGTGGCGGCGGGGAAGCTTGCAGAGAGCAGGTGAACGGCGGAGGGGGGTAGAGTGTACCAGTATGAACACAGAGAGAGATAGGAAGGGAGAAGAAGAGGGATGTACAAGCATCAAAGTCAGAAAGCGGCACCATCCCTTACGGCATCCGTCGGTCATCTCACCGTAACCGGATTTCTGGCAATGCATAGTCTCTTACAAATACAATTATTGGTCTAGTATCTACAGTCACGCCCCGAAGCATACAAGCACCCTCTCTATATCCACTCCGACTCGTCTTCCTGAGCTGTCGGTGCCATGAGCGAAAAACCAAGGGAAGGATGTTGAGATACTGACCATTCTGTCTCACCACCAATCTCGCCCCGCCCAGCTCATCATCCTCACTTTCACTCTCTTCGTCGTCGTCTTCATCGTCGTAAGCATACCCCGGGTACTGCTCGTATCCTTGCTGGACTGGGGCCTGAGAGGGCACCTCCTCATATTCTTCTCCGTCTGCGTCGTCCTCCGCATCACCGAATTCGCCTTCTGCCAAGCTTGCACCAAGGAGGTTGGCAAACTCGTCCATCCCATCATCAAAGTCCTGAGCATCGTCGGCTTTGGGCTTGCCTTGGACAGGTGACAGGGTCTGGGAAACGGATTGAGATGGACCGATCTCTTCATCCGAGTCTTGGATATACTCGGAGCTCTTGAACTTGCCCTGCGGCGTCTTTTCGGCCGCTTTGCCCTTTGCTTTGGCCGCCTTCCCTTTGGTAGGCGTAGCCTTTGGTTTTGACTTGGCCTTTGATTTACCCTTTGCCGGCGCCTTGGTAGTGCCAATGATGGGTATCGGCGCACTCTCCATAGGCTTCTTGCCCTTTGCCCCTCTCCCTCTCCCTTTCGGTTCCGGCACCGAGAGCACAGCCTCACTACCCTTTGTAATAACCGGGCCATCCTCGATAACAACATCCTCCAGCTCGCCTTCAGCATCCAGGTCGTCTCCCATCTGCGAACCCGCTCCGGCTCCTGCCGAAGCTGAAGGATGCGGCAGGCCAGACAAGGGAAATGAGGCGGAGGAAGTGGTACTGCCTGTTGTAGAAGTAGCATAGCTGATTGAAGCTGTCCGATTCAAATTCAAATTGAGACTGGTATCCATTGGATGCAGCTCAAACGTCTATATCAAGTCAGCTTTGACCTTTTCATCCGCCGTTCCCGCAAGTCCCCGTAATGAGCCTTACCTGCGTGTCTTCATTCCAGATCATGACGCACTCCTTCCCTCTACCCTTCGACCCCTCTTCTGGTTTCACGTCAAAGACCTGTTTCCCATTGGGCACGTCGAATACGACTTGACCGTCGCCGGAGGTGGAGGTGGGGATGTAGAGGCCTTGGGTAGTGGCGGTAATGGATGCTGGTTTGAAGCCGTCTATAGAATAGTCAGCTGGATGATCGCAGAAGTTATTGCGAAAGATTTCTTACAGCGAAAGGCAACAAATTGGTCTCCTTTGTGCGAAAAGGCAGACAAGTCGAGGTCGTACTCCCCGGGGGGAATGCCGCTCGCCATAGCTCAGTCCTCTACAGCCTTGTGATGGTCCTCCAAGCGTATTATTAGAAGCCGCTCAGCCGTATGACCCAGCGCCTAGAGCGAAATGAGGCGTGGTAAATAATAAAATGAATGGAAAGGACTAAGCAGAGGACGGACGGGGGGGGGGGGTATCGGAAGCTGCTCGGAACTCCGGGTGGCACTTGCAAAAGTGTCCATGTCACGATTTCTATCTTCTCTTTCACGCGCATCTTTTTCCTCTTTCTTGAATCATCCTCAATTTCGGCAAACTTCAACTCGACAGCGGATAGCAGAACCCTTGGTGATACGGACAGAAGATGTCGTACAACTACTCAAACCCGTTTCAGGGCTACCAAGACCGGCCAGCCCTCCCACAACGCCCATACGAAGCGCGTCCGGGTCTCGGAAAGTCACAGATCAAAGTCTTCTTCACTGGGCTGCCAGAAGGGCTGAGTGATAGAGACCTCCTGGTAAGTACTGCTCGATACTAGCCATTCTGATGCGAGGGATCCGGAAGGACTGTATTGATGAGGGCAACAGGCTGTACTTAAGGAAGATCTCAACTTGCCATCTACGACTAGGGTTTTCAATGCGTACCAGCCTGATGGTTTCGACCTTGGGGCTGCCATAGTCTGCGTCGATACCGTCGAAGATGCCGAGCGGATAAGAAGTTGGTACAATGGGAAAGTCATCAACCATCGTGAGTACCCTCCTTCTTCTCTTGATAGATTCCCAGATTGACCGTGATGCAAGGATATACATTGTCGGTCCACCATGTCTTGACGCACGACAAGAAGTACCCTTCTGCCCTCATCGAAAAGCTCCACCAATCCTCCGATTCAAAGCCCATCATCACCCGCACGCCCGTGACGCCCGTGACCCCTACCTCCAACCATCCAATCCCTCCAAAGGCTGTTGCGTACCATCAGGCTGGTCAGTCAAATGGATTCCCTACTCCCCGTGTGAATGGCCATGCAAACGGGAACACATACGGCTACTCCCCGTCCCTTCAGCCCCGTGCCCAGGCCCAACGATCGCGCCCCGTACCGCCTAGGCCGCACTCGGCCAACAGCCTGACATCGCGCATCGCCAAGGCCGGACCTTCCAGAAACCGCGTCCAGCCTCAGAATGGGGGAGGCAAAGGAATCGCGCAACAGCAAGAGACGGACCCGGCACCTGGATTGTCGTTGCTGAAACGTATCAGCGGGGGACCGGGGTCGAAAAAGTCGCATCAGCAGCTGTATGTTTTTCTCTCACGCTTGTATCTAAGTATTCGACTGATGTAGAATGAAGACTACTGGAACAACAAGAGCAGAATTTTGCCCGATCCCAATCCCAGCCGCAACCCCAATCTCAATCCCAGAACCGCCCCTCCCAACCCCGCCGAGCTCATCAAACTCGCGCCCAGCGTACCATGACTTCCCTTCGGACACCGCAACAATCATCGCGTGCGAAAGTGCAGAGAGCGAAAGAACGTCTGGTGAATGACGGGATGGAGGTTGATCAGGAGGTGGCTACAGGAAATGGGAGCGGTGTTCCGGCCCGAGGGCAAGAGGCGGGGCAGAAGAAGAAGCCGAAAAGTAAAGGCAAGCCCAAGGAGAGGACAGGAGAGCAGAACCAGCAGGTGCCAGTCGAGAGCAAAACACAGGAAGTCCTGGATCAAGAGATGGAGATCTGGAGGAGAGGTTGGAGATTCTCCACAGGTGATGGAAACAGAGGCAACGGGAACTAAAAGAAAAGGGCTAGGAATTGGTGGCACTTTGAGCTAGGCACTGGCCGCTTGTCAAGATCTTGTGAGGGAAGGGCTGTACCAGTACTCGTGATCACGGTGGATTGCAACCGTTTGGTATGCCTGTGAAGATTACAAGAAATAAAGAGGGAATATTGTCTTGGTATTTTTGGACCTGATGCATGTGATCGAGTGATTCGCAAGCCGATGTGGGGAGTATGGCCTCGAAGCAATCGTTCACCGCAACTTTCATGGTCTGATGATGCATATATGAACGCGTCGCGTCCGATATCTGTTACGTAAAGACACAAACAGACGTTCTGCGACCAGGCGTAAACAACATTACATGAATCATTTTGGAAGCATATCTTGCCGCCTATCTTCCACTTTGACCTCCAACTGATTCCCCAAAGTCGAACCAATAGATACTGGAAGCAAGCGCCACGCATTTGAACGCAAGAGGACCACCGGCAACAGCAAATGTCGCCCAGAGGGTGAAGACCAATCTCATACCACACTACATTCCACGACAGATCGGCCCACCTCTTCAGCTCATAATGCCCCCCGCCTCATCAATGGCAGCGCTCATGGCCTCGCCTACTACCTCGGGAGGCGACGCTACTTTGATGGCCAACGGTCAGACCCTTCCCGACATCTCACTCGGATCTCTAGGATCCAGTTTCAGGTCGGAGGATGAGGACGAGCGGCTGGAGCAAGAACGAGCAAGTTCGAACCCGAACCCCACATCTCGAGGTCAGTACTATGGAGTATGGCACTGAATATGTGATTGATGAAGGTATGCTATAGCCCGCCGCTACTCACCCGAAACATCACAATCACGTTCCAACGCCACCCCTTCCCCACCTCGCGCCGCTCTCCTGACTGTGTCTCCCCCACCTACAATCCGCAAATCATCCTCCCATTCTGTCCTCAACACCCAAGCTCCCCGCCGTCCGCGCGTCTTGCATCGCCGAACATCGTCCGTGGCCGCCTCTTCTGATGGCTCTGATGGCGAGGACATCACAGGGCCGCTCGAGGCCAGATATGGAAAGGCGGATGAGGAGACGGACGATGAGGCGATGTTGAGCGCACTAAGCTTGGTGCCCAGTCCAAGAAAGACGGGCGGGGGTGAAAAGAGGGCATACGGAGGGGCGAGTGGACGAAGTGGGAGGCATAGCGTCGCTGCGGGAGAGCTGAATGGACCTATGACTCTGCGTGATCAAGAAAAGGTATGTGCTGTCTCAAATGTGCAGAACACGCTGACGGGCCGAGTAGCAACTGGAAGAAACAAAGAAGGAAGTCTTCAACCTCCAACTTGAGAACCATTTCCTCAAAGAACGTCTCTCTAATATGGCTCCCGAGCATATTGAGGCCGCCTTGAAAGAGAATGTAAAGCTCAAACTGGAAATCCTTACCCTCAGCAAAGAGCTCAAAAAGTTAAAGAAGCTGGTCATGCAGCAGGACCGGGATCTGGCTGCTACGGCGAGAGACAGCGGTGGTAGCCGCGAGGCAATGGAACTGGAGAAGTTATGGAAGGATGAGAAGGAAAGAAGAAGACGTGCCGAGGAGCAGGTCAGCACCCTGAAAGACGAATTGCAATCCGGAGCAGCGGACCCAGAGCTCCGCGAAAAGCTTGAAGACGCAGAAGCCTCTGAGAATGTCTGGCGCCAGCGCACCGAGCAGCTTGAACAGGAACTGGACGACCAAAGGGCAGCCAATGACGACAATCAAGAAGAGCTCGCCAAGCTGCGGGATGAGGCTGACAGGGCGCTGGACGAGGTGGACAAGCTCAGGGGGGAGCTCGATGGCGCGAGGGGTATGAGGGAGAGTGTAGGCCTGGGGAAGGGCAGGGAGACTAGACTGGCACAAAAGGTACAAGAGCTGGAGTCGCAGAACGCTTCATTGCAGGCAGATCTGTCGATGGCGAAGAAGGGGGTCATGTCGGAGGAGGATGCAGAGATGCTTGAAGAGGTGAGCTGGTCCCGCTTGCAAGATTAGGTCTGACAAAAGAGTAGCGCCTGAACGAACTCCAAGACAAGGTGGCCGCCCTCCAACTGGAACTCGATAACCGTGACCAGGAAGTCGACGAACTCAACGTCGAGCTCGATGCAAAGGTTCAAGAGCACGAGAAAGAGCTGCAGCAAGTTGCCGAGGAATGGAAAGACGAGGTCTTGGAAGCGCGAGCTCAGGTGGATGAAGTCCGAGATGTGAGTCTGCTGCACGTTTTCAAGGATCGTCCTGATATTTCAAAGGCTCTTGATGCGAGAGAACAAGAGATGAAGGAGCTTCGTGAAGCCCTCATTGAGCGAGAAGAGCACCTCACCTCTGCACTTGAAGAAATCTCCCAACTGCAAGCCGCCGAAGCCGTTACCCACGATCGTCTCGAAGAAACGCTCAAAAACATCGAGCGCGACAATGTCGAAAAGGACGCCGAGCTAATGGATGCCAATCGCGAAATTGAAGAGCTCGGTCAGAGGGTGTACGAGCTGGAAGAGCTGGTGGAGGACCACAGAGTGAGGGAGGGGGAGCTCAACGCGGATCTGAAAGGGGCGGATGAGGCTTTCGAGCATGCCAAAGCACACTATGAGGAGTTGATTGGGGTGCTCAAGGAGGCGAGAAGAAAATTGCAACAAGAGAAAGAGGATGCGCTGGATCAGATCAGGAAGGAGCGAGATGCACGACAGGCCGAGAAAGACGCTGCTAAACGTGATCTCGATGCTCATGCCTCACGCCATCGCCAAGCTCTGGCGGAGAAAGACACCTACTCTGCCCGTCTACAGTCCGAACTCGACGCTGCTCGGGAGCGAGTCACACTGCGCGACCGCGACCTCTCGCGAGTCGAGGGCAAACTCCAAGATCTGGAAGACGAGAGGAGGAAGCTTGGGGACGAGCACACTAGTGACAGGTTCGGGCTGGAGTTGGAGCTTGAGAGAGTGCAGAGAGATCTACAAAGGCTGGAGGATGAACTGGAGATTGAGAGGAAGGAGATGGATCAGAAGGATGAAATGCTTAGGGAGAGGGATCTCGAAGTCGCCCAAATGGTGAGTATTGATTTGGTCGGGGAAGTGGCGCTGACAGAGGGCAGCTTGACAAGCATCGGGACATCGAGAACCGCTTGGCTTCTGAAAGACAAGGCAGGCTCAACATCTCTGATAAGCTCGATCAGACGCTCAAGGTAAGTGTATCGCCATAGCTCTGGATAAGTCACTGACCATTCACAGACCGCTCGACAACACGAGCGTGAAGCCAACAACCTCCGTGAACGTCTCGAGGAACTCGAGCCGCTGCTCACAGAGACGCAACAAGAACGATTCCAGCTCCAAAAGCAGTCCGAGTCCCAGAGGCAGGAGAGAAGCGAGCTGTTGTTACGAGTGTTCAAGGAGGTCAACAAGTTCCTCGGTACAGAGGTGAAGTAGCACTCTATAGTCCCGAGTGGGTACTGACACAAATCAGGACAACACGACACCAGCAAACTTTGCGCTATTCAGAGATACGCTGGTACAACGGCTCAAGTCGATGCTCTCGGTCCGATCAGAGTTTGACAAGAAGATCAAGGACACGGAAGCTTCTGTGGATCAACGCATGTCGTGAGTCAACTCTTTGTTATTTGAAACGCATCTCATACTACTACAGCTCTCTCAAGCGCCAGCTCGAACAGAAATGGCGCACCTTGGACCAATTTGAGGCTTCGGTCAAAAAGCTCGAAATTACGAAGCGCGAATGGCGCTCCAAGTTTGCTATCAAAGAGGGCGAGCTTGACGCCCTTAAATCCCGCAACAATGAGCTCTCATCCCAGATATCCACCCTCAAATCCGGCTCGTCCACAGAGTCTTCCTCTCAAATCCGGTCCCTTTCTGAAAGGGCACAAGCAGCGGAGAAGAGAGCGCAGACAGCAAGTAACCAGCTGGCAGCGTTGGAAGAGAGGCTGGCAGAGTATCAGGGGAGGTATGGACAGGCGGAGAGCAAGTGGGAGGCAAGGGTGAAGGAGTATGAGAATAGATTACGGATTGCAGGAGAAAAGATCAAGACGGAGAAGCAGGGCGGAAAGGAGAGGGCGATGCAGCTGGAGGCCCAAGTCAGGTATGTTGATCCTTCCTCTATGCCAAGTATGACCGCTGATGAGATATGTAGGGAATTGGAGAAGCAGGTTCACGATGCACAAAAGAGAAACCTGAGAGTCGAGGGGGTGGTTGCCAGTGCAGGGCATCTTTTACCTGGTGGGAACGAGCGTGGGGGTAGAATGGCGTCGCGATGATTTTGTGGTCATGTAGAGTACTTTTGCTGGTATTTGATACGCGATATGATAACGACTATCTCAATTGTGGCCACATGAGACGTCCATAGCATGCTATGGGTGCAACGAGGTGCTGATTAGCTATGCATTGAGGGATTATGGTTGAGAGATATAACAAAAAGCGAACACGCGATCCAAAAAAGAATGGAGGAGCTAAGAATTGAACTCAGTACCTCGTCAAAACGACTCTGAAGAATGCTAATGACGCGCTCTGCCAAATGAGCTACACCCCCTTTATGTTTGGGGGGGTCTTTTGCACTGATTCAACGAGTCTTCTATAACCAGTGATTCATGCCTCCACTCTGCGGCTCCACAATCTGACGTCAAACGATCGTTATTCTTCTCGTTTTCTGGAATCCGACATCTTCCTTGGCTGTGACGCACCGAGTATGACGCCGCACGCCAGTTCACAGACATATAAAGAGCGGCTTTCTCATGCACCCCCTACTCGCCTCAGATGCTCGCACGGCAATCAATCTTCAAGCAAACCCCCAAACTACTCAAACCTCGCAACCTCGCGACTCCACCTTGTATCTTCAGAAACACCAAACAGTTTACGACAACAGCTATCAATATGGGAGGCGACCAACCTGAAATCATCACCGCCTATAAGGAACTTACTTCCATCAAGGCTCAGACCCAGGAGCTGCCCGGTAAAGATGTCGACATGGACCCCCTTGCCGAGTTTACCAAGCTCGAAGACTGGGACGATGACGGAAAGCCTTATCTCCGAGAGGTGAGTTTCTTTCTTATCGTGCTGGCACTGTACTGACGGGTATATAGTATGTGGGAAGCGGCAAGCTGAAGGGCAAGAAGGCGATCGTCACTGGTGGAGACTCTGGTATCGGCCGATCTGCTGCTCAGCTCTTTGCTCGAGAGGGTGCCGATGTGACCATTGTCTACTTGCCTGAGGAGGAAGAAGAGTGAGTCCTTTACGGCATACTTTCGGTAAGATGCTGACGTCAGTAGTGCGCAAAACGCCAAGAAGGCCATCGAGGCTGACGGCCAGCAGTGCCTTGCCCTCGCGCTCGACCTCATGAAGGCCGACCAAGCTGAGGCTATCGTTAAGAAGCACATTGAAAAGTTTGGAAAGCTCGACATCTTGGTCAACAACGCTTCCAAGCAGATCATGTGCACTGACATCGCGGAGATCGAGGTACGTGTCAAGTTCCCCTACTTGTGGCACGCGCTCATCTGTCATAGCTTGCCAACGTCGAGAGTACATTCCGAAGCAACATCCTCGGCATGTTTGCTCTCACCAAGTCCGCCGTGCCCCACCTCAAGCGTGGTTCCGCCATCATTAACACTTCCTCTGTCACCGCCTTCAAGGGTTCTCCCGGTATGATGGACTACTCGTCTACAAAGGGTGCTATCGTCACCTTCACCCGTTCTCTCGCTGGACAGCTGGCACCCAAGGGTATCCGGGTGAACGCTGTCTGCCCGGGACCTGTATTTACACCGTTGCAGCCGGCATCGAGACCGGCGGAGAACATGGAGGGCTGGACCGTTGGTGGGACTCCCCTGCATGGTAGGGCCAGTATGCCCGCCGAGATGGGTCCTTCATATGGTGTGTCAATATCAATGCCTGGCCAGAGCCTGTCGCTGACGGCCGTGTAGTTTTCCTTGCTTCTGCGGACGCGAACGCTATGACGGGACACATGTTGCACGTCAACAACGGGCAGTGGATTGGTTAATCACGGAGAGTTACGGTACATATCAGAAGCAGAATAAGGAAACAGCACATAGCACTGTGACTGCATGCAAAACCCGAGTAGCAATAATACTACAGAGTGGATCGTTGCCGTTGGTGGCTGCCTCGGGACACCCGAGGCATCATGACGCGATGGCTGCGTAAGCGGGTATCGCCGGTCCGGTCGTACGGCAATGGGGGTCCTTCTTGCTCGCATTCTATCTCCATTCACTTCTGTACATCTACTTGCTTGCCCATCATGAGATTCCCCGCCCCCGCCAACCCCTTCTTCAGGAGAGCATTCGCCACAAGCGCTTCCACGAGAGTGCCCCTGCTCGTCACCCCCAAGCAGCTCAAGGAGCTCCCCAAGGTATGTCCACGCCCCATCCACCCTTATATCATACAGGGGGCCGCGACTTGAAATTGAGACTGATCCACAGATGTGTAGCAAACCACCCTCCCCCTCGACGCTTCTTGGCACATGCCCAACTCGCCTCGCTCAGCTGTCGCTGAGTATCTCCACGGTCCCCGTATCCCCCATGCTCGCCGATTCGACCTGGACGAGGTCGCAGAGCTCTCGGTGGAGAAGAACCCTCTGAGCTTGACACACATGCTGCCTACGAAGGAGAGGTTTCAGGAAGAACTCGGTGGGTCTACAAGACTTGACAATGACTCTGTGGCTAATAAGGAGTGTAGAGAAGCTCGGTATTGAGAAGGATACCCATGTAGTGGTCTACGACTCTGTGGGAGTGTTCTCGTCCCCTAGAGCTCTGTATACCTTCAAGAGTGAGTCTATAACCCTACAAAAAGCGTCGGAGCAAGGTGCTGATTCTTGCGGCGCCTAGTTTTCGGCCACGACAAGGTCTCCGTCCTCGATGGCGGTCTTCCTAGGTGGATCGAGGAAGGGGGCGAAGTGGAAATGGGCGACGTCGGAGATGTCGGCGCGAGCGACTATGGCATGATTGAATACTACCACAAGGATTGGGTTCGATGTACGTCGCTCTCTCAAAAGCTGCTCGAGTTCTGAAGCTGATGTGGTTCGCAGCCTACGACGAGATCTACAAGAATGCCGAAAAGCCCCTCTCTGACCCCTCTACCGAAATCGTCCTTGACCACCGCCCCGCCCCCCGCTTCACTGGCGCCTCCCCCGAACCCCGGCCCAACCTTCCTTCAGGCCACATGCCCAACTCTCTCTCCCTTCCCTTCACCCAGTACCTCAACCCGGCCTCTGACAAGGTTCCCTTCTCTTCTTACAAGCCTGTTGACGAGCTCAAGGCTGTTCTCGTCAGGGGTGTGGGAGGAGAGGAGAGGTGGGCAGAGGTGGAGGGTGGGAAGAAGGTGGTGTTTAGCTGTGGAAGCGGAATGACGGCTGCCATTGGGTGGTTGGCGAACGAGCTTGTGAAGGAGGGGGGCAGCAAGGCTGCTACCTCGGCGCTCTACGACGAGGTAAGTTCCATCATTGCAGTAGATGGTGCAAATGCTGATCTGCTCTAGTCTTGGACTGGCTACGCCTTGCGAGAAGAAAGCAAGATCTCTAGGGAAGGTTTCTACCATGAATAACCACAATCATTCACAAGGAATACACATACACCGCGTTGTACAGTACTGCAAGGAAACACTGAAAGGGAAAGAGGAATGTTGATAGATGCTAGACCACATCCCGTTTGCCCATGCATTTGTAAATGACGTGCATCGATGATGATATGCGCATATGCCATATGGTCACTGATGATAAGCCAGCTTTTACGTAACTCGCTTTATGCTGAAGGTTGTTTGGTTCCAGCTGCAGCAGACCAGATTCCCACGACAAGGGTATTTCCACTGCCTTTCCTGGCGCCCGAAAGATGTCATAGCATACACACTGATACAATGGGTGACGACAAGGCAATCGGCGCAGTCGCTAAGCGCGCGTTAGTCCATCACCCGTATTCCTCGGGTGCGATCCAATTTCAACATTTTCCCTTCTGTTCCGGCTTTCTCCATCTCGTTCTCACCCTACGAGCCACCACCATGCCTGTGACTGTCCTGCTCACGGGCCTCAACGGTTTCGTCGCCGTACACACCGCCGTCACATTCCTCTCGCAAGGCTCCAAAGTCATTGGCACGGTCCGGTCAGAGGACAAGAAGGCCAAGACCGAAAAGCTCTCAGCACTGGAGCAGTATGTTGCCAACGGCACACTAAGTGTGCTTGTGGTGCCCGACCTTGCCCAGGTGGCCTGGGACTGGCACTCGCCCGGCTTCAGAGATGTCGATGCCGTGAGTTGTAAACCTTCGTCATAGGTCCAGGAGATTTAAAGGCTGACTCTGCTCCATAGATAGCACATATTGCGTCCCCATTCGACTTGACTTTGCCGTCGTACGAAAAGGTCGCTGGACCTGCCATCAACGGTACCCGCAATCTGCTCAAGGCTGCATCAAAGAATCCTAGTGAGTCTACCTGAAGTCGATTGGAGAGTCATGCCTGACATTTAGTATAGATATCAAGTCTGTTGCTGTTCTCTCGTCTTTCGCGGCCGCAGCAGATGCCATGAAGCCGATCACTGGACACGACGGCAAGGTATACACGGAGGCCGACTGGCTGCCATTCACCGAAGAAGATGCCAGACAAGCGTGAGACCACTTGCGCCTCTACAAACATCTCCATCTGACTCTCGCACAGTAGAAATCCTGGCTACTGGTACATGATCTCCAAAAAGTATGCAGAATTAGAGGCCTGGAAAGTGGTCAAGGAAACCGACGCTAAATGGTCTTTTTCGACGATCGTGCCTCCTGGTGAGTCTTTTCGAGACATATGGGGGTGGGGCTAAATGACAGACCACTGAAGCCGCTTTTGGACCTCCTAGCCAGATCGGTAATCTCAGAGATCTCAAAGCAGGCTCCGGGCGAGACATCTCTACATCTTACCTCTTCCGCACCTTGGGGCTGGGGACCGCTACGGAGCTTCCTAACGAGGTCACTACGCGTTATATCGACGTGAGTCTATGCAGGGGAAGGAGTCGGCTTGTGCTGACATATGGCGTAGGTACGCGACATTGCCGAAGCCATCTACCTGACGATAATAAAACGCGCCAACGGCCGCTACCTCATCGCTGGAGAAGATTACACCTTGAAGCAGATCCTAGACACAGCGCGCAAAGTCCGGCCTGACCTCGAAAAGTATTTCAACAGAGCTCGCGAGAGTGCACCTCCTGAGGCGTCTTATGTGATTGATTCGAGCAAGAGTGAGAGGGAGCTTGGGCTTCGGTGTGAGTGTCTGTAGTTGTGCTTGATGGCCGCAATTGCTGATTGTAGACCCAGATCGTACGCTGGAGGAGACAATACGGGATGCTGTTGCTGGCTTTGAGAGGCTGGGTGCGTATGGGGGTAGTGTTCGTACATAGCATGCTCGACTTTGTAAAGTACAAATGTAAAATCCTCCGGCTATTGCGATACCCGGCAGCCTTCGGGCATTGACCTCCACATTTCACGGAAGCTAACCGCGTGTCGTCGGTGTCTTGGTGGATCATTCAGTGGGATTATATTCGGTGGATTCTGTTTCGGAAGTCATTTCATCTCGTCATCCACTTCTCGTTATCCACTTCTCCCGTCTATCCACAGCAGCATGGACATCCAGAGGCTCTTCGACGTCAAGGACAAGGCGAGTGAGCTGCACGGCGCGGGGGGCATGGCTGACTCGTGCATCACCAGGTCATCCTCGTGACCGGAGGAGGACGGGGCGTCGGCGAGATGGCGGGTCTCCTATCTTGCCCATCTCCATATGATACTGACTTGTGGAATAGATCGCAGAAGGCTATGTCGTAAACGGGGCAAAGGTAGTTTCATGGCCTGTCTTCTTGACTACCGAGTACTCACGCTTGACACATCCGTCGGTCTTGACAGGTCTACATCTCCTCCAGAGACGCAGCCGCATGTGAACAGACCGCAAAGAGGCTCACCAACCAAGGACCTGGAAAGTGCATCTCCCTCCCTGGTGATCTGTCCAAGTATGATGAATGTGTTCGGCTGGCAAAGGAGCTTGAGAAGCGTGAACGAGGTGAGTCGGTACCCCTTTCCCTACCTGTGATTAACTAGAGCGGACGGCTGACTATTGCAATAGTACTGCACATCTTGGTCAACAACTCGGGCGCCACCTGGGGCGAGTCGTTCCACTCCTACCCCGACGCCGCCTTCACCAAACTTCTCACCCTGAACGTCCAGCGCGTCTTTACGCTCACCCAGCAGTTGCATCCGCTGCTGGAGAAGGCTTACGAAGAGGACAGATTCATTGCAAGGATTATAAACGTAAGCCGCATCAATTCATATGTAACCAGAGGGAAACATGAGTTCCCTCACCCCTCCCAATCACTTCGAGAATCATGCAAGCCCCACCCCCATACCAGTCTTCTCCCGCCCTCGCTCCCTCGGGGCCACTCGTACTGTATATATCAAAGCTCATGGAATTGTACAGATCGGGTCCATTAATGGTGTTGGTAATCCAGGGCTCGAGACTTACGCCTACTCTTCCTCCAAAGCTGCCCTTCACCAGTAAATTCCTCCCCTTTTCCTCCCTCTTCTCCGCTGACCTGACACTCTCGTATCAAGGCTTTCCAAGCACCTGGCCAACCGTCTCGCCCCCCACATCACAGTCAATGCCATCGCTCCAGGCCCCTTCCGTAGCAAGATGATGAAGCATACGCTGGACCATTTCGAAAAGGAGCTCGCGGAAGGATTGCCCATGAAGAGGATTGGAGCGCCCGAGGATATTGCGTCGACGGCTCTGTGGCTGTCTGGGCCCGGAGGAGCGTGGGTGACTGGGTGGGTCTTTCGTGTCTGTCGCCGAGTACGAGGAATGACGCTGATGGGTGTATAGGACGGTGGTCCCGGTGGATGGCGGATCGCTTGTAGCGACAAGTTCAAAGTTGTAGATATTCTGATTCTAGTTCCAGGCCCAACTTGTACAGTAGTAGTCATGCAAAAGATTCCTTGGTTCAAACAAAATCATCTACATGTGTTTATACAACTTCAGCCCTTAGGGAGAACGATACAGTTCAATAATTTTCGGATATGCTATAAACGATAGAAGATAGGGACCTAATGCAATGATGATTATACTGACGAAAATGCTACTCTATAGGGTGGGCTTGCTGCCTCAACGAAACGCGCGATCCAGAGAAGGATGACTGAAACGAAATCAGCTTCGGCGTACCCACGTATAGAGAATGAGACTCACATCTTCACTGGATCTTGGCTCCCTGCCATGCCCGAGGTTCTTGGCCTTCAACTTGCCAAAGAACCCCTTGATTCGACTCTTCTCTTCATTATCCCCATTCTCTCCCCAGTCTCTGGTTTCTCCCCGGTTCTCTTCCAGCGACGTCGACACGTACCTTCTACCAGAGGAGCGGCCCAGCGATGATGTCTGGAGACCGTTACTAGTCACAGCTGATTCCCTGCGTTCTGCCTGGGGTGTAGAAGGGCGCTGGGCAGACATTGACATGGCACGGTGCGTCGAACGAGATCGCATACGGTTGATGGAATTGCTGTTCGCCAACTCGGCGTCTCTTGACAAGGCTCGAGAAAGAGTTGATAGCAGTTCGGGGTCGGGCTCAGGGGAGGGACTGGAATGGTCAATGGTGTAGCGGAGGCTTGAAGGCGATATGGGAGGGTTTCCTTGATCCTTCTTCTTGCCCTTTTGGGCCTTCTCGGCCATGGCAGTGACGGAGGCAGCCTGCTTGAGTCGTTCTTTTGAGCGGAAGAGAGAAGTCTTTTTGAATATCTGAGAGATGATATCTCCAGATTGAGACCAGGCAGAGTTCTTGATATCTAAAACAAAGTCAATTTCGGACCAACTGTTATCCAACCGTGCTTACCTCTCTTGATATGCTCAAAGAGATCCTCCGTAGCCCAGACCTTGTTCACGTACACCATCTCCGGGGTCTTGAACTTGAAATCGACGCAGTCGGGCATGCTAAAAGTCCCATGCTTGCGAGAGTCGTCACTCTGCCGTATGTCAGTTTGTTTCTACGCTCAAAGCGGACTTGTCGCACCTTATAACTCAGATTAAGACCCATCCCTTGTAGGCGGAACGTTCCAAACATCTTGTTGGTAGACGCCCGCAACCTCATCTCCCTCGTGTCTTCGATCATCTTGATCAACGCTATGTCCCTATCGGCCTGTGACGGCACCAGAGATACCTGAGACTTGCTTTTGTGCACAGAACCAAAGTCTGTGGTAGATGCGTTGGCTCGGCGACTGCCGAGATCATCTGTCGAAGCGTTGGCGTTGGGGTTGCCGTTACCATTGCCTTTGCTGAAGAAGAATGAATTGGGTGTGGTGGCACCGTTCTCGATCCCGCCCTTAACAGCGGTTCCCGTGGCCTCTCGTCGTCGGGTACGGTCCGCAAAGATATAATCCATCACTTCGAGACCAACGCTCTCTTCCAGCTTGAAGAGGATGTTGACGAATTCAATGTTGACATTGGGAAGGATGGGGATGCCTCCGATAGGCGGCCGAGTTGACCAATACACAGCCGAGAAAGCCTTCTTCTACACGAGAGTTAGCATACGATAGTAGATAACATCCAAGACTTACTATCTTTTTCTTGGCCGGCTCGTCTCTCACGATAATCTCAGGATAGAGCACGTTGCTTCGGCCGTTGAGGGCTTTGAGATCTCCCAGAACCATGGCGTTGTCCATCGTTCCATTCTTGTTGTTGAGCATGGAGAACAGCACACCAGTGATATCCACCTTAGCCATCGTCTCTAATCTCTGATCTTTCAACATATGCCAGGCCACGCCGCCGATTCTGACATCCATCTTCGAAGCAGTCTTCATTGCCGCCCTAGCATCATCCTTCGCCAACGTCGCTCGTATGAGAGCGTTGACGGTGTACATGCTTTCATACCCCGCATGAAGCTCGGATCGAATTTTGAAGAGCTCTTCTTGGCCGTCCTTGTCCAGCTGATCGAAATGGGACTCGTAGCCATGTCGAAGGCCGATCAGATGTCGCATATGAGTTTGAAGAGCGTTGACATCGGCGATCAAGCGAGGGATGTCGCGGTCCGCAGCATCGAACGTTCGACTGAAGTCGTCTACGGCGTCGGATCGTCCTTTATGCTCTGGATCATCATACATCAGCAAGTTGGTGACGATGGTGTACAGGGCATCGAAATTTTGGGAATTGGCGGTGACGGTCAGCGTCGGGGCAACAATCGCAGTGAAATCCTGCACGTCTGTGTCAGTGGATAACCAGAAAGGCCGATTGTGAAACTCACCTGGTGAAGCCGGAGATGCTTTATGACGTCCCCCCTGTCATCAACGGCCTCTGGCCATTCGAGACCCTGAGGCATTCGGATGTGATTGAACTTGTCCATGGCAACATTGATGGTCGTCTTTTGGAGGACGCGATCGTAGTCCTTAGCCTCACTTTTGACGTCGAGGAAAATCTCCAACGGAATGAAATCGAGACCATGAGGGAGGCCTAAACCGGTCCTTTCACGATTGAGAGCATTTTCGTTTGGATAGAAACCTTGTAAACCGCTCATGGTCACGTAGTTCCTGCATACTTTCAGCAGATGTACGATGAGGCCAAACTGTCGCTTACCTGTTGAGGACTTCTGCCATCATATTGTCAAGAGCGTGTTCATCCAGTACCTTGAATTGCTTGAACGAGACTTCCTCCATCGACATCAGAAGGATAGCATCGGGATGTGCTTCGCTTCTAAGAGCAATCTGCGGCATAAAGACGAGTATCTTCGTTTTTGGTTTGACATCACAGACGTCGGGAAGTCCACGTCGTACCTCAGCCGCCATCACAGGATCCTCGACGTGATGTATGCTTTCAGAGGCAGGCTTTTCGACAAGCCAAGAGACAAGATCGTTGAGGATTTGCTGCGCACTCTGCTCCTCGACAACTTGATCGTCATAGGAGTATGAGCGCTGGCGCGTCATTCGCTGCTGGAAGCCCTCCAGAATACTTCGAAGGGATCTGCGACGGTCTTAGCTCTACCTCAGAAAAGAAGCTGTGCGACACTTACGAATAAGAGGTAAAGTACTCTTCCTTTTTTCTATCCCCCATCATGTACATATACTTGATGGCGATATTCCGCGAACTATTAGACAAGAACAACCTGGGTCCGTGCACATGAATAGTATCTTCGAACCCTTCCTTTGCCCCAGTGCTATTGTCTCGAGGGGCGATGGAATCGGTAAAAGTATCGTCGCTCAATCGGCGAGTCTCATGCGCAAGATCTTGATGATGCTTTTCCAAGATATTGATTCGCTGCACAAGGGAAGTCTTATCGAGCTGCAAGAGAAGGTCAACTACATCCTGAACACATATTGCCCTGACATACCTGGTCCCCGTCTTGAGGGAGCCCTTCGAGTGAGTAGTTGCTCAGCTTTTCTCGTAGCTCATTGATCCTTTGCCTCGTGAGCGATTGCTGTACCTCTCTCACGCCCTCCGCCGTTCCGAGATAGCAAGGATGAGTCGGCTCATGTCCGAATTTACTAGTCTCCAATCCGAGTGTCGCCTGACTCGGAGAGTTGTCTCCCGACGTGCTCGTTCTCGCCTTCACTCTCTTACAATAGAAGAAGTGGGGGCATTCTCCGAAGTTGACGAGCTCAATCCGGGGATTCTTGTCGATGGGCTTGCGATCGGCATCGATATAGTCCAGATAGTTGTACCATTCTCGATGACCCAACGGCAGTTCAGACGCTTTGGGGTGGAGAACCCCTGCTTCCCCGTCGTCTCCGCCAGGACCTCCAATATGTTCATCAAAGTGAGCCCGCAAACCCTTGACTTTGATATCATCTGCGAGGATATCCACAGCGTAGAACGGCTTATGAACAACCACTGTCGAGCGTCCAAGCTTCTCGTGCCTTTCGATTTTCTCTTGAGCTCGCTGATGGGCATCGGCCCTGATGCGCCCGATACGACCTTTGATACCAAGCGACTCTGACTTGCCGGTGGCCGAGTGGTCTTTGGAGACCTGGAAGTACATGTGGGAGATGTAAACTGGACGAAGGTCGAAACGATACTGCTCGACATCAGCTTCCAGGACTTTCTTTCTCAAAGTGAAGATGTCTACCTTCATGGTGCCGAGGCTACGGCCAAATTTCTTTGAAGGGGGCGGAGAGTCTGGAAAGAGAGAACCATGACGAATGGGCAGTGACATCTGGTGGCTGAAGAGTCTTCGCGCACGTTGTGAGCCACTGACAATAGTGAGAAGGCATTTGCAACTTACTTCCACCAAGCCAAGAAATGATGGGAAGCTTTTGGAGCGAAATGTAGGCTGTTGACTCTGTCTGGATGGTAATCTTCACTCTGGATATCTTCGTTGCCGTTTGGTGCGGACAGTGATATAGAGAAGTGGACAAAATCGCTTCTAAAGCCCTCGTAGGAGTCAATTTTCTGCATAATCCGTTAGTACCCGTAGTGGGAGCGTAGACCATCTACTCACTCTTCCCAGTTCTTTCTCGTCCTTGGCTATGGCTGCTGGAGATCGGAGACGAACGTCTTGATGTTGCTTGAATTTGAACAGTCTGCATTTCCTGTGCATCACGTTCTCTGACTTGCCGCATGTGTCGCACGTCCAGGGTCGACAAGTACGTTCGAACTGGAAACCGAATCCGACTTTGACACCATTGACGAATCTGGCGCAAGGTTTGGTATAGCGGCGCTCAATGAGAGTCTGTTCAAAATCGCCTGATTCTTGACGATCTTGGCTTTGTCTGTGGTGGCGATCATGTCGTTGGCCGTTCCGATTGTTACCGATAGCGGCTCCGTCGTGGAATGGTGCCAAGCTGTTGTCACAAATCAGCGTGATCTTTCTCTTATCTTGTCTCAACTCACTCTGGTATGGCAACGACCAGCTCATCAGCTATGATCTGAATTGTTTCACCTTCCTCGTTCGGCTGGTCGATGAGCAATCGCGTGCTACCCCGCCACGCCAGACAGAATCCTGACCCAATCCCAGAGACCGAATAAGGGTCGAAAGAACCTGTTGTCCTTGTAAGTCATTGCTCTTCTTTTACTGACTCCGGGCTTACCCTTGAGATGTAGATGACACGGTCCAACGAAGTCCACTATGGGCTTCCAATGCAAAACCAGCCTGAATTTGTCCCAAAATCCAACACGGGGTGACGGATCTGCGGGAGGATGCGAGAGAGTCTCGACAACTTTCATAAAGTCTTGTATAGCTGGTTGGTATGAGTTGCCCCATGTGAACTCTGTAGTTCTTTTTGAGGATATCTTGAACCTCGGTTCAGCGTAGGTCTTGACGGGGCTGATGGTTTTGGCAATCTGCACGACAAAGGCAGCAGCGTTCTTGTCTCCGCACGCCTCTGGAATGACGGTCACAGGCACATGGAACACGGATTGCTCGTCACCAAGCTCCTCGGCAATGATCATGGTGGTTTCCATACGGAAAGCCGGCTGGCTTTCCCCGCTCTCCACGCGCTGAACCCGTAGCATTGGCAGCGGATAGTCTCGTAGCGAACATTTGACCTCTCCCATTGACCATTGTATACTCAGAGGCACCATGAGAGAGAATTTGGCATCACTCCTGAAAGGAGACGATACTTTGCCCATGTACTCGATTATCTCTTCTCTGTTCAAGCCCGGATCTGCCACCACAAACGAGACATCTTGGAAGGCAGCTCGAAAGAGGGGCGCAGTCTTGCTAGAGGCCGCAATCTTGATAGGAAGTTTGGTGCTGGTGCCGCATCCCATCATTGGCTGCAGTGCCACATTCTCTCGCCTCGCCTGCTCGTGCTTTGCCGCTCTGATCCGTCTGGTCCAAGACTGGGCTATAAGGGTATCCAACGCCCACCTCGCTCTTTCGGCCGAGACAGTATGTTTTTTGGTAAGGACCGGAACCCTTCTTCCACCAGTGTTCTTCGCCTCGTCTTGAACATCCGGCTGGACGTCTGGATCGCTAATGAGCAGCAGCTTCTTCGCAAACTGATCTTCCAAGAGATTTCTCTTTGTCTGCTCTACCATCCCCGCCCTCCAGATCAAGTTCAGGCTGGTTTCCACAGGGTCATCCTTGGCTTCCAGCGACATGTACCCGATATTGATCGAGACCATAGGTATACGCTTGGGCATCTCTGCAGCGGGACGCGAGACGGTCGTGAAAGGAGTCTTGCCGGACACGCTGTTTCTCAAAAGTTTCAACGCTTTGATGGTGACGTTGATGTTGAGCACAAGTTTGTTGAGTTTGTAGGCAAAAGGAACTCTGAAGCGGATAGACTCAATCGTGGGGGAGATGACCAGCGGAAGATGGGGGTCCGAAAGAGCTACGGCTAATGTCTTGACTCTCAAAAGTTCTTCCCAGCTTCCGATAAGCCTAGGGCTAGGCACGTAGGCAAGTATGTGGTCTGTCGCAGCAATGAGACCCTTGTACGGCTTTTTTCTCAGAGAGACAGAGTGGGCATAGACGTATATTTGCTCGTCGAGAGGAAAAGCAAAGTGTGCCTGGAAGTTGGGAATGGTAAAGTCGATGCTCAAGCTAGATGGATTCCTCGGCGGCAGAGATGCGGGGCGGGGAGGCTTGGGTCTTTTCCATGCCAAAATCATTCGCTTGATGGCTAGGCCAGCGAGAAGATTACAGTAGACATGCGAAAGATCTGATATCAGAGCAACGCCCTCAGTTTTCGAAGTGATTTTAAACTCTGTCTCGGCACCTTCAGATGATTGTTGGGTGGTCACATATGTCCGCGAGGTCGGAATTCGCAACCACGGGCGGCTCGCTTGAGCAGCGTCACTAAGGTCGAGTGGTCTGACATTGTTGGCAAATTGGTTCACGCCCAGCTTCGTCTGCAGAGCAGCCCGTTGGAATGCCCACCCCACAAACTCGTCTTCGTCTTTCGCCTTTGGCTTATCCGTGGGCATTTTGTTATGCTTGAGACCTCCTTTCTCGACGAAACGCTTGCCGTTGAAAACGGGCTGCACATACGTATCCTCGGTGTTGATAGCCACCAGGGCAGCGCCGCCTCCACCAGGCTGGTACTTGGCAGCAAAAGCTAAAGCCTGAGTGGTGATGTCCTCTGGTAAGCGCAACTTTGCGCGCCGAGCCGTTGTGAGAGTATGTCGCCAGGGAAGAGCTTGGATCGCGTTCTTGTAAAAGGCATACTCAAGCACGACAACGGACTGAAACCAGACGCCTCGGATAAGACCAAGGTGACATTCCGGGTTTGGATCTTTGACGCCCATGAGGATGTTGACTTTGCCAAGAGAGACTCGGGCGGAGATGCCAGAGGGGAGTATATCAAGGATGGGCCTCGGCGGCGGCGGGAGAGGAGGTCGTTCATCCCAAGGGCGTTTCTGATGAGCCTCGCCCATAATGACAAGAGCCTCGACAACCTCTCTCCTCCATAGATCAACCGTGATCCCTTCCTGTAAGCCCATATCCAGCCGACCTGAAATTGAGCTGAAGTCCAGGGTGGCAGACTCCGATCCATCCTCTTTGACCTCGCATCTCCCCAGCACGTCTCCCGTAAACGTCCCATGGAGTCGCCCGATCTCTGCCAGCTCGTAGATTCTATCCCCGGCAAGGGTCATATTGACCTGTATCGGCTCGACCCGGATTGTAGCATCCCCTCGCATGGAGATACTCAATCCGTCCCTAAGCTCCGCCTTGTTGGCCGTGCTCAGCCGCCTCACAGCTTGCGGCAACATTGACGGGTGCATCGCGAGGTCCACGTCATGATTCGTTTCCCGTCTTTCCTGAAACTGCTCCTCTTCTTCAAAAGCAGTCCTCGCGGCAGACCGGTCTCGCCGACGAGCAACAATGTCGGTGAAGGAGGTGTATGTGCCATAATGAAGGCCGTCGAGATGGAATGTAAGGGTTGTAGTCTCCTTCGAGACGCGGTCGGCCAAGACGGCGGTGATGCTGCCAACGTCGAGCACCATGCGAAGGCGGGGAGGGAGCCATCCTATCAGGGGCTCAGAGTTCTCCTTCTTGGCAGCCTTGTGCACTTTCGGGTGGGTCGCTTTCCAAGCTATCTCGAGCTCGTGCAGGAGCTGCATATCTCCCGCCAGATCCACACTGGTCACTTTGCCAAAGCAAACAACCAAGGCCAGATTTGGGTCGCTGGCAAACAGCATTTCTTCTCTGCTCCAGCCTTGCGGGCGCCAGGACGAAAATCCTGTGAATTCTGCTTGACGTATAGCAAGGAGCTGAGACTTTTCGTGAGTCTCCTCACCAGGAGCGACGCATTGGAACTCTATCTTCTGCCAACTTATCTGCGCTCCAACACCACGCACCACAGACGCAGGCAAAAAGTTTGTCCCGAAAGCGTTTCGTGCACGGTCATTGTTGGATGAGTCGGCAGCGGATAGGGTACAAGAGATGTCTGTGAGCTCGAGGGCGAGGATGTACCGGTCGTCTCCGGGTTGACCAGAGATGTCGAGCTCTGAGATAGAGGACGTTGTGGAAACCGGGCGTGAGGGTTTCAGGTGGGGGTTCTTGAGGTAATGGGTAAACGTGATGTGAGAAAATGCGACTTTGGCGGATTCTAGCGCTCGTAGCATGATCTGGGAAGCGTCAGTGAGCTCCATTGAATCAACGACAGACTCACTCGTGCCGATCCATGCGACGACCATTGATCAGTCTTTGCCTTCTTCTCCGCCGGCTCCTTTTTCACCCTATCCAGCAGGGCCTTGATTCTCTCCACAGCTTCAAGTGTTGTACTGAGCTTTCCCATGCCCGCATCTACACTCAAAGTGTCTTCTCCTAGCAGCCCCTTTTTCGGCCCGAATCCAAGACTCAGCTTGACTCGCGAGCGCTCTTCCACAGCCACAAGCGCCTCTACACCCGAGTCGGGTATGGTGCCCGTGATAGGCGGCGGGCGACGCCTCGATTGGAATGCACGTTTGAAGGGCGATTTTGGTAGCTTCAGGTCGGGGACTGAAGGTTTTGCCGACCCAGGCGGGCTGGGAGAAGGTTCGATACAACGAATTGTATCGATATACGCACTGAAACACACAGAGCCACACTTTCTGCCTGCGGCACGGGTCCAGATCTTGCTCGCTGTAGAGCTCATGCGAGATTGGAAGACAGATGCTTGGCGACGGGCATGGCTCAGTCGAGAGTAAGAGCGATCAGTGGGATGGATTTTGGGGCGAGTGGGTTCTGAGGGCTCGGAGGGGGCGGAGGGTGGCATTGTGAAAGAATGTTGATTTAACGGGGAGGCAGGAGGGGAGAATTGGGTCGGGGAAGTGATGAAATCACTTTCGTCCCCGGGTGCCGCCGGAGATAGCACAGGAGACAAGATGTGAAGCGGGTAGTCTCTCTTGTAAGTGTGCTTGGGATGGGAAGTGCTAAAAGGCGAGTCGGGTAGATCGGTTTCTCCCTGAAAATCGACATTGACACCAAAGCCAAGCTCTTTGACAGTCATCTCGACCTCATTCAGGTCTTCAAACACGATTCGACAATTGATTATCTGGACCGAAATCACACGAGTGACTGAGGGATAGTGGTGGATGAGGAGTTGCAGGACATTGCTGATGAAGCGAGTTTTGGTCGATGATAAACGTCCGGGTTGCTGCACAGATGTCAGCGCGTTTCATTGACAAGCTATCGAGCTTACCTTCCTGACCCTTTCCTTTTTATCTCTTCCTGATTCGAACGACCCCTGTTTGAGTCTCAGGCAAATCCCCTCAATTCGCAAGACAACTAAACCAGTCACCTCCCCTTTCGCTCCACCCCATGTGAACCCAGCACGCTCGACTGTCACAGTAGGGGCTCCTTCATCTCCTCCGGGCCGCCTCCACTCCACCCCACGAGCAGAAAGAAGACTGATATAGTCGAGTCTGAGATTGGGAAAGGATGACCGCAGTAGGAAGGGGAGGATGTGGAAGCGGAAGATGAAGGAGGTGATGAGCAAGGCGAGCAGGGTGAGGGCGATGGTATTGAAAGACGGCATGGCGTTTTCAATCAAGCTCGGGGGGAGCAAGGGGTGCCTTTGGACATGGTTAGCTCGGTGATCGTGTGTAGAGTCAAGTATGGACTCACAGGATGTTAGAGCTGCAATCGATCGAGAATGGGGTTGCTATGATCGCAAAGCCTTGTTTTCCAAATTAGATACTGCCAGCGTTCGGCAGGACACCGGATGTCTCTCAAATAAAGACGTGTTGACTTTATGAGCCGAATTGCTGTTGGTGAGCACTACTGCGCCAAATCGATGGTGCTGATGCAGGACTGCTGGGCAATCCTTCCGATGTTGCTGTTTTGGGCGTTGGATGGATACCCCCAAGCAATGTTGAAGATATGTTTGGTGGGGAAGTTGGAGAACTTGGGCGACTAATATAGCGTTCACTGGCGGTTATAGAACATTGCGGACGTCCTCCACTTTTACGAGTTTTGTTGATGTTTCCGCCAGGAGGGAGGCGAACGTCGCGTAGTCTTGCGGGTATAATGCGGATGGAGACACGGGCGAGGAGAGGGAAGAAAAAAGAGACGAAAAAGAGGTCGTGGACAGGGGATGCGTCGGTAGCCATGCATCATCTCGGACCTGGACCCAGCGACGCCGAGGCTGCTTTCGGCATCGCGGCGACCACCGCCAGCCCACCCCCGCCTGACCACCACGCACGCACGCACCCAAGTCAACATTGCAGCAAGCGTCCTCTGTACCAACCGCGCAAGATGCCAGACGATACCGCCCAGACCCTCCGCCAGCTCAAAATCAAGACTGGCGTCGTCAAGCGTCTCCACAAAGAAGAATCCTCCTACGAAAAGGAGGTCGTCGACCAAAAGGCCGTAGTGGCGAAGCTCAAGGCCGATGAAGCCGACGGGGCTGATATTCGAGCAGCCGTAAGCTCTCATGAAGTCAAATGCAGAGTACCAGTACTGAACCAATCTTAGGAGCGAGTATTGAGAGACTCGGAAATGATGGTCCCCCATACCAGACGTTCACTGGAAGAGGCTTTCAATGCGCTCTCAGATCTTGTAGTGCGTTTAGTATAACAAGGCGTGATCTCAAGCTGATTATTCAAAGAACGCCCTTGGCGAAGACGGGTCCGTGTCAGCCACGCAGGAATTCCGAGACGCGTTTAGCATCCTCCAGCAGGTTGAGGTCGACTGGAAGTCAGAGGGTAACTAGTAGGCAGTCGCATACGATCGCAGATGACATGTATGTAATTTCAGTGATACGGAGATAGTCAGAAGATCCATGCTCTTCGATTCTTGACCTTGAGGACGAAATAGTATGAGAGACGAAATGACCAGGATGTATACTTCGAGGTTCAATCTTCGTCTACTATACCCCCATCTGGTCTCAGGGATCCCTGCGTGCATTGTGCGTCCACGCGTCAGTCTAGTATCATTTCAGTGTGATCTATTCGATATTTGGAGATACAAGCGTATGACATGGAGAATCATGAACCGGTCGTATAGAATGGGCAAGCTGAAAGTCTCGTAAACTGTAATAAATGTCTGAAAATATCCGTGAAAACAACCCTCCTTCGTAAACTCCTTCCCCCGTGTTCTCCTACACTCCTCATGATCACCGCCTGGCACACGCTTATGTCCCGCTGCCAGCGTTACCAGCATAGTTGGTAGCAGACGCGGTCGAGGTCGCGTCCGCATCGATACCATCGAGCGTGATAGCCCACTGCTGGGTAGGGTTCGGCACAGTGTCGAGAGTAGCGGTGACAGTACCGGTAGGAAGGGCAGAGGCAGTGTAGTTGGAAGGAGTGGAGTCGACAATGGAGAATTTCTTGGACTGTTTGCAACGTGTTAGTGATGATCTTTGCATGCCTGCAAGCACATGAAGGGAGCGACTTGCCTTGCCGTACACCTGCCCGTGGTAGGTGTTCATGAAGACCAAGAAGAAGTCGTCTCCAGTGGGCACTCCGCTATCAAGCTCCACTTCGATTGATCCACCGTACACCTTGTTGACCTTCTTCATCGGTACCCGCAGAGCGATCGGCAAGAAGCCAGTCATGACAGTCTTGTTGGCATTGTGCAGTTGGATATCGAATGACTGCACACCAGTGCCGCCTCCAGTCTTCCAAGCAAGGGGATTCTTCTCGCCGATGACCCAGGGGTTGTTGGGGTCGGGGTAGGAGACGGGCCAGTAGATGGTAGATACAGAGGTGGCTGCAAAAGACTTGTCAGCCTCTTCCAAGCAGAATTGTCTTGGTAAAACTCACCCGCAATGAACGGCAGGAAAAGGAGAGAGACCCAAGCTAACAGAAACATTATGCTTGGATGGATGCGCGAGCTCGTGAAGAAGAGAGACAACAGGAATTAACATCGAGGCATATGAGACCGACGCGCGGGAGGCTCAAAGGCGCTTCTTGTATTTTTCTTTCAGCTCTTTTTCTTCCTTTATCCCAGGAAACAACGGTGGCTATCTGCACAGCACATGGGGTCGACCATGAGATCCGCCGGTCAGATACTCTGATTCGAGATGCTTGGGAGTTGCAAGGGGGAATACATTGGGTATTGGAAGCATGTCTTCATGATCGTGCGCGCGGCAGAGAGTAGTAGGAGTACAGCAAGTGAGGCAAGTGGCCAACGGCTGCTTTGTTTGGTTCTTGCCCTTGCTGAGTTTAGAAATCATACTCCAGGTCCCGCTCTTCTGTATATCAATGTGTGCCGAGTGAATGTCTGGCCACTAGGAACCTCCCACGATCAATCGTTCATTCTCATGTTCCGCATCTGTGGCGCCAAGAGGCTTTTCGCGGACGTGGACATCCGCGATGGTCACGTCCTCCCCTTCTCCCCTGAATCAGATAGCCATGTTGAGGTATCGCCTCGTTGGCAGTGGTGCACCTGCGAACAATTTGAGTTCAGCTAGAAGATTCGGTCAGAGAGAAGTCATATCAGGTCACAGGTGCCAGTAAAAACAGATCGGACGATGATACTATGGCAATTTCTCATTCTCAGTTGGTGTATGCGCTTCTGTCTATGGCGTTACTGTAGCCTGGTGAAAGTGCTCATAAGTGCGCCTCCAGTCGATTGGTGTTTCACTCGTGGTGTGTGCATCCTAAAGGACGTGTGTATTTTGATGCTGCACATGCCAGCCAGTGGCCAGTGGCGGCTGTATGCCACATGGACGACTCTCGAGATCCCGGGGCACGCTGCAACCATGCCCTTGCTCCGTCAGTATTGAGTTCGTCTGTTTGGTACGGAATGTCCTAGAATGCGCCCCCAGATGGTTTTTTGACCTCGTGTCCCGTCCATCACCCTGGCCGATGGCATCGTTGTGGCTGAAGTGAAAAGACTATCTAATCTAACCTTGCGCCATATGCTTGCACAGGAGGTGTGAGTGACAGGCTGAGGGGTGGCTAACACGCGTCCCCAAAAGAGTAGCATAAGCTCTCGATCGACACATACGCACTTATATAATGCGAAGAGCAGTTCAAGTTACTCTTCCCAATGTCCAACAGTCTATCAATTCGCCACAACAGTACCACAGGACGCTTGACGATGCTCTTCCCAATTCCAACTTCACTGGTTATCGCGCTGTTCTCTCTTGTCGCCCGCGCTGATATCGATATCACTGGCCCACTTCCCTTCGGAACATCTACCGATCCGTGGAAAGCCAGACAAGTGGTACGTTCATCCTTTCGCAAGAATGACGACTGTTGCCATCGATCAGGTGGTGGCTGACATCCTCCTGGTATAGCCCGAGACTACGATACCCGTACCCCCGTCCTTCTCTCCCAGGGGCTTTCCGTCAGCTAGGGATGTCGATGCCGTGACAAGCGCAACTGCTGAGTCGGCCAAGAAGACCTCAAGCACCAAGACAAAGACAGTGACAGACAATGATACCGAGACGACTATTACCAGCACGACCGTGATCAACGGGCAGACTAGTGTCATTGTGACCACCAAGAGTTCAAGTCGGGGAGCTGTGAGTGCCCATCTGTTACCAACATTGGCTGTGAAAGACGTGAGCTAATGTTTGGATCAGGTATCCTTCAATGTGGATCACGTACTTGTCCCTGCCGCCTTTGCGGTTGTTGGCCTGATCGTCGGCGCCTCGGCCGTCTTCTGATAGGATCATTCGAGCTTGTAAATATGGGATGCGGAAGAGGACTGTACTTGACCTTTCAGACTATACATACAGGGATCAGAAGATGGAGGCGGTGTTGAAGAATTCTATGTGACGATGCAACGTATTGAGCCGAGGGCAAACAGACAGCAGAACAAGGATATCGAGAATCAGCCAACTTCGCACGGCGGCAACACTTCAGCTCCTACCAGTGACTGCAATTCATGGAAGAACGGCAGGAACAGCACCAGTCATGGGAGCAGTGAGCATCCAGCATCGAGCTTTGCCAACAACAACCCAGTAGTATCGCAGCCATCAGCGGCTTATCAGCCGGGAAAGGGCAGAATGAATTGGAAGAGGAACAGCAGGGGAAGCACAGTGGACCCACCGCCTGCTTACAGTTCCAATGGCAATAGCAGTGAGTCCATATACTCGTTACCTGGGTATCGGAGGCTGGACTGATGAGTCGAAGAATCCTGAGCCTTGGATTGACCTTGCCCAGGCAATTAGCTCCACTCGAGTACTCATGTGCCTCTGCGACTGCCTTCTTCTCCTTCGTTGTACAGTACTCGTACGCGTAGTCTGATCACAGTTATCGACATGTACTTCATTGTTTATGCACTCGACCGCTGCATCTACGCAGCCTCGTCTTGCACCGCTTGGCTTACCCACGCACTCCCAGCAGCTATACGCGGTCGCCAGTGATGTTCAGGATCAACGCCGGCACCGGGGCATTACATACCCTCACATGACTTGGCAGTCTCTCGCAGATATTGTGGCCAGCTTTATGCGCTACCAGATACTACGGGGCCTTACCCAGGCTAACCATATACGCCCGACCTGCGCAAAGGTAAGAACAATAGGAAAGTGAGAGGTCAGTGCCACTTGATAGGCCAAGGGATTAAGCTCTGGCTCCCTGAGATACCCTAATGTTCCTGAGGCTTGGACGGACGCGTCGCTTCACCTTTCTCGAGCATCTTTGCGTCTTGACTTGTCTCCCTCCCTGTACGGCGCCCTCGTCGTAATCTCCGCCCGCGACACCACCTACCTACACCCGCCACTGCTCTTTCCCATCTGAGACGCGTAGTTATCGTCCGCCCCCATATACGTCGCCCCATCCCAGCGCCACACTTCGCCAACCGCGCCAACCAAACAAATACTCACCCTGTGCACGGACTGTTGTTCGCGTTGGACGAGCACGTCCATCTTCGGAGCCCAGTGTGTCCGTACTAGAGGCCTCCCTGAGCTGGACAGCCGCCTGTGCTGCTCCATACCGAAGTGCTGTTGGGGTCAAATTTGGTGCGTCCTTGTGTTTACACTATACATCCTCCTTGCTCATCTGCTGTCTGCTGCAGACTGCCCCAGCTCGCCCCCGCTCCGGACATCGCCTTACTCACCCCCTCCCGGCACTAGACCCCCTTTGCGCTTGGACTGCGAGCCCAGCATCGTCGGGCGTTGCGGCACACACCGGTCCACTCATCCGTCATCAGCCCCAGTCCATCCATCATTTTTTCATCCTTCTCTCCATCTTCTTGTCTTTCCTCCATCCCCCCCAGCTCCCCGAGTGTCCAACTCTTCACGGTCATTACTCCACGCCACTCACCCCCCGCCCTGCCTCTACCATCCACAACTGCCCCCAACCCTCCATCAGAACACTGCGCACAGCCATCACTGAACAATAAAGGCGTCCGACAGATGTCTACTGCGGTGCACGAAAGCGCTGTTGACTTGGACAAGAGAGCTCAGAAGCTCGCGTCGGCGAGAAAGAAGGTGCGCGTCCTCTGTTCACGTCGGCCATCGCTGATCTCTGCTGAATAGCTGCACACATACCGTGCCTCTCGGTCTTCTGCAGACAGCCACCCATCACATACTCGTCAACCGTCCCCGCACAAGATGCCTCTCACTACAGAGGCCAGCACCAACACCCCTGCCATGCCCCAACACAAACGTGAAGGCTCCAAGGGGCAGGAAAAGGACTTTGAGGAGCCTAAAATGCTCAAGGCTCGGCACCGGCGGTCTGACAGTCAGGCACACAGACGACAACGGTCTTCGATCAGCTTGTCCACCAGTGGCCAAGGGTTGTCGAGGCCCTCCGTCATGGGAGTGTTTGAGAGCCCAAAGGAGCAGGAGGGACCGTCTTCGTTGATATCTGAGGAAGGCCAGGGAGGCCATGACTTTGGATACGAGGAGGCCGCCGCTCGCCTCTCGTCATTCTCCTTTGGATCTAAACCCATGCCTGCCCGTGGGGGGTCGTTTCCACCCAAACGTCGGTCCCACAGCCGCCAACCCTCCGCACCCCTCTTTGACATGGCTGCCGCCCCTCTCCCCTCTCCGACATCTCCAAATCGCCTGTCCACCCCATCCTCCCGTCCTCCGAGTGTATTGCTCACCCGACCTACCCCAGGCCTTTTGCCTTCTCCCAATTCTTTAGCTGGACCGAGCCGCGTTGGTTCTCCATCTTCCCCGCCTACTCCCGTGAGGAGAAGGCAACACTCGCACACCCGCTCCAACTCGATCTCCCTGCCCAATCTCAAACTTCAAAATGCCCAAGTTCGCCCAACCTCTCTTGGTGTTCCCATATCACCTGGCTTCTCGCCCCTTACATCGCCAGTGTCGCCCAACGGAGACATTCCTGGCAGACCGTCGAGAGTAGGCCCTCTCAATGGGCAGAGACTCAAGTTTGAGCCTTCCGGACGTGGAGCAGAGGCCGAAAAGGAGAGAGAAGAGTCGAGGAAGCAAGCTCTGGAAAAGCTCACGGGTGCGCCTCTGGAGATATCGAGATCTAGATCACCTGTGGTTGAAAGCCCGGTAAACGAGATCTCTTTGCCTGATTTGGATGATGAAGATGTCGAATCGGTAGCGTCTTCCGCCCGACCTCTTTCCGGTCTTGGAGGCTCAGGCTCCTTTTCGTGGAGCACGCAGTCTTCGTTGTCTCTGCCCCTGTCGGCTGGATCGTCAATGTCATCTCCTCTGGCAGCGAGTCCATTCTCGTGGGCTTCTCCTACAGACGAGAGGGCGTTTAGTGACAGACCACTTTCTGGCATCGGCTTTGGCCTCACTTCTTCGCTCCCGGCACCTGTTCCCATCAAAGAAGAGTCTCTTCCGTCTTTCGGCGATTTCATGAGCAAGCAAGGCAAGCGGCCAAGTATGAATCGTCAGCTGAGCGCTTTGCAAGAAGTCGACGAATCGGAAGAAGACGAGGACACGGAGCTGGAAGACGTCAAGGAAGAAGAGGAAGAGGAGGCCCAGCATTCATTTTGGCCCTCCATCATCGTCCCCACCTTGCCCACCATCCACGCCCAGCCGGCGCCAGTCCCCGCGTCGGTAGTATCTCCAACTGGCCTGCGCCAATTGCGCCTGGTCTCGAGTGTTGCTTCGTCGCGCGAAGCTTCCTCGCCCGCAGACTCTCATCGCTCATTTCCAATCGCTCATGCCACGTCGCCGCCTGCTAGCATCTCGTCAGCTTTGACTCACGGTCCACCTTCGCCTACGAAGAGCTACGGTACCATTGGCCGAGGACGACCAAAGCCTGTCTCCATGTTGCAATCCGAAGCAGAGGACACGCCGAAAAGAACCCTACCGCGAAAGTCGACGCCGGGATCTGGGAGTCGAGGGAGCTCCATATCTTACAAGAAGGACACCTCCAGTTCTACCGGGTCTGCGGATCTGGGACTGACTAGCCCCCCTGCCGCCATCCGACCACTGGGAAGTCCTACCAAGAAGACATGGGGTAGACCTTGTCCCAGACCTCGCGGTCTTGCTGGTGACGTTGGCAGCGGCCGCGTTCTCAATGAAGTCGACGAGGCTGACGAGGAATACCCATTTCCTCGCATTCCCTCCGGCCCCTCTGCTCCAGCACAGGATAAGCGTCTCTCCATCTTCTCCGCCAGTTCCGAGCGCGTTTCTTCTGAACTCTCGCGAGAGTCATTTGAGCAGTCCCGAGAGCAAGACAGATGGAGGGATGTGCAGTTGGAAATGGAAAGGGAGAATCAGCAGCTGCGGGATGATGTAGAGTTCTGGAAGGGGAAGAGTATGGGGTTTGAGGAGCGATATGAGAGTGAGAGGAGAGAGGGGATGGTATTGCGTGAACGTGTGAGGAAATGTGAGTTTGACTACGTTGTTACAAGAACTATAGCTGACATATGCGCAGTGGGCAACCGCCTGTCGAGTATCTCGTCTCTTCCCACCGAGCGCCAGTCGTTCGAGTCGTCAGCTCATACCGCCGAGTCTCGCATGGTCGCAGAAATGCGCGAGCAGCTCTTCCAGCTCACCGGCAAACTTGAGCAGGAGCGCAAAGCCAAAGAGCTTGCTCTGGCACAGCTCAGAATGGTCATGGCCCCAAGAAACGAGAAAGAGGTCGAGACGGAAGACGCGCCTGAATTGCGCTGCGATAGGAGTGAAAGCCAGAGAGACAGTACACCTAGTATTGTCACTCCTGATCCAGACAGCCGTGCGCCTATATTCCCGGCTGTCACCAACCCTGCGCATGAGCAACTCTCTATCACATCTGGCGCCGAGAAACGCCTCACGCCTGACCTCTCCACTCGTTTCAGAGGCTGGGGCTTCCCATCTGGCCCACAATCCACGTCCTCATCCACAGAAGGCACCCAAACGAGCCTGGCGAAGAAGCGAGAATCCTTCTTCGGCTTATCCAACCCTCTGCGTCGCGCGAGCAGCGATGATGCTCCTGCCTCTCGATCTGGTGTGGACCTGCCGCCATTTGACATTGGTCTTGGCACCGAGCTTGGACCTGATATGCATGGGCAAGCGAAGAGAGTTGTATCCGACCCTGCAAACCCTTACTCCCTCTCGATGCCTACTATTGCGCCTGGTAAGCAGTCCGGAGGGTACGTGGGCTTTGGTTTGCCACAGTACCCTCAGCCGAGCGTGCAGGCGAGGCATCATCAGGAGCCCGAGTATGGGTATGGCGAAACGACTGGTGTGAAGAAGCCGCTGGATTTCTCGAGGACGTGTGAATGTTGCGTGGGGGAAGTTATCGAAGTCTAGATTATCTATGAGCAGCTCACAGGGCTTGGGAATCTTTTTTTTTTTTTGTATCTGTAATTCATTATCTTCATTCCCCTTCTTCTACTTTCCAAGATAGCTTCGTTTTAATCACGACAAGATAACGGACTTTAGATCGGATGAGCGAGCGTCATCAAGGAGATCTCTGTTGATAATAAACCTGTAATACATCATCCTTCTATTGCTCCCTTGTCTGTTTAGAGATTGGGGAAGCGTCTATATATAATTCATAGTCATTCATCTTGCATTGCTGTGCTGATGCAACGCCGTCTGTGCAGACTGGACTATTGTACATCCAACCTATCTTACACTTAACCGAAGCTCATCTCTTCTTGTAAACGCATCCCTTCAAGATCCCTTCGCCCTCCTTGACCCTTGCGTCCCAACCCTTCTCCCCTCTCGCTGGGCCCTGAGGGACTTCAGCCTCTTTCACAAACTTGAACAGTGTGAAGTGTGTAGAGGGTTGCGATTCCCCCTCAAGAGAGAAGCCGAAAGAGATGACAAGCTCGTTGAAGGCGGGAATGTCAACGAAACGGGAAGTCACTTCTGCGATGTGGAATTCGCCTCTGCCATTGCCAGGTCAGCGCTTACAAAGTCTGCAAGGGGTGGAGTTGGGAAAGCGATGTACCCTTGTTTCAGAATGCGACACGCCTCATATATGCCCCCAACCCAGTTGACGCCCATCAAACTCAGACAGCAGACCACCGCGTCCACCACCTCGCTTGCTGCAGGGTTCTTCTTGGCAACTTGTTGCTTCTTCTTCTTGCTCTTCTTGGTCTCTTCAGCAGACGAGGAGGTGAAATTGAGACCGCCAGGTCGACCGGGAAGCGGGACGTGGGTCAAAAAATCGGCTTCAACGACCCATCCCTCGCTCGCCTTCTTGCCCTTGCCTTGCGCGTCGTCCTGCGCCAGCAACACACTATCTCCCACCAAATCATAACTCAGCACTACCTTTCCTTTCGGCACAAGCTCTCTGGCGAGACCGGCATCACCGCATCCAAGATCGGCAATGATCGCTCCAGCGCGAAGAGGGGAGAGGAGGGAGACGAGATGAGGGAGAGGTGGAGAGGGCCAAGCAGCTGTCTGTAGACGGTGACTTTGATGGTACTGTACAATGTTTAGGGCCGACAAAAGGCATTGGGAAAGTGATAGCTCACGTCGGCAAAAATCTTGGGATCCTTCTTCATCATAGCGACAGCCTCGGTTGAGGGAGTAGAGTAGAGTTGCTCGTTAATCCACCTTTGAATGATTGTCAGACTTTAGACAACCGTTGAGTGATTGAAACTCACCTGAAACGGGCACCGCCGAGCTTATCTTGCATCTTCTGCTGCATATCTGACATACCCTCCCCACCGACCTGCAGCTTCGTACCAGCATTGGGGATTGAGGGAATAGGAAGCTCCACGGGGTCAACCTTGGCGGCTTTGGTAGTAGGGGTTGCTTTTGACTTCTTGCCTTGAGGCGTATCGCCCTTGTTCTTCTTTTGAGATTTGGCAGGGGATGGAGCAGGCTCATCGTCAAAAGCGCTGACACTCTTCCTGCCCTTGCCAGCTTTGAAAGCAGGGGAAGGGGCAGGACTCTGCTCTGCAACCTTCTCTTGCCTCTGCTTCTTCTTCTTTCCTTGCCCAGGCAACTGTCCCATTCCCTCTTTCCCCTCTCCCTTCTCCTTGACTACGGCCTCTTCTCCAAATTTTTTGAGAAGCTTCTCGAAATTGGCGTCGGCTTGCTTTACGGCGGCATCCTGACCTTTGCCTCCTGGAGTATTTGTGTTGCCGGTCGATTCCCTCTTGCGTTTTGGGGCGTTTTTGCCTCCCGACTTTGCAGCGGCGAGGAAGGCGTGTGTAGGACCAGAGAATGAGGTGTCGAACTTGGAGGGGAAGAGCGACATCTTGGGAATTGGACGAGACAGAGGGATTGTTCAAAAATGTCGAAGCAGAAGGATGGAGGACCTCCACCGCTGAAATTTGATCCCGCAATTCACCCTTCTCGTGTCCTGCGGTGATCTATGGCCTCTATCATTGGCATCTCTACTTGTAACGACTGGAGAAGCAAAGACTGAGACAATGGGTAAGCCTGAATTCTTCGAGCATCATGTGTCGTCGCTGACCACAATCGTGTCTTATAGATTACCAAGTGAGTCGCACTCTTTCCGCGGGCATCTCGAAAACAAAAGACTAATCAGTCTACAGAATAGAGCTGGTGCAAACAAGGGCAGTGGTGGTGTCGGTGCGTACTTTGATAATGGAACTCAACTGCACCATGGATGACTAACGTGTGATTCTAGCCGGCGCGTCCGAAACGGCCATAGACAGAAGAGAACGTCTCAGAAAGCTCGCTCTGGAGACGATCGATCTGGCCAAGGATCCTTATATTCTCAGGTGTGTCTCTGCAAGAGCCATAGGTAGCTAACTTACACTAATACACTGTCAGAACTCATTTGGGTACCCTTGAATGCCGTCTCTGCCTCACCCTTCATGTCAACGAAGGCTCTTACCTCGCCCACACCCAAGGCAAAAAGCACCAGACCAACCTGGCACGACGAGCGGCCAGGGACAACCAAGACCAGCAACTAATGATCCAAGCTCCACAGGTTGAGCAGACGGTGAAGAAGGCGTTTGTCAAGATTGGAAGACCTGGTTAGTCCTGTTGCATTGGATCTTTTCGCTTGATGGAGTTGGGGTTAGACGGATTAGTGCTGATGATGTCCTAGGATACAAGATCATCAAAATTCGTGAACCAGTCAGCCAGAGGATGGGCCTGTTGTTCACTGTTTCATTACCGGAGATCAAGCAAGGAGAGAGACCGAGAAGAAGGTTCATGTCGGCGTTTGAACAACGGCGAGAGGTGCCCAATAAGGCTCTTCAGTACCTGGTCGTACGTGCATTTTCTTGTCTTCTTCATCTCTAGACCCTTGTCCACGAGTGTCCCGGAGATTGGTGACAGGATGGTCGCTGATGGTCGCTTTAGCTGGCAGCCGAACCCTACGAAACGATCGCCTTCGCCATCCCATCGAAAGAGATGGTGGACGCCGAAGAAGACCCAGAGTCGACGTGGGAACACTGGGATGGAGACGAGAAGGTGTACAGCTGCCAATTATTGTACAAGTGATATCATCGTAGAATCTGAGGCCGAGGATACCAAGTTGATGTATTGGTTTGTATGTCCAAACGATTGTACCATCTCTTTACATGACCGCACATGTCGTGTCCGCCTTGAATCCGTAGACCAGCAAATGGACGCTACCGGCCCGCATGATCTGTGCAACCTGTACCCGAAGCGGTTCATGTGGTACATGTGGCATCTTTCGATCATTATCCTCCTTCCATTTTCCTTCCCTTTCTTATCTGCTAAAGCTTCCACTGGCCTGGGCAGCGTTGCCCATGGCAGACATACGTTCTCCGACCTGCTTGTTGACCTGCGAAAACACAAAGGGGTCAGCTTTTGCTTTTTTGTGACCACCTGCTGAAAAAATATCGTCCGTCATCGTTCGCCCATACTCCCTGGTCTTGTTACACCACCTGCCGACATGATTCGGCAACGAGAAGAATAGTAAAGAAGGAGTGGAAAGAGACATACCTCGAAGAACTTGGAAGTACATCTGTCGATACACACACTCTCGCCCTTCAAAAGGTCTCCTTCGGCGTATCGGTGGTTGAGGGGGTTGGAGGAAATGCACTTGGTGTGACAAGAGTTGACGAGTCGGTTGCTACAAACGTTCAAACGTCAAAATTGATTGTGGTAGCAGTTGAGCTTGACATACAAGACGTCGGTGATCATATCTGGCACTTCAATCAGCACAAAGTACAAAAGATGTCATCGAGAGGAATGCGTACCGAGCTCAGCAGCGGCCATTTCGATCTTGGCGGGGTCAATAGATCCCTCAGCTGACTCTACAAGTAATTACATGGTCAGCTGCATCCCTTAAGCTATGACAATCACTCTATGGATTTGATAGACGAATCCAAAGTGACGAGACAGTCTTTTTGAGGAAGAGATACGCACTGCCACCACCGAAAAGGAAACTCATTGTGACGTTTGAATGTTGTGTTTGAGGTTATAGGATATAGAGGGTGCACCTGGCGGTTGTTAGAACTGTTTTCTTGTGTTGCGAGTCTAGAGAGTGGGCCGTTTTGACACTTTTGGCGATGATGCCCAAGAGAAGCAAGCCGAACCAATTTGATCCCGCCCCTCTGAAATTTATGCGGCCATCGCCGCGGAGACCATGTGGAGGCGCGCTCATCTCCTCTGTCATGTCGACTTTTCTCGAACAGCTATATAATTTCACCAGTGCATGTCTGGGATATCCGTGAATATCCCCAGATCAGCCTACTCCCCACTCAAAACACTATCCCGGCCACGACAGATCCCATCCACCAGACGAGCCGACATGACGCCGACAAACTACACCTCGAAACACCCCGAATCCCTCCCCGCTCTTCTTTCGGCTCTGCGTGACCTGCAACTCACAGACCCGAAAGCGATACGAGCCACCACCCATGTCTACCCCTCATCAATATATGCCCCACAAGAAGGGTACCGGGATAGGAAGATCGTGTCGTGGAAGATGACGGAGCACATGTACTACAAGAAGGCTCAGATATTTCCCACTCTTGCGAGAGGGTTGTTTACCGAAAGACTGGAAGACGGAGATTTGATGCCACCGGGATTGGAGGAAGGAGAAGAACGGATAGTGCTCAGAGGCTATGACAAGTTCTTCAATGTCGGGGAGCTAGCTTGGACCGAGGTGAGTCATTTTATGCATAACCGTCTCTTCCTTGCATTATACCTCTATACCCGTTCGGGATGAGTGCTAATACACTATGGCAGTGGGACTCTATGGCGAAGCACACTATCGGTCCATACCATCTTACACTAAAGTCCAACGGTTGCCTCATCCTCATTTCGGCCTTGGACCCGGAACACCTGGTGGTCGCAAGTAAGCATTCATTGGGAACCACTGTGGAGGGTGGACGGCGAGGAGAACAGAAGGGAAATGTTGCCGAGAAATTAGAAGCAAAGGAAACGAGTGTCGAGAAGAGCCTTAAGGCTCTGGACGTCTCAAAATCCACCCCGAGCGAGCAAGCAACACCATCTTCCGCCGAGGCTGCCGTCGTAACGGATAACGATAATGGTCCTTCGAAAACTGCTCAGAAGAGAGCCGCGAAAACTGCTCAGAAGGAGGCTATTCGGTCCCAGAAGGAAGCTGCTGCTGCCGCCCGCGCCAAAGCACAAGACGCCGCTCGATCCGGCATACCAGCGCGCGCGCGAGAAGAGGCGAAAGAACACGAAGAAGCTTTGCAACATGCAGAAGTCGGGAGACAATGGCTGAAGAAGACTTTGGAGAGGAGCGGAAAGACGGAGAAGGAGCTTGCGAGGAAGCTGTGGGAAGGCAATATGACTGCTGTGTTGGAGGTGAGTACTTGCAAAGCACCAAGTCCAGTATATGCTGATGAAACTTAGCTTTGTGATGATTCTTTTGAAGAACACGTCATTGCTACGCCCGAGCACTGGACGGGTCTGCATCTTCACGGCCTGAATCTCAACACGCCCCATTTCGCCACCCTCCCTCCCGAAAGCGTCTCTAGTATCGCCAAAGAATTTGGTTTTATTGAGACCAAGTGTCTCACTATGGAGACTCTTGAGGAAGTGAAGATTTGGACGGATGAACTCGCCAAGACAGGGAGCTGGGAGGGGGATATGATCGAAGGATTCGTTGTGCGTGCTACAGTCAAAGATGTGCCGCATGACAGAGGTTCCCCGCCATACAAGCCCGACGCTCCCTTCTTCTTCAAAGTCAAATTCGAAGAACCCTATCTACTCTATCGGCAGTTCCGTGAACTCACTCGCGTTCTCTTGCCGCTCGCCTCGCCCGACATCAAGCCAGCCGAAAAGGAGGCTGTCTGGCAAGCAGCCCGTGCCAAGTCGAAGAGGGCCGAATTGAAGGTGTACGCCCAGTGGGCAGCGAGCATGATGGAACAAGAGCCCACGCTGTTTGATGACTACAATAAAGGCGTCGTGAGGGTTAGGGAGAGGTTCCTGGCTTGGACTGAAGGAGAGGGGAAGTCCAAGTGGATAGCAGCGAGGGAGGGGAAAGTTGACAAGGTTGAGAGGAAGAATGCGAAAGAGGGCTTGCCGAAGAAGTGGATCATTGTCCCCATTGCTGTTCCAGGTTGTGGTGAGTACTTCCGGCTTGCAGAGGATCTAACTGACTTTCTTAGGCAAAACTTTCATTGGCAACGCTCTTGCCAGTATCTATGGCATTGGACACACTCAAAGCGACGACGTGACCACCAAACGCTCTGCTCCCGCTTTCATCCAAAACATTACGTCCCTCCTTCTCTCCTCCCCCTCCAACATCGTCTTCGCCGACAGATGCAATCATATCTCCGAACACTATCGCCAGCTCGCCGCCATCGCCTCTGACCGCAAGCTTGCTAAATACGATGTGCGCCTTATAGGCATGACCTGGGGCTTGGACGAGATACCTTATTACAAGGTCCTCAGGGTTCTGAGCGATAGGATCGTGGCCAGGGGAGACAACCATCAGACTCTGAGGCCGGATCTGAGTGTAGAAGCGGAACATGAGGCCATTGTAGGAAGGTTCATGAGAAATTACGCTCCAGCGGATCCCGAGATCTTTGAGACCTTCATAGAACTCTCCGTTCTCGATAATGCCAGGGAAAGTCTGGAAAAGGTCATTGAGGGGCTGCAGAAGATTATAGGTTTGCCCAAACCTAGTGAGGAGCAGGTCCTGGCTGGCATCCAAGCCGCTGAACAATATCGCGTGACTACGCCGTACCACCCTGCACCCAAGCTCAGCAAGCCTACCCGGTTCTACTCTCTTCAGCTTGAGATCGACCTCTGGGAATTTGCCAGTCGAGCTATCACCTCTTTATCACATGGCCAGACGTCACAAAACGGTGCAAAGGCATTCCTCGATAACCTTAGGCGAGACCAACGCATCACTTCCCGTCCTCATGTGACTCTCTCACACGAGACAAACGTCAAAGCCGAAAGACTTGAGCGAGGGCGAGCGGCAGAGGATGGAACGCCGCTTGAGACCGGACAAGACGCGGGGCTGGAAGAGACCATGTGGGAGACGTGCAAAACAGTCTTGACTTCAGACTATCCGACGTTGTATGATTACGCGTTGAGCTACTTGGTGTGGGATAACAGAATGATGGCGTTTATGCTGGACGACCTTCAGCCTGCTTCTGCTTCCTCTACCGAAAGGCCTGCGGACGACTCCCACCATATCGGCAAGGTCCTTCCACCTACCGCTCGTCGTGACCTGCACGTCACCGTTGGTACCGTCAGCCAAGAAGTCAACCCCTTCGAAAGCCGCCTGCTTGTGAGGCAGTTGAGAGATAAGATGGAGCGGGGCGAGGAGATTGGGGAAAGTGGGGAAGGAGAGCAGGTCGCGGACGGCGGTGGAAAGGTCAGATGGTTGAGGATCCAGGGGCTGAGAGGGCAGGGACGACTGCGAGCGATGGGGTAGTATGGGACTTATGAGAAGGGGCTCATGGGCATGTCTCTGTGCCAACTGGCAGCCATCACCATTCAGATATCTAGCATCACTGTTCGCATTATCACTCACCATGCATATGATAACTTGTATTGACATATCAGGCTTTTGAAATGCGATGGGAGATAGCGAATAATCTGGAGTAGTGACAACCACGAGGTGACATCTGAGAAAGGTGTTGCGCCTGTTGGGAGCCTCGTTGTGAAGGATCCCCACCGAGTCGAAACATGTGTTATGCTCACGTGGGTCACAAGAAGACAGGCCTTGCGACAGCAGCGCGGGAGGAGGTTCGGACAGCATGCTTCTTCCGTGTTTCCGCCTGCGACTCACCACGTTTTCCTCGTCTCACTGACGTTCTCATGGGACGGGCAAACCGGATGAAGGTCATGATGATACCCTCCTCCACTTTCCGTATGGGCCTGACAGTAGGTCAGCGGAACAGCATTTGTTTCTGATCTCTATCAGCTTCGTTTCGACAACATCAACAGAAGTCCTCAGACATCAGCCATGCCAATGTCGAGCTCATTAGCCATCTACTTCCTCTTTTTGCTATCTAATACGATTCTGATCGCAGCACGCTCTTGTCTCGAAACTGAAACTGGTAGGTACGATTTTCCTGCTCTTTTAGCAGATCGACGACAGGAAATATCGGGAGCCGGGCTGACAGAGACGGTGACATCGTCCCGCCATATCAGGCCATAAAAATGCTTGTGCAGGACTCTCATATGGACAACGCTGGGGAGTCGGTGTAGGGTCTGTCTTTGGACTATTGCTCGTCTTGGTATTGTTGGGGCTGTGTTGCAGGGGCAGGTCAGTACAATGATTCTTGCTTCTCTCTTCGATGAGACCCGCTGATACGACTTTTATTCTTTCAGTGGGCGGCTGTTCAAGCGTCTCAGACGAGGCTCAACGAACCAGGACGATGTTCACAGCGACGTTGAAGCACCTCTACCACCCGTGGATAGCCACACAGCCGGCTCCTTCGTCACCAAACCCCATTTTTCACAGTACAGCAAGGAGCACAGCAAGGTTTCGGAAGGTTTCAGTGGAGGACGATATGCTCCTCCGAGTAGGACATGGAAGGAAGAACATAGATAAACTACTCGATGATCTATCTGCTTAGAATCTGTGAGACTTATAGTAGGTACGGACCGTATAAGAAGTTAAGCTGTCAGAATTTTCCCTGTCCTCTACTGCAATCAGCTTTAGATCTGCTGCATCAATTGAATGAGCGATGCTACAGGCAATATACCAGACTGTGCTCGACTTGTGCAGGCTAGGGCGAGGAGCTGCCATCAGGCCCAGGCCGTGCGTCACTCAACATGTTGATTGCCGCGTTGCTTCTTGCGATGGCGTCCACGAGTCAGCGACTTGTTTCTAGCCCCCTCCATATATAGACGAGGCATCTACGCACTCAAGCCATTGGTTCCACCTTACAAGAAATTTCTCTAGCGCTGATACGGTGCGTCGACCCCATCATGATCTCGTGCACGGCGACTGTCATAAGCTTTTTCGGTTTGTTGGCGTTTGCCACCGATCGAGTCTCGGCACGGACATGCCTATACACCGCAACGGGTACGTGTACCTATATCCTTAGACTGACAACAGGGCGTATACAAGAGGAAGGCGCATGGACTGACCTGGGTGTCAGGACACAAGTACGCGTGTAGCGGCCTTTCATATGGCCAGCGTTGGGGCATCGCTGTAGGGGCCGTAGTCGGAGCTATTTTGATCATTGTCCTGCTTGCACTCTGTTGTGGGGGATGGTGAGTATACTTCTCATCTCGTGTGCTCTAGAGTGTATCTTCCGTACTGATTGATATTGCCTCTGTCTCTGAAGTGGCTGGCTGAGAGACCGCAGAAGCCGGAGAAGAAGTCGCGGAATCGTCCCTCCTCCTCAGTATGACGTTGAACGCCCCCCGCCGCCTGTGAAGAGCGAGCATCTAGAAGAGGCAGCAGCAGCTGCCGTACTTGACACCAGCCCCACCTATGCCACTAGCCCCGTAGAGGCCGACCTCACCCCTGCTGCGCCAACCGCAATAGCCTCCCCGGCGCCTGTCCATCACAAGAAATTGTACGAAGGCAATACTGGGGGTTATGCGCCGCCTCGTCGGGTTGGATCTCCTGCTTCTGCCAGTAGTGGCCGCAGAGCAAGGATCAGTGATCAGAGATCAGAGAGCGTAGGGGGCGCGTAATGTTTTGTTTTTGTGGCCTGACATGAAGAGTGAGGTGTGGTGGCCGATTTTGTGGTATGTTCGAGATGGAGGACCACCATGTCGCGTTCTCTTTAGGGACTATTCTATGCAGCTTGTTGTGTGCACCCTTGAGGAATGTGTTTGATAGATATTGGCCGCATAGTCCGTTGACTTCACCAGTAAGATTTCCTACGACTTTATCATAACCTACTCGTCTTTCTTCGAGAGTATGCTTGCAGTCGTCTCTCGGTCGGTCAACGTTGGGCTATCGCCATCGGCGTCATCGCTGCTGTAATGATCCTATCAATTCTCGTCTGGTGCTGCTTTTGCGGAGGGTCAAATTTACTCTACAGATGCATGCTCTAGGATATGTACTGATACAGTCTCTCGCAGGGCGGCGTTGGCAAGCAAGTGGCGACGAAGGCGACGCGGTGTGGTAGATGTTGAGAATCGCCCGCCACCGCCCGTGGGTGTGAACCATATGCTGGGCCTGGTGCGGGGTTCACCCACCCGCTGGGGGCGGAATTTTCTTACTCTGGGTATCCGCCTCCTCCTGTTAGGGTGTAGCGCGGAAAGATACCATACGCGTCTCGTCGGATAGACACTTTTGTACGGATCATCGGGAATCCGTGACGTATGTATGTGGCCCCTCCTCGATGACTGTGGGAGACTACAGGGTACTAGATAGGACGAGCACACCCACATGTATCCGCGACCTCCGGCTGCTACCAGTCTCCCTCCTCCTCCAATGATCACATTGTCGTCATCAACCCATGCGACAGTGCAGCGGAAAGACAGTAGTCTTTGATGTGTTTCCTCCTCTCGAGAGCAGTGTCTATGCAACTCATTCCATATCAGTCATTTCTCTTCCCCATCTCTCTAATGATTCCAAGATGAAACACACACTCAGCAATACAGTCTTCTTGGGGCTCATGGGCACTGCGTGTCAAGCCTTGACGATCACCTTTCCCGTCGCCACTGTCGGTGGGCCGAGTTGGTGGTCGAAGGGGAATCACTTGATCAGATGGGAGGTGAGTGGTTGCCCATTCCGCCTTCTTTAGTAGCTGTACTGATTATCTTCCATGCATAGGACTATGACGCGAACAATACTTTGGATATCTCGCTCACTTACCCAAATTCCACCACCAAGCAAACCATCCTCAATGACATTCCGACCGATCAAGGAGTGGCAGTTTTCACCTCTCCCCACCACCTTGCCAACGGAGACTACATCATCTCCTTCAGCGTCAAGCCCAATGGCGGGGATGAAGCTTCCAACTTTTCCGTCTGGCACGGCATCGAGCCGCCTCTGGATGAGGACGTCAAGTGGAGTGTCTATGGCCAAGCCGAGGATGACACCGGTGGATCGGGTGATGATTCCGCTGTGAGCTTGCTATCACCAAGGTAGAAAAGAACTGACAGATGTGCGATAGGCGCCCCACGGGATCAGCAAGGGTATGATCCCTTATGTCCTTTCCTTTGCAGGATTGGCTTTGGGCGTGCATGCCTTCTTTTAGAAACCTCTTCGAGAGTCTTCTGATACAGAGGCTTCTGTGAATATAGCGCAATGGACAGATAGCTTGATAGCTGATGCATAGTGAATGATCTGAATGATGCAAGCGATGATAGGTGGAGGGTGCCGGGGGCCGGGCCGTTCCGTGTTGGTCGGCAGGTGATAAGTCTATTTGAATGCCGATTTCATATCACTCTTCGTATTCGTGCTCTTTCATATCCCTCTTTCATATCCCGTTAGAATACATATATCCCCCCTCCCGCCCAATTCCATCCCCATCCCCCACCATGGCCATCCCCCTCGCCCACTTCGACGCCACCCTCAAGCAAAACTATGTCGGTGAGTCGCCCACCTCGTGCCCTGTCCCCCTTGACACCCCGCAGAGGTCTCCTCCGCAGCCCTGGGAGGCCAGGTCGTAGCGTGCTCAGACGACTTTTTCGTCTCGAGACACAACCTCATCAAGCCCACCGTAAGTCGCCATCGGCTACTGCCGTCCATAGCCGCCGTCGTCGCACACCAGATGTCTGATCACTTGTCTGTAGCCGTCTGTATCCATGAAAGGGCAGTTCGGACCGAACGGTGCTCTCTACGACGGCTGGGAGTCCCGGCGCCACAATCCGGCCTTCGACTGGATCATCATCCGCCTCGCAACCCCCATCACCTCCATCCACTATGTCGACATTGACACCTCCCACTTTAACGGCAACGAGGCGCCCCAGTCTCAAGTCTTTGGCCTCACTCTCCCCTCGGACGGGTCTGTCCCAAAATGGACCCCGAAAAACGAAGGATGGGAGGAGATCTTGCCTCTGGTCGACTTGGGACCGGACAGCAGGCACATCTTTGAAGTCAACAATGTCGGCAAGCAAGGCAACTTTGGTGCTCTCATGGTCCGTATGATTCCAGACGGAGGTATGGCTCGTTTCAGAGCCTACGGTCTTCCCCACCCTCCCTTCATCCCGAAATCTCTGCCTACCGACTGGCAGTCTCTCGAGGCTACCAACCTTCTCTCCCCTCTGATCGGCGGCCGTATCATTGCCTGCTCTGACGCCCAGTTCTCCCCACCTGGAAACCTCCTTCTGCCCGGGAGAGGACACGATATGTCGGATGGGTGGGAGACGAAGCGGAGCCAGGTGGGGAGGGGCAAGTACGCGCCTGGGGGTAAGTTGGAGGGTCAGGAGAGGAAGGAGTGGGTCGTGGCGAGGTTGGGGGTGCCCGGTGTCATCAGCCACGTAGAGGTCGATACCGCTTTCCACCCAGGCAACTATCCTCGAGTGCGTATGTCATATCCCAGTAGACAGAAGCTGATGTTACATAGGAATGTTCTCTCGAGGCCACCCTCTCCCCCGACGAGTCTCTCGATTCGGCTACATGGACTACCATAGTCCGCAAATCGCCCCTCGGTGCCCACCGTCAACACTACTTTAACCTCGAACCCTCTATCCCCGCCACGACCGTTTTCTCCCATATCCGCTACAACATCTACCCCGATGGTGGCTCCAAGCGCGTCCGTATCTTTGGCCATCCCCTCGACCCTACCTCTCCTGACGCTCAGTCTGCTTCAGAGGAGCTGATCATCCCAGCCCTGCCTCTGACGCCAGAGACGTTCAAAGAGTACGGCGAGGTCATTCAGGGATTCTCATTGCCCACTTCAGCGCCCAAGGGGATCAACGTCAACATTGCCAACCAGGGCACAGCTTTCAAATTCCACCGACTCGCTCTCCCCAAACACACTTATTCTCCCGGGACACTCCCCAAGGGCGGCCTCCACGTCGGCGCTGTTCAAGCCAAGAGCAAGCTCGACGTTTCGCATCCTCAAAATATCAGGGTGGATTTGCTGGAAAGACATGCGCACACGACGCAGGCGTTTATCCCCATGGGCGCGGAAGAAGGGAAGAAGCAGGGTGGATATGTGGTTGTGGCTGCTTTGGCTGGACCGGATGGACAGCCGGATTTGAGTACTGTGAGGGCGTTTGCGGCTAGTGCGGCGCAGGGTGTCAACTATGGTGTTGGTATTTGGCGTAAGTTATTTTGAGGGATGAAACTTGTATTTGAGCTAATCAGATGTAGACCATTCATTGTTGACGGTCGGAGGCGACCTGAACTATGCCATTGTCGAAGCTCAGACTTCTGTCCCGGGCGAGATCACGGACCTGGAGAAAGTCAAGCCGCCCAAAGAGCTGTCCATTCAGATACCTGCCTTCCCCTTCACCTCTTCCGAGGCCACCTCGTTGGTGAGGCCCCAGCCACACGGCCTCACTTCCACCCTCTCCTCCCTGCTCCCCACTGGCTCCACCCTCAAACCCATCCCCATCACCCCCGAAAACTTTGCCCCATACGGCCAGCTCATCACCACCTCCCCCTCTTCTTCCCACACCGATACAGAGCATGCTCCCGACGGTCTAACCGTCAAACACAACCGGCTCGCGCCCATCACCACGAACTACCCCGAAGACGCAGGGGCGGTGACGGGCATCGCCGTATTCAGGGCCACGCCCAAGGTGGGGCTCGAGAGGGGCAAGGCGTTCGAGCTGAGGTATATGGAGAGGCATGCGTATACCTCGCAGGCTTTCATCCCCATGGGCAAGGCCGAGTGGAAAGACCACTCTGAGCCCGCCCTACCTTCCGGCGGGCAATTCCTCGTCGTCGTCGCCCCTGCGCACCCTTCCATCCCCAATACCCCCGATCCCACCAAGGTTGAAGCTTTCTTGCTTCCTGCTCACCAGGGCCTTTCGTACAATGCGGGCGTATGGCATCACCCGGTACTGGTCTTGGATGAGACGATGGATCTGGCGTGTGTAGAGACGCAGGTGGCGACGGGGGTGGTGGACAGTGATGAGCGGGACTGTGAGCTGGTGAGCTGGGAGGGTGATGAAGTGTTTGGGAAGGTCTTTGTACCAGAGGCGTAAAGCAGGGGAAGAAGGGCAAAAAGAAGTGTTTACATATGCTTGCACGAGTGATGTTGAGTGATGCATTACACACTGTACATAGCTGCTTTGTCTATTCTGCGGGGTGGCTATACCCATTTCCGCTCACCAGGCGGCAAGCTGCCGAGGCCCTCTTTCCATACTGTAGCCACAGGCTGTGAGAGAAGCTCTATCAGGATGCCCATGGCCATTGCAGGACCCAGCAGAAGCACGTGTTTATCCGCGCCCCCCACTAAGCGACCTCCTCTATGATCCATTTCACGCGCCATGCTGTCTCGTTCTCAACTCGTTCTTCCCACCGCCGCGATGGCCCTCCTGTACTCCCTCCGCATGGCTCTCTACAGCCTCCTCCTCCTCACCACCTCCTTCATCGCTGTCTTCATCGGCATCCTCTGCACACTCACACGCCAGCGCCTCAACACAAACTACTACGTTGCCCGCACCTTCTGGCACATCGCAGGCCCCATCATAGGATGGAAGTTTGACGTCGAAGGCGAAGACTATCTCTGGAGTCTGAGCGAGAGTGACGGTGGGGGCAAAGCGGGCAAGGAGGGGAGGAGCATGGTCATGGTCGGCAACCACCAGAGGTTCGTTCGCTCGACCCGTGCCGGGATTCGCGCTGATTCGCTCGAGCAGTATGGTGGACATTCTCTACCTCGGCAGAATCTTCCCCAAGCATGCTGCTATCATGGCCAAAGAGTCTATCAAATGGATCCCCGGTCTTGGCTGGTTCAGTACGTGTTCTTGCCTCATGTCGTGCGAAAGGACGCTAACCCCAGTACAGTGTTGATGTCTGGCACCGTATTCATCAACCGCAAGAACAACAAGTCTGCTGTGGCAAGTATGCAGCATGCAGGAGAAGACATGAAGCGCAAGAAGGCAAGTCTACCTTCTTTTCATGACATCTTCGCGCTAACTCGCGTAACAGGCCTCAATTTGGATCTTCCCCGAGGGAACGCGCCACAACGTCCCGGACCCTGATCTCTTGGACTTCAAAAAGGGTGCATTCTACCTGGCTGTTGAAGCCAAGGTGCCCATTGTACCGGTCGTTTGTGAAAATTACAACCGGTTGATGGACGGCAAGACACGGTTCAGGCGAGGAACTTTGCGCATCAAGGGTGAGTCCAACATTATGTCAATCAACTATCAATGCTGAACAATCATCCAAAGTCCTCCCTCCCATCCCCACTACCGGATTGACCTCTGCCGACGTCCCAGCTCTCATGACCCGCACCCGTGAGCTCATGCTCCAAACACTCAAAGAAATCTCCATCCCCGCCTCTCCTGCATCATCCACAGGCTCATCGGCAGCCTCTCCGACCCCTCTTCTTGGTCGACCAGAGCAAGATCGAGAAGGACACTATGGCACTGGCTCGCCGGCTGAGCCCGTAGGGGGTGAGGAGGACGGCCAAGATGCGGAGGAGGCAGTGGAGGACGCCGTCGGCGAGGAAGAAGCGTCCAAGGGCGAGAGAGTGGTTCCCTTGGAGGACCAAAAGCCCAATGGAGGGGTAGCGAAGCGTAGCAAGGGAGGGAAGAAATTAGCGATAGCGTAAGCTAGCGTCCTGACTTTTTGTTGTCTTTTATCACGATGAATGTATCGGCTTATAATGTGTTTCTCTTTGCTGGGTCTGGTAGGATGGTATCCGATTTCTTTCTACCCGTCGTTGGGGGCGTGGAAACGCATATCTATATGCTCAGTGTGGAGCTCATCAGAAGAGGGCACAAGGTCGGTCAATATCGTCAGCATGGCGAGTGTCCACTGACACACTTTTAGGTGATTGTCATCACCCACTGTCATCCCAATCGCATCGGCATCCACCTGCTCCCACCATCACTCAAAGTCTTTCACACACCTATACCACCAGTCACTGCATCTCAAGCCACGCAACCGAATTATCTCCATCTACTGCCCTTCCTCCGGCCAATCTGTATATCGGAAGGGATTGATCTTGTGCATGGGCATGGTGCTATGAGTTCATTGGGCATCGAAGCGATATTGCACGCCCCATTGATGGGCCTCAAGACGTGCTATACAGACCATAGTCTGTTTGGGTTTCAAGATTGGCCGGGGATAGTGTCGAATCAGCTGCTGGTAGGTGGACTGAGGAATGTGGACCAAGTGATTTGTGTCAGTAATACCGGGTGAGTTTTCTCTCGTGCAATATGGACTTTGCCTAACCAGTAACACAGACGCGAAAATATGGTGTTGCGAGCACAGTTGGACCCGGCGCTGATATCTGTGGTACCGAATGCCATCGTCCCGGAGCAGTTCAAGCCCGATCCTTCTAAATCAGATCCCGACCGCAGTAAGCAATCCCCTCTCGATTCAATACATCTCTCACACGTTATACCAGTAACGATAGTGACGATTGCCCGCCTTGTCCACCGCAAGGGTATCGACCTCCTCATCTCCTCCTGCCCAACCATCTGCGCCCTCTTCCCCAAAGCCCACTTTCTGATCGGCGGGGACGGTCCAAAGATGGTCGAGCTCCTACAAATGGTCGAGAAACATCAGCTCCAGTCCCGCGTCACTCTCTTGGGATGCGTCTTGCCAGGCGAAGTGGATGGGGTACTGCGAAGGGGCCAGATCTTCTTGGGGACGAGCTTGACAGAGGCGTTTGGGATCTCACTGATAGAGGCGGCGAGCTGTGGGTTGTTTGTGGTGGGCACCAAGGTTGGGGGAGTGCCAGAGGTGTTGCCGAATGACATGATTGAGTTTTGTCGCGCCGATGAAGATGGTATGTCTCCCTTCCTCTCTCAAAGCCGAGCTGACAGCGAGATAATAAGATGTGATAAGAGCACTCACCCACGCCATCAAAATCATCTCCTCCCCCAACCGTCCAGACCCATTCGAATCGCATCGCCGCCTCGCGCAAATGTATTCTTGGTCCGACGTCGCCCTCAGGACAGAGCAAGTCTACTATCGCGCCATGGCGCGTCCCGCGAGGGATGTGGGGGAGAGGCTGGCCCGGTTCTTGACGGTGGGCCCGGTGTATGGGCCTGTGATGTGTTGTATTGCTGCTGTATCGGCGGCTTGGTTTTCCATCCTGGCGTTTTGGAATCCAAAGGCGAGACTGGAAAGAAAGACGGAGTGATCATCGTTGTAACATTTATACCCACATGGTATACCCAGCATGGCAGATAGAATAGATTGAGAATCAACATGTGCATTATGCATTTCTACTACACTTGATGATCCCCACATCCTCTATTCTTTTACTCTCATACCTAAGCACCCTCCTCCGCACCAAGCGCACTAAAGCTCAAAGGCGTGAAAGGATACCCCCCAGCCATATAATGCTTTCCATTCGCCTCAACCCAATGCAACCTCAACGCATGCAAAAAGGCCGACAAACCCTCCATGACACACAAAATACCGACGGTACCGCCAAACCAGGTAGCAAACATGATGAACAAAAAGGTTCCGCGCCAGATGGCACCGCCGGTGGATTCGAATGCGAGGTCGAGGGTCATGGACCAAAGAACTTCGGAAAGTTGGGCGTGGGCAAGGGAGAGGGCCCAGAGACGGAGGTAGGAGGCGGTGTTAGAGATACAACCGAGGCAGAACTCGATAGTGTGGATGACTTGGTGGACGACGATATCGCCCATGTCAAACTCCCCCTACGAATTCGTCAGCGCGGGTTTCACTATGAGGGGAGATTACTCACGTGCTCGTCGTCAGAGCTCTCGGCAACAGCCATACCGACCTCTTCCTCCTCATCCGCCTCGGTACTGATCGAAGGTCGACCATCACCGTTACCATTCTCCTGCAACCCCTGGTATCCCTGCGCAGCGATACGCTGGTTCTCCTTCCAAAGCATGTATGGCTTCAACGCCAACATCCACGGAACACAAACCAGCGCAGTGAGCAACAGCACCGTCTGGATAAACCCTTGTCCTGCGTAGAGCTGGACAGCGGGATCAATGGCACCAGGCGAGAGGAACATGTAGATCAACATGTTCAGCAAGCCGGGTGGGCCGACGGACGACTGGGACCAGTCGACAGACCACTTGTAGATGATGCAGACGACGAGGTAGCCAAAGATGGAGTGGAAGAAGAGCATCTGGGGGATGAACTCGGCGTAGATATTGAGATACTTTTTAAAGTGGAGGTGGTTGGGGACTTGGAGGCAGATGGCAAAAGTCATCTGTACTGATGTCAGCGAGGGCCACAAGGAGTGAGATAAACGTACATGGATCACACCGAGGATGATGGACATTTTCATCTTGTAAGAGTTGTTGAAGATCAAGGCATTGTCCGCCCCGTGCCAAGTAGGGTCCATACCGAAGGGATAGACAGTGCCGGTGGACACGGCCTCGACAAGACCGGTCGAGTTGGAAGGCCACTCCCAACCGGCTTGCCAGATGTGGAGCGTCTTGGAGAAAATGTCGTTGTACATGAAACCGGTGAAAATGGAAAAGATGCCCATGAGGATGATGAGGTATCGGCCGCTGGTCCCTAGTCAGTACGAGTCCACGCGAGAATGACGGCAACTTACAAGAAGAATGTCTCGAGGTTCTCGTTAACACCGTTCTTGGCAATTTGCCTCTCCCAGAAGATCATTGCCGCGGCGGTCAATGCCATCAAAGTACCATGTCCAATATCACCAAACATGACTGCAAACAAAAATGGGAAGGTGACCACCGCATACAACCCCGGGTTTACCTCCTGATAAGTGGCGATACCATACGAGTCGATCAAGGTCTGGAAACCCTCGGTAAACTTGTTGGTTCGGTGGAACGTGGGTGGGGTCTGGTGCGTTCGAAGCTCGGACAGGATGGCGGGCACAGAAGTACCAGCAGTGTCCATGGCCCGACGGAGACCGAGTTGGATGTTGGTGATATCCCTGGTAGGACACCAACCCTCGGCGACGAGCGTCTTCCGGCCCTGGTCATAAGACAGCAAGTTGAGCGTCTTGTAGATTTCCTCCTCGCGCCTGACGGCGTCGGTCCAAGCTTCGAGGGCTTCGGCAATCTTGCCGAGCTCGACTCGCCTGGTCTGGCCCATGTTGTAGAGCACATTGTCGACATCTTCGAGCCTGGCAGAGACTTCACGCAAAGCATCGGCGCGCTTGTCCTGGGCAGAATCGATCTGGAAGAGGTTGCTCTTCATGGACTCGGCGACGGTACGGATCTTGTTGAGGAGTTCGGCACCGTGCGCAAAGATAATAAACACATCCTTGTGCGTCTCTTGGCCAGTGACGGCGTCGACGAATGGCTCCTCGATCTCCGAGTAGTTCATGTAAAGGTTACCCCTCAAGACTCGCCAAAGGATTCGCTCAAACATGGGCATGCGAGATCGCTCGACGGTTCCCGAGACGAATTCGAGATCGAACCCGGTGAGGCTCGAGTCGCCGGGGAGAGATCCATACTCGGCAGCGTGCTCAAGTAGAGGTGCAGTGCCATCGTTTTCGTCAATGGAAGTACGGATCTCGGTGTGGCGATGGCCAGCCTTGACCAGAGTTAGCCGGCGCCTATGTTGGCAAGCCAAGTACTCACCTCGTCAAAAAATCCAGCAGTCTCCCTCAAAACACACCTCTTCTCCTCGAGCTCATTCTTTCTCTTGCCGAGCTCTTCATAGCTCTTGTTCATCTCGGCCAAACGCTTCTCGTGCTCCTTGAGTTTCTCCTCGAGCTCATCATAGGCGTTCTGGGCACGCGGGCCGACGGTGGTGAAAGGAGGCACTGCGTTGAGAGGAGGGATACCGAGAGGAGGAGATAGGGCGGTGATCTGGGAGCGGAAGAGACGGAGACGCCTGGAGGACTCGTTGAGCCGGCGAATACGGCTGTTGAAGGGGCGTTGGAAAGAGGTCAAAGTGGGGTTGAGCTGGGGGCGGTTGTGAGCTGGGTTCCTTTGTGGTGGGTGGGCATGCTCACGTCTTTGAACTGAAAGTTGCCCATCTCTGCGAGCTCGGAGATGGTGTCGTGGGATACTTCCGAGGGGATGTAGAGCTGGACGAGGGACATCTCCTCCGACCCTGGGGGACGTCAGCGGTGTGGTGAACACCATGGGGGACTCACGGAAGAGGGAGGGGTAGGGGGTGGACATGGCTGAGAATGCACCCTGCGATGAGAGAGATAGATGAAAGAGAGGATAGATCGCGGTGAGTGCAGTGGTGACGAGGATGGGCGTAAAGGGGCGCGCGATTAAGCCAGGACAGATAACGTTATGCCGTATCCAGCTTGTGCTGTTTATTCTTCCATGCATCTACTGCCTGGCTATGCAGACAGACATCCCGGATGCACTGCGTGGTAACCGAGGATGTGTACTGGCTTGGCTGAGAAAACCGAAGCTGCCCCGGAGGCTCCGCGCATGGCGACGAGCGAAACCGACCATGTGTCGCACTCCCAACGTACATAAGAGCCAGGAGACAGGAGAGCATGCACCCAGCCGTACAGTTAGCCACCATGTCCAAGTATCCCGCCCTTGCAGAGCCCGTCACTCTCGGCGCTCTCCAGCTCCCCCATAGGGTCATCATGTCCTCCCTGACCCGCAACCGCTCCCTCCGTAAGCCCCCTTTCCCACCCCCTCAGCCCTGCTGACATTCCCAGCCACCACCGTCCCCAACGACGACAACGTCAAGTACTATGCCCAGCGCGCCAACCCCGAAACAGGCGCATCCCTCATTCTCTCTGAAGGCACCCTCATCTCCCACTAGGGCACTGAGTGGCCCCATGCCCCCGGGATCTGGGATGAGACCCATGCAGCTGGGTGGAAGAAGGTGACAGATGCAGTGCATGACCAAGGCGGGCAGATTGTCGCGCAGATTTGGCATACGGGAAGGACGTCTCATCCGGATATGCCCGAGCAGATTGTTGGCGGAGAGCCCGTATGGGCGCCCAGTGCCATCGGTGCTAGGGGCAGAGAGGTATTTCTCATACTCCAATTTGTGAGCGTGCTTACAGTCTACAGTTCCGTCTCCTCCCCGGACGACCCGGCTACATCTCCAACCCAACCCCAATCCCGGACCCAACCGTCATCCTCGACCAATACACCAACGCCGCCAAGATGGCCAAGTTGGCCAACTTTGACGGCGTCGAGCTCCACTCGGGTAACGGATACTTATGCGAACAGTTCCTCAGTGATGTTTCTAACGCCAGGACCGACAAGTGGGGCGGCAGTGTCGAGAATAGGGCGAGGTTTGGGCTGGAGGCTACCAAGAGGTTGATTGATGTCTGGGGTGCCGACCGCGTCGGGTCAGTCAATCTCCTTGCCTTTCACAGGACCACGCTAATGCTGAACTAGGATCAAGATATCCCCTTTGGGAGGGTACAATGACACCTACAATACCACCCCCGAATCCCGTATCGAGACCTTCAAATACTACGTCTCCGCCCTCGACGACCTGTCCCTCGCCTACATCCAGATCATGGCCTCCGCGTTCGGCGACCCTTGCCATGGCGGCGTGCCCCAGGGATTTGACCACGACATTTTCGAGCATTATGGACCTTTGATCAAGAAGAGCAACCTGATTGCGAATGCAGAGTTTGATGCGGCCAAGGGGGAAGAGGCGGTCAAGAGCGGCAAGGCGAATGCTATCGTCTTTGGCAGGCCGTTTGTCGCCAACCCGGATTTCTATAGCAGGGCCCAGAATGGAATTGCGCTCGCTGAACCCGATGTCAGAGTATGACGCCCTACTTTGATACAAGTAGAAAACAAAGCTGACGTGATGTATAGTCGTTCTACCTCCAGAGAGTGCAGGGTGTGATTGGGTCGGGTTACAACGACTATCCAGTGGCGACTCTCTCATAGATGTCAGCGACTCTTTCATAGATGTCATGTGCGCCAAGTAGGGGCTCTCTCTCCGTTTGAGTTTTGTATCTATAGCTGTAGAATACACGTACATGGTGGTGTAGCCATGTATCGAAAGAATGCAAAAGATCAGTCAAGGCAGACAGTTCTCGTCATCACGGTCGAAGGGTTGCCGAGGGAGTGGCTGGAGTGATGGCCGGGTTTCTCTTGCCAGGTGATGCTTCCGTTACAGAAGAACGGAGGCGGTGATGCATAGCGACCTCATGATGCTGGCGGCGATACGGCAGACCGTTGAAAGCGAGTCAGCACTGTCCATCCATCAAGATCCTGTATGTCGTGACCAATCCCACAATCCCACACCAAGTTGTTGTTCGATACCGTCCCTAGGGTATACATCATGCTATATGCTAGGAAGCCATAGAAAGAAACATAGAAGTCAAAAGAAATAAGAAAAAGTCTACAAATCTACCGAGAAAAGATCCACTACTACAAGATAATCTATTCCTCGTCGGTGTAAACCTCCTCTCCCCTCTTCCTCCTGGCCATCCTGTCCTTCTTAGCCTTTCGCTTGTCGGCAGCAGAAAGCTTCTTCTCCTTCTTGGCGGCGGCGATGGGGTTACCAAGAGCATCGTACTTGACTTCCTCCTCACCGTCGGCCTTCTTGTCAATCCTCTCACCGGAACCCTGACCCTCGACCCAGTTGTGGCCGGAAGCCTCGAGGTAACCGTCACGCATAGCCCAGACTTCGGAACAGATGGACTCGGAGAACTCTCGGTTGTGAGTAATGATGAGAACACCACCTTCAAAGTTCTTGAGGGCAGCGATAAGAGCGGCAAGGGACTCTCGGTCCAAGTAGTTGGTAGGCTCATCGAGACAGATGACGTGAGGTCGTCGCCAGGTGGCGGCACCGAGAACGACCTTGACCTTCTGACCACCAGAGAGACCTCGCATGGAGTTGTGAGAAACAAACTCAGAGTCAAGACTAACAGCGAGTCAGCGCGGCCCAACAATATAAAAAAGATGCAACTTACCCAAAGTCCTCAAAGTGCTTCTCAATCTCCCTCCTGACCAAAGGCCTCATAAGACCCAATCGCTGGGCCTCCCTGGTGTCGAGCTCCATGACCTTCTTCTCGAAACCTCGGCCAACAAGCTCGTCTCGGGAGAACCACATGTTCTCGGCGGAAGAGAGACCCTTGAAGGTAACCTCGTACTCGTAAGACTGCTTGAGCTTCTTACGGGCAACGACCTCCTCAATGAATCGCTTGACACCCTCCTTGATAACGGTGGCACCCTCCTTCATCTTCTGGATTTCCTCCTCGGTCATGACTCGGGTAGCCTTGTTCATCTCCTCCAAGTCTTCACCGGTCTGGTATCGCCAGAGCATGTACTCGAGGGGAGTAGAGTCGAGGTGCTGATCGATGTGGTGGAAAGCGTGCTGGGCAACGTAACCGATGACCAAGTTGGGGTGCTTCCAGACCTGACCACCAAGGTTGGGCTCGGTCTCACCAGTCAAAAGCTTGACAAGGGTAGATTTACCGGAACCGTTGGGACCAAGAATGGCGACTCGGGAAGAGAGAGACACCTGGAGGTTGATGTCGTAAAGCTGCTGGATGGCAGATCCAGGGTACTGGAAAGAGACATTTCGCATCTTGAGCAAAGACTTCTCCTTGGTCTTGACACCGTCAAGAAGAGGGGGAGCGGGGAGCTTGAACTGGTAGTCCTCAGCGACATCGAGCTGGTAGTAGGACTTGGCCTCGGGGACGTGCTGGACGAAAGCCTCGAGGTTACCGGGGTACCTCTTGAGCTTGAAGTTGTTCAAGTGGAGAACGTCGGTGACGGTCCTGTTAAGGAAGTCAGAGTCGTGAGAGACAATGATGGAGGTACAGTGGGTGAGGGAAGTGAGGTAGTTGATCAACCAGTCGACGTTGAGGACATCCAAGTGGTTGGTAGGCTCATCGAGCAAGAGGATATCAGCCTTGAAAAGGATGGCTCGGGCAAGAGCGAGCTTCATCTTCCAACCACCGGAAAGAGAACCGATAGAGTTCTTCTGCTTGACCTCGTCGAAACCGACAGACTCGAGGGTAGACTTGATCTCCTCGGGGGTAGCCATAAGACGCTTGTCGGCAAGAACCCAGTCAATGATGGAGATCTCGGCCTCGGAACCGTCAATGTCGTGCTGAACGTAGAAAGTTCGGACCTCGGTGGGGGGAGGGAAGCCCTCGACCTGAGAGTTGATGATGGCGTTCATCAAGGTGGACTTTCCGGAACCGTTTCGGCCACAAAGACCGTATCGGTGACCTCGCTTGAGTCGCATGGTGGCGTGGTGGAGCAAGATCTTGGCACCGTAGGCCAAGTTGAACTGCTCAATGTTGCAGAGGTCTTCACCCTCCTCCTCGTCGGCAAACTTCTCGTCGCCAGACTCGGCCTCGTCGGCCTTCTTCTGAAGCAACTCTCGGACAGCGGGGAGAGAGTCGTAAGAGGGAGCGGCGAGCTTGAGGTAGGGGGGAAGAGTAGCCTCCCAAGTCTTCTGGTCAAAGTTGTGGTGGTTGACCAAAGAAGCGGCCAAGACACCGGCGTAAGCGAGACCATGGTTGGCCTGCTCAACAGCGACACCACCGTGCTTCTGGAAGAGAGCAACAAAGTTGGTGGCGAGGTGCTCGCCCTCAGCGATGGGGAGAGGGGGGAGGTCGGAACCGTCAGACTCGGCGGGGACCTTACCGATTCGTCGGAGGGTGGCGATGGCACGGTTGGCAACGGATCGGGCCTCGGGGTCGGCAATGGTCTCGGCGGTCTTGATAAGACCGGGCAAGAGCCGGGGGAGGAAAGGTCGGACAGTGTACTCAGAGTCGACCAACTTGGACATGTTGTCGGCAATGACACAGACCTTTCGCTTGGTAGCGGTGGGTCGCTCGTCGAGACCTCGGATAAGAAGAGGAGCGATGAGGGAGATGGTGGGGGCGGTAACCTCGGAAACGAAGGTGGTGGCAGAAAGGAGAGTGATGGTCTTGGGGACCTCCTCGATGGGGTTGAGGAGAGACTTGATCAAGGCAGGGACAAACTTTTCGATATCCTTGTTCTCGACGAGGGCACAAGCCTTCTCGAGGGTAGCCTTGGCAGCCTTCTTGACGTCAGACTTGGTGTCCCAGACGGCCTCGGCAAGCACGGGAATGAGCTGGGGCATAGCCTCACCAGTCTGGTAAGGGGCGGCCTTGACGAGCTGCTGGAGAATGTCGAGACATCCGACCTTGATCTGCCACTTGCCAGAGGTCCTGATCAAGTTGAGGAGGGAAGGAAGGATGACAAAGGCAGCCCAGTGGTTCATGTGCTTGACGACGGCGGAAACAGCGGCGATGGCGGCAACCTTGACGGGGGTGACCTTGTCGGCGAAAGCCTCGAGGAGGTTGGGGAAGATACCGTTCTCGGCGGAGGAGACGACGTAGGGCTCGAGGACCTGGATGGCGCCGTTGTCGGCGAGGACCTGGATAACCTCACAAGCACCCTCACGGGCAGCCTGGGACTTCTTGTCGTTGAGGGCCTGCGAAAAAAGATTGTCAGCGCGTGTCAAATTTGGCGGCGGCGATTGCTGGTAAAACTGACCTTGACGATGGCATCGACGAAGCCGATCTGGGCAAAGAACTCGACACCGGCCTTCTTGGCGGCGTCAGCGAGGGCGAGACCAGCCTCCTCACGGGCAGGCTTCTCGGCGGCAAAGAGAGTGGTAAGGTCAAAAGAAGGAGCCACTGGGGGCGGTCAGTGGTGGGGGTGGTGGGTGGTGGGGGGTACTCACTCTTGTAATCTATACTCTATGACTGTTTTTGTGTTTTCTAGGGCGACACGGAGTCTTTTGGATGGAGAGGAGAAAAGAGCTTGAGCGCAGGTGCGACACAAGGAGCAGTGGGTTGGAGAGAGAAGCAACGAACGCCAACTACTTAACTGAACCCGTGGAGCGGCGAATCGCAAAATTTCTTTTTTCCTGCCACGGTGGAGGGCGCATAGGCGCGCGGTGATTATTTCCCCATGCGGTAACTGCTCCCACGCCTATCGCTCACAAAGGACGGCGTTTTTCGGCATTGGCGTGTGGCAAGCGACGTTCATTGATAACCTCACACTTGTAGTACGACATATTCATAAACACTAATCCCATGCACCCCTCTAACCCCATTTCCGCACCCACCCGCATTCGCCGCAACTCCAGTACCCCATCTCCCTCGGCCCCGCTCCGCAAAACTCGCAAAACCATCCATCAACCTTCCTGCTTGGTTCTCCCTCGCCAGCAGGGCGCGGAGAGCTGCATGCTTCACAAGAGGGAGATGCAGGCTCGTTTATGAGCGTGCATGTAGGACACGACCAGTCTCGGGGAATGATTGATTTTTTTGGTTTGGCCGGCGGCGAATGACGAGGTGCAGGAAGATCTTCGGGTTCGGGGGATGAATCGATAACGATAGGCGTCGTGGCGGTGTTGGCCATTCTTTTTTTGGCGGCCGGTCTTGGTTGACGCGGGGAGCTGCCTGATGCTACGGGCTCTTTCTCGAGGTGTTTGCTTGCTGGTCTCTTTGGCGTACTCGCCGTCAGAGTCGGCGGCGCAAGAGTCGACGTGGCAAGGAGGTCCCCCGCATCGACGCCTATACTCTCCTCCTGAGCCTTCTTGACCTCTTTCTCCGCTTCATCACTGTGCTCTTCCGTCTTGCACACTTTATCATCCTTCAGCCGTCTCTCCGCCGCCTCATCAAAACCTCGTCAGCGCGCACCAACATCCATCGCGAAGAAGAGCTCACCTCGGCAACAAGCTCCTTCATACTCTTCCCCCCAGCACTCCCACTCCCTCCCAGTTTACCTCCCTTGCCCAGGACTTTCGCCCGTCCCAACCGCTCCTCTGCAGCTGCGAGCCCCTTCTTCTTCCCATCATACTCATTCCGCCTCACAGCGCCGAGATGGTGTCCTTCAGAATGGAATCCATCGCCAGAGTATCCCTTCGTTTTCAGGGCGTAGTACTCTTCTTCGAGTTCTTTTAGTAACTTGTAGAATGGGGCGGCGTGAGGGCCGTGGACGATATGTGTCAGCTATGATAAAAAGTTGGCTCTTTATAGTGAGAATGCAGTTATGATGAAAAACAAACTTCGTGAAGCATGACCAAGACCAACTGATCATACTCGTAAAACGTATCTTCCGCGCCTGGCGGTCTCAGACGCAAGTTGATACGCTGCCCACGGTTCGTATTGATCCCCAACAACGACGGGTCTGCCGGTAAGAACTATCGCTCCAGTCAGGCATCATCCTCCTACAAATCAATGATGATAGGGACGCACCTCGGCAAGAGTACCGACTTTCCAACCCCTCTTGGACATGATCGGTTTGACCTGGCTGGCAATCTTTTCGAGCAGTGGTCGCGCTTGGTCAGATTTGGGCCTGTTGGGGAGGTGTTCGAATCTGCCTATCAGGGACATGTCTGTTGGTTCTTGTTTGGATGGAGTGTGGGAGATTGTTGGTGAGAGATGATTGAAATTAGATGTAGTCGGGATAGTGAGCTTACGCGTCGAAATGACGAGCCCGTCGGCCATAGGTAATTCCACCGTTCGAGCCGAAAGTGATGATCATCAATGTTCACGTCGTCGATTCGCCTCTACAGAGTTTTACTGATCACGTCTGACGTTTTGTGAGACCGACTCTGGTTCGTAGCTGCTAATACTTTCGAAAGATTGCGTATGATAGTCCAATCTCAGTCTCGGACAGTTGAAGACGAGAAGCGATATCTGCGAAGGACCTGGTAGAGTTGACGGGAATGAGACTGTGAGAGAGCACCTTGACACAATCCATGAGATCAAGCGTGTTCATCATTGATTTGTGAGTTGTGACTTGTTGTGCATCAGCAAGAGTGCATGGGCTGTGAGCCCGATTTATTTTCAACCGTTGAGCGCAGAAACGCGTCGATTCCAGGCGCAAAAGTGTGAATCTGGGCCGCGTATTGACCTCTGGGCCTGGACTTGTCGCCATGTTGACTGACAGTTGTCCAGTATGGCTGGCAAGAGCGCGCAGCAAGTATCAAGAAGACGCTGCCAATCCCGCTGCAATCCACCCCGAGCGGCATGGGCAAAGGGCAATCTTGAACAATCTTGAAGGGACTCTGCCCCGACTCAGGGTCTGTCTGTGCGCTGGCTCCCAGGTGACAGCCTCGTATCAGTGAGCTGTGTATGGGCTATGCTGCGTTGCTCCCGGTAGAAACCGTTGCGTCTACGAATGGGAAGCTCTACATGAACAGGTCTCTCATCTTGAGCGCTCTGCAGCTGACTGCGATCTGACGCGACGCGTCTTCTTGCACCCTTGCTGCTACCTCACATGCACTGGGACTGACAATCGCTCACGTTGTCGCTGCACTCGGCCATATACCGCTGGCACCTGGTGCATACGTCCCAGCCTGCTCCCTGGCGCGCATGAACTCTACATGAAAGAAGGTTGGGTGAGCCATTGAGCGAGACAAGGACGGGAGCAATTCTGAGTCTCAGGGTGGGTGTTCTCCTTCTTGTTTGTCCTCTTCTCTCCCTGCCATCTCCATCTCATCCATCTCTATCCATCTCCATCCCCCCTGCCTGCCCACACTCATTCAGCCCACCGCCACACTCCTTCACACCGCCCCGTAGTCGCCTGTCTCACTCACCACCCACCCATCCCATGTACGTCCCATCACACCCCTCCTTATCCCCCGCTCACCCATCTACCAGCCACACCATGCACCTCACCCCTCTCTTCCTCCTCCTCTTGCCCCTCGCCCTCGCCCATCCTTCACCCGCCGTCAACCCGCACAGACGTCTCGCTAGGTCCATCGCACACGCCGACGCGAACCGCGCCATCCTCGCCCGGGCCGGCGGTGTCATCGACGACGCTACAGAATCCTCCATCGCTGCAGACCAGGCCGCGAGCACCAGCGCTGCCGGCGCGTCGACATCTGCCGCGACTAGTGGAAGGAGCACGTCGGCGGCGGGGGAAGCGAGCACGAGCGCGGTCGCGAGTAGCAGTGCGGCGGCTAGTAGTAGTACGGCGGCGGCGAGCAGTAGTGCCGCCGCAAGCTCGAGCGCGCCAGTGTCGAGCATCGTGTTGAGCACCAGTGCGGCGTCGAGCAGTGCTGCCGAGAGCGTGAGTGTGACTTTTGCAGGTTTTACGGCATGGCGGACGCGACAAGGGTTTTGGCAGCTGATACGCGTCGCAGAGCTCTGTTGTGCCCTCCTCTACCTCTTCCGAGGCCGCCACCTCGACATCCTCCTCTGTCGCTGGTAAGTCGCACTCACTCTACATCTGAGCCCCTGCCGGGCCAGCTCCTTTTCACCGTAAATCTCGCACCAAAAGCTTCACTAACGCACCAATCATAATGTAGCGAGCTCAACAGCCCCTTCATCATCCTCTGCTGCCACCAGTACGAGCAGCTCTTCCTCCTCCTCGTCATCGTTGTCCTCCTCAGTCGTCCCTTCCACCACCACCGTTGCTCCGTCCACCACTAGCCAAGCCGCAACTTCCACCTCGTCTCCCTCTTCTTCCTCCACTACCGACCACTCTACCGTCGTCCTTGTCACCACCGCCTCCCGATCACACTCATCAACCGCATCTTCTACTGCCTCGTCTGCTGCGGATAGCTCAAGCACCTTGAGCAGTGGATTGAGCAAGGGCGCTCTGGTGGCCATCATCGTGGTGGCCAGTATCGTCGGTTTGGTGATCATCGGATGGACGGCGTTCAGGAAATGGAAGCTCAGGCCTTCCAACAGGTTTGGCAACAAGATGCAGCCCATCGACTTTAGCCCTCAGAATGACAACATGGACGATGACTTGTGAGTCTTGATTGACGGTGATATCTGAGCGTGGACTGATTCCCGAGATAGCTTTGAGAAAACTCTCCACCGAACCGCCTCCCAATCGTCTACCAATCGACAGCGCCAAGAGCTTGTTGCCCAGCTCGACGATCCCAACCAGGTCCCCGGTGTGCCCGCGCACGACTTTACCGCCGGCGCCGCTGTCGGGGCTGGTGTCGGCGCCTATGGCTACCATGATGACGGTTACGGCCACGCCGAGCAATACGAGTACGACCAGTATGCTGCTGCGTACCCCGAGCACGCCGGCCAAGGCTACCCTGACCACCAAGGACAAGGCTACACCGAGCACGAGGGATACAGCGCCGAGGGCCAGGCTTACGGTGAAGCTTATGGTGGCGAGCAAGCCTACGGCGAGTACCCTCACCAAGAACACGCCTATCCTCCTCAGCCTTCCCATGCTGCGCCCCACGGTTACGACTATCCTCCCACCTCTCCCACTGGCGGCCTTACGAGTCCTCTCCAGGTTCCCGGCACTGCCATCACCACGGGCAGCAACGAAGGCTACGCCGACTTGCAGCGCGGGCCTAGTATTGGGAGTGGGAGCGGCCATGGGCAGGCGGGGGTTGCGAGGGCTATGAGCCCGCAGGGGATGTATCTGCAAGAGCAGCCGATGAGTGCGGGAGAGATGCAATTCCCTAGTGAAATGCAGTTCCCCAACCCGCATGATCAGCAGTATGGTGGTTTGGGTAGGCCGACGGCCGGGGCTGGTGCCGATGGACCGTAAGTTGCTTCATCACGAGACTGAGCATTGCTAAAGTTGGATTCTAGTTATGCCCAAGCTTCCGCTTTCCGATACTAAGAAGTCTTGCGGGCCAAGCTTCTCTCTTCTTTCGACTTTTCCTCCCGGACGCTTGCGACCATCACACATTCTTCCTCATTACTCTCTATGCACTCGCGCATACCTCGTCTACTGAGCAGGGCTTGGTATCCCAACAACAATTATCATATTATGAAGGCCTCATAATTCCCGACATTTCTCGCCCCCTTGTTCATCAAGTCTTTTTCTGCCTCGACTACTTGTTTATTTCTAGCTTTTGAACTCTTTTCTTTACGCTTGTTCACGACTATTCCGATAGCAATTTATTCCAACCTCTGTTTTCTATCTTTTTAAACTCGATTCTGTAAACACACGAACTGTGAATCTGTTTCATATACCTGTGGCGTGTATAGTCTGGGAGGGGAACTCTGGCGAACAAAAAGGGGAGGAGAGAAAAGGGAGGATGTAGTGTCAGACCTCTTTGGAATATGCATACCTCCTTTATCGGGTGCATTGAAGCAAGACACTCATTTTACACAGTAAGCGCGCCCGGGGTTTTGAAGCCGCTGTGGGGATCAACTCCCCCCTTGCTTGTCCCCTCCGCTCCCATGGGCGCCACCAGTCATTGGTACATACGTGTAGGTCACACTCTCCCCTGACGGAAGCTTGGCGCTGCCCGAACGGCTCACGGAGGGATCACTCAACACGCGGTCGACAATCGGTTGTATATCCTGAGACGACTGTAGTAAGTATAGCGAGAGGAAAAAAAAGGGTGTCACAAGTCAGACTATGGAGCAAGACCCCAGGGGATGGAAACTCACGGAAGAAGGAGGAGTGTCTGCGAACCAGTGCGCATTCTCTTTGCGGTATGGCGAGGATGTTGAAGCTGAGGAGGCTGTGAACGATGACACAAGTCAGGGGCGTCAGCTTTCTTATCCTTCAGCCTGGGCTTTCATGATGACACGAGAAAACATTGACGAAACGCACCAGATTGTTTGGCTTTCGGTGGCGGTGGGGTTGGTGTGTCGAGAGAGGATATATGTAAGGTTTGACTTGCATGCATGTTGTCTTCTTCTCGTGCGTCTGTCTGCTTCTACAGTATGGATACCTATCCCGTCACAAAACGCCCCAAGCCCCCCAAGTCGAGGCATCGTCACAGCAACAGATCGCCCATTGGGACGCAACACATCGTCGTCATCAGAAGGAATCCTTGTCATCATTCTCAGCCCAACCTACGCTCCTCATACACGAGACAGCCATGACATCGCAACGAGGCAGCCGAGTGGCAGGGCGGCGACTATACAGTATCAATGTCCGATCAGCAAACGATTCAACAACACACTGCACGTTGACGAGATCCAGTACATTCAGATTCCTTCCTCGATGTGTGATTTGAATTTCTACGATACAAATGGGGAATAGAGCAGACTAGAGGAAAGAGAAAGCATGAAAGCGAAAAAAGACCGGAAGACAAGGACATCAATGCTCAGAAAAGTTGGGGTCGGGGTTCATTCTATTGAATGAGGTGTTATAGTGTCTATGAAAGCAGGAAAGAGCCCTTGCCGTCTCGCATGGCTCGATCAAATTGAGTGGCCAAGACCTCCTTGTTGGAATAGTCGGGCATCTTGAGATACTACGCCACCGTAAGCATTGAAACGTACGCGTGACTGGGTACGTACCAGAGCACAAGTCATGACACTGGGGAGATAATCGTCGGCCTTGTAGGGCGGCTCGTGGGGTTTCCGAACGACAGTAAAGGGTGGAGTGAAGCCTCTGAATCCACCGATGGGCAGCTTTGGAGCACCAGTCATGCTACGCACGCCAAATTAGTATCCCGACGAGGCGACCAGAAAGTACCCACAATTGCAAAAAGTGTCGACGTTGCTCCTTCGTGTAGGAAGACATCACTTCAATCAAATTTTGCACTGCCCTGCTTTCCGAGTTGTATCCGTGGTCGGCCTTGATGGATTGCTCCAAAGCTAGAATGGGTCAGCATATGGTACATCTTTTGTGAACGCCGACTCACTTTCACGAGACCAATCTTCGTCGGCGTTACCAAAGACCAGTTGGAGTTCCTCAAGAGAGAATATTTTCAGACTCTTGATGGGGAAGATTCCAGAGAAGCCTGTGTATTTGTCAGTCACTGCGGAAGGCGTCGAAAGAGACCAGACTGACCTTCTTGGAACGCTTTGACCTGCTGAGCCACACCCGAGCCTAAAGTCCAGTCCAAGACAAGCTCCAAATACTCATCCAAATTGCCGTCGTCGACCTCGATATGGGCGCCACCAGACTTGAGCTCAATGTTGTATCCAGGTAGAGTAAAGTCGAGAGCAAGATCACCAAGTTTGGCGCCACCGACAGTCAGAGATGCAATCTTTGCACGACGAGAGGAAGCGGGGAGTGGGAGAGCTTCGATTTCTCTTCGAGCTGAAGAGTATGCTTGAAGCCTCTCCAAGGATCGAGCCAGCTGAGGGTCAACAGCTTTGAGCGTGGTGATATTCTTCTTCACCGGTCGCCCCAGAAGGAGCTTGAAGAAGATCTTGCTCAACCTAATATCGATGATCCTACTGTCAAGCATAGATCGCCCAATGAAAAGACCGAGTGTCTTGAACCACCTGAGTTTGGGCGCGACAGCATCACCAAAGCCAGCAAGAGGCGAGGGGAACAGGCCGTGAGGGTGATGGACGTAGGTACCAGGTATGCTAGAATCCTCGTCTCTCCAGATATTCAGATTTCGCCTAGCGAATTCGGTGGAAGCAAGTGCGTAGAATTCCAGTGTTGGGCCTAGCCCGGTACCAATCTCGTCAAAGTATTCAACTTCGAGAGTACCAGGGAAGGTGGCGTACATCTCCATGACCTTGGCACATGACTCGAGAAGCTGCGTTCGAGAGATTCGCACCTTTCGGCGAAGCAAGTTGGCGATATTAGGAAGATCATCTCGATGACGGCCGCCACCCGCCTGTTGGGCCTTGAGAAGGAGTCGGGAGAAGCCGAAAGCGGTTAGCTGGAGGAAGTTGTAACGAGCATCGAAGGGGAAAAGGAAGGAGAAATGCTTGGGCAGACTCGTGGCCCATTCGGGAAGACAATTGCTGGCAATGATGAGAATCTCTTCCAGCTGTCGGGTCAACTTGGCAGTCAATTTGTTGTTGACAAAGAGGTTTTCGTCAAGAATACCATCGACATCACCGAGGTTCTCTCGCCCCTCCACCGAAAGGTCATGGACGACCCTTAAAAGATGGAGGATCTTCCACGTAGGAGTAGTAGGCTCAGCAGGCTCTTCGGGAAGGGCGCTCATAACAGACGCAGGAGATGAGGCCACATTACTAGGGTCCTTGGACTCTTTGACAGGCGCCGGTCCTTCGACCTTTCTGAATTTAATAGTAGGGGCAGTATTAAAGTCCGCCGTAGAAGTGGAACCGGTCAAGTGTTTCTCTCGGAATACCGCGCCATAGACGATGTCTTCCATGTCGAGTTTCTTGCCATCGAGGATGAACTCGAGATGCCAATCGGTAGGTTCGGTTTTAAGAGCGCCCGCGTAGGATCCAGAGACGGCGCGAGAGGGGGTCACGCGACTCGTGGTGGAGGTGGATGGACCGGGGCCGGCAGAGGCAGAGGCGGGGACACTTTGCTGCGGGGTGGCAATACGGGTTCCTTGAGGAGTCTTGACCTCAACACGTGAGCCATCTGCTTATCGTCAGCTCATTCAAAAGTCCAATTGGAGTGGGTCGTACCAGGAGTGACATTCATATTGACAACACTCTCGTAGGGACCAGCAGTAGCGAGGTCTTCCTCCATCACCTGGTCGATCACCTGACAGCTGATTAGCAGGAGTAGGAAGCGAACTAGATCCTTTGCACTTACCGGTGCCTCAAATTCTTCTTCAGAATAGTCATCCTCATCGTCATCACCAAAGTCCATGCCGATAGGAAGAGACGGCAACCCTGCTCTCTCACCCTCAACAGGCGCCGGCACGGCAGTAGCTGCAGTTGAAGTGTGTTCAACCTCTTCAGCGCCAACACTATCCTCGGCAGCAGGGGCAGAACCCCCAGCGTCAGATTCCTCTGCAGTGGAAGAAGGATTCAGTCGAGCGCTGCGTCTTCTCTCGGGAAGCTTCAAGCCAGAGCCGGTCGCTTGATTGGGGGAGCCGGAGGGGGGTTGCTCAAGGGATCGTGGACCACCTGCAGCGGCACTGCCAGCCCTGCTAGCTCCCATAAGAGCGTCAAGAAGTCTTGAAGCATTAGTATTTCCGCCACCACCTCGGTTGGCAGCATAGGCCGCAAACATCTGGGAAAGTCCACCGCCACCGAAATTTCCGTCCGCAATCCTTGGTCGCAGGTAGTCGTGGACAGCCTTGACTGAGGCTATAGCTTGTATGGTGATAACGAGCTGACTGACATTCTTGGGGATGTCGTCACCTTCGGCACAAAGCCTCACGCGCAGGGTGCGGTGTACACCAGAGCTAGATGGTCGCATGGGATCGGCACCGCCGCCGAAGGCAGTCTCAACCTCGAAATTCTCCAGCCTACCGAGCGATTCGTGGAGTCGCTTGACAAGGATGGTGAGGGGATTAGGTGAAGAAACACTGGTGTTGGAGAATATCTCGAAAAACATTGCTCGTCTATCGGCAGATGAGACTTCACCAGTAATCTCCACGAATTCCAAAATGCCATCCACAAGTCCGCTTTGAAGAAGCTCAAAGCTGGATAAGCCTTGGTCGATGCGAGAGAACTGTGAAGCAATAGACCTCAGAGTTTCTCTCAGCTCGGGTTCGGTGGTTTCGGGTAGGCAGAGCTTCTTCACCATGCCGTTGATGTCACTCAACACCTTGGAAGCGGCGAGCTGGTTTTCTCCGCCCGCGTCAAACACCTTCCTCGCGATGAGCATACGAGCTCGAACGATATTAGAGTCTCGGGGGTCCAAAGCTGCGGAATGCTTCTTTGGTGCGGGCGTGGAGGGGTTGGATGCCAGAAGCAGTGGATTGGGCTGAACAGCATCGGCGGCTTGCGGGGTCTGAGGCAAAGAGCCCAGCGCATCTTGCGGTTGGTGCACTTCAGCAGCAGCTTTTGGCGTCGATGTACCCTCCTCCGGGTTGACTGTCTCTTTCTCTGCAGCTAGCTTTGCTGCTTTTTCTCTGCTCATCTCCTCTTGAGCTAGCTGATCAATCTCAGACACCACACCTTCTCTCAAGAACGAGACCTGATAGACATCAGGAAGCTTGATGGCAAGCAGCTCCACGATTTGGAGGGCGTGAAGCACAAATGCGTCGTTGTCTTTGGACGAGATGATCGCACAGAGGAAGCTTGCCATGGGCACACATCGAAGTGTTGCTCGAAGTTGATCCTTGGGAGCGAACGAGATAGCTTTGAGTAATCCAACCAGGACCTTGGTCCTCACCCTCAATACCACCGAGGCAGCATAGACATCCACAAGAACAGGCACCACCGTCTTGATAAAGCTGCTGATCAAGTCGGTATTGCTTTTGCACAGTTCGTATCGGAGCTGCATCTGCGCTTCGAGCTCCTTCTTTGCCTTGTGAACGGCAGCCTCCCGACTGGCGGACAAGTTGGCAAGGACGTCTCCAGTGTTTCCGATCGTAGTGGCTGGAGCAGGTTCGCCTGATGCGGCAGGGGTGCTGGGACCGGCAGAGTTGGATGCCGAATTGGAACCAGACGCGGCTTCCGCCACTCTGGTGCTCCTTCGAACCCTATCGGCACTACTCTCAATCTTTCTACCCTTCTTGACCTTGTACAGGTTCTTCTCACTGTACATTCTCGGATCAAAGACGCCATCTCTGGGTACAGGAGGCAAAAGCTCGCAGATGAGCGCCAAAGCTTCCTCGACCTGCTCCTTGGGCCTGTGCGCAAGGTTTTGCAAGATGGCCATGTCGGCTACACCGCCAGCAAGACCTTGACCACCAGAGGATCCGCCTTGCTCGTCTTCGTCGTGGGATGGAGGCAAGACTCCAGTGAGGATTTGATAGATGGTGCTGGTCATCCCAGCTTCCAGCAATCCGATTGCGACCTTGGCAGATCCCCGAGCAGAGGTAGTGAGCGCCTTGAGTAGATGAGTGTAGGTGGGAGGCGTAATGAGGGGAGAGCCGGCGGATGGCATAAGAAGGATGTTGACAGCAGCCATGGTGTCATGGTCTAAAAGACCTTCCAGATGCCCAGAATTGTGTCGGTAAGATTCAATCGTACGGAGGATGGCTAAAGTGGCCTGCTCCACCAAACGCGGTTCGCCCGAGCTCAGGGTGTCTCGAAGAGTGGGGAAGACCGCTTTGATCTTGTCATAATGTTCTGGGGAGATGTTACGACAACAGTTGGCGGTGGCGGTAACGGCAGTCCGCTGAACGTTGGTGGAAAAGAAGGGGAGGAAATTGAGGAGGGCACCGAGGCCATCTTCGCGAACGATGGCGGAGGGGTACTCGGCGGAGATCTTTTCGAGGGTCTACGTGGCATTAGCAAGCTGTTGTCACCTTCATGAAGCAGACTCACACTAAGTGTTTGCTCAGCCAGCTCAATATAAGATATCTCTTGCAACTTGGAGCAGAGCACGGGTACGGCACCATGATGTACCAGTGTATGCCCGCACCCATGTAAAGCCTCCATCATATGCGCCAAGCATCTGCAAGCAACAAGCTGACACTCTAGCTCATCCTCTTCACCGCCAAGACCAGCCTCAGGGGCCTCGCCACCCGAGCTTAGAGCAAGAGCGGCAGCAAGCTGAGCGTCCTCATCCATCTCGTCGTAGTTTGATTCTTCCTCGTCACTCTCGCCCTCTTCGACATTCGGTTCGCCCTTGAGAATGGCGATGAATTCGGCCGCAAAGCCCCCTGGAGAGAAGACGCCGCCAAGGGTGTCTTCGTTGCTGACCAAAAGGAGTTCGCTGCACTCTCGGAGCGAAGCAAGGCGAGTCGCAATCTTCTTTGAGCGAAGTTTCTTCTTCAGTCGTTGGAGTCGCTTGGACAGGCCACCACCGACGGCACCTCCGCCAAAGATTCGGAAGCCGGAACCGAACAGGGCTGCTGTCGCTTCGTCAAAGTTGAGCCCCCCTAGAACGTATCAGCACACATCACGACGACAAGACATACAGGACAGCGCACCTCCCTCGTTCTCCTCATCGTCGTCTTCATCATCATCTTCGTCATCATCGTGGTCGTAGTCATCCCTCATCATCTCCTCATCGTCCATGGTCACGTCTCCCTCTTCAGGGTCCTCGTCCACCCACATGGAGTCGTCTTCGTCGTAGTCGACACCGATCAAGTGTCGGGCGGCTTCAAGGTCGTCAGTCGCAGTGACGGGCAAGAAAAGGAGGGATTCCTTACAAGTGTCACCCTTCTTGGATCTGTCATTTGATACACCGGCCTTCTTGGGGCTGCAAATCATTAGCCAGAGCATCGAAAGCAACTTTCCTGACTCACTTTGTCTTTGGAGCCATCTTCTTGCCCTTTCCTGTACCTTTTGCAGTAGAAGACTCGGCTGACTGTGCCTCGGACTTTGTCCTTAGATCGTATCGCTTGGAGGAGGAAGAGCCGACGGAAGACACCGAGTTGCGCTTGGATTTCTTTGCGGCAGGTGGCGGGATGTCTGTCGAAGGCGTGGCAGTCGAGCTAGTAGCACGTTTCTTTCCTTTGCGGTCAAGATTCTGGCTGGCGCCGGAAGCGGTAGATGAGTGAGAGGCAGTAGCGGGTGGATCTCGGCTAGAGTGGCGGATGACAAAGACAATGTCAGCCTGAGCCCCTTCAAAAGAGTATCGTGTAGCGCAGAGTCGTAGGCAGCGAGACGTTGAACATGGACGTGGGCCATGTCAGCCGGAGATTGATTGGCGGCGTCCCTTTCACTGCCCGGTCCTTCACAGGGCCGTCGCCGCTCATCTGGGGTACAGTCGGTCGCACATGCACAGTAGATATGTTATGGGAGGAAAGCAAGCTACAAGAGCCCGAGTACAGAAGCAAGACTCACCTTTTGGAGCCCGAGGACGATTGGTCAAGGGTGACCTTCTTCTTGCCCTTGGCACCGGGAGTGGCTGACTGGGCGGACTGAAGATCGGCAGTAGTAGTGCTGATAGAGAGCCGAGAGGAACGGCGGATGTTGCTGGTGTGTTCGGAGTGCTGTTGAGAAGACTGGGTGCTCGAAGATTGTTCTTCAATCCCGTCCATTGGGCTACGGGTAGGAAGGGTAGTCCGGGAGGTCGAAGATTAGTATGCGGCTCGGGTCATGAAGCCGGGGCGAGTACGGGTGGTTGGATGGGCGGTGTCCGTGCTGCGGGGGGTGGCGGCCGGGCGGGGAGAATGTAGAGAAGAGAAGTGAAGATGAGATGGAATGGTCGCCTGCTTACTCCATCCCTCGCACCTCCGGCTCACCGCTCAGACCCCTTCCCACAGTGGAGGGTGGACTACGCCGACACAGGGTGGCCGTGGGAATCTACGCGCAACGGGTTGGGTGAAATGCAGACGTTGTGTAGCTGTCGTATGCAGTCGGGTTATTGCCCATACGCACGAGGTTCCCAAATGGCATAGCATCGTAAGTCTATGGGCGCTTCATACTGGACTGTGCATCGATGGTCCAAAAACTGTCTGCTCAAATCCGAGATTAAACTGACGCCAACACCCCCAAGATTTCTGGTGTCTGTATCAACAGCCTCAAAGTTGAACTCTCATAGACGTCTGTCGTCAACAGCATGGTGGAGAATAGAACCAAGTGATACGGGCTTACTTCAACGAATCCTGCCGGCCCGCCAGACGGACAAGAGGGCCACAAAAGGCACTACGGTACTCGAGTAACGTTGCGGGTTATTGCTGAGCGTACTCGTATGGCGAAGGGATCTCAATAGGCGACAGGAAGAATGGATTACAATTCAGTCAGTTGTAACAGATCAACTGGCGGTCGACGGCTCTACTATAGCATGGCGCCTACGCCCACGGGCATCATCTCCGTGAATGCTATCGACAGAAGGTCGTCATACGTGCAATTGACAATGCATGTCGAACCAGACCACTAGCCAATAATGAAGTACACAAGAAGTAGATATCTAGTACGCAGCAGCCGCCACCAGCTTTGTCAACTCTGCATCCTGACATGAGCTCCGTTCCAACGATATACAGTATCCCAGACTTACGGTTGAGCTGCACGTTCTCCTTCACGACACCCGCCTTCACGTCATTCTGTCCGTTCGCGGGCACAACAGCATCCGCGCCCTCCACCTGCCACTCTACCTTCTTGCACCACTCTACAACTTGGTCCTGGGGGAGATCGAGCCAGCGGCCGAGTTGGGAGAGAGAGATGCGGCGGAAGCAAGAGGCAATTGAGGTGGAGAAGACGAAGCGGAAGGAGTCGAGGGGAGCAGAGTGTTGGGGGAGGTATCGCGTTCGGAGGGCTGGCAGGGCGTTAGAAAGCTGAGTGAGGGACGGGAGAATGAACCTTACCGTTGGCGGCCTCAGAGTTGGAGTTGATCTCTGCCCAGAACTTTGTGAACTGGCATGACCGGCTGAGTTCGTGAAGATTTTGCAAGTAAGGGAAGACGATGACAAGCGCCTCATCCTCAGACTCAATGTCCTGCAGGATCGCCTACGCCTCGGATCAGCTCTCATCCATTCCACCTAATTTCCTCTTGCTCCCGACCAGACATACAGAAGGCTCCCTCAACATCTCCAAGCACAAGTTGAAATCCGGTCCAGCAACTGTGGCAGAAAGCACCTTGATCAGGATGTTGATGATGACATCAGGGTTGCTGTGTTGGGGGTTGAACTGGTACAATTTGAGGATGGCCAAGTAGGCGAGGAGGTCGTATTGGCCCTCCTTGACCTGGGTGGCAAGGTATTCCTCCATGAAGGGAAGGTTGGAGGGGTTGTACCGGTCTGTCGAAGGTTGTGACATTAGTATGCGACTCGTCTACAGGGTATAGACGGGGAAGCGACTCACCAACGCCGTGGATGAGCTCGTGGATGACTTCGGGCCTGGCGGAGGGGCTGTGCCATTGCCTGAGGTTATTGGGCGTTGTTGCGGTGACCATTTTGAGATGTCTGAGGAAAAGAGAGGGAGAGACCGTGGGAATGAGTGTTTTTTAGTGACCGCAGAGCGCTGGAGGAGCGAGAACAAGAGAATTGAGGAAATACGACCACGTGGCTGTTATCACCGCGGACACAAGTCCACGTAAGGCGGATTCACTCTCCGCTTGCAACAACGACGACCACTTCCAAGTCCACTCCTATGCATGTGTAACCTTGCTAAGCAGACTATTCATATACCGCATACCTCCAATAAGAACAAACTCAATCCAAAGCTTTTCAAAACCCGTTGAAAAATGTCTACAACATTAGGCCGCGCTCTTGTCGGTATCGCCTGTTTGGCTCTCTTCCATGGTGAGCTCGGCAAGGTATAGTATCCTTCATATAAACGCTGACATGTCAACTTCAGCTGCCTACTCAACGTATGAACGTACGTCAGTAAAGATGCCATCATAAGTTGTTGTCATACTGACTATCGTCAGAACTCTCCACGTTGAAGGCTCTGTCACGGCCCACATCTGACTTGCCAACCTCTGTGAGTCTGGGCCGGACCGAGGAAAATGGGGATACACTGACAGACGTTCATAGATCATCACCGAGGCTTTCTTGTCTTTGATAACGTTCATTATCGGGATCGTGCTGTCGACAGGAGAGCTGAAAGACGTGACGTATCGCGGTGAATTATCACATCGGTATGTCATTCCTTCCTGCAACGGGTAATGTGTATGCACAGGGGTTCAGTGCGCATGGCGGACGCGCTGTCAAGCTATCTCGAAATTGTTGCGAGTTGAAGCTGATTGGCATCACAGGACAATCGATGACGCCGACGCTCGGATGGGGTTCATGAAACTTTCCTCGAGAGGGAAAGCCATATTCGGTGATAGCTTGTAGAGGCCGGGTTATATAGTTTTTTGTATGAAACGGATGGGTGTACGAATCGAGATGCATGGTGCCGCGCGCTCTACGTCCAGAGCGACACCCTCAGACAACACACTACCAACTAGCGTTCTCTCAGAGCCCACTTCAACCCTCCCCACTGTCTTCCCCTCTTCTCAATGGCCCAGTTGCTCCCCTTCTTTCCTCCTAGCCTTTCCCGCTGGCTAACACCTGACCACCTGGCATGGCCGTCCACCCATTCTTGCACTCTCAAGTTTGGAGGCAACGCTTCAGGGTTTTGGGACTGGATGGCAAGGAGTTTGTCTGTTGGGGAGGGAAGTTGGCGAAGAGCGTTGACGAGAGGGGTTGTGGGGAGGGGACGGACCGCGGGGCGGAGGTGTGTGGGGAGGAGGGAGGCAGGGATGTAGCGGGGCATTCTGATGTTAAGATTCACTGAGTTGAAGATAACATGGGTTAGCAAGCAGTCAAGATGGATCCCCACATGAAACTTGACTTACGATAAATGCTCGGGCGATGTGTACGGAATCAGGTCGCTTGAAAGCAGTCTTCAAGAGATGTCCGATGTGGCCTGACGCGAGGGTAGAAACGTCGTGGGGGACAGATTATTTGTGATTCGTGTATGCGATTGTAGAGTGTTACAGGGACTTGTGGGCTGTAGTGTGCCGGATTTGTGCGTGTGAGTCTGTTGTGGGCTTGTGACTGCTTGCAAGAGCGAAAAAGACCGCGAGAACAGAAGAGTGGATGTCGGCGAAGTCCGCCCAGGAAGTTTGATCCCGTCTCAGCCGCCGGCCATGATAATCATGAATGCTAAAGAGCAGTGCCACGCAAAGAGTCAAGAGCCCCAAGCGCATCTTCCTGGACCTCATCACTTCCATTCCCGACAGACAAGCTCTCGGATCCAGCCATGTCCAAGCCCCAACCGCAACCCCTCATCCAGCTTCCTGCGCTATTCTCTACCGTCGAACCAGGCGTCTTTCGCTCCGCCTCTCCGAATCCCGCGCAAGTTCCATTTCTCGCCAGCTTGGGACTCAAGACGGTAGTCAGCTTGACGGCCGAGCACCCTATAAAGCCTTTGCTGCAGTTCGTGAGGGATAATGGGGTCGATTTTGTGAGTTTACATGAGTACCGTTTGTCAAAACATTCTGACCCGAGCTTTTGAACAGGTTCATCTCGGATTGACTCAATGGCGAAGACCGGGGACAGATTGGAAGCCTGTCAGATACGAAATCATAAAGACTGCTCTCGAATCTTATGTTCTGGATGTTCGTGCACACCCTGTGCTCATCATTGACCCGTGAGCAATGTCCTGATATTGACGACAACATGAAGCAGCTAACCGCAGAACAGTCTGGGCGTACATCAGACCGGGTGTCTCGTGGGTAGTCTGAGGATGATGCAAGGCTGGAATTTTGCAAGCGCTCTTGTCGAAGTTGGTCACACTCATCTCTACATGAAAACCGAGGCTTACAAATAGTAGTATCGAGCCCATGCTGGCAGCAAACACCGATACGTGGACGAACAGTATATCGAAGTAAGTGATCACCCGTCTATTTTCACTTTCGAACAAACCTGACCGTTCTATACAGCTGTTTGATCCAGACCTCATAAACCTCCCCCAGCCGCAATATCGTCCTTCTTGGTGGTCATCTCTATATGACCAGCATCCTGAGACTGTCAACCTTTGGGCGTCAAAGCCCGAGTTGTACCAGAAGCCGGAGGGGCAGAAACAAATAGAGGAGCAAGGGGGGAGCTCTGAGGAGGTGGCAGAGACAATGCCGCAGGTGGCAGTCAACGGATGATCCGAAACAGACGGCATGCTAGCGAGGGGCACGACGGGTACAGAGGACGACTGTCAACAACCTCTGCCACAAAGGCAGCCTCCACTCTATTGATCCTTCGCCTCTCCTTACCCTTCACAATCGCGATACATCACCGCTCTATCACAGAGTCTAATGGCAGGCGTCAGGTATACAATGGAGAGCGAAGGCGACGAGCAGGTGGCATGTGCGGCAGCGTTGCTCCAGATGATGTCTACGAGATGTCAAGCTGAAGCAGGGGGTGCTTTGGCCGATGACATCCGCTCTTTTTGCTACATTCGGGAACATGCATGATCACCCTTACCAGACGATCTTTCAGAACCGTTCTGAAGTCTTTTGGGCCTGTTTAGAATACGGAAGGCTGAGGCCTGAGGATCGTCCATTTTTGATACCGCTACGCGTCGACGCGTTTGTGGAGGACTGATATGGCATTGCCGAGTGTCTTTGTCAAGGACAGTGAGACAGCTGCATCTCTATCGGCGTATATCAGGTCATTAGCCTGCTACTGTTCTACCTCCCCCGACTTGACTATATTCGAACCTACCATTGACGTATACTCGCTGCTCAGCAACATGGCAACTCTCAGAATCCGTACCTCCAACACTGTATGTCATTCACACCTCTTCCCAGTGGCGACTGCTAATGCTCCTGCAGGCGCCGCCCAATGTGCTTGCCCCCAATCTTCCTCTGTCCTCTCGTCTCTCCAACGGACAGCCCTACAACATTGTCCTATTTCCTGCCTCGGCCTTGACCACAGGGACACGGGCAGTGCTTTTCAGGATGCTTGATCAAAACATGAAGACTATGTGAGCCCATAGGTTTCTTCCTCTGAGATCAGGCTGAGCTCATCTCTCATGACATAGCCAAGATAACTCTTCATTCCCATATACGAAGGAGTCGAAGCAAGAAGAAATGTTCGACCCCACCTCACGATTCCTCCTGGCCCTCAAATCATCGGCCTCTGTCCCTGCATTAGAGGGCAAACGACCGGAAGAGATGTCTTCAGTGGTGGAGCTCACGGAGGACGATGTTCTCGGCTTTGTGGAGTGGCGCTTCGATACAGAGGAGACTTTGCGAGGGAGTGACGTCGAGGTTGCCTATCTGTAAGTCGTGTGGTCTTTGTACATCTGCGGCGGACTGATGAAAGCAGGTATGAAATACAGTTGACGTCCTCATCCAAGGGACTCGGTATTGGTAGAACCTTGATGGAGATCTTGGAGGAGATTGGGGACCGACGGCAGATGCAGAAGGTCATGTTGACGTGCTTGAAGAGTGTGTTAGCTTTCATATTGCATTTGGTTATTCCACCATCAATCGAGAAATGAGCTGACGCACGATACCCATAGCCAATCTCAATGCTTTGCAATTCTACGCGAAGCTGGGCTACGAAGCAGACGAGATCGATCCTACACGAATGGCGAAAGAGGACTCTGAGAGCGACGGAGACAGTAATGACAGCGATGATGAGGATGAAGAGATCGTTGACTATGTCATTTTGAGCAAAGCCTTAAGTAGGCTCAAGCGGTAATACAGTCAACGGTCACAAATACAACATGCATTATAATCATATAGCCGTAGTGGGTACCGAGCATATATTGGACAAACACTTGCAATTATGCGTCAAGGTCTGGAAGGTCGTTCAATATCTACAGGCAATCCGAATCAGTTACCGAGCAGTAAATGAGTTTCTTTGGTGTGACGTACATCATCTAGGTCGTTTCGTGAAACCTCGTTCTCGTTTCGTTCTTGAAAGGTCCAGTCAACTTTTCTCCTCTTCTTGTCCCTGCTCCCCTTCTCCCTGCTTGTTCTCGCCTTCTTCGGAGACGTGGGCCGCTTGAGCCAATCGGCACCCATCATCCTATCTTCGCTATCAACACCTCGACTCCCCTTTGCAGCTAGCTTCAACCCAGCAGGTGTAGTCGCCATAGTGGAGAAGAAAGCGTCTGTCGACTCGCCCTTCCTTTTTCCAGACCGAGTGTAGGAATCAGGAGGGTGCTCCAGGTCGATTCCCGGATTGCTGTATTTCGCTTTCTTTGTCGGGGTCCTTTCTACATCTGCTCCTGCGCCGCTCTTGATCGGACTGTCCTCCATCTGCTGGGCGGACGGTATACGCACATGACTCTGCCTCAGGGGACTGGCCTTGTCGGGTGTGTTCAGGTATTGTGAAGGTGTAAGAAGTGATTGGGAACGCCTAGAGTCGTAGAGCTGCTTTGTCTTTCTCGGTGTGATGGCAGCTATGACTTGTTCGCCAGTCAATACATTGGAAGGGGAAGGTGACGGCGCAGGGGAAGTGGAGTTGGTAACAGAGCGTCTTTTGGAAGAGGAGCGAGAAGGAGAGACCTCGGCATTTTCTTGGAGGAGTTGCCTGGCCCTAGATAGGGCGGAGCGGAAGTACTGCTTGGTTGTGTGCGACAGTTTCTGAGCAGAGTTCTCATCGAGATCCTTGCTTTGGACTCTACGGTGGACGTCAGGATGCACCACATGCGAAAAGAACGCGCAACGTACACTTCACAAGCTAGTAGAGCAGATATTGCCGGAAGTGCAGTGACCTCTTCGGGTCTAAGGCTGTTGCCTGACCCACGGCCGGTCAAGCGTTTGAGCTTTTCGAGAGTTCGAGCAGCAACCGGGATAGCGTCGTGAGTCTCGGATGGGAAAAAGTGGGTGACTTCCAAGATGTCTCGTCTTGACATTATACCTGTGTAGTATGTGTTGCTGTGGCGATGTGCTTGAACTCTGCTGAGACGCGAGAGAGAATGCGACGTGACCCCAAACGACAGACAAAATATAGCACGCTGAACGCGTCGACGCGTCCGCATGCCTAGATGGGCGCTGACGTAATGACTATAATGCCGAGGTTAGGCGTGCGCCGACATCCTGCTCTGACAAAAGTTGGCCAGTGATTCGTCCATGTGCATCAAACGTTGCGCGTGTCCTGCGCATCTCCATCAGCTATCCCACTGTCAGCCTAGATCTTTAATTGATCTCGAACAGAATTGGTGCTGTTCATACATGGCGTGGGTTCACTTGGCTCTGTTCTGGATATTGCTGACCTCTCCTCGTCTCCAGGTTGGTGCGATAGCGTTTTTGCGTCATGCCCAAGAGCCTGGCGGCCTTTACAGCTGCCTTGCGTAGTAATCAAAAACGGCCGACGCTCCCATCATTACCTGATAATCGGGTGCAACAATCAGTAGCTGTTATCGTGCCTACAGAGCCAGGCTGCTCGAGGTGGCTTTCATGTTCATGTTGCCGGAGACAAGTTGTGCAACACGAAGTAGAATCAAGACACCCAAGGGTGTTAGACACGGAAACCACCTGTGAGTCCTATACCAACAGTGGAATCAGAGATGTGACTGGATCCTGGATTACACTGACTTCAATACGACAGTTGCTCGCTCGAGCTCAAATCGTGTCGCTCAGCCCAGATCGTTGATGTCACAAACACCGACTTATGCGCCCCTTCGAAAGAGAGCCCCGTTTCCCTCTGTTACCCCTCCCCCTGGAAGCAAAGGATTCTCCTCGAGTCATCACCCAACCCCATTCCGGCGGACATTCTTCACGTCCAATCCTCTACACGGGTCACAGTATGCCCACATACCCCCATCAGGGGTTCCCAGGCTTTCGCTCGAAGAAGAACGGCGCCCCATACTATATCCAGATCCCAATCCCAGAAGCACCCCCCATTTACCTTTGCCCCCAACTCTACCTTACTCGCCAGACTCGCACCCCTTCAAGAGGCATTTGTCAATCTTGTCGCTGTCAATCGTTGCATCGCATAGCGACGAATCGTGGGCAGTTTACTGCGCCATTCACGATGATCTTCGGAAGTACATTCCCGACAGTACGTTCCGAGCATTGCTGCTTAAACAATGCCAAGTGAAAGAGAATTCTCTGGCAGAGCAGTGGGCAAGGGTCAAAGAACTGCTCAGGCTCGGAAAGGAGTGCGATATGACTTTGGAAGATATGGGATCCGAAGTCTTGGAAAAAGCGCTGGAAATGGGTGTTGACGCTGCTTTGGCAGGAGAGACGAGAAAGGAAAGGAAGCGTCTACGTCAGATATGGTCCGCCCTCACCAATTCTCTCCCCAATCTCAGCATTGTGCCTCTCGCCACCCGAAAGAGATGGTTGCAGCTTCAGGAGCGCCTCCTTATCGATCGTTCCGAATGTACTTCAAAACCATCACTTCTCAACCAATCCACTTTGATGGAGGAAAGTGTCTTGAATATGGTTGAGCGAGGCGGGGCGGGGGGAGTAGAGACATGGGTGGCAAGAGTCTTGATCAGATCTCGGGGAAATGCAGGGGGCGGCCCCAGGCAGATAGTGCGCAACCTCCTCTGGTGCGGTGTCAAGAAGGCTACGCTCCCGAGAACGTATCTTTACGATGCCGTGTGGGGAATGGTGCGTCGATGGGATGCAAAAGAAGACCGAGTCGTGCCTCTTCAGAAAGAATTGAAAGCAATTTTGGAAGAAGTCGAAGCTCCCGCTGGCTCTATGGCAGAAGTCGAAGCGCTGAAGGTCATGACTCGCGTCATAGATCAGCTCAGGCGGTATCACGAACAGGTATCCATGACTCTGGCCGCTCTGGATGAGGGCAAAATCGACTGCCCTGCCCAAATCTACAAGGGCGTCGAGTTTGCCCGGAAGGCGAAAGACAGTGAAGAGAAAGAAGCCATCATACATCTTGAAGGCGCGTTCCGCCTTTTTCAGGCTTGTCTAGTCCATCGGGATGCCAATCCTACTCCATTGGTCGCCTCACTCTCTTTCTCGCTCCTCCAGCTTCGTCCACGGTATCCAAAACCCATCGATCAGATTATTGTTCCCTTCGCCCAGGCCGTCTACCAAGCACGGCTGTTCTCTACCCTCCCACCCAAAACCATCACAGCCCTCCATCGGCTCATCCTCTTTGCTTTGCCCTCTGAAGACGCGTATATCCTCTTCCGAAAGACCTATGACCAGGCCCGTGCTGCTGAACCGCCTTTTGCGTGGTCTCTGAAGAACCTCCACTCCTGGCAGGAGTTGTTTGCGTGTGCGCTCATGCGTGAGAAGCCACACGTTCACTTTGCCTCCCGGCTTTACACGGACTTGATTGCGGATGGTCTACACGTCCCTCGCGAACAGGCGCTCCTCATGCTACGTTGCATTGGTGCCAAACCGTCTCCCTCGCGTCCCATACTCCTCGAAAGACACATCAAAGACTACATTTGGTTCGGGTATCGCGACAAGACGGCCTTCATCCATGCTGTCGTTCAGGGCCTCACGGGAAAGGGAGTGAAGGATGCGGAGCTAGCGTTGACTCTGGCAGAGAGGCTCAGCGCGGGAATGGGCGAGGGGGCGGAACTGGAGCCGATTGTGTTGGAGTTGATCATCGTCAATTTGGCCCGCTCTTCCAACCCTCGTGTCCGTCAGAAGTGCATCGATCTTCTACATCGACTACCCCCCGGTACTGCCACCAGATCATACAACACCGTTCTTTCCTTTCTTGCCTCCCAATCGCGCGCGAACCCGTCTGTGAACGCCGAGGGTGAATTATCCCCTAGACAAGTCCTCACCTTGGTCATTACGATCTACAAGGATATGGTGGATCGAGGGGTGGCCAGAGATGGGAGGACAACAAGCACGGTGCTTAGGACCTTGACAGACAATGGTCTTCTTGATGAGGGGATCAAAGTGCTCGAAAGCTCACTTCAGCATGGTATACTACCCAAGAGTCATGCCATCGGTCGTCTGATGGTCCGTCTCGCCCTCTTGGGGCGCCTTACTGAAGCTCTTTCGGTTGAGACGTCTTGGAGACAAGCCATCAAGAGCATCGCTGGCGGCGTCATGAAGGAGAATAAAGTTTGGGATCTGGCTGTGGTCGGAGCAAGAGCGTTGGTGGATGTCAAGATGGGTGAAGAGGTAGATTTTGCAGAGTTGGAGAGGCAGACAGGATGGGTGGCGAGTAAAGAGTATATGGTGTTTTTGCGGGACCAGAAACCTCGTCTGGTCGGTGCGACGAAGGAGGGAGAGGTAGGCGAGGAAAAGATAGTGCAGGGTGCGCAGGCTGAGGATAGGTTGCATGGTATCGAGTCGCAGGAAGGTGGGCATCTAGGATGGTTGTAACAGGGTCTGAAAATCATCTTGCATTTGTAATCTAAACCAGCATATTTCTCAATGAATGGACATCTCCCCATGCTTCGAGTTGACGCTTGAGAGTGCACAGCCAAGTTTCATCCCACCCGTGTAAAATGACGACCGCCATGCCGCTGATGTGTGTTTACTTTACGTACATGTAGGTGGATGCTGCTTGACAATCAATCAACTATGTCGACTCGATCTGGCGGGAAAGGCGAGCTGAACCGCTGATGCTGAGTTAACACGAGCAAAAAAGGCTTGTCTTGACAGGCTGCGATGAGGCCCAATTTACGTACTCGGCTATCATGATGCTCGTGGTCGCATCGGGCTTTGCTATTGTTTCGACGTCGCTCTACTTCTTTTTTTCCGGCAATCAGTCCTTGTCGGAGAGACTGTTTGCCAAGCACTGGAGGCCGTCGGGGGAGGAGGGGCAGGCGAATGGTGCCAGGGGAGCAGCTGTCATTGAAGACGTAGACAGAAAGGAATCGTGTCGTGCTGATGCCGATGTATAGAGCTACTAAGCTCCCATACCCGTTTTGCACACTTCGATTTCGACTCCTCTGGTCGACTCAAGAAGTAATAAGGAGACATCCCGCTCATGGAAGGAAATGTAAAAAGGAATCACGGCTCGGAGATGAGAGGGGCATATATGATTGTAATCAGGTCAGCTACCGGGCCACTACCGACGGCGCTGCTAGAATACAGTACACTGAGAAGACCTCGGGTTGAGTAAATTATCATTATACTGTTATTTCCTTTCCCTCCGATCGTCCGCGGCTGCCCCGAGGAATACTACCGCCGATACTCGAAAAAGTCTCCGGCCTGGTGAGCTGTATGTCTTCCCTCAACTCGGATTGGCATCGCCACCTTCATTCAAATTTGATTACTGTCCAGCCTGATCACGAGTAGATAAATCGAAATATGTCTCAACAAGAAGAAGATAAGCCCATCGTCATTGAAGAAGAGACGACCATCGCCATTGAGTCCTTTACAGACTTCAAAACTGCTGTACGATCCATCGTCTCAGATGCCCCATCATTCGAGGCAACGGCCGCCAACAGGACTGCTCTGAATGACGCATATCACAAGTTCTCCGTGTTGATGGAGGCCGAAGAGCAGATCGATCGTTGATGGCTATCACCAAACTGTACGAGTACGGACCAGACGGCGCTGACAGTATGAGTCGGGGAGGCGAGGGAGGCGATGATGTTCTTGATGACGAGATTGCCCCTCAATAAGGTTCTTCAGCCCCAAAGCACAATCAAAATTTACATGGTCCATTCTGTCTGATTCTCAGGTCAGATGAGATTATTATGCACCATTTGTCTTGATGATTTTCTGACACGATTTTTGTCGCCCAGACCGATATGTTCTGGGAAAATGTCGTATCATCACTGATCGATTTTTATTGTCTATGTGGTGTTGTTGGCTGCAAGGCTATATAGTACAGACAGACGCACGGTGCTGCTGCCTGTGGAGGTGCGACTCGGAGTATGATCCGTCTCCCATCGTTGCTTCATGTGACCGACTTGATTCAGCTTGGGAAATACGATAGTGGCGGTCAAAATGAAGTAGCGCATTATTGCTTATCGACACTGCTTTATCATGTCATGCCACTACATCGGTACTCGAACTTATCTATCTACCCCGGCGTGGCTTCTCGTAGATAGCGTAGACTAGTGATGCTAAGGCAAGCAACGTATGTATATATAGCGCACAAATATCCCCTGTAGCATATACAGGGAAATAATCATCGCCCTGTATTCATAAGCGCGATGAACAACATCTTGTCGTCCACCACCAGCAATCGGAAAAGAATGTCAACGCCGCTTCAAGAAACACCCACCATCACCACAACCGAGGATTTCAGGTCCACCGTCAGCTCCATCCAATCCAAAACTCAGTACTTTGCACCAACCTGGCTGAACAGGTCGGAAGTTAAGAGAGCCCTGGGCAAATATGCGGCTAGTGCAAGGCGGCGTGTATGGGCAGTCAGCTCAATATAGAAGGGTTATAAATATGATCATCAGTAGTTAGTGGTAGTAGAACAGCAGGATGATACAGTCGTCGATGAATGATGCAAGTGCTATTTGAAGAGGTCGCTTGATACCTGACTACCTTGCCATGATATACCTATGGTGCACTGTTGAGATCTGGTTAATGAGGCCCTCCGGGATATGAGCATGGGGTGCTAGTGCCGCCTCAGCGAGACAGCCGTGCCCTGTTTAGATCGTGCTCGGGCTTCCGACGTGCATGGCCTATGGATCCCTCTGCGACGCGAGATATATATACAGCATCGTCTGGCCAACAGGGATGCAAGCGAGACATCCTCCTCTGACCTCTGAGGCCTCTGATATCATATGCTATCCGTGCTTGGGTGCTCGTGCGAGCGTGCATTGAATGGCTGTGATACACTGCGCTATATAGTGGACACACAGCCTCGAGTCACGCGATTTCTAACCCCTCCTTCCGCCCAACTCCCCCCAGATTCCCATCTCTCTTTCCTTTCCTCTCGCCCTTCCATTCCAGTATCGACTAGTTCATGACCGCATTTCAAGACAGTCCACCCGGAAGAGCTTTGCCCTGGGGCCATCAGGTGAGCACCCAGCACTCTCACACGCCGCGCCGGCCTTCGCTCATCGCAGGCACAGTGGAGAAGCTCAGCATGGTTCATAACTCTCGTCGTCACATATGGCATCGCAATAGACACCCTCACAGATGTAAGCCTCCCGCATGCCGCTCACAGCTTGCTCCTGACACCAATATCAGGCTATCGTCGTCCCCATCCTCCCATTTCGCCTCCTAGACCTTGGGTACCACAACATCGCTTCGGACACCGGCCAGCTGCTCTTTGCACGTTCCGCGGGGACCGTCACCTTCACTCTTCCCGCTGCCTACTTCTTTCACAAGTATCCCTACCGCCGCTTACCTCTGGAGGTCTCTGTGCTGGTAATGATCGCCGCAAATGTACTACTCATGTTGAGTACGCAATTCTGGACGATGATCCTTGCGAGGTATATCTCAGGTGCCGCAAGTACGGTGACTCTCACCGTTGGTCTTACACTGATGTAGGTATCGTGTCTTCAAACCAATTTTGCGCGCTGATGGTGGGCAGCGGCGAAAACGTGAAAGAAGTGAAAGCCGGACGGCATCTGGGACTCGCCATGTCTGGTCTTGCCCTCGGCCAAAGTATTGTAGGTCGCAAAATCTGTCGGCTTCCCATGAATTATGACTGATGAGCCCAGGCGCCCATCGGGACAGTATTGTATGAGCATCTTGGCTGGAAAGCCCCCTTCATCTTCTGCATCGGTGCTCTCTGCCTGGACGTCTTCCTCCGTCTGTTCGTGCTCGAGCGCGTCAACATTCGTGTCTTCCATGAGAAACGCCTTGGTCTGAAACCGGACAGTCTCAAGCCCAAGCTTCTGAATGGCAAGATCACCACGCCAGTCCACCACCACATCCGAGACTTTAGCTATGCAGAACTCAATAAAGCGGAGAGAGAGGCCTTGCTCGGCATTGATCTCAACCCATGGCAGGTATTGAAGGCTATGGTACGATCGCCAAGGGGTATGACTGCTATCATGTCAATGTTCACGTATGGGCTCCTCTCTGGAACTCTACAGCCGGTGTGAGTGCTTGCAGGGCCTGCCAGCTCAATCGGTGGTACAGACTGACATTACTTGCGGCCTTAAGTATCACCGTGCGTATTCAAGAGCTTTGGAATAAAAACTCTGACTCTGTCGGACTTGTATACTGTGGGTTCCTCTCCTTCAACCAGCATCTTTCCCCTCACCGATACCTTGAAAAGTCATCGCTACGTTCCCAACTCTCATTTCTGGCCCAATCGTTGGTTATTGTGCGGACAGGTGGGGCGCTGAATGGGTTATGTTGCCGTCCATGCTCCTGGTACTCCCCTGGCCACCTTTGATGTTGGAGACTGGCGGAATAGGCGCATTCATTGTCTACTTCTTGTTCTTCAGTGAGTATTGCTATGAATGATGAGGATTCTGGAGCTGACGTGAAGGCAGATCTGTTCTCGAACTGTGCATTCTATCCCAGCGGGCTTGAATCCACTATTATTGCTAGGCGCACGCAAGGTATCAGTGAGATCCGTAAGTAGTGTCTTGACCTCTTACTGTATTCGTAGGCTGACGTGGAGTCTTCTAGATCAGTTCGGTATCATGGAGGTCGCCTTTGGTAAGTCTCATGAGCCGTACCCCCTATACACCCTGGGGAATCGAAATGCTGACCTTCTCAAAGCAACTGCCACCGCTGTAGGCACCCTGGTCGGAGGTCACGTCTATGACGAGGTACCTAGCAACGCCGGATGGGACGCCGTAATGTGGTTCCTTTTCGCCATCGCCCTCCTCAGCTTACCCATGGTCTTCTTTTTCTCCGGCGAAGATCCTTGGGTGAAGAAAATTTTCAGCCGCAAACAGCCCAAGATTGCGGGTCAGTCTGTGAGCATGCAGAGGCTCGGGGATGATAATGAAGACAATGCCGGCGGGGAGAAGAAGAGGATGGATGATAAGGCCGAGGAGGTATGGTTGGAGATGAAGGTAAAGATGGAGGACGACCAGAGAGGGTATTCAAAGCAGAAAAAGAAGAGCGATTCCTCTAACTCTGCTTTTGAGGTCTGAGACTCTCCAAAAGTCAGGTTAGATAAACAACAATCATATACGTACCTTGAGAGGCTCTGGAAGCAGACTCATCGCCTAGTTTTATATTTCATCAAAAAACAATAGAAATATCATCATTCTCTCCGAAAGAGCGAGCTCATTTTCGATTTCTATCTGTATATGTATCACTGTTCCATTCTTCGTCGTTGTCGTTCAACTCAAGTTCAACTTGGGAAGGCGGCGAAGACCGCTTTAGCTGTGGTCACGTGGTCCGCCTATTACCTTCGACATCTTGAGATTTCTTCGACAAGTTGCATTCGCCCCACGCCTCGCCCTTTCCAGCCTCGAATCTCGACCAAAAACACCACGGCATACGGAAAAATAGTGTTGCAATGCTCACTACCCAAAGTTTTGCCGAATTACGCCTACTCTCCGTCCGCACGGCTTCGACTTCGTCTGGCTCGCAACGGCGTTTACGATCGTTTCCTGCAAGCCCATCGAAATGGGGCAGACGCTACAATTCTGGTCAGGGTTCAAAACCGGAAGCAGAAGAACCTCATGAAGATAGGTCACCGAGAGGAGAAGCAGGAGAGGCTGAGCAGCCGTCAAACCTGACAGGCCAGGAAAGGCGTGCGGGGATGGAAAGTGAGACTGCCGGCGGGCACTTGTCTGTAGACACGAAAGAACCTTCACCAAGAGCTACCACATTCGCGTAAGCCATGCTGGGTAAAATCGATAATGAACCAGTCTGACTTGCAGATAGTACATCCGAGGCCCAACCGGCGCACCAGAGTAAGGCGTTCAACGAAATCCTCAAAACCCTCTATCAGGAGTACGTTCTTGTCCAAGAAACTATCACTCTTCTATATCCTGACACGCAACTACAGAGGCAGCAAACAGCCATCCAATCCTTCCCCTTCCTCGACCTCCCGAACAGAGTCCATAATTTCCAAGCTCAGAATCAACCTCTCCTCCGCTCCTCGTCCTCGCGAATTTCGTGGCACCCGCTCCCGTTCACATCGCTCAGCGGGAATGAGCCCTCACGAGTCTAGCAAGTTCACCGAGGCAATCATGAGTATCCTGGATACTTTCCCCAAGGGTACTGAAGGGGCTGGTGGTGGTGGTGGAGTTGGTGGTAGCAGGGGCGGGGACGATGCGTTCAGCGCAACTCATTCTGGAGGTTCTGGTTTCGGATTAGGCAAGGATCGATCACGGGGAACAGGGTTTAGTCCCTTCAGATCTGGAGCTGGGCAAGACTCCCTCCGCAACGTTGTCGGTTTTAGCGGCAGGTCGCAGTCAGAAGACGAGCTGATAGAGGAGTATGAGATCTTGGCGGAGCAGATCAATGTGATCCAGACCGATGTGGAGCTAGTGGAATGGGCCAAGGAGCATGTCTTCAAAGCGCAGGCTGTGCCAGAGCCCCAAATTGCCTCAGAAAGCTCGAAATCACTGGGCGAAGCCACAGGCGAGATTGAAGCTACTGCTTCCGACACACATGACCTACCACCTCTCCTCCAATTCTCCCCCGTGTATCCCAAGATCCTCGCTCGGACGCTCGAAGTTCTTCGGAAGAATTTCAACTCCCCACACCTTCTCCTCGCTCTCTTCCACCACGCCCAGACCTCTTCCCTCGAGTCATACCTCTCTGGATGCGGAACTGCGGCCTATAATCAAGTCTTGCTGTGCAGATGGGAAAGTTTCAGGGACTTGGAAGGAGTGACGAGAGGAGTCAGAGAGATGGGGATGATGGGTGTCAAGTGGGACCGAGAAACCAACAGGCTTGTTGGGCGTGTGGTTGATGAAGTCGGTAGAGAAATGCTGGAAGAGGGGCAGGGGAGCAGGTGGGGCAAGAAGGAGGATGTGTTGATCATGTTGCAACAGTTAGAAGAAAGAGTAGAGAAAGATATCCTGGACGAAGAGAAAAGGAGGGATTACGAGTTGAAGATGAAGAGGAGGGACAGGGAAAGGAAAGAAGCTGAGGCCACGAGAGAGGCTACGAGGCAAGCGAGGGAGGAGGCGGATGTATGGGTATAACATTGTATAATGTAATGACATGCTCTATTCCATGACTGCGATACAAGGTGTTGAATACAAATGCATGACACGCAGATCCCAAATAAACATTACAACACGATACTCTGAATGTTCCAATCCCATAGCCATGGACTTTATTGCGCATTGCCGTTGCCGCCGAAACGAGCGTGACTAGAAGCGAACAGGCGCTCCTGCAGCTCTAACAGCTCCTCCTCAGTCATACCCTTGGTGTCGGGCTGAGAGCGGACACGCTCCTAGACATGGGATCAGTAGATGCTGAGAAGGTAGGGCAACAATAGGACGCAACATACCTTCTGAGCCTGTTTGAAATCGGCATTCGACACCTCGACCTGTTCCACAAAGTCTTCGAATCCCAATTGCTACGTACTCATCAGCACTTGCACCGAAGCTGCATTGATCACTGGAGGACGTCGGAAGCATCATATACCTTGAGGGCTTCGACGACATGTTCAGGAGAGATGGTCTTCTTGGAGGAGGCTTCGCAGACCATGTTGGATTGTGTCGAGATGAGTTTGATCCATTCTACATAGGACGGAAGCAATGCTCGTAAGCTTTGGTGGGGAAAGGTGACATCGGTGGCTTACCGGTGCAGCAGTCGAAGATCACGTCCTTGGCTTCTTTAGAGGCGGAAATCTCGTCCGGCAGGAGCTCTACAGAGTCACAGTCAGTTCCATTACAAATGCTTCAGTCTCGCGTCGTGCCCCGTCTTTCGCCTCTCGAAAGCCCAGTTCAACAATCTCTTGAATATTCAAAGCTATGCGCACCTTGAATGATCTTCAAAACAGTCGCTTTCGGCAGACTGACATCGTCGTCATTTTGCTTGGGGGGCATCTTCCTTGAGTTCTACTATATCTTGTCCCTCTGGAAAGTATGTGGGGGAAATGTGGTTTCGAAGATTGACTGGATTAGAGAAGAGATAGAGATGAAGGTGTAAAAGTGTGTCCACCGGTGGAGGAGTTGTTTTTTTGGCGCGTTTGCGGCATTCCTCGCTTTCAATCGTCGTCGCCAAAACATTGATCTGATCTTTGGACTTTCCACAAGCTGCCATCCTGCTTGTAGCTCATCGAATCTTGGATACCTAACTCAGCATACACCAACATGAGCGCCACGAAACAGGGAGCTATCGCGGTCCACGGTAGCAACCCCCAAGTATGACGTTCATCTCTCCCGGTCAATGCCCCGCTAATGTTTCTCAGTACCTGATAGAGAAAGTCATCCGTGCCCGTATATACGACTCCCTCTACTGGAAAGAACACTGCTTCGCCCTTACTGCCGAGTCGATTATCGACAAAGCTCTCGAGCTCCCAGCCATTGGTGGTGTGACGGACAGGCAGACGCCGACGCCGTTCATGTGTCTGCTCTTGAAACTGTTACAACTACAGCCGGAGAAGGAGATTCTGGTGGAATATCTCTTAGCAGAAGAGTTCAAGTGCGTCTTCGTGCATGGCTGCAGTATGCGAGAAGATCAAGAGCTGATGATTCACAGGTATCTGAGAGCCTTGGCAGCGTTCTATATTCGATTGACGTTCAAGAGTCTGGAGGTGTACGAAATACTCGAGCCGCTGCTCGCAGACTATCGTAAACTACGCGTTGCCCATGCTGGTGGGTCTATCCAACAAATTCATGGAAGCGACGCTGATGGCATTTAACAGGTGGCTACTCTCTGACGACGTTTGACGAGTACATTGACGAGCTTCTCACCCAAGAACGTGTGTGCGACACCATTCTGCCACGCCTGACGCAAAGATCCGTACTGGAAGAGGTGGAGGGGCTGGCGCCTAGAAAGAGTTTGCTCGTGAGTCCTACCTTACCGATTGTTCGGACATCACAACCCTCTACATGTTTCAATCATGTCAAACAAGCAGAACTGACAATCTCTCAGGAAATCCAAGAAGAAAGTAAAGGCCACCGAGGTCGCTCAAGATCAAGGTCTCGCTCGCGCTCCAGATCTTTGTCTGCCTCCCCTCCCCGCTACACCTCTCGCTCTCCTTCCCCCGCATCATCGACCTCTTCACGAGGAGACAGATTCGTCTCTCGTTCTCCTTCCCCGCCATCGGGATCAGAAGACGGAGGGGAAGAGGGCGATACTCGCGACAGATTCATATCAAGAAGTCCGAGTCTGTCGCCTGATAGGGTTATGGAAATTGGGGCAGAGGATGTGCTGGAAGGGGACGTCTAGGGCAGAAGCAACGAGAAGCAAGAAGTGAAGTATATATATGCATGGGCTATCTTCAGCCTCGTGAAACCATTACATGCCCATCCTAATCGTACACTCCAATCATCCAAATCATCTCCTGAATCCTCGACCCCCGAAGGCGCTCTTCTGCCCGCCCGCCGACGAATTGCGACCTTCCAACTCTCCAATCTTCTCTCCCAACCTGCTCACACCCCCATCGATACTTCCCAATGCTCTCAGGTGCGCACCCAAAATCGCCGACAGTTGGTTGATTGGGTCGTCTGGCATTTGAGCTTGCGATGCTGCTTGGGCCGCTTGTCCCTGCGAAGGTGTTCCTGGGCGGCCACCCGCAACAGAAGACGCGAGAGAAGCAGAAGGAGGAGCAGCGGAGGATGATGGGGAGGAAAGTGTGTTCACTTGTTCGATCATTTGAGATAAGTTACGTGAGATGTCATCGAGTTGCTTGTTGAGATCTTCGGCGAGTGTATAACTGTTCAAATATCAGCATTGACCCACAGAGGCAGAATGAAATAGACTTACGCCTTTTCACGTTCCCTCTCAGCTGGCATCTTTCCAACTCTGACGCCACCGCCTTCTCCTCCAGTGCCACCACTGTTTGCCTTCTGAACCTCCCTCTCGTACATGTCCAAAACCTGCTCGAGCTGGGTCTGCTGAGCTTCAAAGTAAGCCAAGGGCTCGTCGACAGCTGCTTGCGTTTGTTGAGCCTGAAGAAGGTTCTGGCGGAGATTTGTAATCTGTGACTGTTAGAGAAGCTATGAGGATGTTGACTGGACTCACTTGGGTACCATTCCTGACCAGGACCTTGTCCCACTCCCTAACCTCTCCAGCTTGCCTCTCAAACTCCTTTACCTGCTCTTCCAAATCCCTGTCCCAGCTCTCGACGATGTCCTCAAGTGTCTTGCCGCGAAGAAGGTTGGGCGCGGGCTCGGAAGGCTTTTCTTTCGAAGCTGGGGCTGTTGTTGAGCCAGCGGCAGGGGCAGGGACGGAGGGAGTGCCTGCAGCAGGCGCAGGAGTGGACGACGCTGGCTTGGCGCCGAAAAGTCCACCCGATGCTGGAGCCGGGGCAGCAGCAGGCTCAGCAGGCTTGCTACCGAATAGACCCCCCGCCGCAGGAGCGGGCGCGTCCTTCTTCTCCCCTTCCTTGGCAGCACCACCGAAGCCACCAAATAAACCTCCAGGCGCAGCAGGCTTGGGCGCTTCGTCCTTCTTCTCTCCAGCAGCAGGAGCACTACCGAAACCGGCAAACAGGCCACCAGCAGGGGCTTTAGGAGCTTCGTCCTTCTTCTCAGCCGCGGCGGGTGTAGGGGCAGCACCGAAGAGTCCACCGGCAGGCTTGGGCGCCTCTGTCTTTTCCGCAGAGGACGCCGCGGCGGGCGCACCGAACGAAAAGCCTCCTGCAGGCTTCGGAGCAGCTGGAGCGGGAGCAGGGGAGTCAGTTTTGGGGGCACCGAAACCAGAGAACAAGCCGCCACTAGCTGGAGCCGCGGCCGGAGCAGCAGGTTTAGCGCCAAACAGTCCACCGGCAGCAGGAGCAGGTGCCGCAGCGGGTGCCGAGCCAAACAGTCCACCGGAAGGAGCCGCAGGAGTTGAAGAGGGGGTGGAACCTTCAGCGGGTTTGGCACCAAACAACCCCCCGGTAGGAGCAGCAGGGGCAGCAGGCTTAGCGCCAAACAAACCACCACTAGAAGCAGATGTGGCGGGAGCGGGGGTAGAAGATGAAGGGGCCGCACCAAAGAGCCCACCACCAGTAGCTGGAGCAGCGGGAGCTGAAGGAGCCGCAGGCTTGGCACCAAATCCTCCAAAGAGACCGCCTCCTGCGGGAGCTGCAGGAGCGGAAGCGGAAGACTGGGAGGGCTGAGCACCAAAGAGACCTCCACTGGGAGCAGCAGGGGCAGAAGATTCAGCAGGCTTGGCTCCAAAGCTGAAGCCCGAGCTTGCGGGGGCAGCTCCACCGGCAGGGGCGGCAGGCTTCGCTCCAAACAGCCCTCCTCCACCAGCAGCCGAAGCGCCACCGAAAAGGGATCCGCCAGCAGGGGCAGCAGGAGGAGCAGCAGCGGGAGTCGTACTGCCAAATCCACCGAAAGAAGGCTTGGACGCGGGTGTAGTTGAGCCTGCCGCGGGTTGCTGACCGAATCCACCAAACAATCCTCCTCCAGAGGCGGGGGCAGCAGGGGCAGCGGGTGTTGAAGATGCAGGAGCAGTACTACCGAAGAGTCCACCGCCAGTCGATGTCGATGGTGCGGGATTGGAACCAAAGAGGCCACCGCCACTAGCAGGGGGTTGGGCAGGAACAGCTCCAAAGAGAGACCCAGTCTGTCCAGCCGCTGTCACAAATGATCAGTACCAAGATTGAATGTATACAGTCGACTTACGTTTAGCACCGAACCCGCCAAAACCGGTGGTGCCGGAGTTGTTGTTGTTGCTCTGACCGAATCCGCCAAAGCCCGCTATCACCCCCTCTATTAGTGCTGCCCCTTACAAGCCAGAAAGCACGTACACATGATATATAGATTGCGGTTGTGGAAGATGGACGATGTAAGGTGTTTTTGAAAGTAAGTGAAGAGTGAGAAAATAGGCGCAGAGGTCATATCTCGGGTGATGGCGCGCCTATTCCTCGAGGGAAAAGCGCTCTCCTCATCTCCTCTTGCATTTCCCTCCTTCATCCATCCATCCCACAAAATCCCCCATGTCTGCCGTCGCCGTAAGTTCATTGCTGAGCAGGATACTGCGGGTATAGCAGCACAAGCTGACGCGTAGACGTTCAATCTCAGCCCGTCAACCCCAAACCCTTCCTCCAAGATCTTACCGGCAAGGTTGTGTATGTCCGTTTAAAGTGGGGCTTGGAGTACAGGGGATATCTCGTGTCTACGGATGGGTACATGAACCTCCAGGTGCGTTATTGTATCCCATATTATTGGTTCATCCCGTGTCAGAAGCACCAGGACGGGGAGTCAGAGTATAGACAACTGACTTTGTTACTTGTAGCTCGCAAACACTGAGGAGATTGAGAATGGCAAGTCAAATGGTGCTTTGGGAGAAGTGTTCATTCGCTGTAACAACGTTCTCTACATAAGGTGGGTTTTGGCCTCTGCGATGTCGAAAGTATTTACTGATTGTCTACATCTTTCGCCTCGCCATTTATCCCGCCCCACTTTATCAACAAATGATTTTCCCACTGTACCAATACCCGTCCCCACTACATCCTCCATTACGATAATTTCACAACTGCTTTATCGTGGATACAAAAACAACTCAACAGAGAATCGAAGGACCGAGGAATCGACCGAGATTAAGAGAAACGGCGGGCGAGAGCGAGAGGGATTATTGTACCATTATATTGGAACAAAGGGTTTGTTGATGCACAAAAATACCCGGCTTCCCTTCCATCCCAGAGGAGAAGGAAATCAGCAATGACAAAGAAGAGCTGGGCAGAAACAAGAACCACTGGGGAGAAACAAATATAATCACATGCTGAAAGACCGAAAGGAACATGACCCGACATGCTATGTACACCCCCCGCACTCTTTTACACTCTAGAACTCTACTTGTTCTCGACGTGCACCTTTTCAAGGAGATCGGCCAGGCTGCAATCGTTGTTAGATAGACGCATGTAATGGAAAGATTCAACCCACTCGTCAGTCTGCTTGTCAGAGACAGCAGGAAGCTTGCCATCATCAGACTCTCCATCATCGACACCGTCGCCTTCCTCTTCGCTCTCCTCCTCGTCAGACTCGGGCTCTTCCATGTCGTCCACTGTTCTCTGTCAGTACATCTCTGGCGGACACAAGGAGACGTACACTCATCGAGGGCGTCCTCGTGGCCTCTTTCCTCCAACGCCTTCTTGAGCCTCTCCACACACTCGTCCTCTTCCGCAAACCTGTTGCCGTTCAACTCGAGCACCTTGAGGTTTTCGAGGTGCTGGGCAATAGCCTCGGCCAGAATGTCAACAGACGTGCCGTCCATCTCGCCATACTGCAGCTTCAAGCTTTCAAGCTTGGGGTTCGATCCGTCCCTGAGGGAAGTGGTCAAAGCAATACCCCCGGCCTTGCCGAGCAGACAGTCGGAAAGGTTGAGATGCTTGAGCGAGGGCCAAGACGGGAGAGACTTTACGATAGCGCGGGTGCCGGATTTCGTGGCAGTGTTATCTTGAAGATCGAGGTGTTCGAGGGACTTGCACCCTGTCAGTCCCTCGGCGATGGCCTGGATACCTTCCATACGGATACCGTTCTGCGGCATCCTGACCTCTCTCAGACCAGGGTGCGCCCTGAAAGCCTCTGCCCAAGAAGGGGCAGAGCCATTCTCTAAACGGTTCCTTCCACAGACAATCACCCTCAAGCTCGCCTCTTTACCCTCTTCCTTGCACTTTTCGGCATTCAGCTTCAAGGCCTTGGCGATTTCAGCGCCACCGGCAGGGCCCATACCGTTGTTGTTGAGTTTGAGCACGGAAAAGTGGGTGTGGGAGGAGAGGAAGGGGACGAGGGTCTCGGCCAGACGGCCGCCGAAGGCGTTATCACAGAGATCGAGCTCAACTAGCGAGGTGATGGAGGAGAGGGCGGAGAGGATGTGGGAGAGGGCTTGGGGGATTTCAGAGATCAGACGGCCGGTAAAGATGTCTGCAAAGTCGGCAATCTGGTAGACATCAGCTTCGATTCGCCGTCTCCAATAAAGACGAGACGCACCCTGAGGTTGTTCTTTCCCTTCAATGCTTCAGCAACAGCCTCGCAAGCCTCGACACCGAGACTATTCCCTCCAAAGTGCACCTCCTCCACATCTTCCATCGCGCGAAGCTCTGAAAGGTATGGCTCGAGGTCGGCGGGGGAGTTGGCTTTGATATTCTTGCCGAGGATGGAGAATGACTTGGACATCTTGAATGGTCTTTGGGAAGTCGGGTGGGAGGGATAGGGTAGCAAAAAGATAGAGAGAGAGCAAAAGCACAAAGAAAAAAATCAGAGAGGCTGACGCGCGGAGCGTGTTCACCATTGACCACGTGGGTTTCACGTGGCTTGCCTGAGGTATGGATTCTGTGGGTCAAACTCGTTGGGGCATGGTAGATAGGTTGGTATACATGGTTATGCATGAGAGTTCAGATCAGAGACTTGGGGAGAAAAAGTATATGCAGGATAGCGGCCTAATGGTCATGAAGATAACTACACTTCTCCCTCAACTTTTGAAAATATTACCACACTTCATCGACCTTGCTCCTGCTGATGCAGAACCCTGGCGTGACCCACTCCTTGCACCCACATTGCACCCCCGCCCAATCATAGTTGCCAATCTTGACACCACACTTTTCGTTCGGGCAGACGAGCTTGCCAGCCACAGCAGACGAGGCGAGAGTCGGCTCCATCCAAGTCAACTGGAGATTTGTTAGCGCTTGGTGATAAACAAGAAAGAATGACTTACAGGCTCGACAAAGTAGCCGGAACATTTGGGGTTGACGAGGATAGGCGGGGGAGTGTATCCCATGAGCCCATGGATATCATTACTTGCTCTCCTCTCCTTAGCCCCCGCCTTCTCCGGCGACGCTTCATCCGCAGCGGGCGTCATCGACAACAGAGACCTTCTCCTGGATGGAGACTGCGCAGGGTTGGACGAAGCACTAGCAGGAGTAGAAGCGTTCGGAGCCGGGTTGGCAGGAGGGCTAGGGTGGATGGGCGAGTTGGGCGCGGTGCTTCCAGGCGTCGAAGCAGGGGATGCGCCGGCCCCGCCTCCGCCTCCGGCCATCCTGAGCGCAAGCAGGTGAGGGGGTAGGCGCGCCATCAACTGATCGGCCGACTGCAAAGGCCTGCCGCCTCGACCCACCGGAGCGGGGACAGGGACAGAAGAGGAAGGCTCGCTCTTTGATTTGGGCAGAGGGACCTGGGGCGAAGCGGGCTCGCTCTCGTCCTTCTTACCAGTATCACGGTCGTACAAGGTCAGACCCACAGGCGACGCGGTGGATCCATGACTCCCGCGCCGGCTGAGGCTGGCACCAGGCAGACCCGTGAGCGGGTTGACGACTTCACTGACCTGCGAGCCTCGGCGACTCCTTTCCGAGAAGGGTGGAGGCCGGGCGGCGGCAGAGGGTGAAGTCGAAGGGTCTTGGACGTCCGTAAAGGTCATCCCCGCACCAAACGAAAAACTGCTCCGCTTCCTCTCTGTGCCTTCTCCAGCACTGGGTGTCCTGGGCCTCGAAGGCGGCAGGGAAGGTACGGGTGCTTGGTCAAGGATGTGCGGCATCATGTGGTCTCGCACAGCGAGGAGACGACGGCACATCTTGCACCTGATCTTGCGACGGGCATAGCCCCGCGGGGTGGGGGGGTTGGAAGGTGAGGGAGAGCCAGAGTATTTGGCGACGTTGGTGAGAGAAGGTGCTGAACCATCGCCGTCTGGTATCATCAGTACAAGATCAAGAGACGAGATAAAAGCTTACTGATGAATTGAGCGGCGCTTCTCTCCATGTACCACATCCTCACGCCCTTTTCCTTCAAGCTCACCTTACCCCTCGCCTCCCAGTACACTTGCAACTGTCCCCTGAACGTGACACTCGGCTCAATAACCTCCCGCTTCTCTTTGATCAGCTGGATAGCCTGATCAGGGGAGAGTGCGTAGGTGGAGATGAGGTACGCCGCACAGAGAGAAGCAGAGCGCGACATGCCAGCCTGGCAGTGGATAAGAATGGGGGCGGGATGAGGCGTAGGGATCTCGCCGGGCATGTCTTTGGGCCGCTGTGATTCCATCTCCTTCATGACCTCTTCCTCAGAATAGACACCCTCGTACTCTTCTTCGTCGTCGTCTTCGCCATGGCCATGGAGCATGCCGAAGCCGTCGAGCGCCGTTCGGATCCAGCTGACGCACCCTGGCAAGTGGCTTAAGAGGTCGGTGTCGGTAGAGTCGTCGATTTCGACCTTGTAGACAGAGTACTCGTCCGGGAACGTAAGGGCGGGTCGGAGGAGGGAAACAATGTTTTTCTGTGCACCTCATCAGCTCCATACCCTTAGACTTAAGGGAGATACGTACGATACCATACTTGGCGAGCTCTTCCCGATCATTTGCAGCGACAAGGTCGCCCACCCAAAGGCCGGGTATGATCTCTTGCATATGCCCATTCTCTTCCACCGCCTCTCCCTCCTCTTCTCCATCCTCCACTGCCTCATCTTCATCCTGATACTGCTCAAGATACCCAGCTTCCTCGGGGTCATTCGCAAACATGGCCATCTGTGCCGCCCTGCGCTGCTTTGCGCGTTCCATAATCCCTCGCTTCTCCTCCTCTTCTTTCTCCTCGGGGGTATCCTCTACGATCGCCTCATCGTCTATAGACACGCTCCCCTGGCATTGTTGGGATTGGAGACGCTCCCTTTGCGCGCTCTGTGCGAGACGTTTGGCGGCGAGGCGCAAGCTCCCGCCAGAGGAAGAGAGGGCGGCAGAAAGGTCTTGGATGGCGAGGTCGTCGGGTTTCGAAGCGTCCGAGGGGGCGCTCCTGTGGCGCTCTTGGGTGCCGGCCATAACGGGTCGTTACAGGATTCGTGAAGTGAAGAAAGGAATTCAAGTTGAGATGTAATTGTTTCAAGCGAGCTCGGAAATTTGCGTCAATTGACACTGGACACTGGAGAATGGCAGTCGGGTATTAGAGAATGCGTGTACCCTGCTTGAACGTGTAATGTATAGGGGTCCTCGAGGCAGACACATGGGGCTTATGTACGCAGTGGAATGCAGCATGCAAAGGGATATCCGGCCGAGAAGAAAGGAGCGACGTGGCGCATCAGAGTCTCGTACCGCTGCTTCTCATTCATCCTCCTTCGTGGCATCCTGGCAACTCTAGACACATGCCAAAGACTCCTTCACACACCACAAGGCCCTCAAACAACCCCACACGTGATTTCATCCCTAGATTCATGCTTTCAAGTTTTATTTTTTCTACCACCACCAGCTCCTTCTCCTTTCATCTCGTCACCAGAGACTCGATTTAGACACCCTGGGTAAGGGCGTTGTTGAATCGCTGGACTCGGGTGTAGGCAGAGAGGTCGATGGTCTTGTCTCCAAAGTCGACGAGGAGACCGCCGAGGACGGAGGGGTTGACCTGAAGAGTATGTCAGTACCTATGGTCTCGTGCCGACTGTTTCGTCTCAATAACAGAGACCGCCTCAAGCAACCGATTCCTCCCCAACCACTCTCTGACCACTCTCATGCCCCCAGGCAATCTAAAACTACACTCACCTTGTTGACAACCTTCAAGGTCTTGCCCTTGGCAATTTCGGTAGTCTTCAAAGCCTTGTCCAACCTAGACAACGCCTTGTTGTCCAAAGGCTCGGCACTGGTCACGATAACCTCGAGCTCGCCCCTGTAGGCGGCCATGAGGGAGTGAAAGTCGGCAAAGACCTTGGGGGCAGAGGAGAGACGGCCGTTTTCAGAGAGGACCGAAAGCAGGTTGAGGAGGATGGGGGAGGAGGAAGAGGGGAGGATGGTCTTGAGGGCGGTAGCACGCTCCGAGGCGGTCAAGGTGGGGTTTTCTACTGCCCGTTAGCGAATAACCGAGCTGCGTCTCGACACGGCGCGTACGGATGAAGGCAGAGATCTTGGCATCCTCCTTGATGGACTTGTCGAACGCCTCGACGTCCTTGGCGAGGGCCTCGAGGTCCTTGGAGCTCTTCTTGAGGGCGGCAAGGTAGGTGGAGGTGGCATAGGTGCCGGTGAGGGAGTTGAGCTGGATGGGGGCCTAGCGGGGGATGAGCTGATCAGATTTCGGCGGGGAAAGCGGGAGTGCGCACCTTGATGGCGGGGGCTGCGGTGGCGTAGCCCCTCTTGAGGATCTGGCGAGAGATGGAGGCCATGGTGGTGAGCGAGATATACCCTCTATACCTCTCATGCGCTGAAAGAGACAGACGTCGGTCCTTCGGGGTTAGGCTGTAACTACGGCGTGGCGGCGTAATTACATTCTTACGCCCTCTTTCGGCCGCACAATCTGTATACTATGTTGCCATCGACCATGTCTGCCTCCCTGCCCGTCTACCCCTTCCTGCCCACCCACTACAATGGGCCCAGCTACGACGCCTCCTACAACCAATTCGACCCGTTCAACAACGTAGACATCGACAAGAGCCGTAAGTCCTATAGCCCCCGGAGTGCAGTTGCTCACCCCAGTCCAGCCATCAACTATCCCTTCCACCAGCCGTCCCCGGGCTCGTACCAGCAGGGCCCACAGCGCCAGCTCCCGTACCCAAACCTGATACCCCCCAACTTTGGTTCCAACGGCGGTAATCGCGACACGCCTGCCGGATCGGCCGCGCCGACATCCGGGACCCAGAATGACCCGACGTCGTTTTTGGACCTCGACCTGTCCCAGCCTGGTCCATCCACGTATCGCTACCCGTACCCTCCTGCAGCACAGGCGCAGGGTCAGAGGCAATTTACTTCTTCTCCCACATCATCGGCATCGCTGGTGAATGTCAAGGTGGAGGAGCCTCTCTCGACGTATCCTGGGTCACTTGCTGGGTCTGATATCCAGGACGGCTTGGGCGGTGGAGATGTGGAGGGAGAGGACGAGGAGCGCGAAGGTGGTGAGGTGGACAATGAGGAGCCGCTGTATGTGAATGCCAAGCAATACCATCGCATCCTCAAGAGGCGTATGGCGCGGGCGAGGTTGGAAGAGCTCAACAGGCTGGTACGATCGCGCAAGGTGAGCCCCACATCATAAAGAGTATAGCCCCGATGCTGACTCGTCTGCAGCCATATCTTCACGAGTCTCGCCATCGCCACGCATGCTCGCGACCTCGTGGAAAGGGCGGCCGATTCCTGACGGCAGAAGAGATCGAGCAGCTAAAGAAGGACGAGGCGGACAAGCCCAAGGAGGTTGTAGCTTGAAATTACCCTTGTTCATGCTGGATTCTGGCGCTCCTTGGAGCAGAGTGATACATGATACGATTTCCTAGATGTGTAACCACTAATTCAATCCTCTTTGTGTACTATAGTAAACAACTGTTCCGGGTACGAGTCTTCCTCTCTTGTCTCTCTAGATACGATATATTGCTAGAATTAAAAATGTACTCGCTGGTCGTGTTGGCATTTGACATTCCGAATGTTGGAGCACATGCGCGGACCCGCAGTCAGCGTGCCAGGCAGGTGCAGAGCATGCATCAACTCTCAGCAATGCAATCGGCACATTTTCCACTCATCGACAGCCCCCTCACGAACTCTCCGCGCCACTCCACGACCCAAGACACAACGTACATAAAGTACCGATGCTGACATTTTTGCCAGTGACGCAGCCGGAGTTCAGACCTGTTTGGCGCGAGAACTCAAAAAATCAACGCGTTTCGGCCGTAAACGGGCGTATCGGTTTTAATTAAATGGCAGGGCATCGGGACATGTCGGGATGATGTCGGTAGAGGTCGGATTTGGGGGGGGGGCAGGTTGAGTGATGATTATGTGGCAGAGAAATAGGAGTAGCACTCGGCCGTGGCAGTGCCAGTCAACTAGCAATACATGGTTCTCGATGCGCAACATATACAACCATACTTGTTTCTCCTTTTGCGCCTGTTGTACATTCCAAGGAGCAAAACTCTTCTTGACCGTCCCTCGGCCTTCTCGTCGTTATCCTAGACCTGTCGCCGTCGTCGGGGACGGGTCCGATAAAAGTTCTAACACGCAGCATCAGCAAACTGCAGTGACAGACAGCCTATAGACTCACCCCATGATCCAAAGTCGTGAAATCGTCAACAGTCGTAGCGATCCGAACCAACTGGTCAACTGTCAGCGCAACACTCTGTAAGATACTCTGAGAAGAAGGACGTACATATTCACCCAACCTGACCAATTCTCGGTCATTCGCACCATGCCCCGTACCAGCACTGTTGAAAGCCTTGATCTTCAGCCCAGAACCCGGGTTCATCGCGAAATTCCGTGACAGATCGTCAATGTGGACCGTCTATCGTTTCATCATCAGTCACTGAAGGACAAGAAGGGTACCCACGTTCTTTGCGGACCAATGCGGGTAAGATGCCCAGATATACTCGAGCGGCTTGACCTCATGCTTCACAACCTGACCACTCCTGTGCGAAAAGACCTACCGCTGCATCAGCACAATTTCCATATAAGCCGTTTGAAAGAGGACTCACCGGAAACATTGGCCCCCTATCACAAACAAAACTAACCTCAAACCCGCTCCCCTCCGTCCCCACGATCCCAAGCTCCACTAGCTTTGCCTCCAGCCACCGCCAGCTTGTCTGGGACCAGACGGCAATATCGTAGTGTTCGTACACCTGCCGGAGAAAGGTGTGAAGGCCTGGGCGGGCGCATTCGGCGGGGGGAAGGGCGCCGGATAGAAGGGGCTTGGTGTCTACGATGGCTACGCGGGATCGTCAGGTAGAATCGGGAGTGATAAGAGGAGGCATACTATAGTCTAGATCAAGAACGAGCAGACCCTTTCCTTCCCTCGGCTGGTTCATGATCTGTTCAAGTGTCAGCCACGTCAAACGTCTTGTATGCAGACACTCACAGTGATAGGGATGTCACGGATAATATCTTGTATCTTTCTCTTGTTTCGAGGGTCGTCTTCTGGCTTGACAATCACTCCCTTCTTCTCCTTTGCCTTTCCCGCCCCATAATCAACATCCAACTCCCCATCCCCGCCTTCCCCTTCCGGCCCAGCACCCAATCCCGCCCTGTCAGGGTCCACAAACCGTCCCTCCACAGGCGTGCCCACAAGCACAAATTTGTGGTTGTGTTTGATATGAAGGGTCGCAAAGCGCATAGCATCATGGGACGAAGACAGCTTGCCTTTGAGACTAGGCGAGAGGTTGATGAGTTTCTGAGAGGCCGGTGGGATGGAGGTGAGGGTAAAGATTTTCTCGCGAAAGTCGTAGACCCTGCCAGCACATCAGATTATGTACAGTGATACGGCGGAGGACTCACATATCGTTCCCGCCGACTCGGATATCAAACACCTTGCCACCCCACTGCATCTTCAAGTCCCACCATTCCTCAGATTCTTCCGCAAGAGGGACGGGAGCGACCACAGGAGAGTCTGGCTCTTGATCCACACCCAAGTTTGATTCTTTGTCTATGTCCATCTGCCCATCGGTATCCTGCTCATTGGTCTGGGGGGAAGGCGTGAAAGAGGATGATGCCTCGTTGAAGGTGTGCGACATTTTGGCGCGTTTGGAGGATTCAGGCGAAAGAGGTACTTGTTCTGTGGCGCTCTCTTGTTCAGACGTTGCCGTGCTTTGAGATACTCCAGGCTGAGGAGAAGCTATCCGTTTCGACTCTGACGTCCAGCTTGTAACCTCACTTCGATCGGGACAAAAGATGGAAGAAGCAAAGTCGGGCTTATCGCCATCACCTTTCGACAAGTGATCGGCGGTTGTATTATTCACAATGGGAGTGTCTGGAGTGTTCTCCTTTGTCAAGAGTTCAGCGGAGTTGAAAGTGGCTCCTTTTGCGAAAGGGGGCCGCCCCGTATCGCTGACGCTGGGAGCTGAGGGAGTGGGAGATGGAGTGGAGAGCGGTGGAGCGTTGTTTTGGGACATGGCGAGTCGTCTCGGGGCTGGTGGATGTGGTTTGTACTCGAAATTCAAAGGACAATGATGGCACGGACTCGAGATTGATCGATAGATGGTTTTGGTTTGAGACGCGATCATCGATGTCTTTGTTGTCAACAAGCCAACGGGATCAAATTCGCCTCCAACGTCATCGCCAGACAGATGTTGAGTGAAAGCTAGAGTACCCAGCAGCATCATTGCATCGATCAGAGTGGTACCAAACAATTAACAATAGCATCAACACAAATGACTCGTATGGGTTTATACAACGACACTCTAAGAGTTGGAACTCACAACTCTCAGCGTATCTATGGCGAGCAACATTATATGATGTTACGAACAACTCGAGACCGATGATAACGGCGCATGGAATGAATGACAGGGTATGCTAGAGAGCATGGTAACTTATGAATAGTCCGTGATAGAGAGCTGAACGCCCGAGCACTCAATATGACCCTCGAGGTTGGAGGGTTCTAGTTTACAATCCGACTCTGCCGCTTCTCCACCTTCTTCCCGCCCGGTCCCGGTCCAAGGGCTGGAGCAGCAGCATCAAGTACCACACTCCTTCTCCATTCCTCCATCTCCTCTTTCCTCCTCCCCTCTCCTCTCCCTACCCTACTCTCCCTCCCCTCCTCCCGTGCTCGTCCAGCCCGCTCAGCTCGGGCCCGCTCCTCTTTCTGCCTCATCTCCCACTTCTTCTTCTCCTCCTCTATCCTTTTCTTCTCCTCATACTCATCCCCTTCTTGAAGCTTTTGCGTCACAGACATCTGGAGCTGGGAGAGTCTGTTGCGGTGCCGCGAGGCGAGCTGGTCGTATGACATTGTGCGCGACCTTCTCTCCGGTCGGGGGCCTTGACCCTGGTCGGGAGGAAGAGGCTGAGAGCTGGGCTGGGGCTGGTAGTACGAAGCGGACGAACCGGAACGCTGTTGGAGAAGACGTTCGGAAGAGAAAGAACCATGTTGGCCGTGGCCGTAGTAACTCTCTCGTCCATGCCTCTGCTCCTGGGGGTAAGTCGCTCCACCGGCGCCGCCTTCGCGAGGGCCAAAGTCAGACACCCGTCGATCCAACATACTCTTCGTCTTTTTCCTCCTCTCTTCGATACCCCTCGCTACGCTCACAGGCATGTCGATATACTCGCTCTCCCTTGGACGTTCCCGGGAAGGAAAGTATGACGATGTGGCAGAGGTCGGCTGGGTTGGGTATGGGGAGTGAGAAGAAGAATGCGAAGAGGCGGGCGTAGGAGTGACAATCTGGCGAGAAGCGAGATATGCATCCCATTCAGATTTTGGGGCTTCTTTCGCGGGGCGCACGACATCGTTGAGAGGCTGAGTCATCGCAGGCTCGAGCGGGGTGGACCTGCCGGATAGAGGCATGGACCCAACAGAGGTCGTGCGTCCTCGGGGGTTATCGAGAAGCTTGCCAGAGGCGCTAGAATATCGGCGTTCGCGATCATTCTCCCCGAGAGAAGATGAGCCTGGGGTGCCGGAGCGGAGCATATCGAGAGAGCCACGGAGACTTTCGCGGGCTTTTTTGATATCGTCGAGAAGTCGGATTTTCTCTTCGAGGTCGTCGTCCGTGGACATGCCAGGAGCGGGTCGGAAAGAGGGGTCAGATCGTGGAGTGGTATCAAGGCCAAGTTTCAGCTCTTTCATCCCCAGATTGCCAAACATGCTCCCGGTAGGAGTAGGCGTATCGGGGTTGACACTCTCATACAGACCCTTCTTGTCTTTTGAGCCAGGGGCAGAGGGCTGACGTAAAAGACTCAGGGATGAAGATGGTCGAGGTCGAGAGAGAGAGTCGTGGTTGAGTAGAGAGAGGGTGCTACTGGCTTGGCGAGTATGGGTCAAGCTCGTTTCCTTGCTCGGTCGAGAATCAGTAGAATCGTCAAACCCAAGCTGAGGCAAGAGCACGCTCGATCGGCCAGCCGCTTGGGCCGACGCTTGCCTCTCTCGATATCCAGCCTCATAGGCCGCGTACTGCTTCTCCTTGTCTTCCACAACCTCTCCACCGGTACCATTCACCCCATACTTGCCTTCCCATTCCTCGAGCTCTACGCCGACATTCTTGAATCGCTCCGCGGCGCGAGCGACTTCAGCAGCTTCGATCTTGGCTTCTTCTTCTTCTTGAATGTGCTTGAGCTTCTTGGACAGTATGTTGAGGACGCGGAACTGGATGGCAGCTCCTACCTGTCAAGACATCAGTGTGTGTTCCAAGTGTGATTGGTAGCCACTCACAATGACGAAAGCACCAATGATGCCGAGCTCAATCATCATGGTCTGCGTAAGAGGATACTTGGCTCCGTTGAGCTTGGGAAAGAGGTCGTGGAAACCGAGATTGTAGATATAGAACTGTGCACTCGTCAGCCACGCCCCTCGATGGAAACGTCAACTTGCCTCTTTCAACCCGGCTCGAGCGTAGCAGTCAACCCCCAACACAAAAGCAGTAGCGCCAATGAAACTAGTCGAAACCAACATCATCCACTCGTTTGTCAACATTGGCAGCCCAGCAACAAACCACGCGACCGTCATGCCTCCGACAAGGCCCCATCTTCCCAGTGTCGTCGGGACCAAGCCGCCTTCCTTGCAGGCAAGAAGGAACCAAGCGAACGTGAATCCTCCGCCGGCAGAGATGGCATATTTGGCAAAGGTGAAGAAGAAGATACCGGCACCACCGCCTATGAGGGCAGAGACGAGGGTGGCCAGGAGGTACAGGCCGCGGGTGGTTTTGCTGGGTGGATTGGGGTTGAGAGTGTTGATGTCTGGCTCGACACTGTACCATATTAGCAAGGGTCAGACAAAAGTGTTGAATGCTCACCCGAAGCGAAGGATCAAGACGAGTGTGAAGAGCATCAGGGCGTAGCCAGAAGAGATCGCCAAGGCAGACCACCTGTTCTTGCCACCTAGCGTGGCGACGGGTATACCGGTGATGATCAAGAATGCGCCGGCGATACCATACGCTGGGTCAATGACAATGTGGAACGGAATCCAGCCGTCACCTTCATGCCACAGTGTACCGTTATCAGGAGCGATGTCGTCGGTATATGTGCCGTTCGAGATGGAAGCGTTCAAGCTCGCCAGTTGGTCGTCTATAGACGTCGAGTTGGCGTCGGACGAGGAGGAGAGGGTGAAGGTGAGGGTATAGGTAGAGGGAGCGGGGTTTTTGCTCAGCGACGTGGTCGTGGGAAATGTTGTGAGTGTGGTAGTGAGTGTTGTCTGGGTAGTGGACGCCTGGGTGGAGGTGGAATTGGTGCTGGCACTAGAAGTTGCGTTGGACGATGTGCTGGCTGTCTGGCTGGCAGACTGGGACTGGGTGTTTGAGTTGGAGGAGGTCTGGGCGAAAGCGAGGGGGAGGGCGAGGGCAAGGAGTGTGAGCCGCATGTTGGGCACGAGTGCTGCGGTGGTCGTGAGGGAGGAGGGCGGGGGGTGGAGGGGAAGAGGGGACGATGGGGATATGTAAGATATGGGGGACCGGAGAATATGTGGGGGATGTTTGGGAAGAAAGGAGACGAGAAATGACCAAACAAGCGAGGAGAGAGAGATGTCCCGTTGGTGGATGATCCGGCTAGGGGGGCTGACATATCTTCAGACCCCACTTCCTCTGAGGAGCTTGTCACTCTCCGTTGAAGGGAGCTGTGGAGGCAAATTGTAATAGAGGACATGGCGATCTAGCTTAGAAGTTGATGAAGGAAAAACGTCAATAAGTGTCTGCGGTATCTTGATCAGTTTTGCCAAATGCAACCGTATATCAATATCAGCAAGCCAGTCGACTTGCAGACATTCTTCAATCACAGCCGTCAAGTCCATGGCAGAGCATACTTTGATACAATCATCATCAGTCTGTCTGGTTGCTCTCACTACATACCCTGGCTCGACACAACCCGCTCTCTCCTGACCTCGCGAGCGGCTTGTCGCATCCTGCCTGCATCCTGCCATTTTCTCGAGTGCGACCCCTCTAATGGTTTGATCCCGCTTTCAGGTTTGAGCCGTATCTCGTGCAATACTGCTTCTATCGCTCTGAAATTTGGAGAGGGCATGCATATGGGAGAATGACATTGCATTGCCTATTTAAAGCATTTATATGCATACGCCGATTGTCAAAAGGACAGCCTTTCAAGAAATGATGTCTTGAAAAGCGGCCAGGAACGGCATCTCAGAGCTCCGCGCGCTCCTGAGCATGGTTAAGAAACGCTAGTAACTTTGGAATACGGCGTCAGAGGATTGTAGTCACATACAATCGCGTTAGTTTGGACTTTCAAGCAAGTAAATATGCTATGTACCTGGTTAACAAATTTGTAGCTGATAATAATTCTCATCGGTGTTAGAAAAACGCGGTGCCTGACAGGCTCCTGGCGGGCGACGAAGCAATAGAGGGGTCGCTCGCTCGAATTTTTGCCGGACTCTTCCCGCCATATCTCATCGCATGCATGAGATAGATGCATTTTGAAAGCGCCCAGCGATAGATACATCCTCGAAGTACCAACATGCCTGAAACGATTGAAAATTAAACATGCATTGCCACAGCAGTGGGCTTCGGGCTGTCTTAAATTCAAATAGAGGGGTCGCACTCGAGAAAATGACAGCATGCGACAAGCCTCTCTACGAGAGGCCAGGTCCGCGACCTGACCACGTGACCGTACGAGAGGCTTGTGTCGAGCCAGGCACTGTACCCGGCCCAGGGAAGACTGAAGCCGCCTCCAGCGCTAGCGGAATAAGCCGCCGCACCGCTCGGCTTTCGGCAATTACAGTTATCCTCGCCGAATCCTCGCCGCCTTCAGTTGCCGTTCTACATTATTGTGCCAGCTACGCATCATCCATCATGACCTCCCTGGACGAGACTTCTTCTCTTCTCGACCCCTTCCTCGCCCTCCTCGACGACCCCGCTCCTTCGAATGTCCCAGCCCAGACGCTCCTTGGCGCCATCACCCATTTCATCTCGACCCTCGACGACGCCCAGCTCGCCCGCTTCATCGCTTCCCTCGCCCGTTCTCTATCTCTGCCGAAGACCAATGGAGTGAGCGGTGAAGATATCAGGGCGACAGTTAAACTGGGTGTCGTAGGGTTCGTGATGAGGATGGAGAATGAGAAGAAGGGAGTGTATTTTGGATCATACAGGCGGTCGAAAGCAGCTAGGCATTGGCTGGACGGGGTGCGCCGTGCAACGGAGACGGTCAGGCACCCAGTAGGACCGCGAGTGCAGGTACTGATAGGCCTACTGCAAGGGGTCGAAGAAACACAAACCGTTGACTGGGGACATGCGCGAGTCAAACTAGAAGAGAAGGTAGTCCTAGCATTGTCTAGCGATGAGCAGATGGGGAAATTGGAGCCTTTGTGCGTTGCCATGGGGTATGTGGATGAGTCCAGGCTACTGGCGTTAAACCTGCAGGTAAGTCAAGCCACGGATCTATCTGGGCCCATGGGATGCTGACTTTTGGTAGCCATTGAGCGACAAGATTGCCGATCACATCTTCGCTTTGCTTGCCGGTCAGCAGGACCTCGACCAGCTACCTATATACGCCTCTGCAATTGGTCGGTCTTATGTGGCACTATCTTCGGACGCTGCATCCAATCAGCGGCACACTCTCCAGGCCATGTCTTTGTTTTGTCAGAGGATGGAGGGCTTAGGTCTGGAACTGGGAAAGAAGGATGCGTCTCAACGGCAAGCCGATAGTAAGGCATCTTTCTGAATTATCGCATTTGCTGACCCCATCTGCAGGCCGAGGTTCTGAAGATAAAGACCTTCACAAAACTGCTTTCAACGCCTTCCTCCTGCCCGCTTTTTCCATTCTTGATATTCTCCTCCAAAAGTTGTCTGGTCAGAAGGAATTTGTGGACTTGGCCGGTGGAATCATCAAGACAATGTTTGCCTTCTCGTGTTTGACCGCGAGCGGCGATGGCCTGGAGCACTACCACAGACTACTCGCCGGCTGTCTCGATATCACCTCCGAACGGGGAGGGGTTGCGGCTACCGAGAGCTTGTTCTTACACATCGCGAGTGAAAGAAGACTATCGGACGCAAAAGCGGCTTTCGTTCTGATACTAGGGGACGAACTTGTGCATCAGCTTGGCAGTCGGTCCATCGACTTGCTGCTTCCTCTGGCCGAGAGGTAGGTCGAGTGTTACCAGAGGGTGAGAAAGACGCTGATGGGATGAGCAGGCACGCTTATAGATCCGAAAGTAGACCAAGCTTTGAGGCTGCCCATGCGTTCTTCCTCTCACTCCTTCGCGTGTCTTCAGAAACCTTGCAGAGTGCTTCACCCCAAACCGACTTTTTCGATGCTTTGTTGCCTAATTATCTTTCAATCCTCACAAAGGTAAAGCACCTAGTGTCGCATGGCATGCTGATGCGAGCCACAGCGAGCAAAATCCGGCGACATTACGCCCGACCAGCTCAAGCAAGCTCTCCCTCTTATCACCTCTTACGCCGCCCGACGGGATTCCACCTCTATTTCCCTCTGCCTTAAAGCCCTCCTCTCCCTGCCACCATCTCCCACTACTCGGCTCATTCAGATTCGCCTCGCACCGCATATCCCGTCATCCTCACTGGCAGCTTACTTGCAAGATCTAGGAGAAACGATGAGAGGCGTGGACGAGGGCTCCCAAGAGAGGATGGAGCTCATGGGCGAAGCGTTCCAGATGATTAGCAGGGATCTGCGAGATGCGGACAAAAGGTCAGGCGTAGAGTGGTGGATGAACTGGAAGCAGACATTTGGGCAAAGACCACTTGGGTTCGTGAGGAGCAGGCTGTAAGCTGGGGAGACGACGTGCATCGACCATGATGTTGTACTGTATGTAAACAGTGTGTTGTTCTTTTATCCCTTCCTTTCAAGACGCCCGTGACGTTGTTGAGCTGTTGAGTCAGGAACCCTTGGACTGTGTATGGGTGTTGGTTGTCAGCTAGTTGATCCAGAAGTTTTGAGGTACACCTTTACTGACCAATGTTTGGCTTTGCTGGAGCGCTTGACTCTGACCATGTACTGAGCGAGGCGCCATCCGCTTTGGATAGGCTCAGCGACGACTCTTGACACAAGACATCGGGGCGCTTACAAGATGAGGTGACTGCCGACGATGAAGCTTGGCTAGCCATAGTGCTGACCCCACTGGAGCTAAAGAAGCTGCTGGCATCTGAAGAATTTGACACTGAAGAATCTGACACTTGGGTGGTAGGGGTCGTCGCTGAGATATATATCTTAGCTCACAGCCCCCACATCCCTGATAAGAGCTCACCAGTAGGAGATATGTCAGTGTCGCTCTCGCTGTCGCTGCTGCTTTCGATAGATGAGCTGGTCAACGTCTGTGCTGTTGAGGCTGTTGTTGCCTGGGAATGCTCCTTGGCCGTGCTTGTTGAATGACGAAAGCAGCAGAAGATGCAGCATCATTGATCCATCGAGCTCAGTATATACATAAACCCTGTACAGAGCATCAACCGCATTGTCAACATCACCCGCCACTCCAAATCAGAGCCCAAAGTCCCTAAAGATCCTGTCGTATACGTTTTCTTTCGACACCCTATCGTATACCTTTCCCTTCTTATTCTTGGCACCTACATAGTGCCAGAGGTCAACTTCACCCCGTGGCACAAAAGGAGCACAGCAAGGACAGTGTCGCGGGCCCATATCGCGGGGGAAGAAATCTTCAAGCACCATCTGCTCTTCATCGCTAAACCCACAAGCAGCGTCGTCGATGACTTCAGCAGTGTCGTCGATGACTTCAGCAGTGTCGTCGTGCCAACTGTCACCACCCAATTCGACGTCGGTGTTGTAGCGTAAGACGGAGTTGGGAGTGCTAGGCTTCCATGTGAATAGGTTGGCGAACGTGATGTCAAGTCTACCATAGGAATCAGCTAAAGTGCAAGTGCTGTCACGCTGTCGATGGCTCTAACGTACTGGCCTCTATAGTCCACCCGAGCCACGTCTTTGAGGTATCTCGACAGCCATCGTAAACATGCAACCTCCTGTGTGTGGCCTATGTGATACTCGCAATCCACTCCCTCGTGATACACCGCAGGAGCGAGGTCAAGGACAAGCTCGGGACCCAGGATAGGTGGAATCTGATCGAGTTTGGCATTGTGGATGACGAGCTCGTAGCATGCTAGGAGCGGACTCGGGGAGGTGATAAGGGTTTTCAGCTCATCTCCAAGCATCTCGCTTCGAGAGTAGTCGGGCCAGTGGATGCAGACGATGGGGACATATTGAGGGATGTATTTGGAATTTATTCCCAAAGAAGTCTCGGATCCCGTGTCATTCTCTAGCGCCTTCAAGATATACTCCATGTACTCTTCACCAATAACGAGGTTCTCGACGTCACAAAAGAGAGCACTGATACCAAGCTCCTCCGTGAGAGTCGAGAGGTGTCTTGGGACGGAGGCAGGATGCCAGTCTGCCGCATGGCCGGTACGGAGGTACAGAGACGAGCAGTGTCCCATCAGGAGAAGTTTTCGGACGGCAGAGAGGTAGGATATAGAAATGTGGCCAAGCGGAGTCGGCTTCTCGTCAGACAAAAGATCCAGCACAGACTGGTCGGGAAGCTCGTCGTCATCATTCAAGCCGCAGCCCTTCCACAAAGTCTCGATGCTTTTGCCATCCAAGGTCACTTCGCGGTACAGCTCCTTGGCGTGGGTGGCATAGACGGCTTGCTCGAGGCAGAGGGGGTCGACAAAGTGGGAACAAGTACCACTTGCTGGGTCTTGTATCCATACGTCTTTGCAGGGACGGATGTCCATTCTGCCATAAGCCAGAAGCATCGTCTGAAGGTCCCTTCTCCACGATGCCATGTCCGAGACGCGCGGCCTGCCTCCGAGCTGAAGGCCAACCATCGTGACCTTGAGACTATTTAGCATTTGCCAACGAAACTATGTTCTTACTCACCTTCCGCAGGTACTGGGGGACAAACATGATTGCCGAAAGTTTGTGAGTAATTCTGTCGCCGCGTTTTGCCAATATGGCATTGATGTTGTGTTAGCTTTGCGGTTTTGAAGTCGGAAAACTTTCTGGGGAAATCCCGTGCACGCCTTGACGAAGTAGACATCAATGCCATATTGGCAAAACGCGGCGACAGAATTACTCACAAACTTTCGGCAATCATGTTTGTGTTTCTGAGGGGCATGCAGTCCCCGAACGACGACCTTACCCAAAGAACCCAGCGGTCAGGGGCCAGCCAATTCACATACAGGTAAGCCCATAAGGTAGGTGCCTCGTGGTTCTAGTCCATGTTGGTTAGCGATTGGTATTATCCGCGAACAAATGGTGATGATACTGACCTGACACAAAGTATAGAATTCGTGCCCAGCCCATTGATATATAGACTCAGCGCGCAGGCCCCAAGGGCCAGGAATGGATGGGTGGGCGTGGAAGGCTTGGTTAAATAGGTGCAAGATATTCTCTTGGAGCTCCGGGGAACGAAATCGCTCCTCCGTGAACACGTGAGATATGCCATATCTCTCTTGCAGATATTGTTGTCGCCTAGGCCGAATATGGGTGTCGAAAAGCTGGATGAGCTGTTGTTTGGTGGCTTTGCTGTCGCAATTCACTTTCTCAAGGCTCGTGATCGCAGCCAAGTCCGCTGCATTGGCTTTGGAGGGGTAGAAGACGTTGGTGATGTAGATAGGAGGCTCAGGCGGGTAGGTCGACCTTGGTGCTGAATATCTGCAAAACCGCGTCAGCATGCACCATCAACATGATTGCAAGTAAGATTACGCACAGGATGCTCGTTCAATGCAGACGATTTCCTGGCCACTTTGGCCTCCTGGGACCCCTCAAGCCGTTTGGCCGACTGATTCTTGTACTTCGACGCGCAGTTCTGGCAAGGTACTCCCCGCTGTGGTCGCACACGCTTGCGACAGGAACATATGAGCTCCGGGGGTGTGCTGGGGTCGATAGGGGGCAGAGAGGGACGAGGCATTGTGTCGGTGATAGGGCTTGGGGCAAACAGCGGTGGGGATGTCGTCGTTGGGGACGCACAAGATTGAGATGCAAGATGGATAGACGAGTGAGTGTGCTGTGAAGGGTTGTTGTGGTGGTGGTGGTGGTGCGCTGGAGCGTGTTTAGGGGGTGTTCGGTCGTCATAAATTGTGGAACAGGGGCCGCGTCGGGAATCCAGGCGACGAGTGTGGCACCTTCTCAGGGGTGACACCTTGTGAATTTTGGTCTGGATTGTCGTCCAGTGCCCGAACAGGTTTCAGCGAGTTTCCCCACCGACTCGTTTTGGTTCCGGGACACCCTATCCAGGGGTAAGGAGAATTTAGAGGCCAGAGAACGTTCGAAACTTCGAATGCATACAAAACCCAATGACGTCGTCAAGGCCCCTGCTTGCCTGAGGACAACTATTGCTCCGAGCCCTGGAATCCCCCTGACCGTACCTGACTCTACCCTGACAGGCCCGCCAAAGTCCCAACGTCTTGGCCAATCTCCCAGGGGTTGGGCTGGGAGTTGCCAGGCAGCTGCGTTGGCTGGGGCCGCCTTTCAGCGACGAAATGCTGGATTCTGGGGTGACTCGGAAGAGGGTGTGCAGAACGTGCCACGACGGGTTTCTTTGAGACGACTCAGGTGGCCGCCTCCGTCACTATGGGGACGACTTCCACAATTTGTGCGCCGTACACCCCCTTAGGTCGATTGGGAAGTGACTGGACAACAATCAAAATCATGCGGAGGCAAAATGAAAATGGTAGGAGGGAGGGGGGGGGGGGGGGGGGGGGGGGGGGGGGGGGGGGGGGGGGCCTACACCTCGTGTCTTGCCTCGTCTGCTGGTGGGGGCCAACACACCTGGCGGGTTCCTGGCGGGATCGCCTGCCAGGCCTCTTGATGTATGCACCCCACCAGAAGCCGGCCAGACACACGCCATAGGGCCGCATGCCGCGAATCGAGCCACTTACATAATCAGCGGTTTTTTTCATTTACATAATCACTAGACCATTCTTCTGTAACGCGCGCTGACTTAACATTGTTCGTGCCCAGTTTGTCCAGTCGTCCATGATATATATACTTTGGGTTTTTTGATTGCCAAGAATATTATACATAGGGCGATGCTAGTACTATTGAGCAAGAGAAGGATCGAAATATGAATACGGCTCCCAGAGAGTCGCTGTTGACGTTGTGTAGGACCTCTACGAGTGAATGCCTGCATCTCTCGCCGAAGTTCCTCACGCATCTTCAGCGCCGTTCCCCATCTTTTGTTTACAAACGTAGCAAAGCCGGGGTCTCCTCGCTGAATTTGAGATTTGACGATCATGAGGAGATCCGCCATAGCCTCACAGTCGTTGGTCAGTATTGCTTCGGCATGCGCCCGCGCAGCCTCCCTCTCGTCATCAGTTTGCAACTGGCTCCGATAATCATCCGACCTTTCTCCTCTGTTGAGGCCTGCATCAACGCCCTGATCCCCTTCCTGATGCTCGTCCTCATCATCGCTATTTTCTTCGGGGGAAGATTCGCCAAGATCACTGGAAGGGCTTTCGAGGGAAGGTAGATAGTGGGTGGAGTGAAAGGGAGGGGATCTTCGACGATGGGTGGTTGCACAAAACCGTCTCCAATCGACAGGACTGTTGTTTTCTATCGACCACAGCTGTATGCGGGCATACAAGTGTTTACAAAAGAAGTGTCTTTGAAAACATGTCAGCACAAACCTAGATTATGACTGTGAATTGCTCACGGTGACCGAACAAATGAAGGGCAAGAGCAAGTCAAGATTGATAAGTCCTGAGTATACCTTTCATCAAGAATGATCTTCCCCTCTCGATGATCTTTCATATGGCTCTTCATTTGGTTCCAAAAATCACGTTTGCGCCATGGCATATTTTCCAATGCTGTTCGGCCTCCCGGTCGTCGACGAAGGCTAGAAAGCTACATTTTCGTCAGTACGTCGTGCACGTAGCCTCGGTCATTGCGACACACCTTCCGTACATAGAAAGGCTGTAGCTCATTGAAGAGTTTCCAGAAAAGGGTATCCAATCTTGGTCTCTTCCCCAAACTAAGATGACTGTCCTTGATGACACCAAAGCTACAACGAGCTGCATTAGCTATTGTCAACTCCCGCTTTGTGTTGACAAGCTTACTGCCGCTCTACAGCCATGTTGGTCTTGTTTAGTGGCATACAGTCTCTGAAGGCTGACCGTGCCCATAAGTCCCACCGCCCGGGCTCGTACCAATTACTCCATAAATAAGCCCATAATGCTGGAAGGCGATTCTCCTGCACAAAAAGTAAGTACCAATGACTGTGGATTGGTGAGTGAGCGTGGACTTACGTAGCAGAATTTATACAACGCCCTGACCGACTCTTCGTAGATCGCTTCCGGTGACTTGAAGTTGACTGTGGGAACGTCCGGAAGGCAATGGAAAGCGTTTTCGATGAGCTGCAAGACGTGGGCGACCAGAGCCTCTGGACAGAATGTCTCTCTTGTTTGCACGAATGTGGCGTCACTATCGTTCGCTTGGTAACGATCCCGCAGGTTCTGCTGTCTGGTAGGTAGTATATGATGGTTGAAGAGCGCCACAAGATCAGGTTTGAGCGAATTAGGGGGTATGGGAATACCTTCTCGGCCAAGGATAGCCCTGAGATCGCGAGAGAGGGCCTTTTGAGCAACAAATGTTGAGAAAAGATACACAGGGGGTCCAGCATGATCATCGACCTGCGAATTTGTAATCGTTCTTGGTACAATCCGATAGCGCACCGCTGAGCGAGGATCTGACACAGACGATGTCGGTATGATCGAAAAGGATGGGATGCTTGTGTTGCTGGTGGTCCCAGAAGGGGTTGCGGGGGAGTGGCTTACTCTGGTCGCTGCAACTTGGCTCGATTGCGACTGACGAGGAGCCCTAGCTTGGACGCTAAAGGCAGAGGAAGTGGGATCGCCATTGAGTGTCGATACAAAGTTAATATCAATGAAATCGAACTGCTCGTGGGCGGAGTATGGATCGTAACCTCTGGTCGAAAGTCCCAGCTTCCGGAGTCTCGACTTGATGGCATCTGATAGCAAGAATAAGACATGCTTTAGGGGGAATAACCAGAGGCACTCACCACGCACATGCCAATAACAAAGCATGACCTTGCCTTCCGGGAACTCCTCGGTTGCCGCGGTGATCTCAGCCCAGTCCTTGTCGAGGTGCACAATCTTTAGCTTCAATCCAGCATAGTCACGAGCTCTTCTAAAGAAGTGTTTCAAGGCCGAAGTACGCTGAGACCAAACGTCAGTCATGCCCTTGACATCGTGTACACATTAGACTACTAATACTGGGACTTACATTCGCCTCAGTAAGAGACCGTTTGGTTTCGAGGGCCAGATAGAATGCTGGTATACCGCTGTCAACATCTAAGACGATGGCGTAAAGCTCAAGGTTGTCGCTATTGGTGCCAACTACTTTGAGGTCAGCAGATTGATAGAAGACATGCTCGATGATGACCTACAGGTAGCATCCACGTATATCTCATCTACATGCCATTTTTTACGTTTTACCTCATCAAGAACCCTCTTGAATCCAAACGCAATTGCAGTAATACCCGGCATGTCGGGCATGTCAAGATACACAACTTCACCCGTTTCATGGTGCTTCTGTAACAGAAGACGGGCAGACGTGACTGGATCCTTGTCAAGCCGGTGTGGCGAGTTAACAATCTCGGTGATACGGTTCCGTAGCTGAGATGTTGATATCCACTCGTAGTCATCTCCAGAGAACCTATGTCGGATGAGACTGATAAGATCCTGAGGTGTAGCTCGTTTGCCCGCAGGTCCTCGAAGGTATTCCTCAAGTGCCTCCCATACTTCTGTAGGGACATCGTTGCGGCAATAGGCAATATGAGGAACGATGTGCTTAGCACGGACGTAGACTCTACCATACCGAGGGGAATACCTGACCACCAACTGACTCTGACATGGATACCGATCCATTCCAACATTGCCTTCTCGTATTTGCGGCAGCCATGGCGCAGACCCGTGGGGTTGATTTGCAGAAGGGTGAGAGGAGTTGGGTTGTTCATACGAGTTCGCAGAGTGCCTCTCACGCAAGGCTTCTCGCAAAGCGGTTTTGGAATTGGTAGGGGGGGGGAGTACTGGCGTCCTGGCAGCAAGTGAAGACAATTCGAATGGACCCTGATTTGTATTTTGTGTGATATAGTTCGCTACTCGACTGTCAGCAGTTGCCAAGTATACCCGCAGTATAAAGTTACCTACCGGAAGTGGTAGATTCCTTGAGCAGCCTTCCCCCCCAATTCTTTCGCAAGCTGACGCACCCATCCTATCCGTCCCGTAATATCGGAAGGAGGCAGTTCACCAGGAGGAGGATACCAATGAGCGCAAAAGTCCATGGGATTCCTGAACGATGCCCTCGCGAGTATTTCTTCCTCAGACTCGGGATCAACACCGCGACATCGAAGATGAGAATCGACAGAAGCATGATGGGCGCGCAGGGCAGAGGCAAACAAATTGTACAGGTTCTCTCGTGACTCTGCGGTGTCGACATGAACAGGAGGATGCTGTTTCAAGAGTTAAGCTGGGTTTTGCTGGAGGGGATGGTACGTAGACTCACCTCCTCACCATCTTCACCTTCCCCATCGAGAAACAGCTCGCAATCTTCACCAGAGACACGCTCCTCGGTCCGCTGGCGTACATCTCTGTTTGCCTGGGGGTGCACTGCTTTTCTTTTCGCCACTTTCTCCCGCCTATAGACTCTATCTTTCTCCAGACATGGGGGGCACCTTGAAGGACGCTTTTTTCCATTGCGAGCGTCCTCGGCAGACAGGGGGGGGATCTTGGTGACGTGACATCGGGCACAGAGGCCTTCCGGGCGACACGGTGGCATACTTCGAGGTGGAGAGCATCCAGGAATGGGGGCACACGACGCGGAATGGGCGATGAGACAGAGAACGTCGAGTTGATAAAGTCGAGGATCAATGGAGAACGATGATGAGGTCGAGGATCAATCGAGAATGCCTACGCGACGAGGACAACACGATGTTGTTGTGTCTGGAGTCAAAACGTATTACATAACCTAGACATTATGTAAGTGGCTCGATTCGCGGCATGCAGCCCTATGACTACTGGCCAGACCGCCTGAATCTCGGGGGGGGTTGCGGGGGGGCGGCCTGCCATGTTCCTGCCAGAGCATGTCCTTTCGCTTTCGCGTACTGGGCGCCCCTTGGATCTTGCTGGGCTCTTTCTGGCTCGTTCTCTGCAGCTATCGACCTTCCATCGTGTTCTCTCGTCTTCACGCTACATATGCATATAATTACTTTTAGGCCTATATCCTCTCCATCCCGCCCTTTCAGCCACCCCCCGCTCCTCTCCTACCATGCGCACTTCCACTTCCACTCCGATTGCTGCCCAGTCCCGCCCCCGCTCTGCCCCTTCTCTCGCTCGAAGGTCGTCACCCCTTTCCCGACGGACCTCCAACCCGTGCTAGAAGGTGGTGAACTCAGCATCCGGCAAGCATCCGGCCATTGTCAGCTTACTACAATTTGACTACTGAAGATGAGTAAATTGCGGGCTTGTCACTTTCTCGTATCGATATTGCCGTCCTCATGCATGAGACGAATTGGGCTAGCTATGACCTGTGGCTACTTGTCACGCAAACAATCGTGCGGTGCCGCCTGGAAGGGCTTTTGTCGAGAGGGGAGAAGGCCGGTGAGGATGCGCGAGGTGCGCCGTGCATGCCGATTGCCGATCGCTGCGGTCAGAAGACGCTTCACTTGCTCGTCCACCATGTGACCATCCACCCCATCACATCGCCCAATTCAGAATTTTTTAGTGGTGCCTATCTTCGCCCTACCCATCGTGTCCACATTATCCACTGCATACCTGGAAATCATTCACACCAACACTTGCCCCTGGTCCCCGCCAAACAAGCCCAAACCCACAAGCACTGCACCAAGAAGAACGCTGCTCACCCACCCAGGCCCTCCTGTTAGGACTCCCCGTTCTCATCTCCTCTACCGACACCAACACCGACTACCGCGACCAGTCTTCCAAGGGTACCGACTTTGCTGGACGCGGGGATACGGACGAGGCATCGAAATGGGACGAAGACGACGGCGAGGAGGTCTTACCTCCATCGCTGGAAAGGGAAACGGACCAGATACTCTCTCAGTTAGGATCAGAAGTATCTCTCGCAGCGGCTCTATGACTCCATGACTCGCGGATAGATATAACGACGACTAGAGGGGTACGTGGGGGGGTGGATAGGGAGAATTTATATCCCGGTGTGGTCTCGCCTCAGTAGGAAAACCACTTTCATCAAGCCGTCAAGGAGAATGGGTCAGCTGCTGCCAAGTGAAAGTACTACAACGAGCTGCTCTCTATCGAGACCATGAGTTAGCCTCGCATCATGGAGTGGCAGTAGAGAAAGAGTCCGACGACATAGAACTGTCCAGATGGGATGGGTGTCAAGGCAGGAGACGCGCCGAAAACAAAAGACAACACCACAGACTTTCTCAGGCAGGATGAGGAATGACATGCAGCCGATCTAATCATGCAGTACGTCGTAGACCGAATTACCTTCGCCGAAGAGTGTATGCTGACGGGGAAACTAGACATATACAACGCCTGGAATCAAGATCAACTTTCCCTGCATAAATGCTCGAGGCCTGGTATGTCCCTTTGTCATAAACCTCAGCGTATGCCCCCTGGCCTATGACCGGTCGCGTATCCTGAGGACGCAACAGATACTTGTGTCGCTGACGCTCCCGTGACAGCCCGACTCTGTATTGCCATGATCGCAAAGTGGCACGGGAGTTATACTCTCCAAACTGTGCTTGAGGTGTCGAGATTCCCATTCCACCCATGCCGTCCTTGAGCTCCCTCCCCACCTCGCCACTCCAAGCTCGTTATCCACCGCTCCTCTCCAAGATTCATCCTCACTCTCTCCATGCGTATGGCCACCAATCATCTGAATCGGTCGCCAGTGCTTGAAGAGATGATCAAGGACCGGGGAAAAACAGACTGTGCGGCCTATGCATTCTACGCCCAACCGCCCATCTTCACTCTTCCTCTCGCCGTTTGCCGTATGGGAATGTCATTCAAGACAAACTCTCCTGCGGGCTTTCTCAGCTCGCCGCCGATGAGTCATCACTCGAGGTTATCTTCGGCAGGGGATTATATCGTAGTTGGAATGGGGTCAGGAAGGGTGTGGGGTCTTCTATCGAAGCGAGTATGTCGCATCGCACCATTATCAAACCTCCCTGGAACATCTTCCAAACGACACTCCTCTCAGCCATACCCTCTCCCTCGAGCGCAAACGTCTCTCTCGTTTACCCGTCGGCGAACAAGAGAGTGTTACGCTGGTAAACATTCACTCGTTCTGTGATCCTGCAAAGAATGAGAACGTCGCTCTGCCTCTGGAAGTGCTCGAGAAGGGCAGGGGACTGAGAGAGTGGGTGCAATCGTGTATGGAGGTGAAGAGGAAGAGAGAAAGACACGGAAGAATGATATGGAGAGAGAGATGCCGTCTAGGACGGATGGAGAGAGTGCCGAGAAGAGTGATCTGGATAGTGATTATGAGCGGAGCCTCGGTCGGTACGTCTCTCATTCCAAGCATGGTTTCCTACTGACCAGGACTATAGTGAACGATACCTCAAGTCAATGCACGTTGCCCCATTACCCGAATCTTCGTTGAGCACCACGCCACCCTTCCTCTCCCGCCCCTGCGATTCAATCCCATCACCACTCCATACTCCAACCTGTCCCTACCCATATTTCCAAAACCCTCTGGCTATGAACGCGTCAGGACTCGAAACCAGTACCCCAACTCGTCAACAAACCTCGCGCGCCAGGCTCTCAACGAGCCGGTCGTGCCACATTTGGCTTACGAAATGTCCATCATCGGAGAGAAGGGTATCCACCTCGATACCAATGATTGTGGAGAAGGGGAGCATACCCCCCACGAATATCAGGATGACGGGGCCGAGGTTGTTTCTGCAACCTGAAGCAGAGGTCTAGAAGGGAAATGATGAGAAGGGTATGTACACAGAGAAGACGCGCGGCTTCGCTCAACATAATGGCATATCTGTCGATATGCATTGCTCGTATCATGGCAGGACAAGTCCTATATACAGTCAACTCATAGCGTCGCCTCGTATGCGAGGCCAAGCTTGGTAGAGTCTGCGCGTCCTTTGGGAAGATGAGGGCGGAGATGAGATCGCCGGTTGACTAATCTGCGCTTGGACCATGTCTCACCTTCTCACCTCTCCCACCTTCTCCCCACGGATTCTGGTCTTTCTCTCTTTCTCTCTTATCCCATCTTCCAACAATTCCCACCCACAACAAGCATGCCCCGCAAAGCGCGAAAAGGCGTACGTACCGATGGCTCCGTCCTCTCACATACCGTCATCCACCTCCCCACCCCTCTCACCCCATCCAGAGCCGTCTTCGCATCATGGAAACGTTGACTGACTGACTGCCTTAGAAGTCCTCACACAATAACGATCCAAACCAGACCAGCGTCAGTCTCTCAGTCTCATTCCAGGGTCGTGCTGACTGGAACCCATTAGCTCAAAGGTTGGGTCATCCCCAAACCCTCTTCTGCGGCTTCCCAGCCATCCTCCGCGATCCTGACCGAAGCACCCGACAGAAAGGCCAAGAGGGTGGCCACTTCCTCCTTGGAAGCGCACACCGTACGTTTAGGTAGCCCCTTCGCCCCAGACATCGCTGACAAGCCAAAAGTCAACCGCCAAAAAGTCGAGAGTGGGAACGAGTCTCGTAGGTCCTTTCGCCTCGTCAGTGAAACATAAGCTGACCGCCTGCAGCAGCATCCTCCCGCACCCGACACAGTGCAACGTCTTCCCATCCCCTCAACCCGGAACGAGGTTGACCCCGTCTATGACGACGACATCTCGTCAGACGAGGACGAGGATGACTGTGAGAACGACCACGACTATGACGGCCAGTCCGGTCAAGTAGACGACCACTTTGCGAGGCGCATGAAGCCCGAGGATATGCCTTCTAACAGCCTGTCAGTCCCGGGAGATGCCTTCTGGATGGAAAATCTTGTCAGGCCCCTGGAACATCACGCCTCTCGCCTGGGCCTAAAGGCAACCCCCATGCCCAGAGCCACGTACAAGCGCCTTTCCGAGGTCTTGGACTTCGTCCTTGGGTGCAAGGGCCTGTACATCATCTGGACGGCCTACCCAATGTCCGAAAGAATTCGAAAGCTGGTGCTCGGTCTCTGGGCACTTTTCATGCCAACGAACTTCCAAGAGCTTCTGACAAGCTCAGAACCCCCATCCATCACCCAGATCCTTTCCCTGGTGGATGCGAACGGTGTACGTTATGACGAGGATGGCGACCGATTAGACGACTTGGAGGGCCTTGATGAGGTCCAGGGACGTTGTGTCGGAGTGTATTTGAAGGTGGCGTTGCAGGTGGCGTTGAAGGTGGCGTTAGGAGAATCTCAACACACGGTCGAAGAGGATGCCATGGAAGAGAATGCCGAAGAAGATCATGCCGGAAACCAGTATAGCATTCATCCACATCCGCCCTTACCTGTATTGATATACACTGGACAAACGTCGATGGTGATACCATCCGGCAAGTCGATGGGATTCCGGGTACGATGGAGAAGGCATGTCAAGGAAGCGTACGATCGTGACGAAGTGGATCCTCTAGACAGGTGACTTCAATGACGGTCTAGCCTTCATATGAACGATCTAACAGGGATGCAGCCTCTTCAACAAAAAATTCAAGAACTCGCGACCACAATATCGCATGGCATTCGCGGCCATTGTCTCTGTCCCAGTACCCAACGGTACCGAGCTGGACACCCCACTTCGCAACAGCCTGATATTGTTCGCTAGACTTAGCGAGGCTGTATGTCAAGAGGCGCTTGACACAGTGCATAGGGCTGCAAAGTCCACTCGTTCACGTGCCCATAGGACGTTTTGGGCTAATGGTCCAGGCGACTATTCAGGGACCAACGCAAGCCCTCCCCTTCATGAGTCGTTCTCCTACTGGGAGCTAGGCAAGCGCCAACGCCCCCTTCCCGAGTGTCCTGTCTGTGGTAGGCTCTTTGCAAGGAAATCATCGCTGACTACTCACGTACGTACGGGCTGGTGAAGTGCCCAGTCACAACGCTAAAGGAAAGTCATAGCACACTGATAACCATGAACCCAAGACGTTGGGATGTCAAAATGACGGTTGTCTGTATAGATGCGCGAGGGAGTCGAAGTTGAAGAGACATGTACGTATCGGGCGGTGGATGGCCCATCAAAACGCTAACGGAAAGCACCGGTGAAAGAAGTACATGGAGAGAAGACCTGGTCATGCGGGAGCAAGGGGTGTGATTGGAAGTTTGCGACGAAAGCAGGATGGAAAAAACATGTACGTATGGGCCGGTGGATGACCCATGTAAACGCTAACGGAAAGCACAGGTGAAAGAAGTACATGGAGAGAAGACGTTGTCATGCGGGAGAAAGGGATGTGATTCGAAGTTTGCTACGAAAGGACAATTGAACTATCATGTAGGTATGGGCCGGTGGATGACCCATGTAAACGCTAACGGAAAGCACAGGTGCGGACAGTACATGGAGAGAAGACGTTGTCATGCGGGAGAAAGGGGTGTGATTCGAAGTTTGTGACGAAAGCACAATTAAACACTCATGTACGTATCGGCCGGTGGATGGCCCATCAAAACGCTAACGGAAAGCACAGGTGCAGGTAATACATGGAGAGAAGACCTTCTCATGCCGGAGAAAGGGGTGTGATTCGACGTTTACGACGAACGCAAGATTGAATGCGCATGCACGTATCGGGCGGTGGATGGCCCATCAAAACGCTAACGGAAAGCACAGGAGAAAGAAGTACATGGAGAGAAGACCTGGTCATGCGGGAGCAAGGGGTGTGATTGGAAGTTTGCGACGAAAGCAGGATTGAAAAAACATGTACGTATGGGCCGGTGGATGACCCATGTAAACGCTAACGGAAAGCACAGGTGAATAATTGTAAACGCTAACGGAAAGCACAGGTGAATAAAGTTCACGGAGAGATATGGCAAGCCGCTGGGAAAATAATTCAGACGCGCTCTCTTTTTTCCGGCTCCTCTCTCTTTTTTTTCGGCTACTGGCTTGCGTGCATGTTATTGTTGCATTGCATCTCATTTTTGTTCATGACGCTTCAGTGTACAGAGGGCCCTTCTATTTTCTATATGCATTATTCTTTGCTGAGTCGGTTATTCATTCATGCTGAGCCAGCGGTGGCAGGGCCAGCTTCGCTCGGGTTCCCAGCCCTTTCAGGTATGTACTTGGTCGGGCGAAAGATTGCAGCTCGCTCTGTCAACACCTCAGTCTCCACCCTCTTCCCTCCCAATAGCTTGATGATCCGCCACGTCAGTATCTCAACGCAGCAACAGGCAGCCCGACATACGAGATGCCACCTATTTCCTTTCGCACAGCCGTGAGCCCAGTGATTAGAGACGAGAGGGGGGCCTGAGCTGGCAACGTCAGAAGAGATACGGGACGTCACGTCTTGGATGGAGACTCAGATGCAAGAAACCAACAATTACAATCAGCGTCCGGCAGACAACGACCCCGTTGGTGAGCACAGCCGAAAGGGTGCCCGGGTCACTATACCTCCTTGCCAGCCAGCTATCAGTGCGGTGGACCCTCGGAGGGTATACGCCAGAGCACTAGAAACAGGAGGCGAATGGGGGAGAACAGTACCGAGATGTCACAGCGCCAGCATGGCACGGGTAGTCACCTAGGGGTCGAGCAGCACAGCCCCGCCTAGATACAGAAACAGCAGAGATCGTATCTCGATCGCAAGTATATGTATGGCTGCAGGTATCAGCGCGAGCGCATGCCATGTATGAGAGGGGAATGCATACCTAGCCAGATGAATAGCGGAGGATAGAGCCAGGAAAGAACAAGATCAGGCGCGGTGCGCGCCCGACGTCCTCAGCGTCAGGGTCCCCTACAACCCAGTCACTTGTAAGCGCGATCCCAAATCAATGCTACTACGTAGAGTATGTTGGCTCAAGATTGCACAAATCAGATGGCTTGAGCGAGAGATAAGCAATCGTTTGAGAATGGCCTGTATGGTCCGCTCTGCGATAGCCGCAGGTGGTAATCTGGTCGCGAGAGCTTTGTGGTAGATGATCAGCGACCACGTTCATCCAACACCCAGCGCTGATCGACCTCCGAATTCAGTTCTCAAATAATACATGTCTCTTACACAACCCCTTCCCATCTTATCTCTAGCTCGAAAGAATCAAGCAGCGACGGCCCACTTTTTGGCGGCTTCGTCAAACGCCAAAGTCTTCTCAGCGAGATCGACGGCGTAAGGGTGGGCGGGCTCTGTTTCTTGCAATTTACTGAACTTTTGTCAGCCGGCAACACGACGAAAAAATCTTGACAAGACGGCAGGATACTCACGAAGCAAAGTCCTTCAATCCCAAGCTCGCTCCAACACCCACCAAATCCGCCTTCCCCTTCGCTCCACCGCTCTTCAGCCCCTCCTTGACGTCCTCCTCCGCTTCTTCCTTCTCTCCCAACAACAAGTGGGCGCCAGCGTGAGCGGCCAGGACAGGGGGAGTACGGCCATTGGGGAGTTGGTAGAGTTCTTCGTAAAAGTAGAAGGATTGGTGGAGGGGTTGAGCGCCCTATAGAGAGTCAGGGTGACTTGGCAAGCTCGGGAAGATGTACGTACAGATTTGAGACCGATCCAAGCTTCAATGGCCTGGATAAGCATAGAGTCGTTGCCGATCCTCTTGGCAGCAGTGTATGTTTGGAGGGCAAGGTCGCGTCGGTTGAGCGAGAGCAAAAGTTGCACCAGGATTGCGATGCTACTCTTGTTAGCATGCCATATAGCCACATGAGCAGTGAATAGCTCACCACTCGAGATCTTCTTTAGCAGCACCGTCGGCCAAAGTAGCGACAGCCTCTTCCTTCTCCCCTGCCAGGATGAACAGCCCGCCAGCGACCGCTCGAACGAGGGCCTCCCCAGCCTCGCCCTCACACTCGAGCACCACATCTCTGATCTCTTCCACCTTTTCTTCCCCGGGAGAAGCGAGGTATTGCGCAAAGATGTCCACAGCGCGCGCCTGCAATGCCGGGGACTCGCCAGCGAGCCACGGGGCAAGCACAGCGCGAGACTTGTCGATCTCTACCGGTGATAGCGCGAGGTGGGATCGGGCAATGTAGACGGCGCGGCCGAGGGCATCTTCGGGTGACTCGAGGTCGTCGGTGGGTGGGGTGTGGAGGAATTCTGTGGCGGAGTCGATGCAGGCTTGAAAAGAGGACTGGTAGAAGAGTTGCTTGGTGTGGTAGAGGGGGTCGGCTTCCATTTTGGAGGGGTGTGGTCTGGGATGTGGGGTGTATGGGTGAGTGATAGAAGAGAGAGGGAGCGCGTCGTGGAAGACGGGATCAAATGGTAAGGTAAAGTTCAGCGTCACGACTTTTGCAAGGGGGCGATGAGCATGCTGCATGACCTGCATTTCATGACATAAGTTGATCCTCGATCCTCATCTTCCTCGTGCATCAGTGGAAGAGCAAGCACAGCTGAGATACATATGTAGTGGCTGTACCAAATCCAGGCCACACTGAATGAAACGCCTCCTTGTATACGTATGTCGGCAATTCACAGACGCGACGACCAGGGCCAAACCCTGCAATCATCATCACCCCATACTCCTTTGTCCGAGTGCCATCTTTCGGGCCGGAGATCGAAGCCTGCTCGGACTGATGGCCCTATTCCCAGAGAGCGAGACCGAGGGAGGGATGGCCATGAAACGCTATGTGGATGCACCGGAGACTGCTGATTTACGTGGGACGCAGGACAGGCGGGGGTCCTTTGGAGGCAGCTGTGTATGGCCGTTTACCCGCTCGCGCCGCATGACCACCCCAATCGTCCTAGCATGTCCCTCCACAGTATATATACTAGCAGCCCCCCCTTGTTTTCTCTTCTCCTTGTCCACTGCATAATATGCCAAACAAAGAAGAGGACAGCATATTCAACCAAGAACTCCAGCTCTATGTGCGTCCCTTCTCCATCCCATCGACCGTCCTTACCAGAAGCAGGTAGTAGAGACCCACGCGCCATATACCTCCTGGCCCGGCTGCATCTCTCCCTATGCACAGCTCAAACACATCCTCCAGGTCTGGTTCGAAGACTCCCACGAGGAAGAGTACTTGGCCACTGGTTCCGCCGACGAGCTCGACCTAGAGGGGTGGCGCTTTGAGGTCTATCCGGAGGGGAGACCGAAGGAAGACGGCGAAGATGCCAAGGGCGTTGTCATTAATGGGGACGAGGTCAGTCCCGTCTTCTACGCTACTGTCCCCATGCCTCATGGCATGCTTTAAACTCACACATGACGCAGTCTCCGATCGCACTCGGTATCCTCAATGCCGGCATCATCTACGCCACCCGTATCACCCCCACCGTCTCTCCCATTACCACCACCCCTTCGTATGCAGCATGCACACGCCCGAGCACGACGAGGTCGAGCTCGTATGCGTCGTATGGGGGTGGGGGCTATCAAGCACCGACGGAAAGGGCTAGTGCGATGGTCGAGAGGGCCGACCGATGTGCTTCTGGCCCGAGCATGTATCCGAGCTCGCTGCCTATGCGCTCTTAGTCTCGATGGCCCGCGCACGCCATACCCAACACTTTTCTATTTCGGGTGCTCTGTATCTACAGCTTTCGGCGCTGTGCCGCTTGCTTCGCAGAGGTTACGTTATTGCTCTCCGTTGAGAGTCTCATGTAGCGGTACTATAGCATTATATATGTCAAGAACTTCATTCTCTTCTTTCACCACCCTCTTTTTTCTATCTTATGGTACATAAACGGGAACTAAATTACTGGATGTATGATATAACAATCCTTGATGGACAATTATGGGCCTTGTGGAATCTAATACATGTCTGAGGACGGGTTGCGTGGATATGAAAGTATGAAAGAGAAGATGAGCGGAACGATGACGTTGGAACTTTAGCCCACGACGGGAGCAAATTGACGCGTGCTTGTTGATGCTATGAATGAACTCGAGATACGGCCTTGCTAGTAGAACAGCTTCTTATTTCCTGTCCCATTAGCCTTGTTCATCGTAAAGAGCACACAATTATCTACCCCAATCGACTGTCCCGGCTCCCCCACGCTTATAATACAATCTGAGCGTACACTTGACCGCCCGGCGTCGTGATCGTACGTACTCGTGCCCGACGGCGTTGCCATCAGACTCATCATCTCGCTGCAGACTCCTCTCTGTCGCCCTGTACCGTCATGCAAGCCACGTAAGCTCGGATCGCCATGGCACACGCACCCTCCGTCGCCAGCTCTCACAGAAACTCGGCGCACGGCCTCACCACGTTCCCAAACCCCTTCCAGGACGAGCCGGAGCAGGGCATCCTCCCATCGTTCCTCTCCAAGGTCAAGCAGACCTTCACCTCCGGATCATCCACAGCAGCCATCATATCACAACCGGCAAAGCCTGACAAAGGAGGATCAGATAGCAATGTCGGGAATTATGCGTATGAGGAGGATTACAGCAAGATCCAGCCGCCTCGAGAAGGAGGACAGACAGAAGCTCAGGCGATCGCAGAGGCTGTCATGCGCAATAGGGCTCAAATGGCCACTGCTGCTGCCCATGCCGCTTCCGTGCAGCAGGGGCGAGTATCCACCGCAGCCGTCCCTATAATCGTGCAGCCTGGCGCAGACCCGCCTGGCTCTGCCCCTATGCAGCCAGCCCATTCTACCTCCCCTCTCGCCACGCTCTCCATGAAGCCTCCTCCGAGCACCGTCATTTCGGCTGGCAGCACTTCTACTCAGCCTACGGGTGCTACCCCGTCCGTCGCGTCTTCGCACAATTCGACAGCGCCTACCAAGCGCTCGCTCGCGCCTAGCGAACGTCAATGGAGACCCTCGGGCGTCGCGCCTGCACAGGTCACTATATCGCCTGTGACTACGACTGTCCAGACAGCGAGCAAAGAGGCCCCGTCTTCTCCCGGGCCAAGATCGGTGCCGTTCCCGATATCAAAACCATCCCACCGTACCCACATTCATCTCTCCAACCCTGCCGGCCCTTCGTCTTCTCGCTCAGCCACCCCTCTCCACCATCATGCGCACAGTAACTCGCTAGGTATGGCTACTGGGAAACGAGCTCGTCGGTCCAGTATCGCGACTCTTCCAGACTCGCCTTCATCACTGTCCATTTCTGGAATGATAGCAGCCAACGCCGAACTTCAGAGTCATTATGTGCCGGGTTTTCCTATATCGCAGGATGATACGCGGAGTGTCAGAAGTTTAGGAGCTGTAAAGAGACTCAATGGGATGAGCAGGATCATCAGGAGGATGAAAGGGGAAGGACTGAGCAAGCAATATTGGATGGCGGACGAACATTGTAAAGAGTGCTATGATTGCAAATCGGTGAGTACCTTCGGCCGGGTGTGGCTAGAGCTAATGAAATACAGCTATTCACTGCTTGGCGGAGAAAACACCACTGTAGAATCTGCGGCCAAATCTTTTGCTCTCGATGTGCATCAAACATCATCAATGCTCGGCGATTCGGGAAAGAAGGCGTGCTGAGGGTGTGCAACCTTTGCCTGAAGATCATGGAAGAGTACAAGGAAGACGACGAAGATGACCGGCGCTCTATAAACTCCGTCTCGACCTCTGTACACCGGTACCCCAGTATAACAGACAGGGCCTTCCTCGACGCTGCCATCTCGCCAGAACTCCAGTACGCCAAATCACCATTCGCGGCCAGCCAGCTCTTTGCCTCGCATCCCAACGACTCATTAATGGCCATCGACGAAAGCTCCGTATCAGGACCGTTCTCTCGCTGGGGGAATGAACTATCTCATGAAGAGGATATCGAATTTCAGAGGTCATTTTCGCCGAATGACGGGTCGGACGGAGAAGGTGGGCAGATGTGGATTGGTAAAGCACCAAAGACGGCTGCACCTTTCCGCCGACCTATGGAAATGGACCAAAAAATTCAAGCAGAGTCAGAGTCGCCTGATCCTGGAAACGAGACGCCTGGCACACCTTCGACCGCTCCACCTTCGGGCCCTATCCTCGGCGGAGCTCACAGGAATGTGTCTCTCCCGAGGTTGGAGTTCCCAAGGACGTACACCATGTCGACAGACGGGGATGAAGGGAGATCGCCGCTGGAGCGGAGCGAATCTAGCCACCAGCTGATCGGACTTCGGACGAGGGCGAGTCAGGCAGGGTTGACTGCGTTGTTGGATGGGGAGAGGACCGAGGGTTTATGGAGAGCGAGGTCGCATTCGTTTGCGTAAGTCGGCGCGTGTTTCGCGGAGAGAGATGCTGACTTGCTGGTAGGAAACAACCGGAAATGCTGTCAGGCGCCAGTCTGCACCACTTCCAGCTGATGCTCGCTCAATCAATATCCCGCGCCGACCTGCCAAGACCCGAAGAATGGCATCGCGTTTTGAGCAGTCTCATACTCAAAGTTCCCAACAACCTGCAACCCAATGTCCGAGCCGGGGACGATATCGACGTGCGGTCCTATATCAAGATCAAGAAGGTGCCAGGCGGAAAGATCAGTGACTCCGAGTATGTGGATGGGATTGTGATCACAAAGAATGTGGCCCACAAGACCATGTCGAGGCGATTATACAACCCACGTATCATGGTCGTCACCTTTCCCCTCGACTACCATCGGGTCGACAACCAGTTCATGTCCCTGGATCCCATTCTGGCTCAAGAGAAAGATTACCTCCGTCTTCTCACAAAGCGCATCATTGACGCCAAACCTCACATTGTCCTCGCCCAATCCTCGGTCTCCCGCATCGCCCTCGACTACCTCCTCGAGTCAGACATTGCCCTTGCGCGTAATGTCAAGTCTTCTGCCGTGCATCAGGTAGCTCGCTGCACAGGAGCCGATATCGTGGCATCCATGGATCGTCTCGTGCTCCAGCCGCGCATGGGAAGGTGTGGCGAGCTCCAAATCCAGAGCTTTGACCATGAGCTTATCCCTGGCAGAAGGAAAACGTTGATGCGGTTTGAGGGAGCAAACAGGGAGCAGGGATGTACAATCATCTTGAGAGGTGCAGACCTCGAGACACTGAGGAAAGTCAAAGTAATCACAGACTTCATGTCTTTGGTGGCGTATCATCTCAAGACGGAGATGATCCTCTATAATGATGAGCACAATATCGTACCGCCTGAGCCTCCTTTACCTGCAGAGTATCGGGAGCTGTTGAATATGCTGGAACCCCGCCCTTCGGCGGCATCCTCGCGGGCAGAAAGTGTCACGTCTGAGACTTCATCCAACCGTGACCCGCCCGCCACGCCAACTCCTCATAGTGTCAATGTTGACACGCCCGATCCCGAGTCTCCTACCACCCCCAAGCCCAACTCCACTTTCACTACCAATACTGCTGCCAGCAGCATACATGATAGTGACGACGACGAGAGGGAGAACGAGAAACGGGAAGCTCTCGAGGTCACTAGGCAGATCGCGACTTCCCTACAGCCGTACCTGAACACAGTACTATCGTCTTCCGCTGCCATCAGATTTCCACCACCAGCTATACTTGCCAAGATGGCAGAGCTGGATAGGAGGCTGGCGGAGCTCAGGCAGAGCAGAGATGAAGCCGAGGCAGCGCAGATATTGGAGGAGGAGACAAAGATCATGGAGCCTCCGAAGACTAGTCTTCATCCAGTGGCTGTTCCTGATGGTGGTGATACGGCGTCGATCCACACAATAGCATCCACAGCTACCGGAAATACAGCAGCTACAGCCACCGAGCCTTCTGCCGAACTGTCAAGTAGTGCTGCTATGAGCGCTCTTCCAACTTCTACATTTTCGACTGTCACACACAAGGGCAAAGAGATCGATCGGGACCCATACCGCGTGCTTCGGAAACCAGACGAAGTTTCGAAAGAGAGTGCTCTGGCACAAGTCCAACACGCGCACAAGGAACACCTCAAGCTGTGGCAGTGGCATATACGCCGCTTCGCGCCAGAGCAATTGCGACCCGAAAATTACCAAGGAATCGTGTTTCTGTCCTCTTTGGGCTGTGAAGGTAGCGATAAACCCTGTGTGGAACCGGCCCTCAAGCACATTGATTTCTACCAGGCCGGTGATCAGACTGTGGGGCAGTTCATGGAGACATTGACTGCCACTGCGCTCGAGCCCTGCCCAAGCAAGACATGTGAGAGGCTGCTATTGTTCCATTTCCAGCTTCTTGTTCACGGTGAACGGCGACTGCAAATCGTCTTGGATCAGTTCCCGTGTCCTTCTCCGGGCCATGAAGACCAGATAATCACTTGGTCCTACTGTCGACAATGCACGACGCCATCGCCAACAACGATCCTGCGAGAAGAGACTTGGAAGATGTCGTGGGGTGCTTACTTGGAACACTGCTTCTACCCTCCAAAGACACCTGCCGGCTTCTCGTGTCCTCACGACGCCTACCGCGATCAGATTCGCTACTTTGCCCACCGCAATCTCGCGGTTCGAATCCACAACGAGCAGATTGATATCTTCGAGCCAGTCAGACCTTCCATTTCTCTACAAGTAAAGGCAGAAACGAAGGTAGCCCTCAAGAATAAGGAATATGAGGCGGCGTTGGCGAAGAATGGGGCGTTCTTCGATTCAGTGGTCACGAGACTCAAAACTATCGATGTGAACGTTGTCCAGTCTGATAAGGTACGCCCGATTGTACTTTCGTGTCCCAGCTGACACCGATGTAGGTTTCTCTTCTCGAAAAAACCATCGACCACATGCTGGCCCGGGTCGCCTCGGACAAGGAGGAAATGGTCGACCTCCTCAACAGGACGTACAAGCTCACGCCCATGACCGACGTCTTGTCTCTCACCACGGTATTTCGAAGTCTACAAGACAAAGTAGTACAATGGGATATGGACTTTGGAGACATCGAGAAAGCCTTCATCCCTACGGAAAAGGATCTGAAAAAAATGACAGCCACTCATCTCAAACGCCTGTTTGCCAATCAAGATGCGTACAGTACCCTTGAGCGCGGTGCCGGACCTCCTTTGGCCGAGGCAGATGAGGAAAACGCAGGTGAAAAAGAAGCCACGATCGACCTCGAGTCTTCTGACTATACGCCTGTGCCCACTCAGCCAACCACCCCCGCTCCCGGTACGCCCGACGCAGACGCAGCTGCGAGGCCCTCGGAAGAGCCTACCGCGATCGATCTATCGTTCGAGACGGATGCGTCTGCCACACCTATTGCTGGGGTCAACAAAGTCATTTCGGATCCAATGGCTGTCCCTGCACCCAACGGTGCAACATCTCAACGACCAGACACAGAGACTGTAGGTGGTGAGAAAGAAAAAGGGTTTGAGACGGACTCAACGGTCTCTGCTTTACCTAGCGATTTCGCGGGTAAGAGTCCAGATGGCGCAGCAGAAAGCAGCGCTTTGGATAGCGACGCTATACATTTCGTATCTAGATTGCCACGAAGGTCGGCACCTGCTCCCAGGTGAGTTGCACGATGTGACCGCTCGTGTATGCGCCGCTGATGATCATGGTAGTATCGCTGACCTAGTTCAACGCTTCAATGATTCTACCAAGCTTGCCCCCCCGGAGCCGACATCTACGCCTAAAATGGAGCGTCCTCGCTCGGGCGGTGGCTCTCGTCGACAGTCTCCACGCCCTCACTTGGTCGATGTGTCAGATAGTGACCACAGTCCTCGCACGCGACCCAAGCTTCGTCGTGGACGTACTGAGCAGCCCGTTGTGCGAGCGAGGGAGGCTTCCAGGCCCGGTCTTCTGTCCGATGGAGATCGAAGCTATGCTGCTAATGCTTCTCGCATTCCATCTTCGAATCGCCACAAATCCATTGGGGAAGGGATGAGCAGCGATTATCTCTCTGTCACGAGACCAGGGATGGGATCCAGGAATCCATCGTATACGGGTCGTTCTCCTTCCCAAGTAGATCACCGTTCATCCCCTAAACTCCGCCACCCTACCCCCGGTCATGCGCCTCTTTCACCATACCCTCCCTCTGAAGGGAAACCGCGGGTCGGGGGCAAGGGAAAGACACCCCGTCCTCCAGACTCCGACAGACATTCTCCTAGTGTCGGTCGCACCAGGCGAGGCGGGCAGCCTGGCTCATCTCGGGTCACTTCCATGGCCCGGCATTTCGATCGTCTCTCGCGCGAGGCAGAAAGGGAGAGGCAAAAACGGATTTCAATCGTTCGAGGAAAGCGAGCCCGTCCTGTCAGTGTTACGAAAGCGAAGGTTCAAGTCTTTGATAACCTTCGAGACGCTTTCAGGGACGAGTTTGACAGCGACTCTTCTGAGGCAGACAATGAAGAAGACGATCTCGGCAGCGATGACAGTATTGGATCGGCTGGTAGGCCAGATAAAGAAAGAAGAAAGTCTTCGCCTGTCAAAAGCAGAAAGTCTATTTCTCCCAAAAAGGATCTGCCGTCGCCGCTACCCCATCCGCCTTCAACTTCCGAGACTTTGCCAGCCTCAGTATCGAAAGCTGTCGATCTTGTCGAGTCGGCGCCCGCGGAGGGTAGCTCCAAACAGGAACAAGCAGCTGCGATCAGCTCTTCCATTAGGACGTTGTCGGTTTTGAGCGATACAAAATCCGAGATATCTTTTACGGATCGGTTGAAGATAGAGCTGCCCAGCTTTGAGACAAGTGCTCCTTTGCCTAGCCATCCAGCGACACCCCACGTCTCCACAGATGCCACTACTGCCGATGAGGCCATTGGCACCTTCTCTACCTCGCAGGCATCAGACGTCGAAATCGGTGCCGCGAATGAGAAATCGAGTTTACTCAAATCTCTCAGCGGCTTGTGGGCTTTCAGAGCAGCTGATCTGACGCCGCTCGAGTACCCCTTGTGAGTTTTTGCGCTTCTGATTTGGCAGCCACTGATAAATCCTCTAGATCCGCCTCCGAACACATCTTTGCTGACTCTCGAGTGATCATTCGCGAGACTGAACCAACAAGTATCATCGCTTTCACCCTTAGCTCGAAGACATATCGCGATAATTCCAAATCGTGGTCCAGCAACAAGACAGAAGGTCACTTTGAATCATTCATGCCGGAGGAAACTTCCAGGACGGATAGGGCAGCAGCTTGGGATGTGGTGTCGCTTGACGAGGTGGATGATTCTACTCGTCGCGAAAGAGGCACACATCTGAAATATGGTACGCCGTTTTGACCCGTACGCTTAATATGCTGACTTGACTTAGATTTCGAGTCGGGAACGTCCACCATATTTTGTCGGATCTTCTTCGCCGAACAGTTCGCTGCCTTGCGAAAAGCATGCAATTGCGAAGATAGTTTCGTGGAGTCTTTGGCTCGGTGTGTACAGTTCGATGCCTCCGGTGGGAAATCTGGCTCTGCCTTCCTCAAAACTAAAGGTCAGTCACTATTTCTCTCTTATTGTCCGGTAGACGCTTAGTCTACCCCAGATGATCGGTTCATCGCAAAGGAAATCACTCGTCTCGAAATGGACGCCCTCACCAAGTTCGCACCTGCGTATTTCGACTACACCCGGAAAGCATTCCAAGGTCAGCGTCCGACCGTTTTGGCAAAGATCTATGGATTTTTCAAGATTGGCTTCAACAACGCGGTGACGGGCAGGACTATGAAGATGAATGTGCTCATCATGGAGAATCTGTTCTATGAGCGGCGATTTACCAAGGCACGCATTTTCAGATCCCCATCCATCGCTTTTTGTGTTGCTAACAGTGATGAAGATCTACGACCTCAAAGGAAGCACTCGTAACCGTCTCATTCAGCCGACTGGAAGAGTCAACGAAGTTTTGTTGGTATTCCCACTGAGATGAGGATACACTGCTGACAATTCATCGAGGCTTGATGAAAATCTCATGGAGATTGTATACAAGCACCCTCTCTATCTACGCGAACAAGCTAAGCGTATCTTGCGTACGGCCTTGTTCAACGACACACTTTTCCTCTCAAATCTGAATGTGATGGACTATTCATTGGTGGTCGGTGTGGATGCGGAGAAGCATGAGTTGGTTGTGGGCATCGTAGATTATATTCGAACTTTCACCTGGTGCGTACAATCGTCAAGCAAGAACCACAGAAGCTGATAGTGAGCCTTCAGGGATAAGAAATTGGAGTCTTGGGTGAAAGACCTTGGGGCCGGTGGCAAGGGTGAACCAACCATTGTAACACCAAAGCAATGTAATTCTACACAATTCAAGGCATTATCTCCTTTACTAACACAATCATAGACAAATTGAGATTCCGAACCGCCATGGAGCGGTTCTACTTCCCATGGGTGCCCGATAGGTGGACAGTAATTGGGTCGGAGGACGAGGTTCCATTGGAGGAAGAGAACGCGGCTGCCGGCGCCGCCTTGGCAGTAGCTTCATAATGATTTTTAGTCACTGTATTAAAGACACTAAGTTGATGACCTTTGTTTGAAGTGATGGCCGCATGGAATTCCAGGCCAAGAAATCGATCGCACTCATAATATACATAGTACCCAGACCTGAAGCATTGGGTGGAGATCGTATCGTAATTTTTCGTAAATACATAACTAGTTCTGACAATCTAGTAGTTTTCATCTAATGGTTCTCTTCTTGATTGACAGCCTCCCTCATCATATCTGGCGGTATGATCAGCATTCATCGAAGAAATAACCACATTGAGACTCACCACCCCACATCGAGTCAGACGCGTTGCCAAATACTTGCTCAGTCGCAAGGTCTTCAGAAGACACCGAGTCGCTGTGTTTGTATAAGCTGAGCTGCGCACTCAAGGCCCGATCTACGGTTGCACTAACCGTCGATAATGAGCATCGTCTGATGATAGATGGCTGGCATCTGATAATTTTCTTCCCATATCGGGCCTTGACATTGACATAGCCGAACCATGGAATGTCGGTGATGACGGGTGGCTGCGAGGGCCAGGTACACTGGCCATCGACAGATCGGTGACCGGCAAGCTATGTGAAGGGGAGTAGTAGGCGGTGGGACTCTGAGCAGGTGATGATCCTCGAGACGGAGGAGACGGGGAGCGCCCCAGCTCTTCTTTAGCGTGGGCAGAGTAGGAAGCATTGTACTTTGATGAACCAAAAGAACTATCGTTCTCGCCGGGAGGTGTAGCGGGTGTTGGCTCAAGTACGATGGCAGGGATTCCTGGTAGTAGCAATGTGGTGAGCGGAGTCGGGCACAGACGTCACAAGACTGACCTTCGGCTTCGGCATTCAATGTTCTCTTGCGAGCATCACGGGAGGCGATAAACTTTCTCCTCCAGTAGATTGTCCTTAAAAGCCCTCGGACTCGATCCAGATTGACTAGATCCATCACTCGCTCATTCTTCGCTCTTCGAACAAGTAGATCATCTAGTCTAGACGGCGGCGGCGTCATTGGTATGAACACGAAGTATGAAACGGATCCACTCACTGTAAAGCTTGCTCGTCGTCAATGAGTTTGTAATGTGCCAGCAATACCAACATGGCTGTGAAGCTGATTCCTTTCCCTGGCTCCTCTGAAATACGTGCCTCATTATAAAGCTTGGTGTAGATTTGGCGGCGTTCTCGAACTTGACGGTAGTCAATCTGAGAAATCTGCTGTGCCACACGCCGTACGTCAACGGCGTGTTTGACGCCTGAAATGACGGACGTCTGGCCTGATGCGTTCTCCGAACCATTGGGAGTGGATCGTTGAACAATGTTAGGGATACTGAATTCGAAAGGATACGGTCGTACTTCGAAGACACCAGTCAATCGCTATGCGATGGATAAGTCATGACGATCCAGTCAAAGAACCCACTCACCGCAAAGAATTTAGTCAAGTCTTTCCTTTTGAGATAGCCAGATCTTTCCGTGTCAAAATCAGACCACAATTGCTTGAAAGCGCCTGGATGACACGGTCAGCTGTCATCTAACCATTTCTTTGATGGAGATGACTCACGCATTTCCTCTCTGTTCAATGAGCTTTTCCCTGGCAGTTGGTAGACATATGCAAATGATTCAACAACAACACCAGTAAACATATTGACGAAGATGAACCTATCTTGAGGTGAGCGGAGAGAAAGTTAGAGACATTGACACACTTACATTGATACGATATTCCAGCTGATGAACAGGACGTAGGCTCCCGGGGAAGTCCCACAATCCGTCTGTAGGAAGTTGCTGCTCTCGGTGCATCGTGGTGCTTCGACAGTGCTACGATGACATCAGCGAGGTATCCCAATGTGGAAAAAGGTAACTTGCTAGTCGTGCATATAGGCATTCCAGCCTTCGCCAGTTGACATGAAAGCCAACATGACCAGCGCATTACCAAAGGTGTAATAGTTTTGGAATCTTGTTCCGGCAGAGTTGCCTTCTTTCGTGAGGCCGAAAACTTCGAGATAGATGATTGCGTAGAAGATGAAGATCGTGGCCCAAAGAAGGAACAAGTTTCCGATGGCGGGAAGACTGGCGACGGAAGTCTTGAAGAGCTGGTTGAGGGAGCTGATTCTCTGCACAAGCTTGAGAGAGATGGAGACCAAGAAAAGCTTCTGAAGCTGAACGTTTGCCTGATTTGCGACGTCGCCTCTACTAGACGCCTGTAGGGCCGGGATAGTAGTGGCGAAACTACCCGTGATAACGACCAGATCGAATATGTTCCAGCCGTTTGCTCGGAAGGATTTGATACCCAAGCCATAAAATCGTACAAGAAGATCAATGGCATAGAGTATGGTGAGGCAAAGAAAGATCCAATCTAATTGGACTTCGTTGAGCAGGTTCTCGGAATAGTCCTCCATCCTACACATCGTGAGTTCTGCACCAGTGGAAGACGAGACGAGAAAACTCACATGAGAAGCAAGATATGTAAGTAGTATATCATCGTAAACCCAACCGCCCAGAATCCATTCTTGTTGACAGCACGGTCATAGCACCAAGACCGTATAGGGAGCTGAGGTCGGCCTTTCGGAAGTTGGGAAGGAGTCTGCGCCTTGATGAATTTGGAAAGGTCTACCCACTGACGTTGATCCGTCGTGAGAAGAGCGTTCCCGGACCGGGAGCTGAAGTTTTGAATGATGATACTGCAACCGACAAATCAGCCACCGTCGCCCATCAGAAGACTACACGCACCTGACGAAAAGGGTGAAAATGATAACACCTCCAAACAGATTGAAGATCAACATATAGATGGCATTCCACTGGCCAGCCATATCATCTGGTTGCTGGTCTTTTCCGGTGATATTCATGACGGACGCCATCACATCGATCCACCCTTCAAGTGACACGATTTCAAACAGAATCAGAAGCGAGCTTCGGAATGTGTCGAATGACCATTTGCTCTCGTCAACGGTCGGGTTGGACCAGACGCGAGGGACGAGGTAGGTGAGTGAGTCGTCGACCGAAGATGTGGAGAATTCCCCAAAGCAGTCTGAGAGACCGGAAGCGTCATCGTCGTTACAGTAATAGAGCAACCCGGAGAAGATGTTCATTCTATTCCAGACCGTCAGCACTTTTTCCTGCTCGACCGACAAAAGGTAAAACCGCTTACCCCCAGACCGAGAACGGAATGAGATACAGTATCATGAAGATTGAAGCATCCAAGATCTTGAGAGCACCAGCAAACAACACCGCGTGCAGGGTATCTCTCAGCCTTCCAAACAACGTGATCAGCCTCAGAGCCCTGAAGCCCTTCAAAGCTCTGGTCACTCTACTCAGTCCTCCGATGTATATCAAAGACGTCGTGGTGTTGACGAGGATGGTAACCAGGATGATGGCGTCGAGGACGTTCCAAAGAGACAGCAAGTAGGCGTTCGGATTGAAGATGAAACCGTCGGCTATTATCTTGACGGCTGCTTCCAAGAGGAACACAGCACCGAGGGCGACTTCAACCAGATCGAACCACGTCCCTCTGAAAACCCCATTCTCCTCGTAGTATGTCTTTCGATAGCTCGGAGAAGCGATAGCGGCAATCACGATACTGGCCACCACCGATAAAAATACGATGGTTTTGAGAGCCATAGACATGAGGGGATTGGCAGGCCGGCCGAAGATGCGCTCGCCATATGCTGGCGACACGCACGCTTGACAGAATTTTCGAATAGGATTGCTTTGCTTGAAGATCCACAGGGACTTGTCATAGCTAGGATGGGCGGCAATAAAGTCGGCTTGTTGATTACGACGTTCACGGATAGCGTCGAGGTGCTCGTCTGTAGATACAGCGGTATTCAGGGGTGGAAGAAGGTCGGTCCTTGTTTATCGTCAGCGACCGCTATCGGCAGATGCCTTGTTCAACTCACAAGCCACGATCATCCTCGTCCTCGTCCTCTTGATCCGCGAACTGAGCTCTCGTGTGACGTCTCAGCTTCTTCAGGGGTATCTTTTCGTCATCCTGATCTCTTCCCAGCAGCCTCTTCACCGCATCCTTAGTTCTCTTGTTTTCTCCGGCTTGCAAATCCGCCGGCATTGACACGTCCACGCCAGAACTATGTTTCAGCGGAAGTACGAGGCTTGGGGGCAGCACACCGACTTTGACCGCTCGATGTCGAGCAGTCAAGAGCCGGTAAGGGTTGAGACGATCAATCCATGTAAGATGGTCGGAGGGTGCTTCAGCTTTGCGGATGAATGCTTCGACTTGGCGTTTACGTTTCTGTTCTTCTGCGATAGCAAAATTCTATCACCCTGTCAGTCGAGTCTGTATTCAGGGGACTTTGAGCATACCTCATTGATAACGGCGATGAACATTTGCAGGACGATAAAGTTGGAGAACAAGAACCATCCGCACAGGAAGATGGCTGCTATGACGTCCTGCTTGTAATCGACTTCGGCTCCCATCACGTTGTACACAATGTCTGTCCAGTTTTCTGACGAGAAGATCTGCAGGACCATGAGCATCATCATTGGATACAGGGTAAGAAGTCACCTGGTACATTGCCAAGAATGAGTTGTACGTCTGGGAGAACGTGATGGTTTCTCCCGCTTCAAGATCACCTCTGAAGAGTTGAACAGCCTGCCATTCGAGTTAGATCATTCTCTTCGCCCATCTCGAGACATCTCACCATTAATGCCCCAAGAAAATTGATCAGGAATAGGAATATAACCATGTTCAGCATACCCGCAAAATTACCAAACACCGTCACCATCAAAGGCTTCATCCTCGGGAACGCCAAAATCACCCTATACCATCTCACTCGCTGAAACACAGTCAACCAGGGATAGATGTCGTTCTTGCGAATGTCAGGGATCTGTATGACGGAACATGCGACACAGAGGAAAAGATCAAAGCTGTTACGATTGCGTTCAAAGAAGGTCGACCAGTCGGGGAGATGGGCGAGAAAGCGGATGACTATCTCGAAGTCGAAAGCGATGGTGAAGACAATCATGACGTAGCCTAGGAAAGGTTATTACTGCTCCAGGAATTCTAATTGGAACTCACGAAAGGCGCTATCATAGTCCTGCCTCCCTCTACCCGCTACCACAAGCTCAGCCACAATCAACAACACCCAGACGAATTCCGTCTTTTGATATATCGTCAATAGTCTGTTGCTCTTGGCTTTCCTGTCCTCTGTCGCCCAATGAGGCTCTGTCCCCAGAACAGTCTCATCACCACCAAAAGCACTCTTCTTGGTCTCGGCGCGGATGTCATTGAACGTGTTGATAACGACGGCGATGAGAAGATTGATGAGCCAGAAGTTGAGCACAATGACTCCGGCGAGAAAGAAGAGACAGGAGCCGAAAAAGTCCGAGTCCATGGCGAGGTACATGACCGGCGCCCAGGTGTTCACTGCAGCTTTAGTGAGCATACCACACTTCGATCGTGGTACCATGGGACTTACCGGAGGCAATAATGATTATCTGGACGAGGGATGAGAATACATTATCAAAACTGTTGACGTTGCTGTTTGGGTTTTCATCTGTGGTCTGGGGGCATTGTCAATCGAGCTAAGAGTGCTGGCATGACACTTACCATACACTGCTGTCCCAACGGGCAAATGTTGCCTTTTGCCGGGACAGAAGACTCCGTCCCATCCTCGTTCAGATAGCTTCTGGTGGCCAGATCTCCATCTAGCCAACCCCCACACTGAGTGTCCAAAGTGATCAAATTCGTCGAATTGTTAGGATCGGTCAACACACACGCCCTCCTAAAGCTTCCTCTGAAACTCTGGACCCCGATGATTGAAAAGATACACGCGGCAAAGATGAGAAAGTAGGAAACGGTGATGAGCATGGGACCGGCACGTTTGAGAGAGTGGAGGATGGTGGTGGTACCGCTGGTGATAACTAGAAGACGGCCAGCCCGAAGGACGGACAAGGCGCGAAAGATGTAGAGATGGCGGTTCGCCGTAGCTTCGTACCCTGTTAGCGCGAGGATGAAGGTGATCCAGAACGCAAATACAGCGATCATGTCAATTCGGTGCCATGAATGCCTCAGATAGGGTCTTCCCTGGTCGGACAAGCTCTTTTGCTTTGCCACAGCTTCCTGGAAGGGCGCTTCAGAGATACCGACAAACGCTTTCTTCACCGCGGTCGCTTTTTGTTGTAGCTTGGGGTCCACTTGTGAACGCCACGCCGCACGCCTGGATTTGCCATGGCTACGATGCAGATTACTTTGAATGTTGGAGGAGGTGACTAGCAAGTAGTCTCGCAGGGTGGGGACGATGCCGCCAGGAGCGAAGAGGGATTGCGAAAGCGATGTGTCAGGATCCAGCAGCAAGCCCGTGACCAGTATCCTTGCAAACATTTCCACTCTGTCATAGTATCAGCCAGTGTTCCAGCTTTCCATTACCCAACTCACGTGAATAAGGTGAAGAAGATCAGCAGCGCGTAATCCTCCCAGCTTTGAAAATAACCATCGTCTTGTCGCGGTTCGTTCAGAGCCGGAGCAGCCTGGATTGCAAGGACAACAGCGTTGGCGATGATTAGAAGAAGAATGCAGGGTTCAGTCCATCTACAGAGACGTTAGTATAGTACTCCTCAATGAGATTGATTGCTCACGGAAAACGCATAAGACTATCCATCCCCTTCCTGATCCTGTTGTGCGGTCCAAAAACACATAACGTTCGTCCTCGTAATCTCCCGTACTGACTTGGCCGATCTTCCTCTAGGACTAATGGCGGCCTCGGATTTGGCACTGTACCATCTAGTCTATCTCGCCCCAAGTCCTTCATCCCAACATCTCCGTCCTCCATGTCATCATCTTGTAAAATTTCTTCTCCATCATCATCACTCCCCACCCGTTCTTTCCGCCTGTCCGTTCCCATAATATTCACAACTCTCACACTCGCTTTTCTTAATGATGAAGAGACATTGCGTAGAGTCGAGCGCCGACTGAGATTCGAAGACGTCTCGTAAGGCTTGCTAGGCGAGCGTCTTGGCGTGCCTTTCCCTAGTCCGCCATAGCCCAAGTCGTACCCCTGATCATCCGCACGCCCAGGAGTCAACCTCTCCCTATCCATCGAGAATGTATTTCGGGGCCCCCCGTCGTCCAGGGGAGAAAAGTTGCCCGAGTCGAGAGAGTTGCTGGACGGGAACTGGCCCATGAATGGATGGTTTGATTGTGGTGTGGGCGTCGCCTGGGTAGTATTGCCCCATATGTTTGACCCATCTCCCAGGCCTGCCCAAGTAATGTCCCTCTCACTCAGGCGGGGGCGGTGATTCACGCCTGTGCTTGTCGCAGCTACCGGCGTAGACGTCCCATGCGGAGAAACGGGTCTCTTTACAGGTGTACTCTCCGTGCCCGCGGCCACATGCACAGTGAAATCCTCATCTACTCTGGAATTGGCGTTCCAGCTCTGCCGCCGCTGGATGTGGGTGCCGGATAAGGAAGGGGAGGCGGGAGAAACGGGGGAGGGATTGGGAGATGAGTGGATGGAGGCCGACGTGGAGATGGCGATGCTGTTTGAGCGGGAGGAGTGGGCGTAGGGGTTGGCCATGGCTAGCACATCTGGGTGATATGGCGTGTTGCTTTTGTAGAGCAAGAGATATAGATGAGTGAAGGAATAGATGTATTGTTACAGTAACGAACCTTGGCAGCACAGCTTCCGTCGCGACAAAATACGCGACGCGCACTTTCTAATGTAGTACACTCAGTCTGTAATGTCTCTTTCTCGCCCTTTTCGCCTAGCAATACAGTCTACAGGGGCTGGAGTATGGACTTTCGCACTCTATATGCCAATTGCAATCCCTTAAACACTGCGCCTTTCAAGCTGGGTGCTCTCTCGCCCGCGACTTTGGCGGCTATTTCTCTGGCCCCGTATGTAGCGATTGGAATACCTGCTTTGACAATGGTACATCATGTGATGACAAAATGGTATGTGAGAAAGGTGGGCCAGATACTTGAGAAGTATACTTGATGACGAGAAGAACGCGAGGAAGAAGAGAGAGCGCCATATCCAAGAGTCACAAGCCCCCGTTCCCACTTGAACCAAGTTCAGCCGACCCTCAGATGCAATGTGCACAAATCGTATCTGGCAGAAGAGACTATCTAACGTACCAATCAGATACATCATGACTGGCTCCCGAACTACGGGAGACATTTCCCGTGGCCACAGAGGGGACTGCTCAACGGTTGTGTACGCTGTCGAACCGGGACAATGCGGCGTATCTCGCCGGATGCACTCCAGTGCCCCGAGCAGAACTGGGAAGTGCATCTCAAGTGGATATCCTTGTTGGAGGACGATAAGCATAACCAGACAGCCAGTTGATAGTTTCTAAAGGGGTAAATACGGTGCGTAAGAGACGCAAAGCGTATTTTCTGATTGGCCTTTTGTTGTCCTTGTTGCGCGTCATTGCGTGTTCTCTTGTCTGCCAACTGCCATGTCCCCTATCCGCCTCAACACCCCCACGCCCACCCACATCTGCCCCGACAACTCCCTCCAGGTCATCGACATCTCCACCTCCCCCACCCACTCAGACATCGGCCTCTGCACCCCGCCCGCCCACACCTTCACCCCCACCCCGCCCCTCAGCCGCCACAGCAGTCGCGCTCTCCTGGCCGACGAGGGGGGCAACAGCGCAATGGGAGGTCTGTCTGGAGGGGAGGGAGAGCTCGGGGTGCTGCTGAGGACCGTCGACTTTGCTGCGAGGGTGCGTCAAGGTGTCTTGGTTTTGGTCTCGGAGAGTCACGGAACTGACGAGACTGCAGAAACATTCCTGCCAGAGAAGAAAAGACGTAGACCAGACACCATAGTGAGTGCATATGGGCGCCCAATAGCACATAGAGCTGATCATAGCATAGTATCAACCATCCCATTGTGGGTTGAGACATTTGCGATGCGCCACCGACGACTAACCCATATTGCAGGCTGTAGCCAACTATCTTGCAACGACTGGTATTACTGACGTCCGCGTCCTGCAAGCTGCCATTCTTCATGACACTGTAGAAGATACCCACACGTCTATCGAGGAGATTGCTGAGCAATTCGGGTCGGATGTGGCTCGTATCGTTGAAGTGAGTCTTCTTCTTGACTTTCCCTTCAATGGAGCATGAATTTAGGAACGGACTTGACTGACAGGCATCCAACATGTAGGAATGTACAGATGATATCGATTTGAGTGGTCTGGAACGCAAAGCCGAGCAACTACGTTCAGCACCCGGCAAATCCAACGAGGCTAAACAGGTCAAACTCGCCGAGTACGTCTCTTGTCTATATACAATGCGAATCATGAGGCTGACACGTGGGAGTAGCAAGATGCACAACCTCGAATCCATCAGGCGGAGTCCGCCAGTGGGCTGGGGCGTCAAGCGCGTGCAAGCCTACTTTATATGGGCTAAAAAGGTCACGGACAGTACGTGCTCTTTCTTACCTTAGACGTCCCTCCTTGCTGTTATACTAACACATCATTGTAGTCTGTGCTCCTGCTCACCCTCCACTAGCAGCCCGACTCGATAGATTATACTCTACAGCATATACCAGAGTCAATGGCGTTTACCATCCGTGTCATCCAGAAACGTGTGGGCCTTTGACGGAGGTACGTCTGACCTTTCAGCCTCAAACTTCGTACTGTAGCTGATCATGCTTTGAACAAAGGAGGAAAAGGAGAGAGTCGATAGAAGACTGAGAGATCTGAAAGATGGGGACACGATATGCCCGGAGCCACTATTCTTCTAGACCCAATATATAGATCACCTTGTCACCCTTTCTTGCCTCAATCGCCAGCATTAAACCTTTCACTGCATAGTTACCCTAGCATTTGTTTTTAGTTGTATATTTGAATGAATGATTTCTCGTGTCTTCTCTACGATACTGCTCTCGTTCCGGAACGTTTGGGTCCACCAAGGTGAGTATGCATCATATCTACTTTTGTCTACATTTATCATCAAGCTCTACTTGAACAATCCTTTGAAGTTGACCAACACTTCTTTCCTCGCCTTCTCGATCCCCTCAACCAACGCCTTGTCTCCTTCCCGCACCTCCACTCCTGGCTCCCTTGTCTCGATCTCCGCCACAATCTCAAGACCTCTCTTCTTGACCTGGTCCCTCGCCTTGCGCAAGGTGAGGACCAGCTCTCCCAAGTAGGCCGACTTATTCTTCCCCTTTTGGGGTTTGGCAACCTCTGCCAAGCGGGAGAAGGCGAGATCGACAACGGGGAGGAGGGTCAAGAGAGAGGTCAAGGTGAGGTTGACCGAGTGAGGCTGCTTGGGAGCAGTGAACGAGGCAGCGAGGTCTAGAGAAAGAATCAGCATACGAGTTGAATAAGGGCACAGAACGAGAGCGTACTGTCGAAAACACCGGCCAATCCACCCTCCTTCTCTTCGCCCTTCAAAGCTGCATCAACTACACTCAGCACCTTGCCGCCCACTTCCACCAAAGCCTGCTCGGCCGCTTCCAACGCTTCTCCCTGGCTGATAGTGATGTCCTGCACCTTGCCGCCTGCCTGGAACTCGGCTACGTTGAGCCAGAATTGCGACAAGACGTTGAGCCAAGCATCGGAAACCCGACCGGAAGGCGAGAGTTCAGTGATGTCCCGCACAAGAGGAAGAGATCCCCCGATCTCGTACACCAACTCCCAATTACGAAGATTCTCACTCTTCTCTCCTTTTTCCAGTCCTTGCACTGCTTTCTTCAAGCCCTTGACCAGCTCCTTCGGTAGCGCCCGTCCTGAAGGTGCCGACAAAAGGTGATGGCTCGCCCGCTCGACAAGCAAGGCGCGATGCGAAAGCGACGAAGCGAGGGCGGAATGGAGATATTTGATAGACGGGATTTTGGAGTATGATTCGTTGGAAAGGGCGTCTTTGACGTATTCAGGGAACTGTGAATGGATGAGCTTCCATCTGACGTTGGATTCCAAACATCAGCTTACCTCGACAGCTGTCCTCTTATACATCCCTGTAGCCTTTTCCACCAGCCCACCCTCCTTCCACTCTTTGTCACTCTTGCTCAACACCGCCTCTCCAGCACCGCCGCGCTCGGTGAAAACATGAAGGAGATTGTCGAGCTGGATTTCGGATAGAGAGAGTTTGGTGAGGTGTGGAAGAGATTTCAGGGGCGCACCTAAGAATGTCGCGTTAGTATGAGATTGAGGTTTTGGGGATGACAGTATTTACCGACAAGACGATAGAGCCTGATCAACAGGTACCTTGCATACATGCAGACCGGACTCTTTTCCACGATCTCTTCTAGTCTCGAGATCGCCTTCCATAGTGGCTTTTCGTCAGAAGATGAGGAAGACCATATTGTGAGCAGGAGGTTGACAGAGATAAGTCCTGCTTCGTCGGCAGGCTGGACGTCTGTGGGTGGGAGGTTTCTGCCTGTTATATAGTCAGCATAGACGCAAAACAATCAAGGCGTTCTCTTACCATAATCGAGACCAGCCTTATACAACGCCCACCACTTTTCCACATCATCCTCCTGCGGTACCCAGCTTGCAGGTTGAGCCCTCAACAAGAGCGTCTCAGCATGTACCTTCTCCTTAAACTCTTTCTCATTGCTCGCCTCCTTTTTGGCCGATTGTTGTACAAGGGCATACACTTTTTCTTTCCGGGCAGAGTTGACTGCTGTAAAGCCCTCAACCTCGGAGATGATTGAGCCCTTGGCAGACCATTGAGCCCAGTAGGAGGCGGCTCGGGTGGGCCATGCGTCGTTTGAGATGGCTTCGCCTTTCTGAGCGAGTTCTTGGAGCACCGAGTCGATAGAGAGCAGAGCAAGCGCTGGAGCTCGCTCCTTACTGCCAATCTCTTTCTCTAGGTTCTCCAGAAGGTTGACAGTCTTGCCCACCGCCTCAGGGTCCGTCGAGAGTGCAGTCGCGTGCAAGAGGTACTGGTAGTAAGCATAGTTTCGGGCGGCCGTATCTTCCTCCTCGAGGTACCAAGCCGCCCACTGTCTCTCCTCTTCCCATTCGTTTTGTCTTTCCGAGCCGGATCTCTTGAGCACTTCCTTAACGACCTCCATCCGATGCCAGACCCTCGCCAAACTGCCGTCCGCCGCTTGTTCTCGCGCAAGCTTCAAGATGGTGGGGTACGAAGCAGGGCCAGAAGAGAGTAAAATTTGGGATCGAAGCCAGAACTGCTCCGACGTCTCGCACTCCTGACCCGCCATCCCAACCAACAAGCCCGCGACCTTGAGCGCATTCTTATCCTCCACCTCGTCAGGGAACGCTCCATTCCCTACCGACCTGCTCGGTTGGGGCGCTTTGGCATACCACTCTGCCCACCCAGCTGTCATTGCCCATCGAGCTTCTTTGGTGGTGTTGAACATCTTTCGGGACGCTTCAACCATGGTAGGGACATCGTTGGCAGCGGAGGCGTGGAGAAAGACTTGTTCGAGCAGTTGGTGTGCTTGGGGGTGGAGAGCGTAGAGGTCTTGGTAGATCTTTTGGGCGAGGGCCACTTTGTCAAGAATGTCAGTGAATGACGACGGTAATACGGTAAAGTCGAGCTTACACTTGCCCATCTGCCTCAGCGTCAAAGTCACCCACCAAACGCCCCTCCCGGTCATCTCCTTCCCCTTTCCCCCCAGCACCATCACCTCTCGGAAAATTTTCATGGCCTCTTCCTCCCCCTCCTCGCCCTTCATCTTGTGCGTAATGTACATCTTGATGATGAGGGCGGGCTGGGACTTGGGGTGTTTCTTGAGGTAACGGGTGAGGGCCGAGGAGGCGGGGGCGAGGCGGTGGGAGGCGACGTCGTCAAAGACGGGCTGAAGTTTGCGCTCTTCAGCCTCCCAGAGAGCGAGCTGGCGGGACATGGCGGGTTGCGAGGAGAATGAATCACGAGTTGGGTAGAGAACATTTCGGAAAACGCGTGGTGGCTGCAGCTGGTGGTTCAAACGGGCAGCCGAAAGCCTTACGTAAAGTCCGTCTGGGGACTCAACAGCTGCAGCAGTCAACGTACTGCCATGGTGGTCGTTTCTCCAGCGATGCAAGGGCAATAGGCAGGGCGGAGTCGAGAATACGCTACAAGTGTAACGGCAGGGGTCAAGCAAGGAACAGGCCGCCGTGCGAAGCCTTTTCCCGAACGCCGGACTTTGTTACACGAGCATGTTTTGCCGACGTGCTCACCGAACTGAGCGCTTATTGCATCGAATGTTATGGATATGCATTGCTATTTCTTTCGCCTTCTTGTACTTGTGTATTTCCGTCGGGGACTGTTGGTCGATGATATAGTAGCGAAAAGTAACGGGGATAAATATAGATCGGAATCAGGATCGGCGATCGAATGTATAAAACTGCACATGGCAGAGGGAATACACAAAACGAGATTGTATATCCCGGGAGGAGGAAAGATAAACGAAATGGGTTTGACTATAGTTGAGAAAGAGAATGAGTTGAAAAAGAGGACGAAAACACATATAATGATCTACCACACACGGTGACACCATTCACGGCTGATTTAGACATTTTGTTACGCCTCCGTCTTGGCCTCTTCTGCTTCCTTCTGCTTCCTCAACGCCTTCCTCTTTGCGCCCTCCACGGCCTCCTTTGCTTCCTTTTCGTTATCTATCCACCTAAATGTTGTCGCGGGGGTTTCAGTAGCAGAGGCAGCGTCGGCGTCGGCAAACCAGAAAACGAGACCGGGGGAGCTAGACAGATGTCAGCTCTAAAAGGGACAATACAATCATGGACTTACGCAGGTCGGACGCGAGAGCAAGGCAGGCCGGCTTCGGGCTTGTCGAGGATGGTATGCAGCATCTCGGCCTTTTCCTTGCCGGTGGCCACAAACACCGCACGGTAACAGTGTGTCAATACTGGCAGCCTGTTTCCATGTCAGACCGCTCCTTCTACGAGAAAGACATACTCACGTCATGGTGATTCTCCTCTTGGGCCCTCTGGGTGCGTCATCGATGTAAGAGACCCACGCGTCCTTTTCAGTCAGGATCTCGTGTCCAGGGAACAAACTACAGGTCTCTCCATCCGGCCCAATACCCAAGAGCATCAAGTCAAACACAGGGTACCTCGCGGCATTGCTCGCCGCAAAGTGGTTGACAAGCTGCTTTTCGTACTGATCCGCAAGCTCTTCGAGGTCGTCGAGCTGGGTGACGTCGATAGTGTGGATCTGCTTGGGCGGGATGGGGACGGTGGATAGGAAGGAGAGGTAGTTGGAGTGGTAATTAGAGTCCTCGTCCTCGAGGGGTACAGCGGCCTCGTCGCAAAAGAAAACTTCCCTACGTAACATTAGCACACGCCACCAGCTTTGGAGCGGTATCTCCGGGACGCACCACTTGTCCCACTGGACATTCTCCTGACCAACAAGACCTCTCAGATTGGCAGCGAGGGAACCTCGGGACAGGGCGATGGTGAATTTACCGCGCTTCTCGACGGCATCTCGCTGGGCCTTGACGACAAAGTTGGCGAGAGAGTCTACGGGCAAGGTCAGCATGCGTCATGGAACGCGTCGGCGGGACGGTGAAAATTTCGACTTACCGACGAGGACGTCAGAGTCGGAGAAGCTGTAGAAGACGGGAGGGGCGGGGGGTGGGGGAGGCATGTCGAAGTTGTGATGTGGCGGGAGTTATAGGGGCGATATGGAGCTTTATAGAACAAAGTCGACGGTGGGCGGGTGGCCGCTTGTGAAAATTATTTGACTGTTCGAGAAAAGCCAAGAGTTGTGTGTGTATAGGGCTCGAGATGGCGCGGGAGCAAATGTTTCAGAGGCAAAGGAGGGTTCTGCAAGCAGTCCGATTAAGTCCACAGTAAGGCCGAAAGGACTCGATCCAGATATAAGATGCTGGCGGACAACAACGTCAGCGGCTGGCCAGCGATGTTTGCCTTCGGTCTCGGATGCGTCCACACGGGCAGCCGCGGCAGAGGGTCGGAGGAGGACGCTTACAGGCAATGGATCGGGAAGATACGACCAGTGCGGCTGGGGAGCGGAGAGGGCCGGGATGCGCTGTACGCTCTTCTCTGGTCTGGGCGGGGGCGAGTTGTGGGGCGGGGTGGGGTGTAGGCTGGCTGGAGGGTTGGGGGGCTCGCAGGAGGTGGAGATGGGAGACGATGGAGATGAGATGGACTGTGAGTCGTCGGTGCACGTCACTGCTGGGCGGGCTTGGCCGACATCCATGAGAACATTCCCGATCCAGTAATTCTCGCCGTGACTTTGGACCTCCTTCTTATTCGCCAGAACGGACCTCCACTTTCGTGTCGCCGTTTATATTGGCAGCCATATTCATCTCGCAACCCATCCACCAGGCGATAACCCAACCAGCAACCTACCCACTCCTCATACTACTCCTGCAATGTCCAGTCCTACGATCCGCTGGGTCAAGTGAGTCCACATCTAGCTCTACCAACAACATCCGCTGAACATCTTGGCGCAGATTTATAGTCTACTCGGGTGCCAGTGAGTATACATACACGCCGATCTTCTCCAAGGGATGGCAATGCTGACATTAGACTGTAGTCATTGGTTCCGGTGTCTGGCTACAAAAAAGTAAGGCCCAATTCAAAAATCAATCATGACCGATCTGACACTCTGTTTAGAAACAGTTCCCAATGAGAAAGACTACTACAACGTCAGTACACATTTGACACGATATCCAAACCTACTGCATGCTGATGTACCATCCGATCACAGTCTCTGTCTCCCGATCTGAAAGCCAAGATGGACCAAATCATCAGACAAAGAGAAGGAAGCAAGACGATGAAGGAGAAGCTGCAGGTGCGTACTCATGCTTGGGCACTCGGTATAGAGGGGACACCTTGCTAACGGGAAATTGGGATAATAGGAAGCAGGTGACAAGGACGAAGTCATCTGGGGAGACCAATTATCGAAGCGCAAGCCATTATTCCAAGACCGGAGAGTCTAGTGCGCATCGTCGGGGAGGAAGGTCGGTCGGTCGGCTGAAGGAGAGACTGGGCCGGGCAATGGTGTCCAAAGGGAGCTTCTCACTTGGGTTATTGGGTTCAACGACGACCGGCAGGTCATATATGCCAACCGTCAAATTAGACAAAATTAGATCAGACATCTGGCTATTCTGTATTGTGTATTATTATTCTTGTATGCATGAGCATCCAGCACTGGGCGTGTCGGACTTGTGGCTTTACCTATCCTCTGTCCCCTGGGACGTCATGAAAAGACCCAAAGCAGGATCGATCATGATGGCCGGTCGCCAAACAACGGGGCCGTAATGTTCGCTACCAAAAGCGCTCTAAATGCGCAGCCGCCAGCCGCACGCGAACTACTTTTTGCCTTTTCATTTCGGGGCCTTCAAGTCAAGCGACGAAGGTTTGTTGACACCTTTTTAATCATGAACTTGCATCTGTCATCAACATCAACCACTTGGTCAATCCCGGGACTTGCAGACTGCAGTGCGCAGACGCCACCCAGCGCCCACGTAAGGATCATCGACGCGCTGCAACCATAACTCCTCCGCAGAACCTGGTTTCCGCAGCTTGCATCGCGAGCAAACAGCACAGCCGGACAGCCTTTCTCCTTCTCGCTGTCGGCATAAAAGAGCAAGGAGAAGGGCACATTGTCTCCAGTACCCAGAATAACATTGCGGCATCTTGGTTTATTCTTGGCTGGTCGGCACCCCGAGGCCTTTTATCAACAAAGACACTCTTTTCGAGATCCCACCATCTTCCCGCCACTTCCACATCCCCCGCCTCAGTCGGATCTCCAAGGCATGTCATCGTCCATGTCTTCTATCTCCCATCTCCTGCCGACAAACGTCCGGTCAACCCGCCTACTCCCCATCGCCATCCTCCTCTTCCTCCTCATCCTCTTTCTGCCGTCGCTCCTTCCAAAACGCGTTGGCCTCCTTCCATCTACTCCGTCCCACAAAGTCACTGTTTCTTCCGGCGGAACCCTGACACACGAATCTCGGGAATGGCTGGGCAAGAGTGTGTCCCTACAAGACGTGCTGGAGATGGGCAGAAGGAGGGTGGAAGTGAAAGTGAAAGCGTACGATGCCTTGGGGACTAAGAAGCAGCTGGGGATTGATATCCCCAAGCACCTCTCCATGGAGGAGTATACACAGCAACTCAAAGAAAGCTGGCAAAAGTGGTTCATCGCTCCCTCTTCATCAGCCTTCTCCCGCCACACCGCCCCATCGTCTCCTACTGACGACCTCCTAAAGCACACTCTCTCGCACCTCAGCCTGGTCCCGCCCGAGCTCCTCCCATCGTCACAAGCGTCAATACCCCGGTATATCTACACGACAGACTTGAAGACACCGAAAGAACTGCCAGATCAGTTTACGAGTTGGATCACGGAGAATCCCGAGTGGACGACAATGTTTGTCCGGGATGGGGATATTGACGGATGGCTGGAACAAGCTGTGGGCGTTGCGCCTGGCTCCAGGCTAGGCCAGAGTCTGGAACAACAAGATTCGGGAGAGGGGGAGGAGCCAGACAGGAAGAGGAAGAGGACAGTGGGAGTGCCGAGAGTGGTGGAGGAGATGGAATGGCTGAAAGCGGATTGGGGTGTTGTGAGAGCTGATATGTTCCGGTAAGTATCCTCAACATCTTGTTATCGTCGAGCTGACAAGATGATAGGTATCTGATACTGCTGATAAACGGCGGCGTCTACACCGACACCGATACCGCCTCGGTCTTGCCACTCGAAAGATGGGGTGTATCGCAAGAAACCTACCCACCCGACCCTCTTCTGCGCTCCTTGCCCCACCTCGTGTCTCTCATCTCCTCATCCTCTTCATCCTCCCCGCCACCACCACCTCCAGAGGACGAGACCGAACCAAACTTGATCGTGGCTATCGAAGTCGACGCCCTGGCTACCAATGCAAATTGGCAGAGGCAATCTTTCGTTCGAGGATTGCAGGTGGTTCAGTGGACGATTGTCGGAAAGAGGGGGCACCCGGTTTTCCTGGATGTGATCGGGCATGCGTTGGGCTGGGGAGAGAAGGTCAGGGCGGAGGAGCAGCGGGGCAAGCGAGACGGGGAGGCGGAAAGGGAGAAGAAGGACGGAGAGATTCTGGAGTGGAGTGGACCGGGAGCATTGTCTGTCATATCATTACCGTCCGTGGACAACGAGCTGATGTCGTGTTCAAGCACGGATGCGGTCTTCCGTTATCTTCTCGTAAGATACGGATTCCACCCCGATGAGGCTTCGGGCCTGAAACAACCATTAAGAGTTGGTGATATAGTGTAAGTCTATCGACCATTGCTCTGTAAAACTATCGCCGAGAAGTGTGCTGACTAGGACTCAGGTTGATGCCGGTGAACTCGTTCAGGGCAGATGCGTCGGAAGGGTTCCAGGGAGATCATAAAGTCGTCTGGCATGGGTAAGTGCAGTCCCCTGTTCACTCGCCGTCCATTGTAACATGTCATGAGCTAACCATCTACTTTGCAGGTTCTTCGGCAGGTGGAAGAAGGAATCATCATAGAGGCAGTTAACATCATAAAATCCAGATATTTAGATTATTCCTTACAGTTATGCCCGTGTCTGTACAATACTAGCATAATGTATCAATAAATCGCACATGTACACATGCAGAAGGCTCATTATGCCCTTGTGCAGTGCGATGATGCATTAGGGGAGCACTATCGAGCCTGCCACTGCACACCCGTACAACCGACGTTGAATGATGTGGTTATGTGTGGGAGGAAATAAAATCGTTCGCCGGTACTCGTACTCTTCGCTTTCAAGTTCGTTCGTTGCTTGTCATCCCATCCTTCTCTTTCACGACTGTTTCTTCAGCTATACCCACATAAACACCTCCGTATACGCACACCATGTCTACCGTCTTCTACAGGTGGGGTGCCCGGAGGGACGAGTCCCGAGTCACCTTCGATGGTACTCACATCTCTCTCTTCGACCTCAAGAGGGAGATCATTCTTAGTAACAAGATGGGCAATGGAAAGGATTTCGATCTTGGCCTCTACGACAATGTTACTGGAGAAGGTATATCTCAACTATACCTGACTGAATGTCTAACTAACAATAATTGTAGAGCTCAAGGACGACCACGCTCAAATCCCTCGATCATCCTCCCTCATCGCCCGTCGTCTCCCGCCCTCTGCCAAAGGCCGCGGTACAGCCCAAACCTATATTGCCGGTACCATCGCCGGAGACGCCCTGACCGGCGATCACCGTATAGAATCCCATGCCCGCCAAGCGATGCAGGACAAGCAGCTCGGCAAAGGTCTCGGCACTGGTCTCGGAGGTGGAATCGGAGGGCGGTTTGGGAGTGTGTCAAAGAGGTTCGATGGGAAAGACAAGGAAGGAGCGGTGGCTGAGGATGTCCATGTGACGACCGGAGACAAGGATGAAGATGCAAAGATTCAGGCAATTCTGGCACAAGGGGCGGAGACGTGGGAGCAGATGCAGGAAGATATGGCGGCGTAAGTCTTTCTGTTCATGCTGCTATAGGACGGTACTCACTTTCTATAGGGGATATCGAGCACCTCAAGCTAGGGCTCAACGAACTGCCAAACCCTCCTCCTCCGCCATCGCTGGTGCCGCCACAAAATACGACTTCTCCATTGCACCCGACAAAGAGCCCCCTGTCGGTTATATCTGCTACCGCTGTGGACAGAAAGGACATTGGATTCAGGATTGTCCGAAAAATGATGATCCCGAAGCTGGTACGGATCGCAAACGGTTCGTACGAGTGACAGGTATCCCGAGAAGTTTCTTGAAGACTGTTGAGTCCCCGGCAGGAGCGGAGGGCTCAAGTGCAGGAGCTATGTTGACCGCCGATGGTGGTTTTGTCAAAGCCATGCCAGATCAGAGACAATGGCAGAAACAGGCCGCTGTCAAGCCGCGTGCTTTGACGGGCGCCGATGTGCGAGACCAAGAACCACTCGAACCAGAGCTCACTTGCCCGATCTGCAAGAAACTCGTATGGGAGGCTGTCCGAACACCCTGCTGCGACACTGCGTTCTGTGAAGAATGTATCACGAGCCAGTTGGTGGATCACGACTTTGAGTGCCCACAATGCGAAAGTAAAGTGCCGAGCTTGGACAAGCTGCGGCCTGAGGAAGATTTGAGACGGCGAGCGAAGCAGTATGTGGATACAGAACTAGAGAAGAACGAAGCAGAGAAGGCCGAGGGAGACCAGAAGGATGTGAAGGATGAGCCTGATTCCAAGGCAGAAGTGAGTCTCTGTCGTCTGGAATCAAGACTGAGCTGACTTGGATTCAGGACGAAGAAGGTGCCATAAGCTCTGAACGCCCCAAACCCGCCAACCAAATCCTAAACGCTTCTGGCCAACCCGTCGCCGAAGACCTATTGAACCCTCAAATGATCCAAACCTATTTGATGGGCGCGAAAAGGATGCTTCTCAACCCATCACTGAACGCGGCGGCAAAGACACTGCTGCATAACCAAATGCAGACCCTGCAAGCGAACCTGGTCCAGATGCAGATGCTGGCCATGATGGGTATGGGTATGGGTGGTGGAATGCAGGGAATGAACGGGATGGGTGGTATGAATGGCGGGCAGGGTCAGATGGGCATGATGGGCAACCAATTCAACCAACAACAACACAACTTTCAACAACAGCAGCTGCATCAACAGCAACAGCAAAACTTTGCGCATATGAATATGCAGAATCACAACCAGATAGGAAATACGGCCAATATGGGAATACAGAATAACCATATGGGTGGAGGGGCCGGTATGGGGATGCGAGGCCGTGGTGGATTCAGAGGAGGCTTCAGGGGTAGAGGAGGCATGATGGGGAATATGCAAAGAGCGCCCATGGGGCCGGCCGGGATGGGCATCAACCGGCCGCCACAGGGTCTCAAGAGGGGAGCTGATGGAGATCTCGGGGGCGATTCGAAGCAACCTCGAGTCGGAGCCTGAACAGGCTGTATATCTATCATGTTGTTTCAATAATGCATTGCTCTAATGTTATATATATGCTGTCTAAGTTATACAATCGGGACTAATGTGCTGTAGAGTACTGTACAACATTTGTAGGCAGTGGCAGGAAATGCCTGAGAAGCGACTCCAATCTAAACGGATCCTCGGATACCTTTATAATACTGACATGCCCCGACATAGTCTGCGAGAGATATGTGTTTCATTTGAAAGTGGATCTGGACAAGAGGATTAGTATCCGTTGAGCAAGGATTCATCAGACTCACATGCAGATAGTCCTTGAGTTCAAAATCGATCCCGGCGCGCGCCATTATCGTCCCGTACTTGTCAAGAAACAATTTCAGATAACCTGCCTTGTTGATTCCGGGTATAGGCCTGCCATTTGTTAGCTGGCATGCTCAGCAACTTGGCGATGTACTCACCCTTTTTCATACGTCCACCTATTCCAACAGCAAGCCAGAAATCGCCTCTTCTCCGACAACTAGAGCTCAACGTCAATCCCGCACCAATACTGACAAGGTAAATGAACTTACATGGTTTCTAGTCCAAATGGTCACTTCTTGATGCTTCACCACATGCCGAATCCCTCCGCAATCCCACAGCTTATCTAGCTCATGCATAAAGTCAAACAGTGTGCCGGGTACGACAGCATGGCTCCACTCGGTCCATTCGTTGACTCTCTGGCCCATGTAAGGACCAGCAATGCCAGACTCGGTGAAGCGAGAAGTGTCTCGAAGCACTGCAAGGTCGCGAAGATCCGGGCACAGCTGCTTTTGAGGATCGGAGTCGGACCTGGCCTCCTGCTGCATGCCATTGTCTGGAATGCGAGAAGGCGATACAGCCTCGACTGGGGTGGTATTTGGATCGTTGGATTTCTCGTTCACCCCCAGCACGAATCCTTGCATAATAGCTGCCACCTTCGAAACGTCTTCTGCTGGTGGCGTTGATGATTGTGACAACGATGTGGACGCTTGCGGTGTGCGCGACATTCCTCTCGATTTAGGTTGAGCAGGGTGGGTTGTTTGTGTCTCCGGCACAGGTGTTGCAGCGTCATCCACTGTATCGGAAGCAGCCGTATCCACTTCCGTGTCCATGGCGATATCTTCCTGCTCAATCGCTACGATGGATGACGAACGCGAATTGGAAGCAGACGATTGCTCTGACATGAGCTCTGACAGATTCGACTTTTGGGCTGGCAAAGTCAGACGGACCATGGGCCTCTTGACACTCTCAGCCTCTCTGCTAGGAAGCTGAGTTTTTCGCGGAGCCTTGATGACCGGTACAAACACGGGCGCGTCCTCTGTATCCGTATCCGCAGGATTCGATACTATAGCAGTATGCTGAAGCTCCGTCCTGGCGAGCGGGCTCGTTATGGAAGTCTGTTCTTGTGACACTCCCTCCACGACTTTCGTGCTCGAGCCTTCGGTTTCGTCGTTTTTCTGCTCTGGTTCTGATAGATCTGGAACGATTTCGGCTCGTTGGAAAGGTTCACTCGCCTTGGCGAGAACGCTGGAGTAAACTTCTGGTACTGCTTGGATGGAGACAGGGGTGGCGATGTCTTCTATCACCTCTGAGCCCTCCTCTACATTCGAAGCGCCCGCGGAATTATCGGCGTTCGACTGAAGCACTGGAATGGGATGTTTCAAAGAAGGGGAACGGACACCCTGTGAGAGGCGTTGAGGATGATGTGAAAGTGATGTTGGTGTAGTGGTTGAGCCTCGCGACACTTGAGTATCGGGCTCTTTCCCAGCAACGCTGCTGCATGATGGCGCCACGGGCACAGCAGGCTTGTCGTCTTTTGCATGAATTGGAGGTGCTGACTGGATGTTTGAATCAGCGTGCGGAGCTGGCTCTTGCGGTATGTCTTCGACATCATTCCCTTCCATCTCGCCTGAGTTGGAACTAGTCACCTGTGCCACTGGAGCACTCTCCTCGACGTCCATGGCCTCCGTTTGGGAAAGCTCGTCCACCGCAGATGATCCTTCAAGAACGCGGGGAGCTGGCTCTGGCGGTGTGTCTGCGTCATTGTTCCCCGTTATCGCGCCTGACTTCAATCCCGGAGCCTGCGCCACTGGTACACTTCCTTCGACCTCTGTAGCCTCCGGGAATAATTTGTCCGCCGCAGATGACCCTCTTTCAGCGTGAGGAGCCAAGTCTGGCGGTGTGTCTTCGCCATTGTTACCTTCCATCTCGCTTGTTTTCACTCCGGTAGCCTGTGCCACTGGTACAATTCCTTCAACCTCTGTGGTCTCTACTGGAGACATTTCGTCCACTGCAGATGCTCTGCCATCATCGTCGGGAGCCGGCACTTGCAATGCGCCTTTGACGGTGCCCCCTTCCGATATCGAAGATGTCTTCTCTAATGCTTTATCAGAAGGCGGATGCGTCGCTGAAGAAGTCTCTGTAAGGTTGAGACGTTGTCTGGGTGATGAAAGCATCGGCCCGTTGACCTCAGTAGGACTAGACATCACGGAGGGGCGGGGGAAATCAGCGAGTGTTGGAAGGAGATGATGCAATCTGATGTATTTGTTGGCGAAGACGAGCGAGGTCTTTGCGCGGGACTTCAAAAAGACAGTCAACTTCAACAAGCGGCCACTTCTCTAAGCAATCCATCAGCTCGGCCGCAAATAAATCGTCTCCACTCACAGTGATTTTCTCTGTCGACCTCTTTTCGTCCAATTTTGCCTCCTTTCGATGACCTGACAGATGCAAGAACAGAGCCTGTCTACTACCTGTGTCTCCCGCGCCGTCCAGGTCTGAGCACAGTGGGCAGGTAAAGCCACTGACGACAACGACACTCGACTGTCCCGCATTAGACTTTTTCACGATATATGTCACCTCGACATCTCTAGAAGATTTCGACAACAACGAGGCGGAGACTGGGTAGAACCTGGGAGAAGGTAAGAGGTTGTAGTCGGTCTTGAGACGCAAGAGAATGGGTGGAGCTTGATCACCCAGAGAAGTAGGTCTCAGATTGATAATGGGCCCAAATTGGGCCAGATGCCCATCCGAAGCCACTATCTTGATGTCGGATGACGTGTACATCTCTTGCGCCCTTCCGATAGAGAATAGCATTATCTGGAGATTCATCAACGTTCTGTAGTCCGGCTGGCGATTCTTGATGAAGGTTTCCGACAGTGGTATTGACAGGGTCGTCTGAGGGTGTACCTTGTATTGCACAATGGGAACAGTGACGGCATGGAGAACCGTCTCCTCCTATTAGAAGCTTCAGTCGGTTCCCCGTCAATGAGAACGATACAACTTACAAGCCTCACGATAATTTGAGCCTGGTATGGGCATTTCGATGGAGCGCGCCCGGCAGGGAAAACACCCTCAAAGGTCATGTTTAGAACGACACCTTGCTTCCTGGGAACAAGTCAGACAAGGCATGAAATGACGCCGGCCACACTTACAATAGATTGAAATCTGTCCCGCGCGCGACCAAGTCTTCGTCCACGACTCTGAACCTCTCCTTCATATCGATACCCAAAGCATTATCCTCTTTTCTTCTCGTGCCCTCGAGTTTCCTATACTGGTTGAGCCGAGCCATGTACTCGATGGATTCGGTGTTATCCGGATCAAGAAAGGCACTGGTACCTTGCAGGCGTATACGCATGTTTTTGCGAAGGAATGGTCGACAGGTGTAGGAGGGTAGATATTCAGAAGTCGAAGAAGGGGAGCGTCGGGCGATTCTGCGGGAGAATATGGAGGAGAATCTTCTGAGATGGAATTGGGAAGAAGATAGGTCTTGGGCAACTCCTTCAATAGTCGGAAGCTCCCAGGAAGGGACGTCCAGAAGGGGTGGCCTGGGAGCGGGGGTTGGGGACGCTGGCTGAGGTGCTTCGGAGATAAAAGGTCCTGGTGTTATCATGTCCTGAAGCGGATCTTCATGTACCTTCTCGTTGACATTATCGTCGCCGACGGCGACCTCGGCATCCGATTCATCTCGAGTATCATCTGTTAGATTCACTGGAGAACCTGATTCGGACGCGTCGATATTTTGGGCTATCATTCTTGCCGGTATAGCACTGATATCCTCGAGCGGTTGATGGTTTTTCCGAGATAGAATAGCACCCTCTCTTTCCCTCATCTTTTTTGAACGCTGTGGCGGAAAGTTGGTTTCCTCTTCACCATCGCTCATCTCCCGACTGCTGCCCATCTCGTGCCCTTCGTCCTCATCAGAGCCCGTATCCCACGTCAGATCAATGACTGTGGGCGCAGCCACCTGCTTCCTGGCGGCTTTCCTCTTCTTCTGTCTCGTAGCAGTTGTATCCCCGCTAGAGACGAGTGTTGCAGGCGCCTCAGGAGATTGTCGATACTGCCCGTCACTTCGCCTTTGACGTTTCGTCGTCCTGGGACCAAGGGCAGTGTCTGCCATCCTTTTGCGACGCTCAAAGTCGACTGTGTATGTGCGCGGCACTCTTGACGGGCCCGCACTTTCGGGGGAAGATAGGGGCCGTTGCTTGGCGATGGGAGATTGGGGGCGAGGTGAGGATAGACGCAGGTCATCTGGCTCGGAAGCCTCGGCGTTGTCGGTCTCGTCGCCCTCAGATAGATCTGTAACAACTGCTACCTTTCGAGCTGAGCGAAGAGGGCGGGTGAGAGGTGTCTTTTGGGGCAAGATCGTCTTTCTAGCGGCCAACACATGCTTGCGTTTTGGAGGAAGAGCGTTTGTAGAAGTCCTCGGGCTAGTTCTCACATTGAGTGGCAGGCGTTGAGGTGCTTCTAGGGCAGACATGGTGCAGCCTGTGCTGCTGCCCGCCTCGCTATTCCTTCTTGTCTCGCCAGTCTTTCGATGTGAAAGGCCTATCCGAGTGGGTTCTCGAGCCTCGCGATTGTTGCCTTCTCCACTCCCTCCGTCATCTTGGTCGCTTTCGGGGGCGAGAGCGAGATCCCACACCAGGCCTTCAGCCTCTTCGATGTCGTCGAGGTAATCGCCCCCGCCCAGAGATTCTGGAGATGTCGGTCCTATGGTGGATCCCGTAACGTGATCGGCCGATGATATACCTGGGAAGCGTCGAGGCTGGCAGCCGTGGGCGGTTTTGATGTCTGGTGTTTATGCTTGAGACAGGCAGCAAAGTACAAACAAGTGCCGATGAGGCCAAACATTTGCTTCCGCTAGGTGTCGAGTGACTGTCGGTTATGTGGCATCATGACTTGTCTGTAGAACAACATATTGTTATCCGACAGTATATTCTTGTGGGAGGGTATGCTGACCATGTACATAGGATACGCAGCTGCTGCCCAGCTGGCAAAACTGGGTAAGTCCACCACCGTGTACGAGTAGAGTATTCAGCCTGGTACTCTGGTTCACATAGTCTTGATCGCTGGTACTCAGGGTATCGATGTGTTGCGAATGTGTAGCAGATCTATATAAGAGCCCCGCTGGTCAGACCGCCCCTGAACTTTGCAACAAAGGCTTGTAGCTATCGACCCAACGTCCCATGTGTGATGTACTCGTACAATGATCAGGAAGAGTCATGCGAGCAGGCTCTGGTGGACGGATGCTGTCGAGCAAAGGACTATGGTTCTAGCGATATAATGTAGATGTGGGTTGACAGCAAGCAATACTCAACCCTGCATCAATAGTCAGACTGTTGGTTGATGTCGACGGAAAGGCCAGTGTATGATGCAACCGTATTGAGATGGCAGTAAGATGACAGCAGCGCTGTATAATTGAAACATCTCCTTCCTTCATCTGAGATCTGAAGATCGTTATAGGGCACATGGGAAAGGTTCTAATCCTTCGCGAGCTACAGGTCATAGCCGCAGAAGGAACCAAACAATGAGCAGGATAAAAGGGAGAAATTGCAGCGCAGATATATGACGAGGCCGACGGGCGCTGACAAAGTCCATCAATTCTCGCAGTTGTCCATCATCTGCACCACCACAACAATGTCAGTCGCCCAGCCACTGACAGATACCCCCGCCCCCGTCCGTACGACCAAAGAAACCCACCCAAATCTCCCACCAGGCCTTATACTGGGTCCAGACGGCAAGCCCTGCAAAGTCTGCAACTCATGGCAAGACTGGGCGGGGCTCAAGATGAAAAAGAAGTCGGCCGATGAGGGTCAAGGAGCGAGCGGCGGAAAAGGCGCTGGTGCTGGAGCAGCGGCTGGGATGTCTGCATTCGCTGGGATGATGTCTGGGGCAACCGCCTCCAAGCCTGCCCCGCCGAAAGCAGAGGAGAAACCGCTGGATAGGTCAGACTGCCCGCCCGACACTGCTCAGCTGGGTCGCTCTACGTGGACATTCCTGCACACCACGGCAGCCTACTACCCCCTGTCTGCACCCCCCAATACCCAGACTCAGATGCTCAACCTCCTTTCCTCCCTGTCCCTCCTTTACCCTTGTTCATGGTGCGCTACAGACTTCCGTAAGGACATGGGGAACAATCCGCCGGATGTGTCGGGCAGGGAGGGGTTGATGAAGTGGCTATGTGAGAGACATAACGAGGTCAACTTGAAACTTGGGAAGGAGAGGTTTGGCTGCGAGGTGAAGAACTTGGATGAGAGGTGGAAAGATGGACCGGCAGACGGGAGGTGCGATTAGAGCATAGAAATAGTACATGCATACACAGCTCATCTCATAGTCTACCACCCCAGCCTTCGCATCCAGATCTTCTGCTGCCAACCCAGCAGTATAGGTATCATGTCAGACAGACCAAATTCTGGCCAATAAGTCTTGACAAAGTGAAGTTGCGTGTCATCGGATGACTATCTCGGGTCATTACGATACAAAACAGGTTTGCCGCGCAAACTCACCTGCCACATCATAAAATCGCTGAGACGCTTGACATCTGATGTCCTCACAAGTATGTCCAGCTTTCCCGCATCTTCTGGTATTGAGAATAGACGTTCATTCACCTCGCTCACTGCCTTTGAGGTGCCGAGGCGCTGAAACACGTCGTGCGATGTGATTTCACTGCCCGGGGGTCAGCTATGCCCCAGAAAGATTGCAGTCACTCACCTCGTCATGATCTCGCCGCTATAGACATCGCTCATAGACCCTTTCATGGCGGTGACGATCTCGTCTCTGGAAGCATACGGACAACAGACATTCAAGACACCACTGCAGAGAGCCCGGTCAACTTGTCCTCTTCGCGGAAGGAAGGAGACTCACTTTTTGTTTGCAGCAGTCATCGCCTCCATATCTCTAGCAGCCTGCTGTACGTCAGGTGGAAGCAGGTCAAACCTCCCCACAAACTTGATTTTCACTCCATACTCTTCTAGCAGATCTCTGGGTCGGGCGTCAGTGTGGCCTCACTTCCTTTGTCCAACGCACATACCCATGGGTACAAAGCTCTGCCAAGCGCTCTTTGGCAAGGTTCATAAGAGCCCCAACCTCATTTTCTGACCTGTTGAAGTTGTCTATAGCAAACGCATATACCGAGACAACTCGGATCCTGAGTCTCAGACAGATCTCCAACGTCTGAATTATCGTCAGGTCTCGAACTTGCAACGGTCTGATTACTCACTCGCCGTAAGGCCATGAAGCCTTCTCCGTGACCTTGCTCCACTCTCTTTCCCAGCTCCCTTGCATACCGCCTGTTGCCGTCCATCACAAAACCGACATGCTGGGGCATGGGACCGAGGGACAAGAGGAAGAGGAGGAGGGTGGTGATGGTGGAGAAGAGATGGTGTAGGAGGGTGGAGAATGCTGACTTTGGCTGGGAGGGCATATTTGAAGGTATGTTGTGGTGGCGTATAGGAGTCGAGAAGATGAATGGGTCTATGAACTGTGACCATGCCGAAAACACAGCGAAAACACGCAGTAGTCACGTCGGTCGTCGAGGTGGAGGCTTCTTCGGCGGCCATGAAGGCGGCCATCTCCGCCAGGTGTGCAAAGTTGGCTGATGATCTCGTCAGACTGTTCATTCGCTGTTCATCCAGAGAATTTCAGGAACTGGGGCATCAAAGAGAGTACAGCAGAACTCAAAGGGCGTAGTATACATCGCATAATGGATCAAGGCACATACTACGCAATAATAATGAAGGAGGGCGATAAAGAATGGTCTCTGCGATCACTTTGGAACAGAACGAACATGTCAGAACAATGATCATGTGGCGCGAAATTTCCCACTGGGAGCAAGAAGAAAGCGGAATCCTCTGTCAACATCCCTGCAAGGGAGGTATAGGCGCCAAAAAATGCTGCGGCCTATAGGGTATGGTCAGCTTTCAGGAAATCATCATCACGATCCATAACAGAGAGCTGCTATGACATACAATGCCAAAGGCACCTCCGACTGTAAGTATCGTTTGATTGTCCAGAAATTTCCCTATAGCACTATACGTCCTAATTGAGCGCTGTGTCAACAAATACGACGGGAGAAGAAACGGCGCCCACTCACGTAAGCCAAAAGTTGAGGTCCAGAGTGACGAGCACGAGGATCATGGCCACAGAGGAGCGATGGGCGACGACGAGGAACATGAGAGTGATGATGGCCCAACAGCAGATGTATAGACCATCGGCATTCAAGCTCATTTAATGATCGGCAGCGTACGAAGCTTCGACCTCTAATTGAGGTATCAAAAAGTCTACTCGTCAGCTGTTGTCAGCAATGATGGCCTGGCTATTGCCCATAAGGCATGTCGAGCAATAAACAAGAACGTACAAGCATATGAGAACCAGAAACCTCCGTAAGAAGTCAACGTCACAGCCTAAGTCCAATGAGTATATGCGATCAGCAATGCTCGTGATCCTCACCACAGCAGATATACATGCCGACACGACAACACTCACACCAAAGGTGTTACCAGAAACCCACTCTAAGATGTCAGCAGTTGTCTGGGCCATGCCTCCGAATCCTAGAGCAAGGCAGAGAATGACATTGGGTTTTGTGACCCCTCTAGTGTGGATCTGATAGATGTTAAACAAGAATGCAGATCCGGCAAACCTGATGCATGGATCAGCCACTTGTCTCCATGAACAGAAGGATAAAAGGTGCCAATCGACTTAGACTTACGAAAGCAGGCCCAAGGGCGTGATGTTGGCGCATTTTCTGTGGTATACAGGCAAGGCGGGCTGGCTGGAGTCTTGGCTGCTACCCCCTGGAGTTGTGAAAGCTGTCAATGGCTGAGAGCCATGTAGATGATGGACTGTATTGTCGCTTTTCTCAGCAGCCACATAACGCTGATCTTTGACTACTCTGAAGGCGGTCTGATCATCGCCCCCGTCATCCTCACGGTGAGATAACAGTGCTGTTGCCATTATAATGGTGAGATAAGGGTAGCTGGCCGGAAGTTGTCTCAGCTGGTGGTGGATCGGAACAGGGGCAGATGGTTGAGATCAGTAGATATACGATTGACTCCGTTGACTGAAGATGCCCGTGTTGGAACGACACCGGCTAATGAAGATTGCCATTTGTCCTCTGCGCCCCATGCGATGATCCATCCTGACGACTCTTCGATCCTTTTAGAGGCACCATCCAGAGAAATGGCGGGCAAGGTCTGCCAGAAGAATGCAATAAAGATTGACCAAACCAAAGACGGTAGGCGGCGGATACGACGTATCCACCCTATCCACTTCGCGGCACTACTTCTCCTTGTTGCACTATGCGCTATTAAAGATCCATCTGTGGCGAACGGCCGCCGACCTGGCTTGGCCTGAATAACTGCCTTCTTCGGCCCGATGTACAAAATTCTTACGGCAGCAATATAGGAGAGATCAGCCATAAACATGGCGAGTATCACAAAAGGTGGGATCGTGTATGTATATATACATGCTATGATGATGCTATGAATCATTTGCACTATGCTACAACTTGTTTGCTCGTGTATGAATTTATTATAGACTCGACAGCCTCTCTTTTTCTACGACTATATCCGAGCCTCTCGCCCGCCCATACCCTGCCCTCAAATCCGAATTACCCCCGTTGGTAGCATTGTAGACTGTAGAGCTGATTTTGTCTTTGACATATCGACCGGTGCGGGCTACCTTGAGCTGGAAGACACCCTTGTGCTGCAGAATCTCATCAGCGTGTTAACAATTTGGAGAAAGAGGTACTCACGCGCTTATGAAGAGCATGGGAATGACTTCGCCTATCAGACATCTCCCCCATTTGGTTGTCCAAAGTATCCAGGCTGACGATTCCTTTCTTATTGCCCGCTCCCTCGGTATCTTCCTCATCACTCTCGTAGTCGTCTTCCTCGTCCTCTTCCTCTATATGACCCGATATCGAAAGATCCCTCTCCAGATCTCTTCCTGCTTCCCATGCCTCGAAAACTTTACCAAAGCGCAGATCTTTCTTGGCAATTATCTTGTGCGCCCGGCTAATCCCAGGAACAAGCAACCAGTCGATATCCAAATAGCCCAGAAGCTTGCGGCTTGAACGTCTAGAAGACATAGAAGAGCGCTTGGACATGTGTGTTTTGATGCGGGAAAGCGATTGGGTCTTGTGCAGTGATATGGAGGCGTTGCTTTTGTTGGGAGAAGTGACTTGAGAGTGGTCGCCACTTGCGTCAGAGTCGTAGTCTGACTCGTCCTCTTCTTCTCGGCCGCCATCGCCTCCCCCTTGCCACACGCCCATTCGTCTTCGACCCTCACCATCGACGACATCCCCGAGTCTGATCACCCCGGCTCCCAGTCTCTTCCGACGTCCGACTCTGCTCTTTGACCGAGGAGCGAGGATAGAGACATGTATTGATGAGGAGTGGCGGTACATGACTGCCAAGGTGGGGTGATGTTTGGGAGGCAAAGTGAATGTGAGATTGGAAGGGGCAAGGGAAGAGAACGATCGAGATATGGTGGGAGACGTTGGCAGTTCCTCACCTGGATCACGATGTGCAGGACCAGGTGTCAGGTCGACGACGCGCTGATCACTATCGGTCCTGACCACCGCCCGCATGGTCTTTTTTCCTTCTTCGTCGCTTCCGTCAACAGGTGTGAAGGCAAGGGACTTGATCTGGACAGTGCTAACTTCGTACCCCGAGATACCTCTTGGGAGTGACAAGTCGAGAGACTTCCACAGGAGAGAAAGTCGTATACGGCCCCAGCCCAGGCCACCGTTGAGAGGAAACCATCGGGTGATGTTGGAAGTCTTGGAAAGGATAGTCTGCAGATCAAGCTCGACGAGTCCAAGAATGGGATCTGTTGCTCGTCAGTACTCTGTCAGGCCCGTTGCTGAGTGACACTCACCGTGTTCCCTATCCCTCTCGTCTCTGACAACGAAAACAATCTTGCCCTTGGTCCAGTCCCTTACAAACCTCTCGCTCACAGCATTGAAATATGGCATTGGTGTCACCCCTTTCGTCCGGGTCTTGAATACCATTTTATCGTTCAGATACACCTCACAGTACGCCGAGGGAGGGTCCGAATTCTCCGTAGAGGTGCGGTCGGTTATGTGCGCCAGGGCTGGAGGCCCGCCACCGGGTGACAGCGGTTGGGAACTATATGTCCCGGAGGTGGGCTCGATCTCGAGGTCCAAGCACTGATGGATGTGGAACCTCAAGATCCCGGCCAGTCTAGCCTCGCTCGCCCCAACCTCGGCTTCCAAGACCTCCCGTTCCTTCTTGCCCGCAATCCACGCCTTTGCGTCTTCTCTCCTCCTCTTCCGGTTCTTCAGCCACTCGTTGTCAGTCTCGTCGCCAGGAAGCAACGACTTGACCCAGGTCAGCCACGACGGCTCCGGCCCTTGAGGTGTCGTAATCGGTTGACCCGAGGCGTTCAACCTTTCATTTGCCTCTTCTGGAGGCATTTGCCACAGAGGACAGAACTCTACCGACCAGTTCAGAGTCCCCGACGCGCGCATACCCGGGCGGTCGGCTATGAAGGGGTCAGACCTTTTTTGCAAGCCGCCGCCGTTGCTGGAACTGCATGCAATGAGGGAGGCAAGGTCGATGAGAACGACACCGAGGGTGTCGTCAGCCGAGAATCGGTCGGCATCGTTTGAGCGGATACGAAGAATGTCGCCCGATTCAATCGCGTCTGCCGTTACCAATACTAGCGCCATCATCAGCTTGAATCCCCCAACAAACCAGTGGACTGACCGAAACATTCTTCTTCCCAGACAGGATCCATCGTATTACCAATGGTCCTCGTGCTGAATACTGGCTTCCTCGACTTTTCAAAGCCCACTTCCAGATACGGGTCACAACTTCCCATTGTATCAGCTTTGGGCAGGTCGGTGGCACTGTGAAATATGATGTGGAGACATCCAACAGATTCGAGTCGAAGAGATGAGGGGGCGGAAGCAAGGAGAAGGCGATCGAGGTCGAGGGTGTAGGTGGAGGGGCGAAGGAAGGAGGAGAGGACAGAGGCGAATGATGTTTTGACTTTAAATCGTTAGTCAAGCCCACTACTGCTGCGACAACATACCATATGTCTTCATCAGAGGGAGATCCATGGCATTGAAGCTTCCCTTTTTTAGGGGATTAGCAGCAATGTCGAATTCGGGCAAAGTCGGCAGGGAGAAAGTGCCGAGCTTGACGAATGGAGGAGTGGGTGAGAGCAAAAGTCGAACATTGATTGTACCTTTGACATACAGGACGTCAATGTATACTGGGACTTCAGCGCTGGCAACGCCTTTCAGCCCTATACCCATGAAAGCCTACAAGGGTCAGCATGGTCCAGGAGATAGACAAAGAACGTACCAGGCAGTGCAGCCCCTTGCCCTTCTGCATTGCCTCCTCACTTCTCTTGTATTCAAAACCAATCTGGTAGTTGACATACTGTCCCGCATCCGGATCATCCTCTTCCACTTCGTCCCTCCATCCACCCCTCTTGCGCGTCCCATCTTCCTTGTCCTTTTCTACGTCCGGATCGTCTCCCCGAGAGGTGGGCGAGCTGAGACTACCTCCGTCGCTGGGCGAATAATGATCGGGGACCCGGTGGGTGATCTTGTGCAAGAGGCGGTCGTGCAAACGTCGAGAACGGACTTTGCCTAGCAGATCGTCATTGGCTTTTACATCTGATGAAGACCATGTCTTTGAGAGACTTTCGGCGGGCAAGGAAGCGTTTGAAGGGGACCTGCTGCGGAACATGCCCGGCCTCGACTCAGGGGTCAGAGGCCTTTTGCTGGTAGATGATTGAGCTCGACGATGTCCCTTTCCGACACGAGGTGACCCATTATCCTGGGAAGGATTATCTTCTTGGGATAGAGATGCGAACCATTCTTGGTCTGACAGAGGTCGCATGGAAGTCAAAACGAGGGGTTGCGAGCCGAGAGCGGGAGAGTCCAGACGAACACTAGTCTGCAATGCGTCAGCCCTTGTATGGAACGGTCTGAAATACTCACAATGATAGCGGGAACTTCTTCCGATAGCGCATCTTCCATTAGGTCCACAAAAGGCGTCAAGACGTCCGTGGATATCAATGGGAATAGCGCATAGAGCGCATGATTGACCCATCCCACAGCTTCTGCTCCATCTCCACTCCCCATTGCCTTTTCCTTTTGCGTTCCAATGTTCTCGGAAGTCGGAACATTCTTTCGCGTCTGCGCGTGGACTGTGGCAAGCCCATAGTAACCACCAGCAGCCAAGACCAGCAGATATAAGAGAGAAAGGCGAGAGTATGCTAGAGCTACCAAGATGGATGTGAATGTGACCCATTGCTGGGTTGATAATGGAGGTATGTTGTGGGTGACAGTATGAAGATCCGGCTTGGGTACCGAAGAGTATGCCTTTTCGTATGAAGATGCGGCAACCGACTTCAGATGCTCGGCGGTCTGCGCAGCTGGATAAGAGCCAGGAGACGATGGTCCTGGATCCAAGACCCTGTGAGATTCCCGCGAGGGGGCACTCGTAACTCCTGTTGACGCTGAGGGGGCCCAAGCAGGCTCACTCCTTTCTTCCTTGGGAGTAGCAGGAGTGACAGCGACTGTAACTCCTGTATCCCCTGACTGCCTTGGAGGCGTTTGTAATGAAGGAGCCACCTCTTGTGGAGGGACCACGATAGGCTCTGGGACAACCTCCGACTTGGGCGTCCTGGGTGGCAAGGGTGGGGGTGTTCTTGGCATAGCTGGCGCTGCCTGGGATATTGACGAGGACGATTCGAGAGGTGCCTGTGAGGGCTTTCGGGGAGGGAGGGGAGGGGGCTGAGCCATGGCTGAGGTCGTGCTCAGGTGTCCCCTGGCGATTGATGTGTAGATGTGAAAGGAAAAGTGAGGGAATATGCGGGCAGTGCTGCGATAGGATGTCCAGGTACGCGCTGGCGAATTTCACGAAGAGACCGACGGCGACGAACTGCTGGAATCACAAGCTGCTTTCACTCGGAGTCATCAATGGATGGGGTACATCTCAGGTGGAGGATGGACATCCCTTACCCTCTGCATCCCTGCTGCCTGCATGCCAGCTGCAGAACGTGCCAGGTATGTCCCAATGACGTAATGACACATCGCGCGCTTCTCTCAAGGAGGTCTCTTCTCGCGTTCCAGAGCCATTTGACAGCATTGGGAATCAACACGCAGGAGAGGGGTAGGGGAGCAGGGCTATAGACACAAGATGCATGATGCACTGATTATGCGATTCTTCACAACGATTCACGGCGTATATGACAAAGCCTATCTACGTACCCGAAGATGTATGTCACAGCTCGAGATAGTCCTTCTAGAAGATCGCGTAGATGTATGTAACGAAAAGCAAAGCATAGAATGGGACCAGAGTCCGTACGTCATTGTTGACAGTCTTCTATCACCTCACATTCACCCTAGTTCTGGCACTGCCAACACCCTCATTCGACCCATGTGAACCCCTGCTCCTTCTATCCTCAGACCCCTTCACAGTATCGACCCATATCCCCCGCGACTCGTCCCAAACCTTTCGTTTCGCGTTTTCTCTTACCCCTCTGCCTTGCTGAGCCGCGGCGTTCTGAGAAGAGGGAAACTGCGCCGAGCCTCCATAGCCGTGCTCATTCACAAGCTGATGCTGCTGAGGGGGCACGGAAGAGACAATGGTAGAAGTGTTGCCCAAGCTCCCTCGCTGGGATTCCACACGGCCGACGTTGACATTGACCAGGGCAGCACCCGTCCGGCGAGGAGACCCAGTTTCTCGAACAGGCAGTCGATCAGAGAGACTAACCACTTGAGGAGCAGGAACGTCTGGATAGGGCTTTTCATCCGGAGGCGAAGGGATCGGCTGACCGAGGGCAAGAGGCTGAGTGACGACAGAGCTTGCGCCATCGTCGGGTGACGGCGCGTATAGATCAGCACCCGGGATCCTCACGTCGTCCAAGCTCGGGTGAAAGTCCCGAGTCCTCCGTGTGGAGGCTTCCCCAGCACCTGACAAATCTGTGGGAGCATCGACGTAAACAGACTGTCCACTTTCATAGGACGGTTTAGGGGCATGACCTTGACCCGGTGCTCGAACACGAGGAGCTGCGCGGGGAGCGGGAGAGATCTCCGATGGAAATGATCTTGCCGACGGGATGGGAGGTGAAGCAGCTCGCACAGGGGAAGGTGACCCTGCAGAGGGAAGGGGGCTTCGAGAGAGCTGAGCAGGTGGAGCACGGCCGTACCCCGAGGAGGCAATACCACTGTCGGCCGACATGGGTCTATCGGCGAGCGACCAGTTGTCTCTGTCGTTGCGAGTGGCGTTGATCACGACGAGAAGGGATGCGTTTCGAGAATGTCCAGGAGGCACAGCGGTGCCTTCGGAAGAACCTCTACCAGTGTGGTTTGACTGAGCAGCCAAACCAGTATCCGACTGGCGCCTATGATGACCATGGCCATACACCTGTCCTAGATTCAGGAGGCTCGTGTTTGAAGGCATTATCGGCACACTCTTCCTTTTGATCGAGTTTTTCTTGACAAGAACGTTGCCTTTGCGAGAGTTGGACGATTCTTGGCTGGCAGTACGCCGGCGACCTGTGAATGATGCGAGACGCGCCCGGTGTGGTTTAGGCTCGGGCTGGGGTGGGGGCTGAGGTTGGGATTGGGGCTGTCTCGCCGGAGCTATGGGAGGCAAGAGCTCCACACTTTCGCGGTAGTTATCTCCCACACCCGCCCCAGGCGCCAAGTCTGTTCCGTCAGACAGCACCCTCGGTATATACGAGTCTCTCGCGGAAACACCAGACGAGGGAAGAGACTGGAAGATGAGGACGTCGCGACCTTTGGTGAACGGGACGAGGGGGACGGATCCAGCGAGCTGGTAGTGGAGACTGGAAAAGTTGTTGACCATGGTAATGACGAGAATAGGATGGATGCTACAGCAAGTCAGCGAGTTCAATCTTGAGTTTGTCAAACTCACTTTTCAACCACTCTCCTCTTGATCCCTTTTCCGATCCATCTTCTCATTCCGTCTACCCAGAACCGATATACCCCATCGTTCACCCACCCCTCGAGCTTGATTCCTCTCGGGTCGTGTCCAATCCACTGTCTATCCTCCTTGTTGCCCTTTTCACTCCTTCTCAAAAGCTCCTCGTCGCTCACGGCGTCGTGAATGATGGAACCAGGAGGCTCGGTGCGGATTTTGAGAGGGGAGGCAGAAAGAATAGATTGTCGGAGGGCAGAGATGAGGGACGGCGTGGATTTGAGAGGTGGGTTGATGAGCGAGAGGCGATCGGGAACTGTACAGTGTTAGATGGAAAAGATATATCGGAAGCAGCTTACGAGGGATGGATAAGGCGAAAAAGGCAGGAGGGGTGATGACTGTCTCTGGGGCATACGAAAAGAGCAGATTATGGGTATCTTTCTGAATACACTGTCAGCCTGATGCAATATGAGTGCGGGATACGCGCCTTTGCACTTCCAGCCTGAATACTCTCCACCAGCGTCCAGCCATGTCTCCCTAAAACTCTGAAGACAGACAAGATCAACCGGATGGTACTGGTCACGCGTCAGCCATATTCAGGTCTTTCAACATGCCACCCACTCTAGCTCTTCATTTCCCTTCCTTCTCCAGACCTTCCCCTTCAAGGTCACATTCCAGACCACAGTGTCCTTCTCTCCTCTTGCCTGAAGCTCTGACGCACCCTCACTCCTCTTCACGACGCCCCAAGGCCACTCTTCCGAAATTGCATGGTCCAATGCGATCAAAGCTGCCGGTGGAAAGCCGGTGAACCGCATCCCACCTGGAGCTATGAGAGCGACCAATGCGTGATTCGCAGCCTTGGGAGGCGCAGTATTGCGAAACTCTTCTTTGATGTGCAGGCCGGGGCTGCTAGGGTGAGGTACACCTCCCGGAAACAGCTTTGGGCCCATGGGACGATTCTGCCACGCACTCGGAGGATTCGGAGGGGTAGGATCAAGAGGAGGAGAGGGATCGACCCTTGGTAGCGCAGGAGCTGGATCCGTCCACAAAGGTAAAGGAGGCGGCCCTTCGTCGAGCTGCGACATTGCCGCGAGATACAGGTTACGTTCAGATGGTGTGACATAGAGGGTAGCGACTCGGTTGGGCGAGAACTGGATAGGCCGAAGTCGCTCGGTGCCACCAGCATCGCCGTTTGCGGCGCTGAGAGTGGATTGGCGACGGGAGGAGAAGAGAGTTTGGCGGTCGGGAGCGATGAGTGAGGCCTCTTCTGCCTTGATCGAATTGGGTTTGTGTCTAGAAAAGCTGAACCAAGACCTGCGGCTCGGTGATTTCATGGCTGAAGGGGGGCTGGTAGTCGGGGTGTCCATGGTGAAAGTAGGCGCTCAGCGAGGCAGCTGCCCCGTGCGTGGATGATAGGAGACTTGGTGAGCGAGCGAGATGGATGCGGATGAGAGAGAAAAGAGAATGATGACAATAGAAAGGGACGATGCATGGCTGGTGTGTGGGTGACGGACACACAAAGGATGTCTGCCATTGTCCTTGAAACTCCGAGCGACTGTGACGACTGTCAGGTCCTCGTACGTCCTGCTCACCTGCTGTCGTGTGGCCCAACACAGACTGGGGATATGCAGCCGACGCTCCATGGAGAAGCTGGTCGGCCGACAATCCTAGATAAAATCAGCATGCGCACTGCAGAACAAGGGGTCAGTGTATGATCGGTCTGAGCTTGAATTAGCGAGACCATCCAAGAGATGTGTATATATGTACTAAGGATGGGCACTACTTACATTTAGAGCCGAGGAGATAATGACAGATGAGGGATAGCCCGGATAGATGATGATGGCCAGGAGAGAGTTAAACAGTCATTGCAGGACTATCAAAGTCGAATTGCCGCTTTTACAACAAAACAGCGTAATTCAGAGGAAGAATGCGAGGCTCATATGACGTAATTACTTACGAAAATTGATCACCTCGAAGTCATGGGATCGAAACCCATCGCTGTTAGTATTTTTGCGTCGTAGTGACTCATTACCTTTTTGTATCTCCGGATAGCCAAGAAGAAGGGGTATCCGGGGAACCAGCTTTCATGCCTGTATCTTGTTTCTGCAACGATGTATGGACCGAAAAGAAACGACCCTTGCGAATCGACCGCGGCGGCGGCTGAGGCGAGCCACAGCAAGACACTGTCGCGATAGAGCCGCTCTGCAGAAGCAAAAGCCACCACAGCAGACGGCGGATAGTGACGGAGACGGACTCGCTGACTATATTAACGGATACAAGATGGAAAGGTGAAAGAGAAATGAATTGCATTGTTGTCATGGCTTTCGGGCGCAGCGTAGTTGATTGATCACTGGCGGCGATGTTCGGGGGTGCGGCGGCCGGAACATCATTATTAATGCATCGGGTGGCAACAACAAGTAGAATTGACGAGATTTCAATCTTTTGGATTATTTTTGAATCCTCTCTTTTCTTCCTCGCCGCCTGGTGCAACCACAACCCATCTGTATCCAAAATGGCGTTTTCTGGGGCCCTGGTAAGTTGTATGCTTGCCATCACAAAGCTGCTTGCTAACGCCACTCAGACGATTACCGATCTGGATGATTTTCTGACTCCATCGCAAGCGTGCATTATTCCTGTCCGCAACAACAAGTCTGCAGAGGCTGAAGGACCGGTGAGCAGCACCCAATATCCGGAGGCTTGGGCTAACAAGAATAGACGGAAATACACATCGACTCCAACAACAACTATTACGAAGTGTCCACCGTTCCTACTGTCGGCAACGACTTTGACGACCCATCCAGCTCCAAGAAGGCTCTGGAAAAGGCAGAGATCAACTTGAACGACTGCCTGGCATGCAGGTATGTTATACAATACAGAATGGACATGCGCTGACCAATGATAGTGGCTGTATCACCTCTACCGAATCATTACTAATTACCATGCAATCTCAAAACGAAGTGCTCGATTTCATCAAGCAGAATCAGCACACCCACAACCCGTACGAACCCTCCCACAAACATCGCCACCCCATCCTCTCCATTTCCCCCCAAACCCTCGCCTCCTTATCAGCTGCCTACTCGACAGCCGCCTCTCTCCCACCGATACCTCTCCTCACCCTCCTTCGCCGTCTCCGCGCATTCTTTGGGCAACCTGAACAGGGCGGGTGGAAAGTGTGGGATACCACTTTTGCCCGACACATGAGCTTGAAGGAGACGTCGGTAGAGTACCAAGAGAGAAAGGACAGGAAGGGCAAGGGGGCAGAAATGCCCATGCTGGCGAGCGCTTGCCCTGGGTGGGTGTGCTATGCGGAAAAGGCGCAGGGGGATATGCTGCCGCTGCTGAGTAATGCGAGAAGTAGTCAGGGGATTGTTGGAGCGCTGGCCAAGAACTGGTACGGCGCAAAGGCCAACCACAAGTGAGTCAATGCTGGCTCATGTTCAATGACTAATGGAAGTAGACCGGATGAAATTTATCATGTCACCGCCATGCCCTGTTACGACAAGAAACTCGAGGCGTCCCGGTCCGATTTCTATTCCTCCCTCTACTCTACCCGCGACGTCGACTGTGTCCTCACCACAGGAGAACTTGACCTCCTACTCAAAGAACTTCAATTCGACCCTTACCTTTCCGTCCCCAACGAATCCACCCCCAGCTATACCGCGACAGACGACTCTCCCTTTCCCGAGCTCCTCACCCACGAAGGGTCCAGCTCTGGCTCATACCTCCAAACAATCATTCGCGACGTCCAGAACTCGCACATCAACCCTACGAGAACCACCACCCGCGAGATCCGAGGTTCCACCGACAATGTCGAGTACTTGGTGCAAGACACCGTCACGGGAGAAGTCATCTTCAAAGGCGCCAAGGTGTATGGGTTCAGGAATTTGCAGAATCTGGTGCGAAAGGTCGCAAAGGAGACTGGGATCGGGCGCTCGGGGCGAGGTGCGGGCGCGGGCAAGCTGAGTGCTGCTGTAGCTGCTCGTCGGCGGAAAGCCAAGCCCGCGGCAGTCGAGAATGGCATCGCGGCCCTTGCTATCAGCGGAGAAGACAGAAAGCTGGACTTTGTCGAAGTCATGGCTTGTCCCGGTGGCTGTGTCAACGGTGGGGGACAGATGAAGCCTGCTATCGCGGTCAAGAGTGACGCAATGGAGGTGGATGAGGAGGGATTCCAACGCCCGATGGCGGATGATGGGGTTGAAATGAAGGTTGGCCAGGAAAAGACGGTCGAGGGGATGGAAGAGGGTATGCGGTGGTCGACCAAGGAGTGGGTCGCCAAGGTGGAGGATATCTACTGGACCGGCCTCCCTACACCACCGCCCTCCCCGACTCTCACCGCATCAGAACCTCTCACTAATGGCTTTACCAACGGGCACGTCGACAGACTCGCCGCAAGCGATCTGCTCGCTGAAGAGATTGTCAGGGAAGTGTGCGGAGAGAGTTGTGAAAAGAGGCAAGACTTTTTGAGAACCGGTTTCAGCAAGGTCGAGACCGATGTTCTGAACAGCGGTGGTATCACGCACGAGGCTGTGGTGTGGTAGGAGGTTGTAAGCATAGCATGGTGTGGCACATCTGCAATCATATATGCATAGCATTGCCAGGTCTGCGCCTTTGAGTCTGATTGAGCAGACTTGTAGAGTCTTCTGTTGGCACCTTGGCAGGTAGCTTTGCAATCGCACTTCGCCTGGAATTGGGATCTACTTGCCCACACTGGACAAGCTCCGTTCTGCAGGGACTAGATTGGGCGCTATGGCCAGGATCGACGTCTGAGGCGTCAGAATTGGCCTCAATGCCAGAGCTTGAGCCCTCGATTGTGTTGAGGACCATAGCTTTCTCGTGGCATAGGACATTGTCCACCGAACTAAACAGCCCTTCAGCAGAGTCGCATGACAGGCGTATACCCACTCACATATGGTCCATAAACTCCTCACAATATCCAATCAAAGATAGTGGTCAAGCCCGCAGCGACCGCAAGAATGACAACCCCTCCAAAGCTGAGCATATATAGCGTCAACTCTCTCGAGTCTGGGGGCTGAAAGGGCCCGGTATACTCGTACGCCGGTCCATCTAGTCTCTCGACACCATTCAGATCCATTGTCTCGTCTTCTCCCGCTTCAGATACAGGTGCATCAAAGTGGACCTGCGGCTTGAGCAGGGGAGCGGAGAGCCTCTCCTCGGATGTGTCGTAGGTGTCTGGCGTATACGCCTCGAGCCGAGAAGGGGTCTTGGCTCCGGGGTCGATCAAGGCTTCGGCAGTAGAAGGTTTCGCCGACGTCAAATCTTCGACACTCTGTATTGCTGAAAGCCTGTCCCCTCCCGAGGCAGATACGGTCCTCCCTAAAGCACTCCCACGAGGCGCATGTCGATGTTCAAAAAACGAGGGGCCGTCGAGTTCGTGCGGGGAGATGGGCGGGCCGCCAAAGTTGGCAGCCGAGAGGACGTTGGGGGAGCGTGCAATGGAGAGAGAGGAGGAGTGGGAGAGGGAGCGGTCTCTTTGTAGGCGGGGGGTGAAGGGCATCGTTGTAGATGGTAAAGAACAAGTCGGAAATGCAAGTAAGATAGATGTCTTTCGCGTCCGCGTCGTCACTCACTGAATCTCTCCATCTATAAGATCTATTCCTGCTTTCATACCGGCAACTCGAAACATAGCATGGACGACCCATGGGCAACCCCAGCGTGGTCGGCTCCAGATACACAACCCTCCATCCCCTCACTGGACCCGCCGCCGGGACCCCCAGCGAGCGACCCCTGGTCCGTCCCAGCCGCCTCTGGCCCCAGCACCCCGCCGTCACCGCAGGCATCCAAGCTACCTACCAGTCCCCTCAAGGAATCCCATAACGACCTGGGGTGGGAGGAACAAGCATCATGGGGTGCCGACAACTCTCCAGTGCTCGCTCCCATTCCGACATTGCCGCAGAGCCCCGTCAAGCTCAAAGACGGTGAAGGCGATGTATGGGGTGACGACCCCGTACCCCTCCCAGGATCGCCTGGGATACCCTCGCAATCAGCGGTGGATATAGCCATGAATGTCGAGATATCCGCCACTCCTGTAACATCCACGACTCCGACGTTCGCATCGCCTTCTCGCTCCATCCTTGCCTCATCTCCGTTGTCGCCTCATCGGGCTGGACTGCCAGCCTCGTCCAGCCACGCATCACTGAGCGAGGCGGTTATTGGAGGCTTTGGGGGTTTCGAGTCGCCGACAAAGGCAGCTTCACCGCTATCCGGCATTCCGAAGTCGCCGTCATTTGGTGACGACTTTGGGGGCTTTTCGGGCTTCGCTGCGAGCTCTCCTGATGATCCTTGGGGACCAAAACTAGAAACGTCTGCAACGAAAGAGGATGACGGATGGGGTGGGAGTGATTGGGAAGAGCCGAGCCAAAGCACACCTGGTGCTACACATATTGGCGTGAAGACGCCAAAGTCGGATGCTAGCGATGAAGGGTGGGGTGGTGCTACTGAAATGGGCCCCAAGAGCCCTGTCAAAGGGAAAGAGGAAGACGAGTGGGAAGAAGCACAGAGAAGGATCAGGGTGACGGAAGAGCGAGCTGTGAGTATACCGGGCTGCCCGTAGACCATTCTGACCGTATGTAGCCCCGGGAGAAGATAGATGACATGACGAATCAATGGATCAAGCTTGCCGAGGCCAATATGACTGAGGCGGTTGATCTGACAAAAATGACAGGGGCTGAAGAGCTCCAGTATGAACAAGTTATTAACAAAGTATTTGAGGATGCGTAAGTGGATAGTCTATTCATCTACCTGTCTAACTCTCCGAGTAGGTCAGAACGGATCAGGTCACTATCAACGATCCCACCAGATATCAATACCTATCCCCCAGTCCTGTCCTCCCTTGTGACTCACGAGCGATACGCATACGCTCTTCAACGCCCTAATCCCGACCCCGAGTCTTCTCTCCTGCATTCTGCGACTCGTGCAGCTCGCCGTCCCCGTCGAATCGACCCCATCTCTCTTTCCCTCTCCACTGGCGAAGCTTCTTGGACGACGAGATCACGACTGGGCGAGCCTGAACAGGATTCTGAAGCTGTAGCTGGAGACGCCGGAGATGGCAAGAGCAAATGGGCTTTCTGGGGCAAACGTCCGACGGCAGAAAGAAAGTTGACCACAGGCGGGGGAGGAGCTTTGGAAGTCAAGCCGATGACTCCTACTTCTACTGGGTCTGGTGTGGAGAAACCGAGACCGTCAACAGACAGTAAACCACCCTCTCTACCCGCATCTCGAGCTGCGAGTATCGCTGGGCCGTCGTCCAGACCAGTCTCTCCTGCCCCTCCTGCCCCTCCTGCCCCTCCTACTGTAAATGAGCAAGCAGTTCAGGGACCTTCTGCAGTGTCGCGCTTCTTTGGGCGACTCTCCAGAAGATCTTCGTCCCAACCAAACTCTCCAACGACCCCCCACGCTCCCGCGGGCAGCGTGGACGCCAAGGATCTTGAGCTTTCTGCGGATGACTTTTCTTTCCTCTCCGAGGTGCCATCCATGTCTGCACCGCCTCCCGGGAAGGGTGTCGCCGATTTGTTGAGCATGGAGCCTGGTGCAAATGAGCCCATCAAAAGTTTAGAGAATCTTTTGAACAGCAAGGAGGCGCCACTTCCGAAACCATTGGCCCCTCCACCCAGTGGACCCAGTGCGCCCGCTTATGGGGGCGGCGAGAGGGAGAGAAAGCCTAGCGGAAAGTTTGTGGCCAAGATGAAGGCACCCCAGCCTTCCGACATTGACCTCCTGGGCGGCTTGGACTTTGCCAGTCCTACGATCTCGACAGTATCACCCACGTCTACAGGCCCAACTCAGAAAACAGGCGGGGCATGGGATGATTTCGAATCATTCATGACGAGTCCTACCTCGGGCTCTATGCCAGCCCCAATGCAGCCCTCCAGGCCAACCACACCTGCCATCGTAAATCCGTCACGCTCGCCACCGCCCATCATAGCACCAACGGCCCACTCTGCGGTTGGAATGCCTTTTGCGGCACTTGCACTGCAGCCTCCCATGGCACCAACTGGTATCTCGCCCGCCCCGTCAGTGTCACCCGAACCCCCGCTGTATCACTCTGTAAAGACCACTACAGGACTGCAAGGGTTTGGCAAAGTCGGGACGCCTCGAGATGAAAAGCCCGGTGGAATGCTGTCGCCTTCTGCCATCGTGCCAGCATCTGACCCTGCGACTTTTGCGTTTTACGGCGGGATGGTGACACCGGCAGCGGCGGCTGGTATGGAAGCTTCAATCTCGCCAGAGCCCCAGGCGTATGTCAACTTGTCAACAGACCTGGATTTAGAAGGTTTCGGTAAAGAAGGCACCCCTCGTGTCTTGACCCCGATGGGTGTTTCCCCGGCCACCTCACCTGCGCCAGCAAGGATGCCTCAGGTCATGCCGGGAGGAGCAATGGCGTTCAACACAGCGCCGCCTGTTCCCCGCGCCGCCATGTCGCCAACGCCGGCAGCTTACGGGATGGTGTCGGGCGGGGACGATTTTGGGGATTTTGGGAGTGCTACACCGTCCCGGAAAGCCACACCTGCGGGCCTCGAAGACTTTGACGATTTCGGCGATTTCACATCCTCCTCTCCGCCAGCGTCTACACCCCCTTTTAAGCCCAAGGCTTCACATCCGATTTTCTCATCACCTTCACGCCCCGTCGTCACTCTCCCCACACCGAAGAACTCGCCTCCCAAGCCTCACCACGATCACACCCCAGCGTTGAAGTTGATGACGAGGAGCAACTCGGTCAAGGGAAAGATGTGGCCTGCTCCACCTAGTCCTGTGCCCCAAGCTCTTGAACCTCCACCAAAGACGGCTGGGACTGAGGCATTCCCCTTTCTGGCACCGCCGCCCGGGGGTGTCAAAAAGTCAAAGGGCGATCTCATGGGCGATCTGGGAGAGGCGACAAACGGGGGTAGTCTAGGAGCATTGGGGCCGGCGCCGGTAACTACACAGCCCAGTCTGACCGCGTCCAAGCCTACTGGGGTGAACAATGGGCAGTCTGGAGGAGGGTTGTCTGCGCAGGACTTGTCCTTCTTTGATAGTCTATAATTGAGAGAGAGAGAGTTGTTGTAGATCTGCTGGCATCATATATAGAAGCATCAAACATGTATCAGGTACATGATGGGGTCGCTGTACTCCGACATAGAGGCGAATGCTTGTTTGTCTCCAAATCCATAACCGCAATCAGAAAATTTAGAATCCATCACGTCCTCTATATATACATCAACAGGTATTAAGACTGACGGGATTTATTTACACAAACAGTACTTCACACGCCCAAAACAAGGATCCAGAATAAAGTATAGATAGATATGGTCGTAAAGATGTATTAGAAAGATCTCGTTATTTATCACCGCCGTGAACCCAAGCCCACAGTCAACCCCTTCTCCTACCGAAACAAGATAGTCATGCCTTCTCCTTCTCTTCCAGGTGGTCTGAAAGCTCTTTAGCACTGATGGAGTGATGGAGAGTGATCTCGAAGGCATTGACTGGTGTGGAAGCAAACTTTCTCGCAGAGATCTTGCGTTCAAAGAGGACGTCGAGCTAAGGAATTGTCAACACGCGTTAGAAACATAAAGAAGGACACATACCTCGGCATAAGTTCGCCCAGAAGGCTCTGGTACCCTAAAGTACGCATAGACGAAACACAAAAGACATGTGGCGCCCCAGAAGAACCCGGCATAGTTGCCCCAGTTCCAAGCGGTAGGATTGATCATATATGGGGAGAGGACATTGCAGATGATGGCGACGACGTTGTAGGCCGCGCGACCTAGGGCGACGGTCTTGATGGAGAGGCGTCGGGATGAGATTTCGCCAACAAGAGAGTAGACGACCGTGCTACCGCATCGTCAACAAAAGCTATGTAATGATGCAGACAAAGACTTACCCGACAGTGCATTGGTAGAATACAGCCCAGACGAGCATCAAGCTCCCGGTAGCCATCGCAGCCTGCGCCTTTTGCGCCTCGGGCACAAGGCCCAAGAAGCCCATGACGAACAGCGTGACAAACAATCCAGCCAAGCCATAGAGGATGAGGCTCCTGCGGCCGATACCGAGCGCCATAAGACCCCAAGCACCAAAGACGCCGACCATGTTGATGGCGTACTGGCCCATGGCAAAGTCGTAAGGGATGGTTCCAGTGAGACCTGCTTGTTCGAAAAAGTAGGTACTCTGTGCATAATGTCAGCTTTTGGTCTTATGGTGTGATGATGGACTTACATAGTTGCTGAAGGAGTTGCCCGCGAGGTTTTGCATGGCCCCTGATAAGCGTCAGCAAAGGGACACCGGGAGGCGGTGGCACTCACAGATAGCGCAGACAATCTCTGTCCTCCTCAGATCCACCCCCTTGAAGCAGTCGAGATAAGACGCTCCAGAGGTAATGTCCTTCTCCAGTTCGGTAGTATGTCTAATCAGATCCGCCTGCTCATCCACATCGAAGGACGGGTCCTTTTTGGGAGAAGCAAGACGCAAGAGACTCTTCTTGGCTTCTTCGATTCTACCGTGGCGGATGAGCCACCAAGGCGACTCGGGAGCGAACATAACACCAATCAGGATGAGCGGAGGCCAGACCCACTGCAGTGCATGTTAGCTCATTTCAGTCGGTAAGTAGAGAACAAACCTGGACAGCGTAAGGGATGCGGTATGCCCATTGGTCGTCGCGCTTGAACATGGCCCGGATGACACCAATCCCGATGAGTTGACCCCAGCCCCAGCAGAAGTTGGCGTAGCATGTCAAGTAGCCTCGCAGCGCGACAGGACAAACGTCGCTGGCGTACGAGATGGCGACTAGGATGTGTCAGAGCTGATACGCGCGTACGGGAAATCAGACTCACTGGACTGGAAAACACCCCAAGGAATACCAGCGAGGATTTCAGCGCCGAGCAGAACCTGGATGTTGGGAGCACAAAAGAACATGGTGATGACGGCGGCCAGCCAGACCAAACTGCACATCAAGACCTTTCGATAGCCATATCTCTCGGTGAAAAGACCGTTCACTATGCATTGTCAGCTGATGCACGCGTGGCAAATGTGAGTGCTTACCTAGAAGACCAATGATCTGGCCACATTGAGCACCATTAGAGAGACCCGTTTGCCAACGTGCAGGTACTTGAAATGTGCCGTCCGCAAGTTCGACGCCAAACTTTCGGTTAAACGGCTCAAACGCGTCTGTGCGCAGATGGGATCAGCGCGGTCGCAAAGTACTTGACAGAAAGACCCACAAAAGTTGCCCAGCAGTGATATGTCGTAGCCCTCCATGGCACAACATGATGATATCAGGATGGACCAGGCAATAGCTTTGGGGTAGAGACGGATGCCTTCTAGGAGACTCATCGACTGTTCTTTTGCTATGGCACGGGTCAGTCAACTATTACCGCGCGCCCCAAGTGATTGGAAGAATATAGGGAGTAAGAACTTGGGGAAAAGGCTCACCAGTAGCAGCTTGAGCATTGTCGAACATGCTGGCCATGGTCTGGTCTTTCGAGAACGATTCCTCTTCAGAGACTTTGCGAACCGTATGGATGGGGTCGACCGCAAATTGCGAGGAGGAAGCAGTAGCTTCGTTGTCAGACATTATTGGATAGCTTCTGGTGTGTCGAATTTAAGGAGGGGTAGGTGAGGCGAGGTTGACTTGAGGGAAGGGCAGGAGAGGCTCTTGAAGGGCTGCGTGGTTCGGGCACGCTAACAATGCGCGGTAGCCGGAAACTCGAAGCCTTCGTACACGCTGTGAGACTTGTTCGATCTGGACCTCACGTAAGGACAGAAAAAGCTGTAGGCGTATCTTTGTCGAGGCTATTGGAGCGCCCAGCTGAGTGATCAAGTCCTTGGAGCGCGCGATTGATGGCAAAGATTGGTGATGCCCCGGGAAAGTTTCGACGCGTCGTGTGTCGGTAGAGATGAGATGAGCGTGATAGGGGATCACTGTGGACTAGCGGAGAGGGAGGGGCGGTGGATGTGGTGGCGGGGACAGGGGACTTGGGATGCAAGAGGGGGATGGCGCTGAGGGTTTTCAGCGGAAGCTGTTTCTCGGTTTTGATTCCAGGGCCAGCCACGCGAGTGGCTGCGCTACCCTGAGCGGTTCTGTCCATGTTGTTTTCGCTGCCCCGGTGCATCTGGGGGGCTGAAAGGACACGGAAAAGGCTGGAGGGTGTCGAGATGTCAACAAGGCGTCAACAAATCCCGTTATCTTTTATCTTTTATCGATAGTAACTGGCTCCCTCACCAGTCCACACCGGAGTCCGACACCGGACTCGCTTTTCCTCTAACCGAGTCCGATGCGGAAGATTCAATTACTCGATTGGGCAACCCATCTGCTCCCGTGGCTTTTACATAAGCATTTCGTTGCATCCTAAAGCCCTAACAACAGACGGATATTGTACAATTCTGCTATAACTATGTATTACATCGACCCTAGACCCTCTCGACGTGCTGGGTCACCTCCTTGTCGTCTTCCACGGCATGGTGCAAAGACACGTCGAATGCGTTGACAGGCGTAGTAGCAAACTTGCGCGCAGAGACTCCTCGTTCAAAGAGGATATCAATCTACGCTATCAGCGACAGATCAAGGATTGTGGAAAGCTACTCACCTCGGCGAAAGTCCGGCCAGCAGGCTCCGGCACGCGGAAGTATGCATAGATGAGACAACCAAGGCACGTGCCAGCCCAGAAGAACCCGGCATAGTTTCCCCAGTCCCAGGCGGTAGGGTTGATCATGTAGGGAGAGAGGACGTTGCAGATGATGGCGACGACATTGTAGGCAGCTCGCCCAAGAGCCACAGTCTTGATGGAAAGTCGTCGAGAGGCGATCTCACCGACGAGAGAAAATGCGACGGTACTATGCGTCGTGAGCTGGTGGACATGAGATAATACAATGCAAAAGTGACTCACCCAACTGTGCACTGGTAAAAGACAGCCCACACAAGCATCAGAGCTCCGGTAGCCATAGCCCCCTGTGTCTTGTTGGACTCGGGTATAAGCCCCAAGAAGCCCATCGTGATAAGCGTGACAAACAAGCCAGAGAAGCCGCAAAGGATAAGCCTCCTTCTGCCGATCCCGAGGGCCATGAGACTCCAGGCGCCAAAGACGCCGACCATGTTGATACCATATTGGCCCATGGCAAAGTCGTAAGGGATGGTGCCCGTAAGACCGGCTTGCTCGAAAAAGTATGTGCTCTGTGTGGACTGTCAGTTGCTATTGATAGTGTAACGCGCTGAGGGCTCACGTAGTTACTGAAAGTGTTTCCAGCGAGATTCTGCGTCATCCCTGATGATAGAGTCAGCACTGCGGAGACGAGACGCAGGTCAGATACATACAGATGACACAGACAATCTCCGTCCTTCTCAATTCCACTCCCTTGAAACAGTCCAAGAAAGAAGCTCCCGAAGTAATGTCCTTTTCCAACTCTGTCGTATGCCTGATCATGTCCAAAGCCTCGTCTTCATTAAAGTCGGGATTGTGCTTGGGTGACGCGAGGCGGCGAAGGGACTTTTTGGCTTCTACCATGTGACCGTGTCGGACGAGCCACCAGGGCGATTCGGGGGCAAAGATGACACCGAGGAGGATGAGAGGTGGCCAGACCCACTATATACTCTGTTAGCCATACCGCTCGATCTTGAAAGAGGACGAGACGTACCTGGACAGCGTAAGGGATACGATACGCCCATTGATCATCGCGCGTAAACATGGCCCGGATGACGCCGATGCCGATGAGCTGGCCGTAGCCCCAGCAAAAGTTGCCGTAACAAGTAAGGTAACCGCGCAACGCGACGGGGCAGACATCAGTAGCGTAGGAAATGGCGACTGGGCATTATCGTCAACATCGTCACTCTAACCGCAGGATGTGGACGTACTAGATTGGAAAACGCCCCAGGGAATACCAGCAAGGATCTCGGCACCGAGCAAGACTTTGATGTTGGGGGCGCAGAAGAACATAGTGATGATTACTATGAGCCAGGAGAGAGACACCATTATCACCTTTCGGTAGCCGTATCGTTCAGTAAAGATTCCGTTCACTAGCACATGTTGGTATATTGTGACTATGCGTTGCGATGACATGCTCACAGATTAGACCGATGATCTGGCCACACTGAGCACCATTGGAAAGACCAGTCTGCCACCGCGCGGGCACTTGATAAGTCCCGTCCGCAAGCTCGACACCGAATTTCTTATTGAACGGGTCGAACGCGTCTATGAACGCGTCAGCCCAGCTCTTCCCACACACGTTGCGGCTCACAAAAATTACCCAGCAGGGAGATGTCGTAGCCTTCCATAGCACAGCAAGTCGCGATAAGTATAGACCAAAGAATTGCCTTGGGGTACTTTCGAATACCTTCCCGAAGGGTCATGTTCTGCTCCTTGTCTATCGAAGCGTCAGTGTGTTATTGCCACTCGCACTGAGAGTCCTCACCTGTCGCAGCCTGGGCATTGGCGTACATGGCGGCGATCGCCTTGTCCTGCGAGTAGAGCCCATCTACGGATACCTTGCGGGCAGGTACGGAAGAGGTCTTGATGTCTTCATCATGTTCTGGGTGGGCCATCGTAAAGCGCTTTGATGGTCGAACCAAAGAAAGGTGATTGTCAAATTGTGGGGGACCACAGGAGACCCCGGTCGGCATCTCTTATATAGCCATGGCCTAAGATCGGAACGTCCATCAGATAAGCCAGGAACGGTGCTGCCATCCGATAATTGCGCCAAGGATCAGGTGACAAGAGCCAAAGTGATCAGTCTTCGAGGACAGGAGAAGTTCGAGTAGCGCAGCGTCCAGTAACGGGCCGAAGCACCGAAGCATGACGTGACTGTCAGAGCGGAGAGCGACCGCGGATTCGGGCGAGAGAGCAGCCCTCATATTGTCAGGCATAGAAAAGGCTATAGGAGAGTTTACCGCAATCGAAGTCGCATTTGCCGCACTCACCAAAAGCTCAGCTGGGTCAGCTGACCTTCAACACGCTGTGTCCAATCCCGCAACCGTAGTTTTCATCGATCGGAACGCAAGAGGTCATAGATAGGCTTATGTAAGCGCTTTTTGCCCTGGCATCGGCCCGATATCGGAGTCCGTGAACGCGAACGCGTCCTTCAACCCTGTGTCCATCGATGACCTGCGTTATCTGCCTCCAGTAGGATGTGGTGAGTATGGGCGGACCAAGAGGAACGAACAAGCCGATTGCGGGGCCACCGGGGCCACATCCGACTGCAGCAATCTCCCCCCGGGGCCCATCGGGACTTGGGAGGCGATGATGAGACCGACATTGCCCACCACAGGCCACAAAGTAGCTGCCCATCGCCACTTGTGCTTCGTAGACGTGGATGGGAGCCCTGAAGGTATAGCACAATTTATGGACGCTGTCTGAGCTTGTTTCAAGTTGAAAAAGACCTGGCAATCTCGTCGAAATCAATCTGTCAAATGTGCCCCAAGACGGATTCACTTCTGTGCATGTTGCTTCTCCCTACGCATCACCTTTTTGTTATTGGATCCTCAGGATATAGACACTCGTTTCAAAACATTTCAATGATAGCAACAGACCTCTCAGATGAGTCTGCCGTCGTCGGTACGACGGTTGTAGGCAGGCTAGCAGACACATTAGCACCATATCCGAGGAGAAGACACAAGACGCACAGGAGGGGCAGGCTTGTTGTCGAGAATCTTTTCAATCTCGGCGGCAACCTCAGGGGTGAGCTTGGGGAAGATGTCGAGAGCCTTGACGTTCTCCTTGATTTGCTCGGGCTACAAATGGATTAGTTAGTATAGGGATCTAGGCCGGGAGACCGTCAGCATACCTTGGTGGCACCGAGCTGTAGACAGAGTCAGCTTGAATCGGGAAGAAGATTTGCGGAATATTCACAATACAAGAGGAGACACCCTCGTGCAACAAGGTCCAAGCCAAAGCCAGACTAGTCATGGACCCGCCGAGCCTCTCCGCGATTTTCGTCAACTTCTTCACCTTTTCGATCTTCGCCTTGCCCTCAGGGGACTCGAGTGCCTTGATATGCGAGTCCATCATGTTGCCAAGGTTGTGGTGATACCTAGAGTCATGAGGAATACCGTTGTTGTACTTGCCGGTAAGCATACCAGAGTCGAGAGGAGACCAGATGGTGCTGCCGAAACGCTCGTATCGCCAGAGAGGCTCGTACTCGCTTTCGAACTTCTCTCGGTGAAGCATCGAGTAGTGAGGTTGCTCGGCAGCGGGGCCGACCATGTTGAGGCGCTTGGCAATCTCGATGGCTTGCTGGATCTGGTGGGCGGACCATTCAGAGGTGCCCCAGTAGAAAGCTTTGCCGTTGTCGATGAGGTAGTTGAAAGCTCGGACAGTCTCCTCAATGGGGGTAGTCACGTCAGGTCTGTGAAGAAGTGAGTCATCATCGATCTGTCGTATCCTTGTGCAACATACCGGTGAGCAAAGACAATGTCGACTGCCGTCAAGTCAGCCGTGTGTCACGATGTATAGGAAACATACTCACCGTAGTCAAGACCGAGTCGAGCAAGAGACTTGTTGACACCCTCAACGATGTGCTTCCTGTGTTCAGTGTGAGTGACTATCCATTCGTTGTTGCGCTGTATCCACCTACCTGCTCAAACCCCTGGTGTTGTGCTTCTCAGCGTCACCAGTACCGAAGAAGACCTTGGTGGTAACAATAATGTCGCTCCTGTCCCAGCCAAGCTCCTTGATCACTCGACCCATCTGGATCTCAGACTCGCCAGCAGCATAGGTCTCAGCGTTCTGCGATCAATGGTCAGCTGTTGCTCGTCACGGTGAAGGGAGGGCACCGCTCACGTCAAACATGTTGATACCGCTGTCGAAAGCCGTCTGCATCAACTCCTTGACGATATCGCCCTTCTGGTTGTAGCCGACGCTGCGATTTCTGTCAGTAAAGGCGGCGCGGGCAAAATTCGTGTCAGCCACTCACGTCAACCATCCACCGTAAGAGAACACGGGAACTCGCTACGACATCCTGTCAGAGCCACCAACGGTAAGCACAGTTCACTCACGAGTCCAGTGCTTCCGAGGTTTCGGTACTGGATTGGGGTCAGTCAAACATATCGTATAGAGTTAGAATACACTGACGATCATGTTCTTGGGGTCGAATCGCTGGGGGGTGACTTCACTCATGGTGCTGTATTGTATCTTGCGGGTGGCAGAGAGTGTTTGTTTGAGTATGCGGTTCACTTTGAAAGTGGGTTTGTGGGTAATGTCGATGGGCAGATGTGGGCGGTTCGATTTCACGCTTGTTTCACGCCCCGTTTATGATGATGCCATTTGGAAAGTGGAGGCAGGTGGAGGCAAGGTGGAGGTCCACGGAGAAGGCCGATGTCACTCTGTGGCGCAGAGATGCTGAGGAGTGAGGAGTGGCAGGTCAGAGAGGGTACGCTAGAGGAGGCTGCAATGACTGTTCGACTTTTGACCCGTGTAAGTACCATACAGGTACAAGTAGGGGCATCGGGTGAGGCTAGCGCGGGATCCACTTGCCCTGTTTATGGGAGACTGCTGACTGTTATCCAAGAGGGCCGTGCAAGAGTGCATATGAGGGGACTAATGATCTCTTCCGAACCTTTGAAACCCAGAAGAACCAGCAGTAAGGCTTCAAGTATCGAGTAAGGAGAAGGTTGGGTGACAGCGGGAACAGATCCTCATTCGGCGGCGATGACCGGTCCGCGTCACTCGAACTCGACTATCCGACAAGGTGCAATGTGAGACATCTCCGCAAATATATCTTTTCATTCGCAACTACACGATCCAGATTACCCAGGTAGGGTGACACAAGAGAGCAATAGCTAGCTTGGCCACAACGTCTCAATTCGCCGCCCACCATGGACCTCGTCCCATGTAAGTTCACAATTCCCCGGCCTTCCGATACACACCCGTAAGCGTCCACATCCTGACCCACTCGATGCAGTTATGTATTATGAGAAGCAGGAGCCGGGATCACAACTCTGTGCGTATTCAAGATGACTCCATGCATAGAAACTGATAGTAATAATCAGGTGCCCAGCATTGCTTGTATGTCCCGCTGATCGCCACCATGTGAACTTTGTGTTGACACGACACTAGAAACAACCTTCTCCAACAACACAGCTTTGATGAGTTTGGATTGGCTGACGTTGCCAAAGAGTGAGCCCCAACACGACTCATCGCGGCATTGCTGACCGAAACAGGCTGGATGAGGCGGAAAATGCAAAGCTCAGCGTCGATTACCGAAACAAAAAGTCGTACAATTTCGACGACTCTGGCTACTTTTCCATATCAGTTCTGGAGAGGGCGCTTGACGTGTTCGACTTGGCCATGGTGAGATGGAGAGGAGAAGCAATGAAGGCTTATCAGGAGCATCCCGAGTACATCCTTTCCTCGCCTTGCGCGCTTTTGGCTGACCACGCAAAGACAACAAGTTGGTTTCATCTTGAACCTCGCCTCCCACTGGTTCCCCCTCCGCCGATTTGCTCCCAATCCTCCCCACGCGGCTGCCATTAAGCGCTGGTATAACCTGAATTCGTTCCTACCCAATGGTCCTGAATGGATTTCGCCAACGTATCTTCGGATGGTGCTTACACAAGCCGAAGAGGAAGGCTACTCTGTGTTTGTAATCCGCAAGAACAGTCCAGGAGGTCAAGATTCTGAAGAGCCTCTTACGGGCGAAGGTGCCGGCTGGGCGGATGGAGGTATCGGAGTCTTGCCCGAGTGCTTGGCCGACACGATGGCTGTCACCCTTGGCGAGCCCGTGGGCAGCTCTGGCCCCTCCAGCGGGCGTTCCGGTACCATTCGCACAGGCAATACTGATTCTAATCAAGTCAACGGTGACAACAACGTCCAGCCCTCAGCTGGACCGTCTTCTCCCCCGGCTCGGGGATCTGGCAGGCGCCGCCGTCAGCCCGACCTTTCCTCCGATGGTATCGAGCCAATTGATGACCCCTTCTCCGCTCCGCCTCCTCCTTCTCGCTCTCGCCAGACGTCCTCGCGGTCCCAGACTGTACAAGGAGATGGAGACATATTTGATAACGTCCACGGCGTCCTCCAAGAGCCCTCCAACAACGTCAGACCGGACCCCATCAGTATCGACGATAGCGACGAGCAAGAAGATGAAGACGAGGAACTCGACGACGATTTCGAGATGCTCGGGGCGGGCGGGGCGGGGGTCTACAGGGGTCCGACAGACTTCCAGCAGCATGCGAGGAGCTATGATGACGAGGACGCGGCGCTGCAAGCGGCGTTGAAGGCCAGTATGGCGGATGTGCCACAGGGATGGGAGTTGCCGGATGTCTGGAAGGAAGAAAAACCGGGGACGAGGAGTGGCACTGGTGGATCGGCGCCTTCTTTGGCTACTCCAGCTGATCCTGGGCCAGCACCAGCGCACGAGCCTGCTCAAAATTGGTCAGTGCGAGAGAGTGAGGCGGCTCCAGCGGCGCAGGAAGAGAAGAACGAGGTGGAAGATGACGATGATGATGAGCCCGCCGAAGAAGTTTCGCCTGGTACGTGTTTGCTGCTTTCAATTGCTATGTTGAACTGACGACCATGTAGAGGAGATTCGTCGAAGGCGTCTGGCCCGATTTGGGTAGACCGCAAAGGCTCTGCTATCGACCGACTGATATAGTTTATGGCGAAGAGATTATATCGACGCATGTAGCATATGCTGTGCAAGGCTGTGCATAACCAAGGGAGCAGACATCAGACTATGTGACGAATGGTGCGATTCCACAATCTTAGCCAGGACATTGCACGATGCCAGCGATAGTCCATCGACAAATGTATATTGTACACTCAATTGCGCGTTACACCAAGTATCCAGGTCGCAATACTAACTGGTCACGGATGGATAGTTACAGGTGGATGTGATGATGAATCACTCGCCGCCATACCGTTCCACAGCACAAAGAGAATTAACGCGTGCTATTCTCATGTCAGACAGTCACTTTCGTCAGTTGAGGCAAGGACTTACCAGGCTTCCGGCATACAAGATGAACAAATTCCTCGCCCGCTTGTTACCCACGATCGCTCTCGTCAACGCGAATACACCTTTATCTAGAGGATTGAGCGCCTGGACCGCCCTCTGCGCTTCTCTCCCCTTGAAGGCTTCGAACGGATTGAGTGACTCGTCGTACTTATCCTTGTACTTCCCAATCTCCTCATCCCTTCTCCCCAGTACGCCATTCAATAGACCTCCACCCCTACTACTCGAGGGAGGATACGAGCTCGACCCCGCCCCCGCACTCGCGGTATCTCTATACGAACCTATGTACCGCACCTTCTCGTACAGCTTCAAGTTGTCCGTTTGGAGCGCCTTGACCTCTGCTCGCAGGTCAGAGATGGTCTCGAATTGTTTGCGGAGTTCTTCCTCGAGTCCAGCGTTGCGCTGACGGAAGCGGTCGCGTTGAGAGGTGACGATTGGGAGGATGGAGGTGTCTTGTGCGCTCGGGGCGGGTGACGAGCGGCTTTCCTGCGCGACGTCAGCGACAATATAATGTACTTGGAAGTTGGACATACAGTCTTGCCTCCGATGTCGAGGCCAGCCAGTCCAACCGGCGTTCCACTACCACCTCTGTCTTCCTTTCCATCGAGCATCATCAAATCTCCCTCGAGTTTCTCTACCAGCTCTCGCTGCCTGGCGAGATCCACCTGCAGCCCTTCAATCACATCATCCGCCTTGGCATGCTCCACCGAAAGCTCTTCCCACGACACTCGCAGCTTTGTGAGGTCCTCCAGAAGCCGGCGGTTCTTTGACACGAGTAGTGATTCAAGGGATTGGACCTGTTGCTTATTGGCGACAGTAGCGTTGGGGTCCGGGAGATGCGGCTCGTCGTCGTCTTCTCCAGCGTCTCCAAAGTCGGCGCCGGAGAACTCGACATACTTCATAATCTCCAACTCTCTCTTCACCTCGTCGTAGTCTGCATACCCCTTCAGCCTCTCCTTCAATCCCTCAATCTCACCCTTCTGCGCATCAATGACAGCTTGCGCGTCTTCAGCTTGCTTTTTGGCGCGCTTCTCGGCTTGGGCTTTGGCATCTTTGGCGGAATCGAGAGTGGCGAGGATACGGGAGGTTTCGAGCTCGAGCTCGGTGATCTGGGATTCGAGGGATTTGACCTTTTCGGCTTGTTGAGAGCCTGAGCGAACGGACTCGACTTCGGATCGGAGTAGTTCCTGCAGCAAAGTCAGACCCATTCAGGAAATGAAGATGATACTTACGTTTCGACGCTCGACTGTAGCTACGCGCTCGTTCGCACGGGCGAGATCGGCAGCGACCATGTCAAGCTCGGCCAGACGAGCTGCAACATCTTGCTCTATAGCCAAGGGTCAATCATAGGTCGACAGAAGCATAGTAAACTTACCCTGTCGTTGAGAAGCGTTCAAGAGCTTGGCCTCAGCACTCTCATTCGAAGTGTGAAGATCTCGGAGCTGCTGCTTAACAGTCTCCACTTGCCGATGCAGACCCTTCTCCCGGTCCTCATAGTTCCTCATTCGCTCATCATACTCCGCATTGAGCTCATTCTCCTTCTGAGTGACTCGCTCCTGGATCAGATCATCCATCTTTGCCTCCAACTGCTCCACCTTGCCTTCCGCCTTCTTCCTCTTATCCTCCAGCCCACTCATTTCTCCCACAGTCTTCTTCAACTCTGCATTCTCTTCCTTCAGCCTCGCCATTTCACTCTCCATCATTCGCGCTTCCGCCACCTTAACAGTCTGATCGACTGCTGCGTCCAGTAACGGATAAGGATCGGGCGCATCTGCAAGGAGCTTGTACACGTTCAAGAAGGATGTTTCCGACATCTTTGAGCGGCGCGTGAGAGAGTCGATCTCGCCCTGGTAGGCCTTGAGAAGGACCTTGATAGCAGAGAACTTCTCGGCATCGTCTGGGAGTTTCTTGAACTCTGTGAACCGGGGTGAGCTTGGGTCTATAGCAGCGCGTCCTTTTCGCACCTCGGGTCTGCTCAGCAAGCTTCTTTCTTCCAACCAAGTTCTCCTTCTGGTTGTCCACGAGCTCGACTGCAGTCGTGTCGAGGGTCTTCTGAAGGTCGGAGAGGTTGATTTCTGGAGACGTCAGGACGCGTCGGGGTGAGAGGCTGTCGACTCACCCTTCCATGTCGCCAGTGCGGCGGAGAAGTTCTGTTCAGCCATGGCACTGTCCCTCTGCGATGCTGGGATGGATGCAACCCAGATACATATGCACAGTGGTGGTGGTGGTGGTGGCACCCTGAGCATCCTTACGTAACGCGGTACTCACCTCTGACGATGGACTGCCAACTGCCCCTATGCATTCATTTCCCTGCCATCTGCCATCCCCATGTCCCCGTGAAGAATGCTGGGACATGAAGACGCTGACGAGGGCGACATCTCCCTCGCCTTCACCTCGAACACCGCCTCGAGAGCGGCAGCGGCGCCCGCACGACCACTCGCTCCAGCCAGCGACTTTGAGCAGGATGTCGCCGTCCCATCCCCCCGCCGCCTCTTCAACAACGCTCTCCTCAACACAGAGTCGGCTTCTAACCCCGGCCAGAGAATAAGAAGCAGCCAGGGTGTGGCCGTGTCGCTGAATGATCAAGACGGCGCAACTTCTACTGCGACGGCACCAGGGCACTGGGCTCCTGGGGCTCTCAAATCAGGTTCGAGACCATCTTCAGCACAACCTTTATCTCCACAACCTTATCCAAACGTCGACACCTCCCGTATCCCCTTCTCCACCCAATCCCCAGGGCTACCGCGCCGCACCTCTTCTGGTATTAAACGTTCGCGGTCTCTGAACGTCCGCTTGCCTTCCGCCGACGACTCAAGCTCGTCCGATCCAGCCCAAAATAGTAAACAGGCTCCCATGTCGGCAACATCATCACGTCCCACACCTTCGAGCAGAATAGGGTGGTCGAGGCGTCCCGGCGATCCGAGGCCTCCGCCCATGATAAGCCCTGAAGTGGCAGAGAAGATGGGGCGATGGGTGAAGGATGTTGTGGTGTGCAATTTTGATTTGGATAGAGGTCCCGTGGTGGAGAGGAAAGCGGGGAGCAGGAGGTGGGGTTTTGGGGAGAAGGAGAATGTGTAAGTCCGATATGTTCAGACTACAGACACTGTGCTGACCGTGTATAAGGGCATTCTCTTCTTTCCCGGATACCTCTCTGTTTGCAGAGGGAACAGTGCTCTTCTCTTTCAAGATAAGACACATTCCACCAGACCTCGAGTCGTTGTCACTCCCAGAACCTCCATCGCCCATGCCAGATCGCACAAACACCGTCGAGGAGGAACTATTGAACGACAAACTGAATACGGAAGGAGCGGCGAGCGCAAGTCACCCTGCGACCATGAGTACAGGAGAGAAGGCAGACGAGTATAGAAAGTGGGACGAACGGGGAAGGGAGTGGCTATATGGCTTTGTGTGGTTTGAGCAACGGCAGGATCAGGGTATAAGAAGAGGATATATGCAGGTGAGTGGGTTGCTGTCCGACTGATATGGTAGCTGACTTGAGACAGAAATCTCTGGTTATCCTCACACACCTTCCTTTTCCTGCACTGTTTGCTTCTGTGCTACAAAGAGTAGCTCCGGCATTCTTTGAATACGGCTACTCGGCTTTGGAAGCGGCTTGCCATTCCATAGCTAAATGGTGCGTGTAACTAATACCTGGCATGGGCAAAGCTAACAATCCCAAAGGCCGGATCCTACTCCCGATACCCTTCTATCCCTACCATTCATGTCTGACGTTCTCAACGTCAAGCTTCCCGACACCTCAGAATCCACCCAGATGTTCAAAGTGACATCCATACCTTCTGCCCCTTCACCATCTCATGCGCCTATCCTAGCATCCTTACCCACATCAACACCACTACGGACATTTGCACCATTCATCGCTTCCCTATGGTCATTGTGGGAATGTCTAGTCCTCTCTGAACCCATCTTGGTCATTGCCCCCGATCCCAAGACATGTTCCGAGATTGTATGGTGGTTGAGAGACCTCATGCGCCCTCTACCTCCTGCTGGTGACTTTAGGCCATACCTACACATCCACGACCACGATTTCTCCCTTCTTGTCAATGCCAACAAACCTCAGCCTGGCGTTGTAGTCGGCGTCACAAACCCCTTCTTTCGAAATGCGGCCAGCCATTGGCCGAACGTCATCTCTATCCCCTCCAAATCTCGTAAAACAAGACCGAGCTCGTCTTCCAGCTATTCCAATCCCTTGGATGGGCCAGAGGGGTTCATCACCCGCCGCCACCGCTCGGTCCAAAAGGACCGCCCACTGTTGAAACGCCTAGAAGCGCTAGTAGCCGATGGAAATCTGGATGACCCTGCTGGGAATGAAGCTTTGAGGTCACATTTCCAGCAGTTGACAGAGAGGTTTATGGTACCGCTCAATCGGTACTTTCAGACTCTGGTCCCGACACAGACACCGATCCCTGGTATGGGCTCGCATCTGACACCGAGTATGGCTGGATCGCCCCATCCATCAGCCAACAACTTGCCCTCGCCGTCACCGTCACCTTCGCTGTCGGCATCGCCCATGCCGTCGCCTGCAGTCTTTTCGCATCTATCTCCCTCTCTTCCCGTGCCCCTCTCTTCACAATCCCCGCTCACCGCCATCCGCCCCTTCTCCCTACCAGCCTTCCTCATTCATCTCCGAAACTCGGGTCCAAATCCACTCTTGTTCAGGAGCAATCCGAGCAAAAGCATCATCTTGACCGGAAAAAGCAGGGTGGAGAATGATTTCTATGCGAGCTTTTGCATGAGCGCGGGCTTTGCGGGATGGTTGGGGGGAAGAGTGGAAAGCTTGGGTGGGGCGCTCGCAGGGTCGGTCAGCCGAACAGGCACACCGCGGCTCTCGACTTCGTCCTCTCGGTCAGTGTCCAGCAGCGGCCTCACTGTGCCGTCCACCCCCAGCCGCCGCTCGCCTGCACCCGGCGAACCGTCCCACCTGAGGTCTGTCAGTAGTACCCCTATAACGACTACCTCAGCGGAGCTGGACAGCGAGAGTGCGCAGGTGACGCCGAAAGCGGGATTGGGCGCGAGGCCTGCTTTCTCGAGGTCGGCCTCTGTGGGTTTGGGTATCAGTGGGGGCGGGCCGGGTTTGTCGAACGTGGATAAAGAGGAAGGGAGGAAGGAGAGCAGTGAAGATGATCCCTGAAGGGACGTTTGTTTTGTATAAATTGTGCACCAGTCAATCGTGTACTTGTACGATAATCATCGAAACTTGTGATGTTTAGCATGGTCCAGTCAAACATATATGCATTTACACCATACTCTAGTACTCACCATGATCATCTTCATACAACAATAACTCTGCAGTATACTATATTCTAATTTAGAGCAGCCATCAACCTGATCCTTTCCTCCCTATCCTTCTTGGTCTTTCTCTTCCAATCAACCTTCTCCTTCTTGCTCATCCCCGCCTCCTCTCCTTTAAAGACTCTCTTATGCCCCATCTTGGCCTTCTTCTGTGCCTTTACAATCTCCTTCTGTGTATGTGTGATTTTCGCTTGGGAAGTGTGTAAATGTCCCAAGCCCAGGCGGTCTAGTTTTAGTGCGGTGGATATGGGAGTTACACGCCCTGGACCAGACATGGGCGAGGGCTCGGGGGACACGGAAGGGGATGGTGAAGGAGAAGGAGAGGGCGACAGAGTGAGGTCAATGATGGGATTCCCCTTGGGGTCCGTCTCTTGTACTTCATCCTCAGGGCGACTATGGGCTCTTTTCCGCCTCCCCTTGTCATCCTTCCGGATGGAACATTTTTGAGAAGGCGGGGTACCATCAACTGGCACTTCAGTCCACCCTTCAGGTTTCCCCAGGCCACCACCTCCCCAGCCCAAGCGTTGGAGCATTCCGTACCCTTTGTTCTCTGGCCCCAGCGCATAATAATGCGCCTTCTCTTTCCCCTTGTTGCTCGCCTGGGCATTGGGTATGGAAGAAAGAGAAAGTAGCGAGGATATCGAAGAAGGAGCAGGGGTGGAGGGGCGTGAGGAGGGGAGAGAATGGGATGCGACGAGGGGGCGACGGACGAACCAATCTTGGCGCTTCACTGGCATGGGCAGGGGATTTTTGGGAGGATCTGGGGGAATGTACGTGGGTGTACGAGAGGCCGGGCGGCTGGCGACAGTTGGTACAGAGGCGGCATTCGAGCCTGACCCTTTTGCCAAGCTGAGATACCAATCCTTCACCTTGTCTCCACTATCGACTTCCCTCTTCGCCTTCGCGGCTTCTACTTTTTCATATCTCCCCGTATCAACATCGACTTCCACACCGTCTGATACACTCCTGCCTAGCTCATCGTAGGTAATCGTCGACTTGACGAAAGTGGGAGGGCGTTTGAGACGGTCGGGACCGTGTTTGTACGGGTTTACATTCCACTCTGGCCAAGCAAGATGTTTTGGGAGAGCCTCAAAGACAATGGGCTCTTTCTTCTCGATCTTCTTCCCGGGGTGAGAGCCTTCTGCCTGATATTGGTCCTCTTCGGCGTCAAAGTCGTGCTCGACGATGTTGTCGTGAGCATCACGGGACGGCGCTTCAGCAGAGCGGATGGTGAAGACAGGTGGTAGACCAAGCCCCGCTCGATACGGCCGAGGCTCAGTCATGAATAGTCGTTCGTCGCTCTGCTCTTGCCAGTGGCGAATTGTAGAATAGAGGAGGTATGCAAGGCAGACAACTTTAGGCCGTCGGGTGGATTTGGTTCCGCCGAGCCCAGCAATGATGGAGTGGGTGGCGGTGGCGACAAAAGAGGTGTGTTCCCGGCGTGTTGCAGCATACATATATACATATACCCCATGTCGGAGCAGCAGAGATCACCTCCACCATCCCTCGACAAGTCGTCCCCCGCCAAACGGGCAAAAATTGACCAAGAGCCAGCGACAGAGACAACAGAGATGATGTCCAGCAACACGCCAGCCCCGGCAGCGGAGGAAGCTCCCAAAGAAAGGGTCATCGACGAGAACACCGACATGTCTACCCTTACAGACCAGGAGATCATGAAGCTTATGGAGCAGATGGATCAAGGGACTCAGGATGTTTCGAATAAGGCAAGGCCGCTTCGTACTGGACAGAGCTTCAGCTGACGAACAGACGTATAGCCACTGATCAGTACCCCTGTGCCCTTGGCAGTGATCAGGGAGGAGTACCTGAAAGGATCGCAGCAAGTCGTCAAGAAGCTGGACTATCTGCAGGAGAAGGGGTGGGATCAAGTATGGAGAGGTAGGTGAACATGCTAGTACCTCTGGTCATGTTAGCTGACAGCTCTCAGCGCGTGGCGATGGAGACTGTCTCTTCAGAGGTATGTTTCAGATCAATGGGAGAGTACTTATACAGACTGACGGTCTGAGAAGCGTTCACCCTGGCATACTTGTTGAGGATCCTGTACGCTCCAGACCCTGCAGTGGAAGCCAATCTGGCTTTCGACGCGGTCCAGAGAGCGTTGCCTGCCATGGAAGCTTGCGGCTTCCAAAGGGACATTGTGGGCTATCTGCACTCTATCATTGTCTAGACTAATCCGATTACAGTACGAAGAGTTCCTGGATCCCCTCATCACCATCCTCCGCGCCTTCTCCGAAGGTCTCGAATCCACCGCCAACGAATACTCCATCATCCAGACCCTTCAGTCCCCCGAACTGTCCAACTCTATCGTCGTCTCCCTCCGACTCATCACCTCCGCCTACATCCGGACCCATGCCGATCTCTTCTCGCCCTTCCTCTTCTCCCCGGTGACATTCGAGCCACTATCGGCTGAGGAATTTTGCAAACAGGAAGTCGAGCCGTGTGGTAAAGAAGCCGATCATGCTCAGATCATGGCGTTGAGTCAGGCTCTGAAGCAGGGCATCAAGGTGGCGTACTTGGATAGGAGTGAAGTCGGAGATGGAAGCGTGATCAATTGGGTGGAGTTTGGCAATGATACTTCAGAGGAGTCAAGGCCCCTTACCCTGTTGTACCGGTATGTGCAGTCTTGGATAAGAGTACAGAAAGCTTACGCGCTCGCCAGTCCCGGTCATTACGACGTTGTTACCAAGGACCATCCACCCAAGTAGCCAATGAAGGTGACACCAATGTACCAAACAAACTGGATGTAGTAAAGAGACGCGTGGACAGGACATCTATCGTACTTGCACCAGTTGAAACGATGTATTGTATACATATTGCCCCCGTATCTCAACGTTCAGGGATACTACCTCTCAAAGCCCTCAGCATCTCGCTCCCACTCCTTGGCCTCTCCATGGGCTCTACAATCGGTACCGGAGCCACCTCCACGCTTCCACCTCTCGCGAACCTGTTGCTTGTCCCCTTCCGTCCTTCTTGCACAGGCGGTACGACGGGCTCCTCGCTCCCTACCCTCCTGTTTCTCTTGAGCCCAAGCTCGTCTCTTAAGCGAGTGTACACAGGCTCGCTATACTCTGATGTCGGACGATCGTACTCTTGAAATGTACGACCTGTCGGTATAGGTGGAGGATTCAGAGACGGACGGTGTGCAGTCGAGGCAGAGCCACTTCGGTGGTGGGCGCTGGAAGGCGGCAGTGAACGCCGAGGGCCAATCTTGGGATCTGATGCGTGGCCGCCAGACGGTCGCGATCGGTTACGAGCTCGGCGAGCCTTGAGCAAAGCCTTCTCGGTGGCCGAATCTTTCCACAAGTTGAATGCTTCGTCTAAGAGTACACTTATCAGCTCACATCAAAGGATTTTGAATAGCAAAGCGCACATAGAAGTCTCGTGTCTCTCTCCTTTTGCAGTCTTTTGGATTTCGTCTTGACCTCGAAAGCTTCGCGCCAGGCATTCCAGGTCGTGTTTTTGACGCGAGTGGCGTCAGCTTGAATGCCGGGTAAGATCTGCAAGCAGGTCAGCATCTCACTCTTGAAGACATTTGCAGTGATAACGTACAACAGTGGCAGCCTTCCACTTATCCATCACCCCAAACAGAATGACATTCTCATGCAAAAACTCCACTTCTCGTCTCTGCTCATTTTCGTCAGCATGTCCGATTCCACTCAAGGACGACTATACCCACGACGCCTTCAAGGTCCCTCTCCCTCTTCTTCTCCCACCATTTCTCCCAGACATTCCTCAGCAGTCGGCCGTCCTTCTCGATCAGAGATTGTTCTGACGCGAGGCGTAGTCGTTTCGAGCGTTTGGCCACTAGTCGCCAACTTTGGAACGTCCGTCTCAAATGTTCTAAGCCTCCCTGTCAGCCTTTGGAGGTCATATCAAAGCAGATAACGCACCATTCTCCCTAATCTCTACAGCATCGTCCGCCCTCTTCTCGTCGGCTCTGATCCTCGACAGTCTCTCACACCAGGTCGCAACGACATCCCGACATAGCTTTTCATCATGGTCCCTTGCGGCTCGGAGCTCGCGGTCCTTGACTTCAATAACCCGATTGAGCCATTTTGTAAAGCTTGCTTGTTGGGTGCGCTGGTCAACGAATTTTGTAAAGATAACGTCTCGTTTCTCGAGATCCTGGTATTTACGCGCCATACCTCGCCATCCTATACCACTATTAGCAGTGTTTGCCAGTGACGTATCCAAGATGGGACTCACTTTTTGTAACGCCCCTCATCACTCTCTCCTCTCTCTTCCTCACCCAATCATCAACCTTGGTCTGTCTCCACTGCCCCTTCCAGACACCAAACACCGACCTCTTGACAAAGAATCCCCTCGCTTGGTCAGCGAGCGCCTTGTTGGTCGAGATTGTCTGGGTAGCAGAACGCCATTTGGCGAGACACTTGGTTTTGAGAGAGCCGTGATGGAAGTGGGTGGCGAGCGAGTCGAGGTGGGCCAGATGGGAGGCTTTGGAGCGCCAAGTTTTCAGAGCGGTAGTGACAAGTTGTTTATCCTTGCCCTCAATGAAAGTGTCTGCGAGCGCTTCCAGCCCCTTCAGACGGTCCTGACCAGCCTTCCAAGCAGCAAACGCTCGGGTCACTCGACGTCTGTCTTTGATTTGCTCAAAAAGGATTTCACGAGAAGACAGGCGCCAGGTATGTAGCGTAGTAGCGAGTATGCGGAGTTTGGAGAATGTTTGTGCTTTGCGGTTCAAACCCTGCGGGATGTCAGCAATGGTCTCTTTCGACAGTGAAGGGTTTCACCTTTTGCTTCAGATGGACTTGCTTCCATTTGGACAGTGCTTCTCCCAACAGTCGCCGACGGTCGAGTTTCGAAGCCTGTCGGTTTTGCCAACTCGACATCCTCCACTCGTCCATGACTCTCCCGACCAGACGCTGCTCGTTTCTCAAAACCAGCTCTCTCTCCAGTGGGCGCAGTACTGTTGCTTGGCGCCATATATGGAAAGCCTCTTCTTTCTGTCCCAGCTGAACATCTCCCAGAATACCATTCAGGTGTCGCTGATTCAGAGTGGCATCGCGCCAATGGGTGAGGGTGTTTGCCAGTAGGTATTTCTGATGCCGTCGGTGTACGATATTGTACTTGCTGGCTAGACACCATTTCTGGACACCGCTCGTCAGACTTCTTTCGCTTTACTCAACGAGAACTCACAGCAAATACAGAGGCCAGACGCGCTTTCCGCATCTTCTGTGCAAATCCTATTTCCTTCTCAGCCATCTCTGTCCTCCACCTATCCTCTCTTCTCTTCTTCCATCTCATTTCCCATTTGTGCCACACTCGCTTCCTCGCTCTCTCCTCCACAGTCGCTACGAGTTGTGTTTCCCTCTCGACCAGATTGCGTTGCTTGATGCGCAGGAGCCATAACTTGAATATACCCTTCTTGAGGGTAGTAGAATAATGATGGTCGGCGACAGGAGGCAGGGACAGGGTGTTGCGGGTACGGTGTTGCCATTTCTCAAGCGCTTGACGAAGAAGAAGGTTATTTCGAGCAGTAGTGATGTTTTTGTATGTAAACTATGCTCGGTCAGCTTCATAAAGACGGCCAAAGACTTTACGCACTCGATACCACTCGCTGGTTTTGAACCACATGTTCCAACATCTCCACAATAAGCCATAATTGTAAAAGACATCTGCCTTTTCCTCCATCTGTCTCCTACTCTCTATCGACAGCTCGTCGATCTGGTCCACCCAGGATATCGTCTGCGGCGCATCCATCTCTCTCTGGCGTTGCTTTGGAGTAGATAGACCTAGGGCAGAGAATCCGTCTGCAGTATCTTCGAGTGCTCGACTGATATCCGATGCCGTGTATGCTGGAGGTCCTCGGGAGTAGTGCTGATGTTGCGCATAGATAGGTGTCGACGTCCGTATTGGAGGGTCAAACGAGATCAAATCCTCTTCGACCGTCATATCTACCTGTGTAGGTGTATATCTCCCACTCGATTTGTCCCTCTCCATATCCATCTCCATCTGCAGCATCGACTTTCTGGGACTCGGCCGTGAAGCCAGCACCTCGCTCTCTTCTCCGCCAGTGTAGCCTTCATCGAGATCGGAGGAGGCGGATGCGAGGAATGGGACGCGTTTTCGTACTTCTGGGAGCTGGGAGGACGCGTAGGATTTGTTTGGTTGGGTGTAGGTGCCGCTGGAGTAGGATCCTGAAGCTTGCTGGGAATAGAACGAAGGAAGGGTTTGGGAATGGGCGGCTTTCCAGACATCCCATTTATCGCCCCATGTGGGGGCTTTGATGACGCCTACTTTTAAAAGGAAGTTGTAGTATACCGAGTCGTTTGTCGGGGATATACCACTGATAAAAGTCAGCTTCGCACAGTCATAGGGCGACATGACGCACCTTTCTTGAAGGACCTCGGTATATGGACGGAATATCTGAGGAAAGGAAGTCGCGTCACGGCCGCGCTCAAAGATGGCCTCGATGACCTCGAGATCCACCGAAGCAGACAATGCTGCAGTGTCGGTGGACCTCGAGGAAGACGAGAGCGGGGGGAACATTGGCGACGGCCAAGTCAAAAGTCTGATCCTGGCTGGATCCAAACAATGAGAAGAGTCAAAAGTCACAACAAAGGAGACGCGTTTATTTACGGGCATCGCCGACCATGCACCAACGATCCATCGTTGACCTGAAAGTCTTTCACGAATAGATATTGCATGAAGGTATGGATAGATGATGGGTAATATATGCAACACGACTGGTATATACAAGCAAGCAAACAGATAAATCAACAAAGTCTGATACAGTGATCTACGCCTCTAACAGCACTCCTGGTAGCTCTCCCTCTTGATGCCACTGCAGTAATCTCCACACCTCACAGGCAGACTAGCGCCTCTCACACTGAGCCTAAACTCGTCAACAAACCCTCTCGACCTCGCTCCCTCTTCCCCTTCGGCATTGGCACTCTCGTTGAAGGACGAGTATACGGCCAGAGGGTCGGGGTTGTACCACTCTTCGGCCTGTTGGAGCTCGTTCGCGAGATGCTTGTGCTCGTTCTTCAAGTTCTTCCGCATAAAGTCAGACTTGTCTGCGGAGGGAGAAGAGAGGGTATCGGTCTTCGGGTGATAGGTGGTGCCAAAGTTTGTAAACTTTAATGATGGAATGTGGGCGTAGCTGAGACAATTGTCAGTAATCAGATTGAGGGGTAGAGGCGATGATGACTTACTTGGAAGAGTGTCTGCCACAGAGCACATACTTGTACTCGTCGATGAATCGAGTGTAAAAGTCGAGAATGTCGCGCGCGTGCTTCTCGCCATCACCCAATCCCTCAACGGCTCCACGGCGCACTTCAGGCGCGAGGTCCATGATGACGGTCCTGCCTCCGTTGCCCGAGTCCACCCAGGCCTTCAAGTCTGGCCTGGCATTGTGGATGGTAAGAGCAAGAGGGTATGTCTCGCTGAACATCTTGTTCACCAAGTTGGGAAGCTTCCAGAGCTGGGACACCTCGTGCGAGGAGAGCTCGAAAGGGAGATGGAGACAAAGCTGGGCGCCCTTGGTGTTCCACAGGTAGCCCTGCTTGACAATCTTGGCACGCCATCCCTCGACATCGGCCAAGAAGCCGCGTACACACTGTGTACCAAAGACGATGTGGATACGCTCCCTATTCAGGAGACGGTTGGGCGACAGCTCTTGGGGCAGTGCGTCCTTGTTCGCCTTCAACTGAGAAGCCCACTGGAATTCTGCCTCGTAGAACTTTTCGAGAGCCGTGGCATCTCGAAAGTAGACACTTCGGCAGGTGTCGATGAGATGGGTCTTGTGTGTCAAAGCGAAGGGGGCAGAAGTCTCGACAGGGAGCGAGGTATAAGACACCGAAGACGGTCGCGCATTGGCATTGGATGGCTGGTCGACGATGATAGACGATTGGTCGGAAGATATAGGGGTCGGCAAAGAACAATTCTTGCTACGCGTCTCTGATTCGCCATTTTGCCACTGAGGCGCGTCCGCGCCACTCGCGACCGTGCGTTGCGACACGCCTTCAAAAAACTTTGCGGCGTTCTTCTGGTCAAGCTTGACACTCTTGTAGAGGTCCTTTATGTAGGTGCGGTAGAAGTGGCGATTGCAGAGGATGAGGGGTAGGAGATCAGCAGGAGTGCTGCTGTTGATGTAGTAGTCGAGGATGAGGACGAGGAGCTCGCCGGGGAAGGGGAGGGGGGTGGGGGCGAGGGTGATAGGGGCCATGGTGGGTATTGTTTGTATGGATGAGGAGGTGGGAGGATGATGAAGATGAATGTCCAAGATATTCGAATTGTTATTGATTACGGGAGTGTGCGTGATTCTTCAAAACTTCACCGGACATCCGAGCAAACCCGGGACCAAATATGATTGGGCGCTGATGACGTAAGTTGTCGCGATGGCGCATCCATTTGCTCCCGCGGTGGAGGGCGTCCACTTTTCATCATCATCTAGTACGACATGGCAATTCTTGCAGGGGCAGTACAGGTGGGCGCTTCACAGAACAGAGGGTCCAGCTGACACAGACAGCCCCCTCTCCTCACTCTCCTGTCCTCCACCTCGTCCCCGCCCCTTTCCCCGCTCTTCTTCCAAGCCACCAACCCTTCTGAGCCCAGCTCCCTGATCTCGATAGTGGATGACAGCGAGGATGCCGAGGACTATCCTCGAGATTTCACTCAGACCATAGTACCCAGAAGCAAACCACGAGGCTCAATATCACATCCTGTGATCCATACCCAGTCGCCCGACCCTCGAACAACCTATATCCAGGCAGGCTGCTCCCTTGAATCATCTAGAGCTTCCCATGAGCATGACGACAGGTATCAGCCTCTGGGGGTGGAACTCCCCTGGGTAGGCTTTCAGATAAAGCGGCTGGGACAACGAGATCTGAGCTTGGAAGTGGGTGTCGTCGATGCAAAAGGCCGGGAAGGCATCATCCGGCTATCGAGCTTCAAAGTGAGCTATGCTTGATCGTCCATTCATCACTGACTGGCAATCACGCTACTAGACTGAGCCGTCGATACACCCCTGTCATACGCCGCCCCTCATCCACCTCCCTCTCAACTTTCCTCCCTCCGAGTCTCTCGTAACACCGTGGCTACATATCCCCCTCAACTTGGCATCTTTGCTACCACTGTTTCAGTCCATTCCTCGAGATTATACAGATAATGACGGTGAACAAGGAGGAGCGAGAAAGAAGAGGAGAGCGGAAAGCGAGCTTCCGAGCGGTAGCTTCAAAAGCGTCAGCTTTGTGAAAGTGTATGCTAATTGCAGAGTAAGACGCGTATGGTTTGTGAGTATATTGACCCCTCGTTTCCATGTCGTTTGCTAAGGTGACTTCCTAGTCGGCCGAGGGCGAGAAGACGCTGGCAAGCATGGGCAAAGGGGTCGAGGACGAGTGGGCGTTGTATGCGGCAGACTCGGCAGCGTCATTATAGTTCAATCACATGCATGGTTCATGTCCATAGAGATCACTCTGCACATCATATACACTCTGTCGCCTGCTTTACTACTCGGTATATGCACCAGGCTGGCTCACATCTTCTGCTTTAACTGGCTGGGTGGCCCCGGTCTCAGTGTCAGAAAAGGTTCCGCTCATTTCGAGGTTTCTTGCCACCAGCTACGACAGTCGTTCTAACCCATCGCGTCTTTCTTCTCTCGTCTTCTGTACTTGCCAACTCGATTACTGCTCTCCTCAAGCATATTTCTCCCCCATCATGGTCTGCAAAAAATGCGAAAAGGTGAGCCCCAAAGATCCACCTCCCACCATGAACCACCTCCTAACACCCTACTTCCAGAAAACATCCACCCTTGCAGCCCCCGACCCCTTCCAGCCATCCTCCTCAACCCGCAAGATCGGTGAAAACAAGCTCTTATCAGCGCGTGCCCGTGCATCGCCTTATGCCAAGCCGGGACAGGGCGCGAAGAAGGGGAGTATCAATCCGTATGGGAACAAGTGTTTGGATTGCAAGGTGAGTCTGCTGGGATACGTACTTGGAGAATTGATGCTGATAATTGGTATAGCAAAACGTACATCAAAATAATGCTACCAGGTGTCAAAAGTGCGCGTACAAGAAGGTGTGTCCTGGTATATACGGATGAGGCATGTTCGTTACTGATACGGATCAGGGATTATGCGCCATCTGTGGAAATATCGTATTAGACACAAAAGGTAAGTTCCATCCTGTTCATCCCAACCCAGAGTGGCTAACATGGCTCAAGGCTATAAACAGTCTGCAAAATAGTGCTCGCATCAACGTCGAGATGGGTCATATCATCACGTTCGTTCACAGATATGGCTACAGATTCCCTTGTTGTAAAAGTATGGTGGAGAACTTTGTATATGCAAATTGACTATACCACAGAAACCCAAATGTCCCAATAATATAAAAACGATAGAATAAACACCAAAAAACGACCAAAAGACGACAAAAGAATCAAGATTGGGTGACACATTTTTAGATATCGGATGGGTATCACTTCCTCCTCATTATACTTCCGAGTCTCTTCAACCCCTTCTCCGGCATGTTCTCCTTTGCTGGCGGGAGCGGCGGCACTTCATCCTCGCTCATCCTCTCGTGCACCACATTGATCGTCGACCGGCTCCCGAAACCCATCATGTTCCTCGCCCTCGCGCCCACACTCGTCACACTCGCATTATTCCCCGCTCCGTACCCAAACACACCCGGTATTGTCAGCGATGAACGCTTCTCCTTCTTGGCCCGCGTGCTGGTGCTTCGGGAGAGGCTTCTGCCAATAGAGCTTGCAGGTGTAGCGACCTCGGGCGTTTCGGCAGGTGTGCCATCTATGCCGTGGTGTTTGGGGGTGGTAGGGGTATTGCGGGTGGTAGACACTGAATCACGGAATGTCTGTGTGCTGCCGCTCTCTGCACCAATCTCCGTGGGCGATAGTGCGATGGGCGGTAGACGGTACTTGCTCGTATCCCAGCTCAGCGCAGCGTCGATGACCGACAACCTCTGTTCTGCCACAGGCGATGACGGGCTGTCAAACATCGAGTCACCCGAATCGCGGCTAATATGTATAGAGACCGACTGTGGACTGCGGATAGGACTGTGAAGTTTGGCTTGAGGGAAGCCGTTGATGCTGAAACTCGGGAGGATATGGTGGCTGTCTTCTGATACAGTCCTGGGAAAGTCGGCAGATTCTATCGGGAAGGAGCGGTACATGTCTGTACTCCTAGATCAGTATCGTGAATCTCAAATCTGTCCGACTTACGCGTCCTTAGGGCGTCATGGAACGGGACATCTCGACACACTTGGCGATGCACCTCCAGGCTGTCGTAGACGGCCTTCACAAAGTCAATGATGGCAGTCTGGAGCTGCTCGACGTGCGATTGATATTGCGGATGGGTGGTAGCGTAGTCTCCTTCGATAAACACCTGACGGTACTTTCGTATGCCCTCGCTTAGAGGCGAATCGACGGCGTTGTTGATGGCTGTGCCCAGCATCTTCGGCCTAAAGATCGGATCAGCAGAGCACGCAAAGGGAGCAGAGACAACTTACTCGGGCAATTGTCCATCTTTCCCTCTGCAAACCTTTCTCAGATGCTTCGTGGCCCTCTCCACCTCCATAGTAGCCATGACACCTGGAGCAATCTGCTCATACCTCACATTGATCACCTCACTCCTGGCCAACAGACCCGGTAGATCCTCCTTCGTCGTCACAATAGTCTTTTCCGTCCACGTCAACACTGCCTCCCTCTCCCCTGGATCTTTCAAGTACGGTCTCATGGACGAAAATCGGCGGATATTGTTGGTGAGCCAATATGCCTGGACGGGTTCGGGGACGTGCGCCTCGTTTTGGGAAGAAAATATGGGTTTGGAGAGATCAGGGTCAGGGGTAAGGGGCATGACCCAGATGACGGGGTCGAGGCCTGACTTGATGGATTCTGGTGGAGGAATCTTGGAGCGGTGGATGGTGGCCTGCCGGTATTTGGCTTGCAATTTGTCGCAGCTGATCAAGTTAGCGCAAGTCTGCACAGTGATTGAAAGGCTCACAAATGAGCAAAGGTTTGTCCGTTAACAGCTCGCACGACGTAATCCTTCCGCTTGTCCAACGATGGTATGTCACCAAAGAAGGCCACCCGGAAATACTCCACCTTTGGTCGCCATGCTGAAGCAATCTTTTCCCAGAGTTTGACCTGGTGTTGGAGAAGTTCACCGATAATGCGTACGTCGTAAGTGAGTTTCTGGTGCTGCATGATAAGCTCTTGACAGAGGTCGACCGAAAACTCGTATGATTCCGCCAAAGCTATGGACGAACGTCAGTATCATCTATTCATTCATTAGGACGGCTTTGCTTACCAAAGTACTCCATGACATGGTAATACAGCCCCTGTTTTCTGATGAATTGACTCTGTGCCGGCATGGCGATCTCCTTCCATGTCCCCTCTTGAACCCAAGCCTCTCCAGCCACATTCCATTCGTAGACATCGGCATGTAACTTGAGTGCCAAGCCAGCACCGAGCCAGTCGTTTGTCTCCTTGCACACCTGTACCAGCTCGTGTACGTAGCGCACATACAGATCCTTCCTGCCTATCCTCGACACGAACCCCATCAGTTGGAAGATGGCAGTAGAGCGCTCGTCCTTCCACTGTGGTGTCGCCGGGATTTCACGTAGGGCCAGAAGGAGGTCGATAAAGTGCTCGACTTGGGATAAGAAAATCGTGAGAGATGAAGTGAAGGGCGCCGATACCTGCGGAGTAGTCTCGAATATAGTGCGCAGCTGAGCGACAAAGTAGGCGCGCATAGTGGGGTCGGAAGAAGACGGCGACGATTTAGAGTTGAACAAGTCGTCTAGTGTGACAAATATCTCTGTTTGGATGGAGGATTCTTGCTGATCCAAAAGATGTTCGGCGTAAAGTATGGAGAAGAGAATCTCGACTGCGACACCGCACAACGCGTCGTGGCTCGATAGACAGAGCCGTAAGATGTCTTTTGCCAGGCCAGTGAATCTGGTTTGATGCTGCAAGGTGGTCAGCTCCATCGTGTATAGCTAGACAGACTCACCCCGCCCATGCGTAATCCTTCACAGCCAGCTATATCCACAGGCCATCCAATAGCACTCCACAATCGCCACAAGAGCCCCGCGCCGACATCTCTCAAATCGCCAGCCACGATCCACTCAGCTCGTCTCCGTTGTTGCGTCTGCTCCTCGAGAGCAAGCTCGGGAGATCCACAAAAGTCGCAAAGAAGGCCAAACAGACGTTTCCAGAGGTCAACATCGAACGACACTTGCCCTTCGACTGAGGGGTCAGAGACTGACGGTGGCGGCGGCACAAAGACAGGCTTCTCCAGTACCGTCGCAATGCACTCCAGGGCCTTTAGGATACCGCTAAAGCACATCAAGCGTAAGGTGAGCCATTGGCTAGGAAACGCCTTGAAGCTGATTATGGACTCGGCAAAGTCGAATAATTGCACGAAAACTTCCGAGCAGGTCTCCGTCCCTTCGTACTCGAGCATTTCGTTGAACCACCGCTCAATATTGCTTCTGGGTGTAGCCAAAACGAGAGTGGTGATGACCACTCCACATTCTGTCAAGCTGCAATTGAAGATCTCTGACCTAGGTAAGCCGTCGGCTTCGGCCTGGTGGTGTCTCTCCAGCAGAGACGGTGGGGGCAGCTGTGATACGAGAGCGAAAGGCACTGAAGTGGGAAATATGTCTGGCGTAGGCTTCCATATGGCTGGTGAGGTTGGTGAAGAACGTTGGCGATGAATCGCTTCAAGTGTTTTTGGGTTGGACAACTCTGAGTATGAGGCGAACAGAGCAGGAAGAAGAGTGAGACAGTATTCTATATTGTCTTCTTCTTGCCGCTTCAGGCCCTCGTCTTCCTGTATCAATGTCGATACGTGCCATTCTTGCAACACGTTGATCATCCACGCCAATACCTGACTTGACATGAGCTATGCCCGCCGACACAAACAAATCACTCACCGTGACAGCCAGACGATTGCACTCTAGCCACTTGATCCTCATGGCGTCTCTTGCATCTGCACTAGCGTCCATCCCAGCCGCATACTCGTCATACCTACCAAGATGGGGCTTGACCCATCTGACCAATGCTGGAACTAGCAAGCTTCTGCTCTCGGAAGTATCAAAGAGATTGTTGACCACTTGTAGTAAGAGTAGCAATTTGTATGTTGCTATACTGCCTTTGGCATATGCGAGCGTGTCGGCGAACGCGATGATCATCTCTGCAATCTCGAGTGGCTTGAACACTTGTCGCAGGTCGGGAAGGATATCAGCATAGTGTTGGACGACTAGAGTCTGGGTGCCGATGAGGGATTTGTTGGAGGACAGCATGAGATTGTTGATCTCCGTGAGAATATACTTGGTCTGTTTCTGGTAGTCTGCCTCGATATGCGCCGAAGTAGCGTCGAGACCCATGCCCCGAGCTCGGTCTTGCTCTCTTGAGCGGATGATGAATCTGAAGAATAGGTGCCATACTTTGAGGAAAGAGCGATAGTCTTTGGCCTCGGGGTCCGACATCACCACTTTCATCGATCGAAGAAGGTGGAAAGATGAGGCCGGGAAGCTGAAGATCTTGTTGATGTACACGCGGAGGACGCTCTTGAAATTTGGGAAGCGTCTATCAGAGGTGATTGATAGCACCTTGATCAAGCCTCTGAACACCAACCCATTGACCTCGCCTTGCCTCTCTCCCAAATTTGACACCAGGATCCCGAAAAGTGAGTTGAGAGTTCTCGGTACACAGTGAGAGATCTCTTCCTCGGGCACAAAAGCAAAGAGTTTGAGGGTCTCGCAGAGGAGGTCAAGGCCGTCATTCGCTAATGTTGACTTTGGTTGCCAAGCAAACAGCTCACGTAGGGTATCGTCTTGTGTCTGCGACGTCGAGCAAAGCCGTGTCTTGAGCAACACTCGGTCTTTCAGCGGAACCATAGTTTTCGCAGCCGAGGAAGGCAAGATCGGGTCAGCCTCGCCAGGCTGAGCAATATATGGTGCGTCGAAGTAGACGTTCGGGGTCGGTTGGAAGCCTCTCTCCATCCTGTAAAGCACAAGCTCGTGCTTGCCATCTCGAACCACAGAGCTAGCGCCCGAAAGGGGTATGTAGGCAAAAGCATAGGGCTTCTCCCCTTCAAGCAAGTCTGCAGCCGAGCTGTTCTTTTCCTTCTGTCGATGCCGAAATGTGAGAAAGAGGTGGTAGTCGACTGGCCGCGATGGCAGGCAAACCTTAACCAGCTCATTGTAGGTCGGTCGGTCATTGCGGTGGAACACCATCGACTCCCATCTATCCACCCCTTTCTCCCCAGAGCCGCCGGGAACGATGCCTTCTGGGATTACCGTCCCATCCAAAGTCCTGACTTCCATTTCAACTTGGATATCTCCATTATTTCCAGCACCCGACAAGACAGACTTTCGCACTCTTATCGAGCCTTTCACAGATCCATTGTTTGATGTTAACAGAGCAGGGGTAAAAGTGGCGGAGAGAAGGTTGATGTAGAGGTCGCTGCGTGTCTGGTCTGGGAACACAACGTCGGGGAAAGAGAGACGGGATGTGAGGGGGATGTTTTGGAGGAGTGATGGTTGAGCGCGAATGAGGTTTGGAGCAGAACCTTTGAGTGCAGTAAGGTTGAGCACTATGCTCTCAGCTCTGAGGATGTGTCAGTCAAAATCCATCAGATGTCCAGCACACGCACCTTGGAGAAGTCCCGAATTGTTTCACTCTTTTGTTCACGATATCCTCATGCAGGCCCGCGAACGACGCCTCGTCTTTTGGAATATGGATTCGAACGCTCTTCTCTACACCAGCTTCACTCGCATCCGAGCTTTCGCTGATCAACTTGCTCAAGGTCGGAAGTAACATCACCGCCACGCCCAATGGTCTTCTAAACTTGGGCTTGGAATCGAGAGAAGAATGGCCGTTCGTGGAAGCGCCGTTGGTGGTGTCGATAGTCGGTGGGCGATTGAGTTCTGGGCCGTACCCAGAGGTGACGGAGAAGGAGTCGTCCGTGAAATTCATTGACGACGGCGACTGGAAGTGACTACGCAGCGTACCGCCAGTCTCTGATATTCCATAAAGACTCGTTCGTTTGGGCGTCGTGGGAGGCTGTATATGTGGCCCATCTGCCTTGTCCGACTTCATCTTGAACGCCCCATTTCTGACGATCTTGCACACCAGATACGTGTCTGGTCCCAAATCCTCCACTTTCAGGTCGGTGAACATGGTACGCAGACGGCCCAGTCGTTGCTCGGCATCGCGTGCAGGACTGCCGAGGTGATTGAGAACGAGGACAAACTCTTCCGTGATAAATCTATTGTCAGACTTGTTCCAGAGAGAAAAGTAGAGCTCGGCGGTTTCGCCCGGGGCGCAGGGGTTGGCAATAAAGGCGCGAACGTCGAGGACGAGGTGGTGGAACGTGCCGGCAGGCTCGTCTGTTTTGGCTGGTGTCTTGGCAGCTGCCAGGGAAAAGGGTTTCGATAGGGGTGATGGGGACGAGTCGGCACCCGGGAAAGAGAAGACTTTGCCGAATACCTTGTCGAGAGGTATCAAGTCGATGTACGCCAATCTCACTTGGTAGACATAACAGCTGATCCCTCCGACCCATCTCGTCCCGCTGAACGCTCTTTCCCTATCCACCACAACCACACTTCCGTCTTCCAGGCTCCGTACAATGACGTCCAGCCCTTGCGCAACGTTGCACTTGACGAGTCGAGAAACGCATTCTCGACGAACTCGTATCAGTTCGTCTCCACTGAGCATTTGGGACAGGAGCTGGCGGCGACCAAGGAAGAGGGCGTCAATGTGCTGGGTGACTGTACTGAATAGTCGGTATTCGCGATTTGCGAGGTAGGTGGGAAGGCGCTGTGAGAGTTTAGTAGGTTACTAACGCACAAGGTAAGTTACTCACGCTATACCACTCTCGAATAGCACATGCAATCTCATCTACCAGGGGCCATTGCTGCCCAGAGACGGTCGAGTCACCCGCTGTCAGCTTCGGAAGTGGGGGCTGAGGCTTATTCTCCTCTATCTCATCCTTCTTTTGCTCCAGTACCAAAGACATTGGACGATTAGGCCTAGAGAAGCTGCCTCGCGAAGACGAACGCCGTCTATGCAGAGCTTCCGTAGGTCTCCCCTCAGAGCTCACTTCGACAACTGCACGATGTTCAACAGACGAGGTGTGCGCATGCGAGGCACGCGAAGAGATTTCTTCCTCCTCTTCTTCCTCCTTGACGGTACCCATCTCTCCGACCCACTGCATACCCAGACTGACACCTTCACTAGCTGCCCTATACCGTTCCTCTGCTGCTTTCAGAGCTTGTCCGTAGGCTTCCGAGAGCTCGCCATTGTCGTTGACATTGCCTGGGCGGACATGGCAGACAGCAGCTGGAAATATGCCTGTAAGGACCGAAGGTTCTGGCCGCGGGAAGGATGCTGGTTGCGTAGATGATGTCAAGGAGGAAGGGGTCGGCGCAAGGGATGTGACAGAAACGGCTTGAACGACGAATCTACCAAAAGTCAGCACAATGGTCGGTACAAGATCAAGAGATCCTTACCCTCTATACCACAGATCCCCTCTTCCATCCTCATCCGTCGTGCAGCGGTATTCTTCGAAAGCATAGAACTCGTCTCCTATATCCAATTTGATCTCGTACGCATTCCTCTTTCCCTGGAAGGAGGAGTCGCCTATTGAAGGTCTTCCTCCAGCCCAGGGCAACACATCGAGGTCCTTTTGGGGTAGTATAGGAGGCAGGCTGAGCGAGCCGCCGTCTACAGTCGTAGGAGTGGGAGGAGGGGATGTTTCCGGATGGAAGGGGTATATCACAAAGCCACTGTGAATGTAGGGCAGGGGCTGCCACGAGCCATGACTGGATCTCTGTGAGCAGGAAAGGGAAAGCGGGACAGACGGGACGCACTGTGAGCCTGCTGCCTGGTGGTCGAACTGGGCCATTTGGCTGGCCAGGACGCTGTATCGCTGGGTATCTCGCAGAAGAAAGAGGAAAAGAAATAGGAAAAGAATGGGAAGTGAACAGTAAAAACAGATTGAATTTGCGGTTGCCAGGACGATCAGAGCGCACGCCCGAGCTCAGCCCATGGCGGCCTAATGTACGTGCCTGGCGGGCGATAACTGAGATAAGGGACGGGCGGGGCGACGTATTGGTGCATCTCGCCGGGTACAATGCATGTACGCGCTGTTCTCAGATACTTCCAAGAGGGGGCCCTTGCCAACCGTGAATCTTCGATCGCATGCATGCAGTCACCCACGAGATCTCTGTGAATCCCCCGATCACTCATTGGCGGACATCGCCGCTGCTTCCGTCACAACAACAAAATTCGGCCACAAGTCAAGAAATCGTCGCGATACTTGGGACAAGATACAAGGACCACAATGGGCGCATCGAGACAGCTGATCAGGTGGGTAGTAGAGCTAGTGTAGACCTGAAGCTGACACATAACAGGATATGTCCCCTGAAGGCCACCTTCACCCATACCCGTTTCCACCTCGCACTCCGGACAATCGACCACCCGGTCGTGTACCACCGCCTGCTTCTCTTCAGAATCAACAAGCCTGATCCTTCGCTGCCCGACTGTGGATCTTCGTCCCTGGAGGTGTCGAAAGAGAAGCCCATATGGCAAGCACCCGAGCTATTCTGCATGGAAGAGATGTGTCCTCACTTGGGCGCTCCTCTAAGCCATGCTGAAATTGAGGATATGGAAGATACTAGGGCAATTGGTATGTATGGTGACTATCAAGTAGGCAGAGCTAACGCAAGGTCAAATTAGTCTGTCCATGGCATCAATATGACTTTGGTGTGCCCTTTTCTCTGACTATACGTCTACGTCATGCTTACGCCCTTCCACAGATCTCAAAGATGGCTCTAGCTGTAGGCTGGTATTCGACTCTTCACACAAGCTTGAGGCTGATGCGACTCTAGCAACTGGACTCCAGGCATGTACCTACCACGTCGAAGTTCAAGGGCATGAAGACGATGCGGACGTCTGGGTCGAAGCCCCTCATGCTGAAGGCTCCGATGTCAACGAGAAACGGCAATGGGAACTCGTCGAGATGAGAGGTGTCAGTGAAGGTATGCACATCACCAGCTGTTGAATGTCACTGAATCCTAGTAGAATTTCTCGACCCACCATTACCGCCTCTCGCAGGCCTCTCCCTCGATTCCTGCCCACCCCCTTCCCTCCCGCCCCACCTCGCCTCCGTCCAGAAACCCGAGCTTCCCGACCCTCTCCCCACTTCTCTCCTTGCTTTTGCCCACCTGATCCTGCGGACATCTGATCCACAGCTCAAGTGTTTACTGACGAGAGAGGCGGTCACCAGGCTGAGAGCGGGGCAATTAAAGAGCATTAGACCGAGCAAGGCAGAGATCAGGAAGCAGAGGGAGAACGGGGGTTTGTTGGATGAACCTCCGAGAGAGGTGGAGAGTGTTGCTCCTGGGAAGGCGCCCAAGCGGCAAGTTCATGTCGCATGCAGGCACATGTTGGTCATTGCTCATCTGCCCATAGTGGTAAGGGCGGCTCTGAAAAGTCACGTATTCTCATGCTCCGTGAGTATCCATCCTAGGCGTTGTGGCGCCACTCACTCTTCGACAGATGCCCTCGCAAACATCGAGCAATACGCCATCGACTTGGCTTGGGACATTATCGTCCGTTTCGCCGACTTTGAAATCAACGGCGAACGCCTCCCTGTAGAGTTCTTTTTGGACTGGGCCAAGGTCGCAGAAGACGAGGCCAAGCACTATACCCTTCTCGCCCGGCGTCTAGTCGCAAGTCCCTTCCTTGTCTGCCGCCCACCTACTGACGTATCGCAGGAAATGGGCTCGTACTTTGGCGCCCACACAGTTCATGCCGGTCTATGGGAATCCGCCACCCAAACAGCCGACTCTCTCTCTGCCCGTATCGCCATCATCCACCTCGTCGCCGAAGCCCGCGGTATCGACATGAACCCCCTCACCCTCGCCAAGCTCCAGGCTGCGGGCGATACCGAAAGTACCAGGGTGCTGGAGGTGATCCATGCGGATGAGATTACACATGTGACGACTGGTCATCGGTGGTTCAGCTGGCTGTGTGATAAGAGAGGCGTTGATCCGGTGGAGACTTTCCGACAGGAGGTGTCTGACAACTTTAGGGGAAAGATCAAGGGACCTTTCAACGCAGAGGACCGTCTCAAGGCTGTACGCAACTCTTCGACTCGAGTAATCTTGATTTCAGGACTGACTATCTTTGCCAGGGGCTGACTCCAGAGTTTTACGAGGACTTGTCAGGACACCTCGGATGGAAGGATGAGCTTGTGAAGCGAGCAGAGGCTGCTGCTGCTGCTGAAGGCGATGAGCACTTGCATCCTAGACTGACGTAGAATGAACCTCATGCTTTCATCACTTGTATGCATATATAGATACAGCACCACGGATCAAGGGAAATCAGAATGGTTAAGACTGCTTCAATCATTGTCCAGAGGAAAAAGAGAGACGGGAATTGTCCACGAGACAGGAAAGATCATCGAAGACAAAGCGTGTTCAACGCCTGAAAATGAGGAAGAAACAAAAATCGAAGAGACAGACAAGCTATGTACACAGGAAAATCCAACGTAGCTACGTACGCTGCGGCACTGATCAGCATGGATTTCGCCTATCGAGACGGTTGAGACACCTACAGCCAAGCGGGTGGACCTCCTCAAGATAAATATACGCCGACTTCCATTAACTGTGGCGGCAGTTCTCCTTCACTCCTAATCGACGCCTGCGATACCGCCCTTTCTATTCGACTTTGTCCCCGACTCTGACTTTGGCTGGGCTCTCTTCTTTGATCGACCGCCCTGCCCGCTACAGCTCTGACAGGCCTATGTGCGTGTATATGTAGGTCTTGTAATTTTGCAGGGATTGGGGGTTCGCGAAGAGACGACGTTGACTGAGATCTCTGTTGGACGATGGTGGAGGGCATCTCTGGCGGCATCTCGTCTTGTGTTTCTAGAGCAAAGAAGGTTTTGTGTGGTGTGGCGGGTGTCAGGAGAGGTGTCTCGATATATTCTGAAGGTGTAGAGGTGGAAGCGGAGAGATCTGGGGTGGAGGTCGAGCTGGTGAGGGAAGTATCGATCGACATCTTGCGCTTTGATGCTGGCGTTGAAAGAGGTGAAATAAGCTCAGCTGGGATGACTGGCAGGTCCACTCCTTCCTCAAACACAGCATCTCCATCAACCTCGTCAAGCTCTCTCCCCAGCTCAAAGAACTCTCCCCGGAAGATCTTCACATCATCAAAACTCCATGTCCTCAATCTCATCAATCTCCACCCTTCTTCCATCTCTTCTTGTAACATCCCCAAAACCTCTTCCTGAGTCTTCATAGCGTGCTGCATGATATCTGCGTTCAAGCGTGCTTGTCCGCGAAACATGTCTTTGTGGATGTCGACCTCTCGGGATAGGTCTTCTGCCAGGTTCTCGGTCTCGAGCTGGGCGAGTTCGGCGGAGCGGAGGTCTGTTTCAGTGTTGTAGAGTTGGCTTTGAAGGGAGCGGACTTGGGAACGGAGATCTTCAATCTCGGCGCGGTACTCTGTCTGAAGGTTCTCGCACATAGCTTCAGCTAAAGTTTAGTCAGTATGATCCTTGGGTTGAGTGAGTAAGACTTACAAAGCATAACGCGCTCAGTGAGCTCTTCGATCACCACGTCCTTGCTCACAGTCTCCTCGTTCTGTATCTCCATGTACTCCTCGACAATGTTGGACTCCTTCCCACAAAGTGAATTTCTTTCTCCTACACCCACTTCCTCGCAAGCAGCTGTAGTTTCGATGGCGACAGTACCAATTTGGTGCTTCACATCCTCATGACTGTTGACACAGGCTTTCGCTGCCACGGAAGGAATGTCGAGTGTAGCAGTCGAGATTGTTGCCCTTTCTATGGGCGCAGATACATCGAAATCGATGTCATGATAACTGGAAGAGATATCGCAGTCCCCCTCAACGGGGATGACAGGCTCGTCGCAGTCGTCGGCAGGGCTGGACTGGTCCAGGCTGTCGTTGATTGAAAAAGTGGCGATGGGCTCGTGATCGCTAGTGCGGTCGAGTATGATAGAGCTGTGGACAAAAGAGATTTGGACAGAGGAAGGGGGCGTGATTGGCGTGACGCCCTCGATGGCGTTTGAACTGGTGTGACTCTTGCCGACGGTAGCGAGGTCAGGCATGGTGGTTGGAGTATGTATGCTGTTGTCGATAGGAGGGGTGGTGGAAGGAAGAGCGAGGTTGATAGATTGGGTAGGTGCAGAAGCGACATCCGTTTCTTGAGCATATAAGGCAAGTTCTTGGACGGGAGCTTCTCTCTCGGCTGCCCCTTCACCATCGCACATATCGATACACACACACCCGCGAGGCAGCATCCTCTTCCCACCGTGCCTGGCCTGGGTACCATGAGAAGCATACTCGTGCTCATACTCGCCGCCTTTGCCGGGGGAGCTAAAAGGCAGAGAAGGATAGGAAGATCCGGGCGAAAAGATGGCTCTGGAGGAGGTAGTCTTCTGGACGGTGTGGGCGGCGATTACCGTCGTCTCACTGAGCGCAGGAGCTGGGGTGGCAGTCATGGCAGTCGTTCGTGTTCGAGGAGCAGTAGTCTCCGAAGAAGTACGGGGAGGGAAGCGGAGGATAGCGGAGAGCCATTGAAAGAAGCCGAGGATGGTGAGAAGGAGGGCGTGCATGGTAGCAGATGGCGGAGGTGTGGCTGTGCGAGAACGTCAGCGCTTGTTGAACGTCGAGGGGTGTTCGGTTGAGAGTGCCTACATGATGGGGGGATGTTTGGAGCGTTGAGATGCTGATAGAGACTGTCAGATATATAACCTGATGGTAAACAATGGGTACTTGCCAATGTTTATGAGGATGAGGGCAAGCGGGATCGCGGTGAGGATAGCGATGTATGAGCAAGTTGTGTTGAATGTAAGAGTATGCTGTTGCTCAGGGGTAGAGCTGTTGACGTGAAGTACGGGGATATGAGGATGGTTATGCTAAAGATAGAGGAAGAAGAAGAAAGAGTCCAAGAATGATACAAACTATATATACCCTGCAAACATCAGGGTGTGACGGCCAGGTGGGGGTCCTTTGGGCAAGTTTTCGGTGCGACTGTCGTTGGTCAGTGCATAGATCGCGCACTGAGCCACGTGGACGACTCTAGTATGGCTGATAGCAGACGTCAAAGATTTGGGAGGCCGGGAGGATGACCGAATTGACAGCCAAAGTACTGGCAGAGCGCCGACAATGTGCACAGGGGAATGAGCAAGTCTAAGGGGTGCTCAAAGCCGCAGTCCTTCACGTATAGTGCTCCATCGTCCAACCAGCAAATCAAGCCTGCTCAAGACAGCTCCTGCCCTCGGCGGTGGGTCCTAGGTCATCGCTTTTGCCATTGCATTGGCTTCCATCCACGTACTGATTTGCTCTTCTATAATAGTTCTCAGCACCCCGGGCGATCCAAATTCCCATTTCCCCCAGTATCGCCTGGTTCCTCGCTCTACTCACATTTACAGGACCTACCAGACCGACAAATGTGACAATCCAGAGCATACAAGCTGATTTCGAGCTCATTGTTGACAGAGAAGCAAGGGGGGGTGCTTACGTCAGCAATCTCCCGGCGGCGGCGTAAACAAACGAGCGATTGCCGAAAGCAGACGTCGTTCCACATTCACAAGACTGATTAAGCTCTGCCTCATCTTCTTGTTCCCCATTTCACGCCCTCCTCGTTATCCTCCCTCTACTACGGATCACATCCAAGACTCCGCGCAGGCCGCCCGTGCATACCCCGATTTCAAGCGGCGAAAACGGTCGCCCACCGCTTGGCGACGCCCACTCACCACACGCCTCGCCAACGACCCTCCGACTGTCGGGTCGCAAGCCATGGAGCCCCCATCAACGCCCCCTACCCCTTCCTCACCACCATCGTACTCGCCGCCGCTGGTATATCCGCAACCGACAAAGCAGCTAAGCAAAGGGAGCGCCGCCGTCACAGGTACGGCACTCGATGCGGGCGGGAGTCGGGGGGGCAGTGTCCTCGGGGATGTCAGTGGAAGCGCCACACCGACGCACCCAGGGTCACATGTAGTCAATATGGAAGACACTGAGAGAGCCTCCGAGGACGACACCGAGCCTGTCCACCCGGCCCACGCCATCCCTTTCCACATGCGGTCTACATCTGTCCCTCTGTCCCGCACTTCCTCCAACGCTTCCTCTCTGGCAGAAGAGGGCGAAGCCACTCCTTTGATTTCGTCCCAAGGTGAAGATGGAGGGTACAAGGGAAAGTGGTACCAAGGCCCGCTGTTTGTAGCGGCAGTCAAGCTGGGAATATTGTTTGCGGTGTTCACGCTGGTGGTCGTCGGAACGTTCTACTTTGGGATGCCAAAGATGGATCCCGAAGATAAGGGGGCGGTGAAACTGCCCAGGTCATTTGCGGACATACAGGCGCTGAAGTGAGTCTACATGGAAGTATTCATGGGCAATATTGACAAATCACAGCGCGTTGTTCCAAAAGTACAAGCACAAGTATCCTTTGCGGATTTTGGCTTGTGGCGTAGTCTCCTACCTCTTGTAGGTCTCTTTCCACAGCTATAACATTTGCTGACCTTCGTAGCGTACAAACATTCTCTCTACCCGGCTCCATGTATATTTCCATCCTCTTTGGCGCCGCTTACGGCATCGTGTACGGCCTTCTACTGTCCTGCATTGTGCGTCATACCTCTGACAAAGGAGAGTATACTGCTGACGTTTTTTGTTGAAGTGCGAATCAGTCGGCTCTCTATTCTGCTATTCCCTCTCCGCCATTCTCGCCCCACCCCTCCTCACTTTGCCCTTCTACCGCGCCCGCGTCGAGACATGGCGCACAAAGATTATGGGCGACCCAAAGTCTGGCAAGAAGGTCACTTGGGATAGCATTTTTGCCATTCTCCTTGTCCTCCGTATCGCCCCATTCCCTCCACACTGGGTCGCCAATTTCGTCGCGCCCCACTTGGGTATCGGAATGTTCCTCTTCTGGTCGAGCTGCTTTATCGGCATCGCCCCAGTCTCGGTCATCCATGTGACGATAGGAAGTTCGTTGGATGACATGACTTCTGCGGCAGACTTTCATATTCTCTCCCTCCGAAATATCCTGGGTCTTTCAGCGGTCATCGTGGCGGTGCTCATCCCCGTCGGGCTGAAACGCATCTTCAAGAAGGACCTCGGCGATCTCGGGGAAGCCGAAGAGGCGTTGGCTGCCAACTCCAACAACGACCGCGAGATCACTGTGCCCCACATCGGTCTCGGTTCGACCTCTCCCAACAGAGGTGGCGGATACATGTACCATGCCATCGACTCTGGTGTCGTGCTTGCGGTGCCCAGCCGAGGTGACGGCGTGGATTTGCGTAGAAAGATTGTGAGAAGAGGGAAGGGGAGGGCGTTGGAGATCATCCCTGATGACGAATCGGAGGGGTCTGGAGAAGGCGAGGGAGAGACACTCGAGATGGCAGCTTCACCCTTGGCTCTGAGTGACGCCCTCGCCGATGCTCAACAAGACCCCACGCTATACGAAGCGGACGAAGACGACGATCTCTATGGTCCTTCCCCCGTCGCCGGCCCATCATCACACCCCTCCAACGCTCCCACCCCATCTCCAGTCGCCGCAAGCGAGTATCAGTACAAAGTCTACGACCCCTCCAACCGCATCGAGAGCGTGCATTACAAACCTCGGCCATTGTCGAGAAACTCGTCAAGCTACCGGAGTTCAAGACGGGCTGGAGCTGTAAAGCCTCATAGGCCTAATACGCTGCAGGGTTATGGATCAGTAGAGGCGCCGAGTGTGCCGATGGAGATCCGGGAAGAGGAGAGGGCTACGCGAGCGGGATGGTGGCCTTGGGCGAGAACGGGGGTTGCCTGAGTTTTGACATCATGTTTACGGTGTATTTGTAAGGCTTATTGTATCAATCTACACTTTTCTTGTTTCCGGGCGTATACATTAGTGTCTCTAATTTACACGTCTTTATGTCTATAGTACAGTTTCGCTGGCATATGTATGCTCATATACAAAAATGTCGTGGGAGTAAGGGGTACAATCAAGAGGTCTAGTTTAGGGATATCCACAGCCAGTACTGTTTACGGGTCAGCATCACGCTCGACATGGTAAGCGAGGTCGCATACCTTCTCAGTGCCAGGATTGGCGGATACTACAATCTTTAATTGGAACATCCTGTCAAACACTGTGCATCCATTAGTGACGCCTCTCGGATCTTGACAAAACTCACAGCTCATGACCCAGCTCTTTGCCGCCCCCTGGCATAAGGCATGGGGCATGCTCAAACTCGGATTCGTCGGAAAGGTCTCCAATTGCCTCAGACATCGGAATGCCACGCTGGGTTGGGGCGGGCCATAGCGCGAGACGGCGGCATGGGCTTGGCGCCATTTCTCGTCAAGCTGGAGTTGACACCGCTGGGGATCTGGGCAATCTGGTCTCTGCGGACAAAAGTCAGCAAAGGGCGCATGGATAGACATAAGCCGACATACACAGGAGTATTCCTTTTTGACGTCAATGATGCCAAGCTTGAGAAGACGTTCAAGAAACCAGCTCCGGCGATTCGATAGCTTGAGTTGGGTCTCTACCGAGAGGCCATTCATCTCGCCTTCATCCCAAGTCGCTACCCAAGAGTCAGTCTCGCAGCAACTCAAAAGAAACAACACTCACGCTGATCGAGAACAAAACGACTGGCTTCCCGGAACAGCTCGGCATTCCCATACTGCTCTGCCAATGCCAGAGCCACCACAGGTCGGCCGGAAGCATGGGTGAGAAGGAAATGGGAACATTGTTTCTGGAGGGTGGGCACAATCAATTTGGTGGACAGAGACAGAAGAGGAGCAACGTTTGTCCAGGTGACTTTGCATTCCAGACTAGAGATCTTGTCAGAGTAGCCCTGTTGCTGGTACGATGAGAGACCCACTGGGGATACGCCCAGTAAAGAAAGTCTTGAAAAGCACTTGCTTTCTCCTCATGAAGTTCCACTTCTGCTATGGCGTACTCTGAATCGCTCGCGGGTCTGTCGGGCACAGCGTGGGGAGGATGCAGACTGCTAGAGAAAGACGCTCGTAGGGCGATTCTGTCTCGGGCTCGTCGAGGGGTCCGGATCGGCGTATTTGCTGGTGAGACTGGTTTCGGGGACTCTCCTTGAGAGACAGACAAGAGGCCCTCACACGATGGGTCTACAGCCAGCTGATCGAAATGAGAGTGCAGACTCCAGGCTTGACCATCTGGGTCATGGTATACTGATGATCGATCCCTGGTCTCGGGCTCTTGATCCATGGCTTGCTCGTGCCCTGTAGAGCCTCTCACACTTGGAGTACCGTCGGTATCTGGAGGCGGATTCAGAGGCGGCGCGAGAGTCGGTGAAGGTGGACGAGGCTTGGACTCTGCCCAGCTACTTTAGGTAAGAAGGATCCCCATGGAGAGTGTCCGACTTACTTTCCGAGAAGCAAGCCCTCAAAAAATGGGCTCGCAAACCACAAGACTTCCTTGTGACACCAAAACTCGTTTTTTCCTACGACCACCTTGACTCTTCCCGGCAGCTCTGCGCCTCTCTGGAATGTCGGATGCACCTCTATAGGGCCTTCGTCTTCGCTCTCACTTTCCTCATATTCGTCGTCTGTGGTGTCATTATAGGTCCCGCTCGGACGCTGACCCGTGAACGTATCATCGTAGACCCAGCGGCCGAGGGTGGTTGCAGGCGGGGAGGAGGCTGCGCCGGGGTGGCGAGATGTCAGAGTAGGATCGAGCTGGGGATGGGCAGGAGAGCGAGGGGGGTTGCGGGATATGAGAAGGTGGGAGGGGTTATTGAGGGACATTAGGCGTGAGATGAGGATCAGAAATGCGAAGCCGCGATTTGATTCTGATGTGTTCACGCTTCATGGGTCTGGTGTCAGTATTGTGGGGTGGGCTATGCTGCATGTCTTCTGTTCTAGATGCGCAACCTTCGGGCCATACGAGCCCACCTACTACCTACTTACCCCTGCCTAGAGAGGCACTCGCAGCATCTGGCGTCCTCGGCACTCCTCGCTGACATGGCCGTCGGGCTGGTGCTCGCCGGGGCAATTACGCCGCGCTTTCCCAGGCTGACCAAGGTTTCGCTGTTGAGTCATCCAGTCATGCATGTCATATGCATCCCGCCGCCTGACTCATCTTATGCACCCGCACACAGTCAGCAGTCCGCCGAGCCTTCGTGCCCGGGGCAGAGCATATGTATAAAAGCCGCCATCTGGGAGTAATGTGGTGCATCTTCCCATCGCGACTCATACACCTTCAACCAACCAAAGATAGTATACAGATACAGATACACAATGTCCAAAATCATCGTCGTATTCGGGGCCACCGGCCAGCAAGGCTCTGCTCTTATCAATGTTCGTACACATATCACTTTACCTGCTCCCATGCTCACCTCATACAGGCCCTCTCAGAGTACAACACTCCCACTCCTCATTATACCATACTCGCCCTTTCCCGATCACCTCTTGCGCCTTCTTCTGTAACCCTTGGCAGCCTGCCCGGAGTCAAAATCGTACCCGTCGCCAAAACTACATGGACGAGCCGGACAAGGTGTTCCTCGATAACGGTCTGGGTAAAGGTGGTGTCTGGGGAGTGTTCAGTGTCCAAGGCTATGTTAGTGAGGATGTAGAATGGAAACAAGGTAAGCCAAATATGCTTTGAATTGAGATGGAAAGCTGACAACGTGAGCAGCAAAAGCGATCGCGGACGCGTCCAAGGCCATTGAGGTCAAGCACTTTGTATACTCTGGCGTAAGCTTTGGGACTCTTGTCAACGACCCACCTCTGTAAGTATCCCATTAAACACCTTGCCTATCCGCCTGACACATAACATAGCGCATTCGCAGTCAAACGCAAGGTCGAGCAGTATATCGAATCCATCAACCTTCCCCACACATTCCTCCGCCCTACCCAGTTCATGGACAATCTTCTCCCGACCTCTCCCTTCCTGTTCAAAGTCTCCCGCACCATCCTTCTCCGAAGGACATTCTACAACCACCCTGAGCGCAAGCATCAGATGGTATCTTGCAGGGATATCGGGCAGATGGGAGCCTTGGCTTTTGCCAACCCGCACCAATCCCTGGGCAAGGCAGTCGATCTGGCGGGGGACGAGTTCACGATGGAGGAGCTGGAGAAGAGGTACGAAGGGATCATGGGGGCTCCGATCCAGTTGACGTTTGGCGTCCTGGCCGGTTTTGTGAGGTGGATGGTCGCGCCCTTAGGATCTATGGCAAACGTGAGCAGCCCCTAATAGTACGAGGATCTGCTTGTGCTGACACAAACATAGTTCTATGATGACTACGGGTACAGCATCAACATCCCCGAGCTCAGGAAGGACATGCCCGAATTGGAAGACCTCGACGCATTCTTGAAGCGCTATAAGGGAGCCATTGAAAGCAAGGAGTGAGGAGAGAGACTTGGAGTTGACGGTTGTTGCTATGCTGCTTGTTCCGATAGTGTATACTAATTTGTTGTTCCGATAGTATACCCGTACTGTTGTCTTGACTGGATATATAATTTGTACTACATGCAATTAGTCCGTACCTGATTCTTTGATGGCCCTCCTCTTCAGCTGTATGCGCTTTGGCAGAGCGGAAGGACCGACTTCTGACTTGTCCTCCATCCCTACGGCCTCTTTCGACTCTGCTTCTGGAGCTTCCGGCTCCATCTTGCCCGAACCCGTCATAAACTTTCGCCCCCTCTCCCATCTCTCCTTCCTGTTTTCTTGCACCCGTCCCTGGAAGATGATAACCAACACCCCATCGGCGATTCCCACGACCACCCCTGCCAGAACACCCAGAAGCACTCCTTTCTCTCGCGAGTATCCCGCCCCCGAGGTGGCAGCCACATAAACGGCTACGGCAGCGCCAAAGATGGAGAAGAGGATGTTGATGACGGTGGAAAGGGTGCGCGCAAGAGTCCGGTACTCTGTACCAAAAGAGGGAGGGGCGGGAGACAAGTATGATGGGAGGTAGGGGTTCGGCTGAGATGGTATGAGTAACGTGCAACAGAAAGCAGGATAAGCATACTTTATCAGGATCTTCAGCGGCTCGCAGCCTTTCGAGCTGTTTCGGAGTGAGATAGACCTCTGTGCCGCTGACGAGCGCAATGTGGGTATATGATAGAGGATCTGTAGACTGTCAGGTATGACTCACTTGTACAGTCCAAACCTACCTAATTCATTTTGTATGAGCTTTGAGCGCCCCTCATCACTTGTAGCCCAGGTGGAAAGCCTTTCAAGAAGATCAAGGTCTATTGTAGGTGGCGTGGGCGGTGGAGAAAAAGAAGTATCTTCGGATTGATCACCATCTTGATCAACGATCTTTTCTTCAACCACTGGCACGTCTTTGACCGCCAATACCTCCGTCGTCACCGTTTGCGATGCCGCTTCGACCAAAGGTTTGCGAAGATCCTCCGGCAGATCTTTGACTTTGAGCAAATTTTTGATAGTCTCCAGTAGCTGTGGGGGAAGGATGAGAATGGTCGACATGGCCAGGGCAGTGTACAAAAGTAAAGAACAAAAGAATAGCGACTTTCGCCAGATTCCACGCCAGCGGTCAGAGAAAGTGGAGGGCAGCTTACGTAAGAGCCTGAAAGACACAAACAACACCGACCGCGCGCGTGCTTTTCGTTTCACAACATTGACTTTCTCTTTCTTTTCTCATCCCTCAAGATTACTATATATTTTACGGCAGAGTAGAAAGCTTACCATGGCTTTCATCGGGTCTGGCGAGTTTGAGCACAAGATCGCTCATCTGCAGAGGCAGCTCAGCCACAAAGGTCAGTTTCAACGTTTCGCTCAAACAAACATCCAGAGGTCTGACGTATATTCATTAGACCATGAACTCAGATCGATCACAAATGAGCAACTGAAGAGAGAGGAGGAACTAGCGGAGGTTAGAAAGGCGAAGGAGACTGCAGAGGAGAAGCTGCGCGAGGAAGCGGACCGGGCACTGAAGGCTAAGAACGAGCTGGAGTCCAACAAGAAGGTGCGCTTGACCGGTTGGGTATAGTGAGCACTACGACTGACAAATCTTGCAGGAAATATTGCAGCTGAAACTACATCTGTCAAATCTGGAAACCAGTTTCAAGACAACCTCTGAGAAGTTGAAGAAGGAGGAGAAGGAGAGGGAGAAAGTGCAGGATGCTTTGGATGACGCCTTATCACGAGGGTCTGACGGCACGGCGGACCAGATCAGGAGTCAACAGTTGCGAATCAAGCAGCTGGAGGACGATGTTAAAAAGTCTGAGCAGGAAGCTGAGAGACTTCGAGCTCAGGGGTCGTCGGGGGGCTCTAACGGATCAGACGAGGTGAGCGTTCTTCCCTTATGTTGAGATGGTGTGTACTGATCCGATGACATAGCCATTGAACAACCGAGAACGATTCCGACTCATGTCATTGCAGAATGAGAATGCCGAGCTCAAAGTGCGTCTCCCCTTTGATTGTTGAAAGAAGCGCCGCTCACGTTCCGTCCAGACCCAGCTTGAGAACATGTCATCGGCCATCCCTTCGACGTCGCAATCCTCAACACCATCTTTCCCTGTCAAGCAAAAGTCTCGTCGCTCTCTCTCCGTGTCCGCATGCGACATGCGTGACCTGGAGGGCCAGGTTGAGACTCTCACAACACAACTAGCCAATACCAAGCGCGATCATAACAAAGCAGTCAATGAGAAGCTCGCATTAGAGCACGCTACCAAGAACAAAGTCGCGAGCCTCGAGGAGGATCTGGAGGAAGCTCGAGGAGAACTCGAATTCTACCATGCTTCTGATGGGGGCATCGATGCCAAACAGGTGGAGGAGCTCAAGAAGGCTGCCCAACAAGTTCGTGAGGAGAAGGAGGACCTGGCAAGGAAGCTATCGTTGAAGGAGGAGGAGGTCAAGAGACAGCTTGGAGAAATCACGCGACTAGAGGGCGAAGCGCATCTGCTCGAGTCTCTCAGGGCTGAGCTGGACGACGAGCGACAGGCTAGACAAGAGCTTGAAGCCGCCAATACCGATCAAGCCGGGTCCGAAACCAACTTCTCTCTCGAAAAGATCAGTGCTCTTGAGGCAGAGCTGGCCAAGGTCAAAGCTGCCACCAACACAACTTCTCGTTCTGGCGATTCCGAACTCCGCCAGGTCCGACGTGATCTTCAAAAGGCCCTTCGTGACAGAGACTATCTGGACTCACTTGTCAAGGAGAATGACGAGCTGCTGGCGGAGAAGGACGAGGAGATCTCGAGGATGCGGGCTGCTATCCTCATTCCGGGGTCTCCAGTTCTCGGGGCACAGGGTGATTCGAGCAGAGTAGCGGACTTAGAGGAGGAGAAGGCTGGCTTGTTGATTGACCTGGAAAAGCAGGTCGAAGATCACGCACATGAAATCGCAGCCATCGAAACAAAGCTTTCTGCCACGATGAGCGAACTTGACCATGTCAAGGCCGCAGAGACCGAGGCACGACAAAAGTTTGAAGAGGGGCAGACCAAGATACATGTACGTCATGTGACCTTTCTCATTAGAGATGCTGACACGCCCGCAGGAGCTCCAGGATGGCCACCAGGAGGTGTCAATGGCTCTTGAGCAAGCTCGTGCTCACCTTGCCTCCAGGGAGACCGAGGCAAAGCAGCTCACTCAACAGCTGACCGAGACTCATTCCGCTTTGGGCGAGAAACAAGCGGCTCTCGCATCCGCCGAGCAAGAGGCCCAAGACATTCTCGATCGCCTCTCAAAAGCCCAAGCCGCACTTGCTGAAAAGCAGAAAGATTTCGATCAAGCTCAACGGCAGCGTGATGATCTTCAGACTGTCCTGGACTCACGGTCTTATGACGACGCCGAGTATGAAGCTCTGAGAGTCAGCTTCAAACAAGCACAAGATGCCCTCGAAGAGGTTACTCATGGTCTAGAGACAGCGGATTCTGAAAACAAGGAGCTCAATGATCGAGTAGCCGAATCGCAAGAAGCTCAAGAAGCTGCAGAGGCACGCGCCCAAAAGATGGAACAGGAGCTTGTGGCTTGTAGACACAATGTTGAGTAAGTAGCTCGTTCTTATTTTTCAGGCTCGCCATAAGCTGACATGTGTTTTTAGGTCCCTCGAAATAAAGCTCGTGGAACTCAACGACGAGATTGCATCTATCAAGAACCAGCCTCAAGAGACTGTCGCTCAATTGGAAAGCTCAAAAGCTGATTCCCACCAGACTGTCTCTGAGCTCGGACAAGCCAGCAGGAAGAACCACGAGCTCGAAATCCGCATCTCGGAGCTTGATGCCAAGCTGCGAGAAATCTCCCAGGGGGCGACTCTGTCTACTGCCAAGGTCGACGAGAGCAACATCAGACATGAGGCGTCTCTCGCGGCTGCTGAAGCTCGGGCTATTGAGCTCGATCATCCAGTCAAAGAACTCCAGTCTTCACTCCGAACTGATTCAGAAACTTCGCCCCAGAATTCTGTCAACCTTGCCCACACGAAGGAGATCGAGGAGAAACTTGGCCGCCTCCGTGCTGAGCGCGACGATCTTCGCCACAATCTCTCGTTTGTGAAGAACGAGAGCCACTTTGCTGTGCGAGCTGCAAACTCTGAGAGAGATGAAGTTCTGGAGGAAGTCCAACGACTCAAGGACGATCTCCGAAGAAGCCAGGTGACGTGCGAAAAGTTGGAAAAGGAGATTGGCGAGCTTCGTATCGCGGCACAAGACAAGCAGACTGAGCTCGATGGAGCTTCATCGACCTTCGCAAATGACAAGAAACATCTTGACGAACATATTGTCAACTTGAAGAACAGTCTCGCTGCTGCACAAGCAGACGCCGCAGCCCTCAACTCCAGAGTTGCCGAGCTCGAGTCAAATCTTCAGACGCGCGAAGACGTCCTCAAACACACCGAAGCCAAAGCCGAGTCCTTGCAAACGGAGCTCACCAACGTTCTGCACCATGTTGCGCAAAGCAGGAAGCTCAGCGATCGTCCGGAATCCCGTGCTTCTTCGACAGTCGCAAGCGAGGATGGAGACTTGCCTGGAGATCTGGCGAGCGCTGTCCCAACTGAGAGTCGAAGGTTATCCCATCAACGTTCTAGGTCTGGGGTCCTGCCAAATGTGCTTACGGAGAGGACCCTGCAGGACAAGATTGAGCGAAGAGATGGTAAGTCGATCTCACATCGCGAAATCACCAGCTGACGAAGATGTTAGTGAGGATTACCAAGCTCACCAATGATCTCCAAAAGGCTAAATCCAACCTCGCCCTTCTCGAGTCAGCCCAGGAAGAGACCATCGCAGAGAATGCAGAGCTCGAAGAGGAGTGTGGTGCACTTCATAAACAGCTGGATACCGAAGCACAAAGCTCAGCTGAAGACGCCCGAGGTCTTGTCTTGGCGCTTGCCACCTACCGACAGCAGCTCCATGGTGCTGAACTTCGTTGGTCTGTCGCCCAAGACGTCTTGGCTAAAGCACGGGAAGCAGCCCAGGTCCTGCGATCTACCGCCGCCGCGGACCGAAAGGCTTCATCTGAACAAGAGGCGCGAATCATGGCGCTGGAAGCCACCCATGCAGTCACAAGCACTGCTTTGGCGACCGCCAAATCAGAACAAGAGTCTGCTCGAGCAGAGCTTGAAAGTTCCAGAGAGGCGAACAAACATCTCCAAACCCGCATCGCGGAAAGTGAGCAAGCTGGTGTTGTTGCTACCGACAGTGCCGATAGACTGGCCAATTTGGAATCTCGTCTTCTTGAGAAGGAAGAACGTCTGCGCGACCTCTCCACCCGAAACGACGACCTCACTGCCAAGCTTGAACACATGCTCAAGACCGAGAAGGAGGCTCTCTCGCGGGCTGCTGGTAAGGAAGAGGAGATCAGCGCTCTTACTGTGAGAATTGAGGAACTGAGTCTGGGCGTTGCCGACGCCCAATCAGCGGCAGCCTCCATCGAATCAGAGAAAGACCGTCTGCTTGAAGAGCTGGCTGAGGCTGAGATGGCTTCCAGCGAAAGCTTGGCGAATATCGAAACCCAGAAGTCTATTGCTCAAGATAAAGCCAGCAAAGCCGAGGAAGAGCTTGCCAAGGTCAATCAACAACTTGATCAGAGAAACAGAGAACTCGCGCTGGCTATCGCCAACTCCGAGACACTTTCTGCTGAACTTCAGGCGGAAAAGTCTCGTTCCGCTGAAATCACCGTCAACATCGATCAACAGCAAAGCACAGTCGACCAGCTCCGAGCCAGAATCTCTTCCGCTTCAGAGGCCTTCAAGATTGTCGAAGCGGAGCGAGACGCTCTTCGCACCCAAAGGGGCGAGCTTCAAGCCCAAGTGTCAGAAGACGAAGGGACTGCACAAGCTGCCGCCCGTGCTGAAGAACGGCTCGCGGTGGAGGCCGAGAGTGCCCGAAGGAACATCAAGGAGCTGACTGAGCTTCTCGAGAAGGCTGTGGCAGAAAAGGAGGAGTTGTCCCAGCAATCAAAAAGTGTGGATCAGATCAGAGAGGCAGCCCAAAAAGAGTTGGCCGAGAGTCGCAGCGAAATTACCAGATTGTAGGTGCCATTGAATTGTGTCAGGGAGCCAGCTGATACTCTACTTCAGGTCAGCCGAGCGTCATGTCAGCGAAGACAAACTCGACAATGTCAGGGGCCGTTTGGACGAAGCGTTGCAAAGAACAAAGGCATTGGAAGCTAGTATAGCATCTCTGAAAGATGAGAATGAGAAGCTCAAGGGCGATCTCGCTCAGGCGATGACTGTATCTTCGACCCCAGTTGTTGATGAACAGCTTGTCATCGAATTGAGAGAGCGAATAGACGGTGAGTATCCCATGCCTGCCTTGTGCTTTGATACTGACCTTCAACCGATTTGGAGGCTGCTCTTACTCAAAAGAACAAGGAGGTCGACGAAGCCGACGATCAGACTCGAGAAGCTTTCAAGGCCAAGGCCAAACTTGAGAGGAAAATTGGCAAACTCACTCGACAACTCGAGCAGGCCCAGACGGATGTCAACACGGCCATGAACAAGCTCTTGAGTAGCAAACCAATCGCTCCCTCTCCTGCCAAGCGAGCATCTGGCCCTGTCCCCGTACCTTCCCGTACATCCATGCCCCCCGCGCCTACTACAGCTCAAGCAGCACCTGCCCCCGTCTCTCGAACACCCAGAGCGATCCCTCCTAATATCTTTTCGCCCCTCACTGCACCTGGCTCTGGTCACAAGCGGTCTCGAGAGAACGACGATGCGGAGGCGATGAGGCCCGTAGAGGCCATCATGCTCCCGGCCTCTTCAAACATCATCTCCCCTCGCAAAGCCCTGGGCTCTAAATCGAGCTTTACACCTCAGCGAGGCGGAGCTTTTGCTCCACTAAGTACCAGATTGGGGGTGAACGGGAACGTGACGGCCGAGAAACCGGTGATTGGGGAGATGAAGAAGTCAGTGGACATGGGGAGAAACATCTTTGCAAAGCCTTCGCCCATGACGACCGAGCCTGCCAAGCGGTCAGCTTTCCCTCTGCCCCCTTCTCGAACACCGTTTGGTACGACGGGTCGCCACGCCTCATGATATGTCTTCCCTGTAGCTGTAATCATTAGATACCCACGGACAAGGCTCGTTATTTGTACTTGTAAATAGAACCAGACGATAATAATGCAAGATTTTACACTCTACAACATCTATTCCGTTGTTTTAACGCTTTTTGCTTCCACTCGACTGCACTGACTGCTTGTTTCCGACACTCAGAACCATATGCGCCTCGCCAGTCGCCTGCTGCCTTCGGTTGAAGGCATTAGTCATCCCCAATGGAGTGTCTGACGAGTTCATAGAGAGTTGCTTGCGCTCCTCTTCAATCTTCTTGAGTCGTTTCTCAGTCTTCATACGACCAGACGTCTTGCCGTGAAATTTGTGAGAGAGGCTCTTCCAAGCCTCTTTCGGTGTCATCTCTGCATTGTCTGTTAGTGACGAAGATGTGGCAAATGAATGAATCAACTCACGTCTTCCAAACTCATCGTGGTAGTTGATCTGGACATCTGGCTTGTAGTTCCTGTAGATCTCAAGAGCCTCCTTTGCCTCCTGCTGCTCCCTCATCCTATTCTCCCATTCTCTCTGCGCTTGATCCTTGTCGCCTCCTCTCGACCTGATCTTTTCCAGCTCTCGCTGAGCCATTCTTCGCCTGTAATCGGCGAGCCAGAGGTCCTTTTGCTTCTGAACCTTTTCGCGCTCTTCATCCTCAGCCGTTCGTGACTTCAAAGCGCCCTGATGCTTGAGCAATGCGAGGACGCCGGCCATACCTTGTCCCACAGTTGGCTCGGGCTCATTCTCCTTGTCCTTTTCGGCCTGAGCTGCTTGAAGAGCAGCCATTTCCACCATCTGGTTATCGATTTTCTGGCGATATTCTTCCAGCGACAGACCTTCTCGCGCAGCCATCTCGGCAAGCTCTTGGTCTTCTTCGGTCATCTCCTCATCCTCATCTAGCTCCCCCTCTTCTGGTCGCTCAATCTTGACGGTGACTCGCTCCTGAGTTGCGGCGGCAGTATCGGCAGGGCCTGCAGGCGCAGGAGTTGAAGAAGGCGCGGGAGAAAGACGTTCACGCTTGACGGGGAGAGCACGAGAGTCGAGTGAGACGTTGCGAACAAATTCAGAAGTATCGTCCAAGGTGATGAGGCCGGATTCAGCTTCTGCGTCTTGCTCGAGTTTTGGCTTCCTGTCTTCCTCTTCTCTCTGTTGCGCAACTATCATTCGATTAGCTTTGCCTTTGGGAGGAATAGGGATTGACGTACTTTGTGCAGCAATATCCTCCGGTTTGGCTCTCGGCTTCTTCTTTGCATTCGCACGTCTTGTCCTCGCCAAGGCCGCTTGGAGGTCGTCGTCGTCGACCAGATTTTCCGGTCCGTCTTCCACAACCCGCCTTGTGAACGTGGGCTCTCCATCGACTGCCATTTCATCCTCGTCGTCTTGCGCACGTCTGGTGGAGCGTTTGGCCTTCTTCTTCTTGGGCTTCTTGAAGCCAGCATCGCCCTCTTTGGCATAGTCGGATACCTCAAACTCCTCTGCTCTTCCCATTAGCGTTTTCTTGATGTATGCACAGGAATCAGACGTACTGGCATAGTCGAGGTTCAGCTTGACCTTCTGCGCTGGTGCAGACCCCATCTCCACGTCTTCATCTGCCTTGACCTTTTTCTCTACCACCGCGCCTCCCAACCTGAATCCCTCACTCTTCAAGCCGCCGCCCTTTCCAAGATCCGCATAGGCCTCGTCGTACTTTGCCAGCACGCTTCCTCGCTCGCCTATACGACCCTCGTCCTCAAACTCTTCATCATCGTATCCAGTATAGGCAGCTTGGGCTTTACGCTTTCTCTCCCGCGCCGCCTTGATCTTTGCGTCCTCTGCAAGATTCACATTCTGCAACTCGTCTTCCTCCCCTCCAAGGATACCGCTATCTTTCAAGGTCAGGATCACATCCTCTCCCTCCTCAAACTCTTCCGCCTCGTGCCCCACTTTCAGACCCTTCAAGTCTTCCTCCCCATACCCTTCTTCAGCGATCCTATCCGCTTCAGCCTGGTCAAGCTCCCGCTGTTTGGCAAGCTGCTGTTGACGTTGCTTTTCGCGTTTCTTTTGTTTCTTGATCCAGTCTTTGGCGGAGAGAGAGTCGTCGGTGGAGGGTTGAGAAAGAGTAGAGCCTTTCAACTTTGCGTTGTACGCAGCCTTGTTACGGGCCCTGTACACGTTGTCAGCTTGCCTTCTCACAGCACGAGATGGTATATGAGATACACACTTTTCAATTCTTTCCCTCGTCTCCTTTTCCTTCTTCTCCCTGGCCATATCCTCCCTCCTCTGAGCATAATTGGCTTCAGCGATAGCATCCCTATCCTCCGGGACCTCTGCTCCTTCCCCTTCGCCGCCCTCGGGTGCTACACCGATGAGGGAGAGACCGAGGGCGGCTCTGTGTTTATTGGTCTCTTCGAGAGAGATGGATTCTGTTTTGGATCCCATGTTTGGGTTTGGCTGAAAGAAGTAGGAAGAGGGAATGCGAGTTGAGTGGCAAGTCTGAAGACGAGTGGAACGGAATCAAATCGCGCCGTCCTCCTGTCTAGCTCTGCGACTTCTGATTCTTTGTTCACCAGCACTTTATAAACGCATTCCCCTTGAATCTCTTGTGCCAACTGCACCACAAATTAAAAGAACCAAACCAACATGCCCCCCAAGAGCGGAAAAGCCGAACTCCGAGCATGCCTTGTATGCTCCATCTTGCAATCTACCAACGACTTTCTTACCCAAGGGTGTCCCAATTGTGAAGATATCCTCGAGGTACGCTCCTTCCCATCCCCGACACACATAGCCGCTCGGTTCACATGGCTCTCAAGCAGATGATGTGATAGCGCTGACATTGGGCTATCAGATGAGAGGATCATCAGACCGTGTGGCAGAATGCACAAGTCTGTTGTACGACGGAATGATTGCGATGATTGAACCGACCGAGAGCTGGGTTGCTAGATGGCAACGTATAGGTACGTCTCTTTTCTTCTCTTCACGAAGGTTTTGCGAAACTAGAAGCTGATACGTTTCAATAGATAAACGGATGCGAGGTATTTACGCCGTACGCGTGACGGGTCGGGCACCACCAGATGTTATTGAAGCTATCGAGTCTAGAGGAGGTATTTACAGGCCGAGAGATGCCGTGGAAGATTAACTCTTTGAAGAGCGAGGGTATAAATGTAGTGGCATAGGGGCTTTACCATTATTCGACCGGCGGCTGTTTGGGTTTACTTGTATGTAACTTCTTTGCATAGACAAACCGCCTCCCTATACAGTTATTCCGAATACACCTAAGTGTACATCCCCACACCCTCCCCCGCAACATGCCCATGTCTAGCTCCCCTCACCCGTCCCATCCCCGGTGCAGAGTATGGCTCATCATCATCCTCTGTCCACTGGCTCCTCCTACCCTTGAGGAGGGATGCAATAAACGGGGAGGAGGAAGAGAGAGGGGTGGAGAGGTAGGAGATTGCGAGGCGGGAGAAGGGGAGGGGGAGGAGGATGGTTGTTGTGGATTGGAGGGATGTTGTAGGCAGGGCAGACTTTGAGACACGTATCAGCAACCCGTTGTCAGGCATGTTGAGATTGGGGATTGGGAACATACAAGGGTCAAAAAGGCTCCGGCAAGCCCGGAAATATAGTTCGGAGGGTCATACCTCTCTGCGCCTTGTACCTCGGTCTTTTGGGACGACGATGAGGACGAGATGAACCGCACAGGCGGGTCCAGGTGAGAGGATTTGGCCTTGGCGATGTACATGGCGGGAACGTACGACGATAACGTCGTCCTATGATACAGCAGTCAGCTATAGGAGCAAGTCAGATACGATGCAAAAGCATACCATTGCGGTGATTGGATGTCTTGCACGAGCTTGTTCGCAATGGCCCATACATTTTCATGTGAGAGATCGCCATCGTCCACCAAAACGACCAACTCGTTCTCAAAAGCTCGAATGACCCCGACCTTGTCATCACCAATCTTGATGACACCTTCTGACCCAGTTGGACCGGGGAGATGCTTCAATAAGAACCTTCCAGCTTGTCCTATAGCGACCACCGCCCCCTCCACTGTTCCACCAGTGGGGAGAGTAACAGTTACAGGTGGTTGATCCGGTTGGATCTTGGGTCGAGAAGCGGGGGCAGACCCGGGGTAAGCTCCTTGTCCTTCTTCGTCGGAAGAGTCGGATTCGAGGAGGTACCGAGGGGGAGGTGCGGATAGGGCGGAGAGAGGGTCGTTCATCTCGACTGATTGTGTGTTGAAGTAGGTCTTGAGATTTTTGAGATGTACTAGGAGGGGGCAAGTTGAGGAGGAGCGATCACGTTTAGCAAGAACGACGTTGACTTCAGCTTGACTTCTGCTTCGTTCTAAGACGCGTGCGCGGCGAGCCTCCACTTTCAGACACTTTCAGACTTCTGTAATCGACCTTGGCATTTCTGCTTCCAACTCGTAGAATCGTGGACTGAGGGTACATAAATATCGTATTATGGCAGTGTGTAGAAGCCATGGGCACAGTATGTGCTCCACTTCGCTCTCAGATCACCATTGACTTAGCTGACTTGAAGTTATGTACTCCATGTATCTATCCAGAACGCAATGATGACTAACAGCACCCGAAATGTTGAGGCATGGTGGCATCGGCAATGGAGATATCGTAAAGTTACATATGGCAGAACGAATACAGCGGTACTCTGGTTTAAGGCCGCGTGTGATGCCCGACTGGCAACACTCTCTCACAACCGTCATACAACCCTCATGACTTTGAAGAATTGACCGGACACTACCTATATCGATTTTGTAAGCACGGTCTTCTCTTCAACAGATCCCAGTAAAGAGGGGAGAAGACACCATCTCATGATGATCGTTCAGAATTTTCAGTGTATTGTGAATAAGCCTCTTAGCTCGACCATATTTCAGATGGGCTCGACAGGGTTATAGTTGATCATCGTGACGAATAAAAGGTGCTCCCTCCTCTCTTCCCAGCAGAGAAATGACTTACGATGGAATGCTGCGTGAAGGAGAAAGAAGAGAACGGCAAAGTTTCGCTGGCTGGAGCAGGACGTGACTTGCGTGTGTCCCCCCATATAAGAGGACGGCTTGGACGCGTCGACCACCCGTTCTGTTGTTCTCTGCAACCCTCATCCATCTCCTCTTCCCGCCCTCCCTGCAACAGGGGATCCCTCCAGTGACCCCCCGACTCCCCCTCCCGGCCCGCCCCCGGTGCATCCACGAGAATCACCTCCCAGCGATACCCCCGGCCAGCGTACGGCGCTCCCCGGCCCAACGCACACCCCCCCACTCTTCTTGTGTTTGTCCTTATTCCGGCCTGTTTTCTTCTATCTCCGACACTCCCACACAACCTGCCCAAAAACGAAATCGCGCAATCGCCTCTGTCCCAGACACCCCCCCTCCTCCTCTCCTCCCCTCCCAACGCGCCCCGCCGGCAGCGCCAGCAATACCTGCCGTCAACGTCCTTTCGACAGCCCCGCAACATCTTGCGCGTGACGCGAGAACAAGCTGAAGAGGTCTAGAACGCGGCTGAAGTAAGCTGTCGCGTGGCATCCCCCCTTCTTGTCAACACCCCACGGGTATACTAAGGGTATACGTACTCTTTCCTCTAGCGCGACGCGTATCCACTACGTCGACTGGGCACCATGGCCACCCTCGCCCAGCCCAATACCGCCCCGCTCAATACCACCAGGAAATCGCCCAACCTCACATCCTCCTCCACCCAACAGGTCCTCTCTCCCAGAGTTCCTTCCCCTTCCAATGTCCCGACCTCTGTCTCAGAGTCGAACGGGCTCGGTCTTGGGCTAGGGCATGACCATGACCATGACCATGGGCACCCCCACGGCCACGCACATGCCCAGTCTTTCTCTCCGTCAGCAGAGGAAGACCAGCTGGTCAACACGGATGGAAAGGTGTTGCCGGGGCAGTTCAAGGATCAGAAATGTGGGGGCTGCGGAGAGATCATTGACCCTACGCATATGGGCGTGGTGGTTGCTTTTGGGACGACACTATGGCACGTCGACTGCTTTAGATGCGCTAAATGCAAGGAGAAGGTGTCGGCGGACACCAACCTCTTGCTGCTGTCCGACGGCAGTCCCGTTTGTGGCAACTGCTCGTACCAAGTGAGTTGAGGCAGATCTTCTCTGGACAAAAGCTTACAGTGTATTAGTGCTTTGTCTGCAAAGAGGCAATCACAGAAGAAGCCATCATGACGGGCGACGAGTCTTACCACGCGCATTGCTTCACGTGTCGGACGTGTAAAAGGCGCATTGAAGAGCTTGTCTTTGCCAAGACTAGCCAAGGGATATATTGCATGGTGCGTGCTTCTCTTCCGTCTGGACTACCCACTGACTTCAGATAAAGTCTTGCCACAATGAGAGAGTAGCAAAGTCTCGGCGTCACGCTGAAGCAAAACGCCAAAGACAAGCCCGGCGCGAAGAAAAAGAACGTGAAAAAAGGGAACGCGAAGAAGCAAAGATGGAAGAGGAGACTGCCAACAGGCAGACATCTTTGTCCACTCCTCTACCGAATCAAGGCGCCAGCGCACCAGCATCGACGCCTTCACCTAGACCCTGGTCACCATATGCCCACGGGCCGGGCGAGCACGACGACGCTGAAAGAGATCAGGGCAGGCGAGATCTGGCTGTAGGAGACAGAGGTCTGGCGAGGGCGGGGTCTCCCGCGGGTAAACAGTTGGCTGAAGCTTCTGCCATGCCTCTGCCCGCGTCCCCATCAGAAAGCGAAGGTACCCGTCCACTCCGCCCGCCCGAAGCGTCTTCACCCCAACCGCAGTACCAGCAGCGTCCCGGCCAACCGCTCCCGTCTCCTCAAGGGCAGAGCCAACAGCAGCCAACTCTTGGGGCGGGGTTGGGCGTGCCGTCCACCAGTAGAGCCGAGAAAAGACGTTCGATCAATCCAGGCATGACCTATGGGATGGACGCGCCCAATTCAACGTTCATGGAGCAGCGTCTCCCGCCATCGCCTCTGCGTGCTTCCTTTACAGACGCCAAGGCAAATCCGAACGCAAACATCAACGCCGGCGACAATGGTGAAAGACCGATTAGGTCGCCAACGTCGCCATCACCGTTCATAGGTGGCCAGTCGCTACCGTTGAGAGATGGTCCGGGGTCGGGTGGAAGCGGGAGCGGAAGTGGTACCGGGGGAGGTAGCCAGCTGCAACAAGCTCAGGCGCAGGCGACTGAGCATCTACGCAACCGTTCCGGTACTCCCGAGCAACAGCAGCAGCAGCAGGTCCAACCGCCATCTCAGGCCCCGCCGAGAACAACCTCTTTGCCGGATCACCTTGCTCAAGCTCAACAGACGCGGTCGAGGCCTGGCACAAGGACAGAGGAGGATGGTGCTCAGGAGGCGGCTTTGCAAAGTCAAGAGCCGGGACAAGGGCAAGGGCAGGAGAAGAAGACGCCCAAACTCAACGCACCTGACCTGCCGCCGATATCATTCTCGCTATCCGACCCCGACTTTGCGCTGATCTTGAAAAACATGGATCAATCACCCAACAAGGCTGCTCGATCCGAGTTTGAGAACGGCCAGGATGAAGAAGAGGGATCAGCGTCCCAGTCGTTGGCGAGAAGCCCAAGTCTGGACATGCTCTCTGCTATCAACTCTGACCCCCAGGCTCAGTCTCATCCATCTCGACCTCATCTAACACCGCACTCTTCCGACCCTTACTCGCAGGTCAGGCGCCAGGCTTCTGCGGACAGCACATTCTCCGTCCGTTCCCGCCTTGGCTCCAATACTGGCGCGCCGAGCGATCTCCATCAACTGGTGGAGCTGCTAGCAGAAGCCAAATTCAGAGAAAAAGATAATGTCAATGTGGATGTGGGCGTGTTGACCGGTGTGATCAGGGAGGTGGAAGAGATGAGGGAAGCGATGATGGGGCTGAAAAACAAGTATACTGGAGCCAAGCGCTCGAGTCAGCAATACTCTGAAGGCCTTTCTGTCGCCGGCGAAGAATACGACAAGGAACGCACCCGCCGTACCGAGCTTGAAACCGAAGTTTCCCGTCTGCGCGCCCAGCTTCATTCTCAGACTGCGCGTATGAGTGTGATTTCGGGCGACGAAAAGAGGGCAGAGAACATGAAGAGGAGAAGCAAGGATCTGGCGAGTAGCTTGACCGGGTTGGAGAGGGATATATCGAGATTGAGGGTTGAAAGGGATGTGAGATTGGCAGAAGTCGACGAGTTGGCTGAACGGGTCGGGTGAGTTGGAGAGCTACGCCTACAGAGTGGTACACTGATTGCCAAGCAGATCGTCAAATGTTGAACCAAACAAGATATCACAATCAATCTCCACCCGCCTCGACACAATCCGCTCACAGTACGCGCAAGAACTCGAGTCTCTCTCCTCTCAGGTCGAGTCGCTCCAACGCGAAATCACCGAGCTTCGTCAGATAAAGGAGGCCAGTCTCGAAGAGTCTGCAGCTCTGGCAGCGAAGAACGAGGATCTATCCGAGTTGTGCTCGCAATTGACAAGACAGACGGAGAGCCTGCAGGACAGCTTGTCGAGAGCGCGGCCACCGACGATCTTTGGCAACGGAAGCGTGTTTGGAGGCAAGGGGAGCAAAGGGCACCACCATTTGCAGAATTCTCCCAGTCTGGCTTCGTTGACAGGCCAAGGGCTGCAGGACGTGCCGGAAGAAACGGTGACGGCAAGAGTGGTAAAGGTGACCAAACCGGAAACCGCCGAAGCAGCCCCCGTCAAGCGCTTCAAATGGTACAAGTCTTCAAAAGGACCGGAGGCTTCGTCATCCCCTGCCAACATATCAAAACCAATTGGTCTCGATAAAGAGGCTGCCCTCACTCAAACGTCCTCGACAGAGAAGGAGAAGGGTAACAAGACTCGGGGTGGTATGTCGTTGGGTGTTGCGGGGCTGGCGATGGGTGGACTGGCCGGAGGTCTATCCGCGAGACCGAGCACCGAGTTTGGAATGCGGGACCATACCTTCCAGCAACATACAATGATGCGTTTCACGAGGTGTGAGCTTTGTGGGGAAAAGATGTGGGGGTTGCAAGAGGTGAAATGTAATTGTGAGTATCGACTTGAAGACGATGTCGCTACCAGCTGCTGATGCCGAATCAGCTTGTGGGATTGTGTGCCATAGCAAGTGCGCGGAAAAGTTGCCGAGAGGGTGTACGGGAAGTAAGGTTTTGAAGGAAGAGCCCGAGGGGCCTTTACGTGAGTACTTGTCACCGCATCCAGTGAAACCCCACTAATGATACACAGTTCCATCAATGTTTGGCCGCCCTCTCACCGAACAGGTCCAAGCCGACCAACAGATGATTCCCACGATTGTCACCAAATGTATCGCCGCCGTCGAAAAAGTCGGTATGGAGTACGAAGGCATCTACCGAAAGACCGGTGGCTCCTCTCAGTCAAAACAAATCACTCAACTGTTTGAAAGAGGCGACTACGAGTCGTTTGATTTGACCGACGTGGATACGTTCAATGATATATCGAGTGTCACCTCGGTGTTGAAGACGTATTTCAGGTCATTGCCAAACCCGCTCTTCACTCACGAGCTGCATGAGAGTTTTGTGACTGCTGCTAGTGAGTCGATACTCTATAATCGCATCACTGGAGCTAACACGTCTTTTAGCTATCCGCGACACGAGCAACAAACGCCAAGGATTCCTCGCACTCCTGCAAGAGCTCCCTACAGAACACTATAATACTCTCAAAGTGTTGATGCTCCATCTCAACCGGGTCACGGCGCACAGTGCCGAGAACTTGATGACGTCGCAAAATCTGGGAGTGGTCTTTGGTCGTGAGTTTCTCCTTGTGTGCTGATGAGCTGGTGCTGATCATTGCCGTAGCTACCTTGATGCGCTCATCGGATCCCAGCAGAGAGTTTGGGGATATGGCGGGCAAGGCTCTGAGTGTTCAGTGGCTGGTAGACAATGCCCTCTCGGTGTTTGGACAAGACCGCGAGTAGGGGGGCAGCTCACGAGCCGAGATCGTGCTTTGTACCATATACCCTGTGGACATGGTGGACATTCGTCTCGGCGATCTTTCTATCTTTTCTTTCTTTGTGTACTTCTCCTATCTTTGTTCTACCATTTTCCTCATTTTCTCTTTTTACACATGTCTTATGAAGGGGTTTCTTTATGCAGGTTTTCCCAAGAGGTAATATGTTTTTTGGGGCGTTTCTCTTCTCTTTTCTTTCTAGGACAATGCAAGAGCATTCTATGACTGAGGATAGTGTACATGAGACTGTTACAAGACAAGGCTACGACTACTCGGAATCACGGGCAGTATCGTGATGTGATTCAAAAGACTTAGACCGCGTAGCTTGTCTGGTCATGAGAAGGCACATAGATCGAAGGCTTACTTCCCTGCTCAGCTCTTACCCCCAAGCTGGCCCCATCCTTCTCATCCAACACAGCCTGCTGTGCATCTTGTATATTGAGAGACTCCCACGTAGGCGGCTCCTCCTCACTAGGCGGCAACGCCGACAGAGGCGCCTGGCCTTCCCTGTGGAAATCACTCTGATCTTTGAGGGTCCACTCGGGGCGGCTCTTGAACTTGCCCCAAGTGACTCTGGCGATGAAGGCCGAGAGGCAGCAGAGGAAGGCGACGAGCTGCATGAAGATGGCGGGGCCAGGTGTGGGGTGGGCCTGAGATCCGTCGGGGAGGGAGAGGTCGGAGAGGCGGACTAGGAAAGAGAGGTCCAGCGCCCACTGTGCGAGTGCTATTAGCCCTGAGATACTTTTAGGCAGGAGGCGGCTTACAGCAGTCAGGATCAAGATACCGGACCAGCCTGTGGCAGCAAAAGACCAGCGAGTCCAGTCATAAGCGTTCTGCTGTTTCTTGTGCCACTGGCCCGAGGCGGCGAGGGTCCAGGTGAGGGTCATCCATACAGAGGCCGTAGCTGCAACCACACCCATCAGTATTGCAATGAACGTAAGGCCGGAGAGACCTACCAAAGATATGCATGAGACCATTAGCGATCAGAAAAGAAGCAGGGATGGCATCATTGATCTCTTGGAATGATGCCAGAGATTCAGGAAGCCTGCCTGTGATTGAAGAGAATGGAGCCCTGAACTTTCGGTCGGAAGAGCAGAGATCGCTGCCACCCATGTCAGCTCTTCACAGTCATATAGCGCGAGAGGGGGCCTACCTGACCCCGGGCACACCGGAAGCACACCATCCCCAGACTCCCCAGCTCACCTTTCCAACGTCGCTACTCCCAACCTTACCAATATGCAGCCCATCGACAATCGGTGTCGATAGAGTCGACATCAAGACCAGGAAAAAAGCGGTAAAGAGAGGGAAGAAGAGGAGGGTAGCTTGATTACCATCCCAGGGACGGTGGGGAGGGGAGGTGTCGATAGTGACGATGGGTCCTAGAGTCTTGCGCATGGTATCAGGAGTGGCTCTGTTCGCCGAGCGGTGCTCAGTGGGATCTGTATTCGAAGGTGATGTTGGCCAGCAAACTAGGGTGATCAAAGTTGCCATGCAAAGGAGCGAGACTTTGAATGAAAGTTTGTCAGTACCAGACTTGATTTGGGATCGGCTTGGGGGCGAGTTGCAGAAGGGGAGCTTGGTTATGTAGATGGTTTGAGTGGTCGATGGTCAACCATTGGTGGATCCTTTGTGACTACTGAAACGTCGATCAACCTTTGTGCGGACTCCTGTAGATGGGCGTTGGTGTGGAGCGTCAAGACCCAGGCTCCAAGCGGGGGATAAGGGAGCTGGGCATGAAGGGAGGTGCTGCAGATCGTGAGAACTGCAAGGAATGAATTCATCACCATCGGCATTGGCTCCGTAAGCCAAAAGTCCCATTGTATCAATGATGCGTTTGAGAAGCTTCCGATGCATGCATCATATTTCTATTGAAGAGACTTGACGAAAGCCTGAATACTAGGTCAGTATGCGGCGAATGGAATAACCGGAGGAGAACTTGCCTGCTCAAGCTTCGACACCTCCGTCTTGAACGCCTCGACCTCCTTCCAGCAATCCAGGGGCTTGTTGGGGTTGGTCCTGATGCGACATTAGCCATAAATCAAGTCGAATAAAACACGACCTACAGGTAGCACTTTTCCAAACTCTCCCTCGCACTCTTGACCGCCGCTCCCTCCTTGGTCTTTCTCTCCCTGATCCTCTCGACCTTTTCCCTGATTTCTTCAATATCCTTGCCCAAGACTTCCGAGCTCATCCCTGGCTTCTCCTTGTCCAAGTTCTCCTTCTCCAACGCGGCCGAGATGGACTTGAGGATCTCGGCTTCCTGCGATCGGAGGTGGGCAGACTCGGCAGCAAGTCGGCGGCGGACGACTTCATCAGTGTTGGCGTGGGGGTTTGTGGGCTCGTGGGGGGAGGAGAGACGGGAGATGAGAGAGGGGGAAAACTGCGTGGGTGTTAGAGATGACGTGGGGCGAGGAGGGGGGCGTACTTGGACGGAGGTGGAGGGTTCTTGGGGGGTGATAACCTGCTCCTGGGGAGCTTGAGAAGACTGCGCGGCGCCCATGGTGGAGTATAGGGTATATAGGATGGATTTACTTGGAATGGAAATGATAGAGGTCATAGGCTCCGTCCCGCGGCTGCCCGCGCCTAACCCGTCCGGGAATTGCCAGAGATAGGCGCGGGCGGGATGTGGTTCTCTCTCCTCGCTCTCTCTCTCTCTTTTTCATTCTTCTCTTTCATCTCAACCACTTCTACTTTAACCCCTAGGGACACTTTCCAACACCCAACACCCCAATAACGAACTGTCCAGGTACAAACAACCAGATCCAACCCTCGCTTCACCTCCAGCCCAGCTCAATCTATGGCTGCATACCAGGCGCTCTCCGCAATGGCCAACAACCAATCCGGACCCTCCTCATCCCTCTCTATCAGGGGGGCAGCAGCTGGCGGGCCCGCATCCAGAGTCGTGGCCAATGCCTTGAGGGGTGCTGGGATCTCGAGGTCGTCGGCGGCGCAAGGAATGGACATAGACGGTGGTGTCCAGCGGGGACCAGGCAGGGGCGCAGCGAGGCGAGGAAGGTCCAGTGGACCTCTTGATCAGGTAAGTGATGTTTTCAACTACCTCCTCTGGTGGTGCTGGGAAAGCCAGGGTTGCCTGGCCAGAAATATGTCGCCATGAGCCTCGAGGTATTCGCCACCCTGAGGCAATCTGGCCATGTATGGCAGGGTAGATTGAGATACAGCAACCTTCGCCATCTCGTATCGAGACACGAGTTTCTTTTCATACCCCGCCTGCCTTTCCTTTCTAGGGAAAGGACATTGGATCCCGGGTATGACACGACACAAAACCTCCCTTCCGCACTTTGCCTCGCTCCCTCAGCACCATGCCATCAGACACCTCTGAAGATTTTGAAATGATGCTTACCGACTCGGAATATCCTCCTCTCCCCCATCCGCCCTCTATCTTTACTCGCCACCCCTTACCTCGTCGACCGGTACATATACAACCCATTCACATTCCAAATCACATCTCTACACGATTTCAACGCCCGTATAACCTATATCCAAACAACCGAACGCACTATCAGACTGGCCGCCATCGACCACCAGTCAATGGTAGAGATGATTCCCCCTACGCAAAACGACCGACCAATGTGGCAAAGCCCGCACGGGGTAGAGGAGGGCGTCATTCACACCCGGGGCGGAATCCTGCGGGGACACCACCGACCCTGGCTGATCTGAGGCGAGGCGGCACACCAAGCAAAGCCGAGACGGATCACGCCAACTCTCAGCTGAAACAGAAGCTGGGGAGTGAGGAAATGAAGGCGTGGTTGAGAAGCAGGATGATCTCTCCGGGCGTTCTGGACATGTCGGTGAGTGTTATCTATGTTGAAATCAGGGCCGCGCTGATTGTTGTAGAACCTCCAACTTGACGAATGGCTCAATACAAATGGTATCCTCCCTCCCGGCCACGTTCGCGCCCCTCACAACTCTGGTATCGTTTTCTGGCGTCTGATCGACTCGGTTCTCCAAAAGGTATTCAGAGTCACAGCCTCGCCCCTACTCTGGCTAATGATCTACAGACCGACAATACACCCATTCACACCCTTACACTCGGCTCAAACGATCTCCACCACCTCAAACAGCTTGAAAAGCTGCCTTTCTGGCTCCCGGATATTCGGGCGCTTGACTTGAGCGACAACCCCATCAATCATATCGCCGAGCTGGACAACATCCTGGCGTCTGGAGAGAAGAAAGGAAAGGCGAACGCAGGGATGGGGAGTTTGAAGAGTCTGGTAGAGCTCAAGTTGAACGGCTGTGCTTTCAGGGAAAAGACGTTGGCGATGCAAGATGGTGAGGCCATCTATAAGCAGTACGTTCGTTCTTTGTCTATTGTCGCAAGTGGCTAACATGTCGCAGTGAGATTCTTCGGCGATTCCCTGGACTGAGGATTCTCGACGGCGTCAGTCTGGAACGTGTGGTCTTTCCCATCGAAAGGAAGCCCAAAATCAAACACACGGAAGAGCAAAAGGCTGCACTCGTTGCTAGGCCATACACTTTCCCTGTGGAGGTCAAGTCCGAGTTCTTTTCAGAGGCTGCTGCCAAAGATTTTGCCATGAGTTTTTGCGCCAGGTTGGTATATCTTTTTCAGAGACGACGCCAGCTAACATATGGTCAGATACTTTCCCTTATTCGACAATGCCCGGGGCGAGCTTCTACCGGCTTATGCCCCCAACGCCCTCATCTCTATCGCAGCAAACACTCTCAGCTCTCGCTCTTACCTCGCCACCCAGGTCGTCCCCCGTACCCGCTCCGAGCGCCCCCAACCCGTCCCCTTCGAGCCTTGGACCAAGCTCCCTTCTCGAAACTTTTTCCGTAACGCCACGAGTATTCAACAGCGAATGGAAACGCTCAAGACGAGGGCGGACCCGGAGAAGTTGCTGGAGTGGTGGGACAAGAGTGTACCCAAGACGGAACATCCATTGACAGATGCTGGGAAATGGTGTTTCGAGTGTTGGGTGTTGGATAGTGAAGGGGGACGGGTGAGGTTGTGTTTGCAGATTCAGGGAATGTTTAGGGAATGTAAGTGGGCTTGTCTTTTGATTGCCTTGGTACTGACGAGCGGTGTTTAGTGCCTTCGGGGACCTATCGATCTTTCTCCAGAACATTTATCCTGGTCGAAGCGCCTCCAGACTCTCCGTACGTATAGACACACTACTTTCCAGTCCCGAGCTAATGCCGTGCTAGTGCTGTAGCTGCAGGGTTCCCCGCGACGATCCTCTCAGACACCATGATTGTCCACTCTTACTTGGGCTCCAACGCATTCGACGGTGTGCAGCCTTTGGCATCCCACGGCGTTACCATTCAACCGCCCTCCATTCCCTTCTCCCCGAGCGAAGTCGTGATCCCCGCCGGCGCCCCCGCCGCTGCTCCAGGCCTTCCTGCCGTAGGCGCACCCTCAGAGGCGGAACAACAAGCGCTCGTGGCCCAAGTGTCACAGAGGACGCGGATGAATGCCCAATTTGCCATGATGTGTCTTGCGCAGAATGGGTGGGATTTGGAGGCGGCGGTAGCCAATTTCGAGGAGATCAAGGGGTCGATTCCTCAGGAGGCGTTCTTGTAGACGGGGAAGAGCGTGCATGGGCGAGGGGGAGTGTAATTGTCGGCATCAGTAGTCATCAACCAAACAAAAATAGCATTTCAGTCCATAGAAGACTACAGACACTTTTCGTACATGGCATCGTTATCTTTTCGTTCTTTTCATGTTCGTCTCTGTTACGAGTCTTGGAAACTTTCCCCAGAATATGAATTGACTTGAGATCGGCATCTGCACGGGTCTTGTCCACTGGTATCTATACTCGATGCATGGTATACACAGTCTTCTACTCATATTCTCTACAAGCGCGGTGATTCTCATATAAACAATGCTCATAACTCATCACGAGCGCATTTAGAGCTCCTCCCATCGGGTGAGGTCCATGGGCTTGGCGAGACGGGGCACGACGTAGGGGTCGAAAGTCTGTGGGAAACGATCATCAGCTTTCCTTTCCTTTCTTCCACTCTTGTTTGTTGATGTAGCGTACCTTCCAGTACTAGACAAGCCAAAACCCGTCAGCCATAGGACTACAAGCTAATAGGGAAAGCAGAGAGACGTACAGGGTTGTTGAGATGGTACTGCTGAGACGATTCTTGCTCGTACCGCTCGACGATACAGAACTTGGTCTCGTCCTTGGGGTCTTGCATCACATACCAGTCGATAGTCTACCCACCCAAGTCAGCTTTTCGATCCAGCTTATCATTAGATGGGGAGAGGCACCTCTTTGTCTTTCTGGTAGATCTCAGACGCTTCCTTGAGCTTGGCCTTGATCTCCTGGACGGCCTCCTACGTATCATCGCGACAGTGTCAGTGGAAGGGTGCAAGTGTCTCGAGGGGAGGGGAGGGACGGACGGGGAGGGATTGGAGGTGGACGACGATAGTGTAGACCATTGTGCTGTGCTGTAGATAGATGGAGAGAGGATCCACGAATACGTAGGCGGTCGTTGTGGGGATCGAAGGGCCCCCTGAGGAAACGACAGCGGGGCCAAAGGTGAGGCGGCAAGTGCCGCAGCTCGCTTAGCCGAGCTCTTCTCCTGCGCTGCTAATCCTGACAAAGTCATTTTTTGCTTTCAAAGCTGCAACGAAGGTGCAGGGAGACGTGGACAGGGGACTGAGGATAGGTGTGGATAGAGAGCGTGTGTCAGAACCGGGACCATTTTATCATCAACGAGGCCAGCGGCTGCGTCAATGTCCATCTTTCCAAAGAAATAAGCGAAACCTGTTCATGTATGCAGATGACATCTATGAATTTAGAATTCTTCGGTCTGGGTGATGGTCATGGGAGTGACGAGACGGGGACCAACAAAGTCGCAGAAATGCTACAAACAGACAGAGTTAGCACTGCAACCTATCATGGAGCAAGCCGCAACGCACTTTGAAGAACTGTATATGCCCGAAACGAAAGGAGAATGGAAGCCACATGGTCAGCAAAAGGGCGCAGCATTTCATACAGATGTAGACGTACAGGGTTGTTGATGTGGACATCGACGGCCGCTCTACTCTCATACCTCTCGACGGCATAGAACTTGGTGCTGTCTTCGTGGTCGTGCATGACGTACCAGTTGATAGTCTGGCAGTATGTGAGTGTGGATTGTAGTCTTGCTAGCTGCTCGACGTACTCCCTTGTCCTTGACGTAGAGCGCGGCGCCTTCTTTCAGGATATCCTTGATCTCCTGGGCAGATTCCTGTTCGATGGTCAGCGGGTGCAGCAGGGCAGTGGGGGGTCTGGGCGTACAGGGCGTGCGTGGAAGTGGGCAATGATAGTGTGGACCATGATGAGTTGTTGTAGTGACAGAAGAGAGATGGAATGCATAATCACAGCCGACAAAACTCCTGCCCAACCCCACCCGCTGCGTATCCACCTCTTTGTCATCTCGGGGACTGTCCATCAGCTGCTGCCCAACAAGCGAGGAGCGACCGCAGGAGATGGAGGTATAGAGTTACGTAAGTTTACAGCCGCGGATAAGCTGATAGCCGGAGGAACAACGGGTGTATGTTCTGTGTGACTGGGTGTGTTGTTGTTGTGCCTCGCAGAATTTTGGCCTCGGTATCCACTTTGCATCCGTATAAGAAGGGCAAGTCAAGTAGGGCCGTCCATCCCAGCCCCAACATCACCCAACATGTCCTCCGCCGCCCCCGTCCCCAACATCGCAGACACCTACAAGCAGGACCTCTTCAAGGGCAAGGTCCTCTTCTGTACAGGAGGTATGTCGTGCTGCCACCCACGAAACAGAGCTGACCATGCGTGGCTCTTCAGGAAGAAGCGGCATTTGCTATGCCATCGTCGAGTCCATGATGTCCCTCGGCGTCAGTGCGGCTATCGTCGGGCGAGAGTATGTTCCCTCGTTTCGTGGTCGTAAAGGTCTGAAACGAGCCATGCTGACCCGTGCTCAAGTGCAAAAGGCCTAGACGAGTCTGCCAAGAATCTTCAGGACGCCACAGGATCCAAATGTATCGCTGCCCCTGCCGACGTGCGCAAGCCCGAGCAGATCAAAGACGCCGTCAAGCGCACTGTCGATGCGTATGGCAAGATCGACTTTGTCATCTGCGGTACGCCTGCCAACATCTAATCTGTTCGCTACTGATACGTTGACCAGGTGCCGCCGGCAACTTTCTCTCGCCCATCTCTGGTCTCTCCGAGAACGCCTTCCGCACCGTAGTCGAGATCGACCTCCTCGGCACTTACCATACCCTCAAAGCCACCCTTCCCTACCTCCGAGAATCACGCGGAGCGTACCTCCACATCTCTGCTACGTTGCACTACAGGGGTGTACCTTTCCAGGCGCATGTCGCTGCTGCAAAGGCTGGAGTGGACGCACTGAGCAATGTGATTGCAGTAGAGGAAGGACCTTGGGGGGTTAGGTCAAACATCATCGCTCCGGGGTATGATGTTGTCTTTCTTTGATAAGAGTTCTTGCTGATATTATGTTATTGTAGGCCTATTCTGGGTACTGTGGGAGCTGACAAACTCTCGATGAAAGGCAAAGAGTTTGGCAAAGACATTCCTCTTTCCCGAGCAGGCCACGTCGGTGAGTCTTGATCTGTCCCTTTACTTCTAGTCGTGTGATAATGTCAATACTCGCTAGACGATATCGCCAACGCTGCGCTATATCTCTTCTCGCCAGCCGCTGCTTGGGTCTCTGGTTCTACATTGGTACGACCATTCTTCCTCAAACGCACGGTAGCTTGGAATGCTGATACTGGCGTCAGGTCGTCGATGGCGCTGAGAACCACATTCGAAGCCTCAAGTTTCCCTACCCAGAAACGCTCTTGGAACCAGAGAGATTTAAAGACCTTGTCAAACCCAGGCTGTAGTCGAATGCGCGAATGTAGGCTAGTAAGAGTATCTCACCGGGATTGTATGAACAGCTGTATCTCGAAGAGTAAGGAAATTGTATTACAAGAAACCCAACGACATCGAGTGTACACATTATAAACAGCTCGGTAATACAACTTTGAACCACTAGACTTTATACAAGATGCGCGTCATCTCCTCATGCCCGCTTCCCTTCCCTGTACAGCCCCGGTACAGGCTTGGCCCATATGACAGTCTCCTTTCTCTGCCTCCGATACGCCTCTTCTTCTTCCTCTTCCCTCCGTTTCCTCTCCTCCGCTGCCACCCTTTCCTGCTCTTCCATCTTTTCTCTCACTGCCTTGTCAAAGACGGCACGCTGCTGTGCGCGGAGAGCAGATGATTTACCGGGCGTATGACCTCGCAGGGGGACGGTGGGCTGAAGGGAAGGATGTTTGGGTGCTTTGTGAGCTGGGGGTGCGCGGGAGGTGTGGGTGGTGGTAGAAGCGAGACGGTCAAACACCCCGCGCGCATTCTCCATATCCTTTGCCTTCACCTTGACAGGCTCTGCCGTGCTCTTCTGGCCACTGCCTGATTTCAAAGGACGCGCAAATGCTGATGAGGCGGCAAAAGAAGAGGGAATAGGAGATTTGCGCAAGTCACGCTTTCCCTCAGGGGATGTCGGCTTTTTGGGTTTGCTGGGTGCCCTGGAAGGAGCAGGTCGAGCGTTGACAAAAGCGGTGGTAGAGCGAAGAGGTGCGCGGGAGAGAGATTTGGCCGGCACGCCCGCCTTTTTGGAGTCCTCGGGAGGTTTAGTAGAGACCGTTTGCGATTTCGTGCGTTGTGGTCGTTCGCCAAGAGGGCGAGAGAAGGTGATGGGCTTTGTGAGGCCTGTGGGCTTGCGCCGCATTGGCCCGGTGAGAGGCGCTCTCGTGCTCTCCGCGATGGGCTTGGCCGTGATTTGCTCATGTTCCACCTCGGCCAGTGACTCTTTCGCCACCTCGTCATTTACACTACACTCGACATCCTCCATCTGCGTTTTCTCATCTGCGACCCCAGGGGATGGCCTCTGGTCCGAGGACGGACCACGAGAGCCCCGCGCGCTCTTTTCCATCGCCTTCGTCATGGACGTCTCACCATCGGGCCTACTCTGAAAAGCGGGCGGCGAGATAAACACAGATGGCCGGGAGTTTGTAGGTTTAGATGCCGGAGAGGGTTGGGTAGTTTCGGAGGCCAAGGCAGGAGATGGGTTGGCAGCAGGTACAGAAGGAGGGGTGGACAACCGGGTGGGAGCAGCAATGGGTCGTTGGGCGAGGATAGGATGAGGTAGGGGGGGGGATATGTCACGACTTGAGGTCTTGGGGTCGACATGGGCAGAAGTCTTGGGCGCAAGTACCGTTGACCTGGCCAGATAGCGAGACAGTGCCGAGCCTGATTGTTTGGATGAAGACGACTCTGTCTCTGCGATTGGTGTTACCTGTTTGCATGTTAGCAAACCATATTCAAGTTTCAATGCTGACTTGCCATAGCCAAGGGCGCTTTCACAATCTTCTCCTTCCCCGTATCTGAGGCTTTTCTCTTGAGCTGCGTCTTGAGACGAGCACTAGCTGTATTGGCCGAAAGTTGAGCAGCGGGCTTGCTACTTTCTGCTTTTCTTGGATGTACCAATTCCGGAAGTTCCTCCGAGAACAAATCGTCATTCTCTTTGGGGTGTGGTTTGGCTATCGAAGAGTCAGCACACCACCCAATGTACGTAAGGCATGTTGAAAAAGCACGGACCTCTTTTTGGTGGTCCAACGACAGGTAAGGAATCACTGCTTTCACGCTCCCGCTTCTGCTTCCCAGACGTTGAGGCCTTGTCTATGAGCGTAGGAGCGCCCTGCTGGGGTGCACGCATGTCCAGCTGTGTGGGGCTAGGCGGTATAGCTTGCGCCCTCGACATTTTGGCTTGTCCCGCCACGACCTCTTCAGGCAAGTAATCTCCAAGGTCAAACGTCATATCAGCCCCGGAAGTCTCACCCCCCGCCTTCAAGCTGAAATCACTGGTTATATCCTGGTCGGAAGTGCTATTGCAGATGACGGTGGCGCCGCCACCCCATACAGACTCGTCGCCGAGGGATGTATCAAAGATAGGCTGGGCTTCGAGGAGGAGCGACTCGTTGGCAAAGCGGGGGTTGGGTATCCATGGAGTCGGGGGAGGTTGATTCGCCATGTTGCGGTGTCTCTCAAGATGGCTCGAGGGTCAAGATAAGAGGTAAGAGGTTGTTGTTGACGTTTCGAAAAGCAGAAAGCAAGGCGCGTCGCTAAGTGGGGGCTTGAATCCAACTCCTGCGACTCTGCAAATGACGTCGGCCAGCCGATCTCCAGTGTCTTCGTTTCTTCTCTATCCAATAATTTCCTGATGCATCTCATCCAGCATGCTCTGGCAGCTCCTCGTACTCCCCCTGGCTGTGGCGTCCCCGAGCCAGACTCCCTTCGCCCCCAAACATATCAACCCCCTCAAGCATCTCTCTGCAATCAGCCCCTTCTTTATCCCCAACCAGGAGCCCACCCCGCTCCCACCCACGTGCGAGTACACCCGCATCAGCCTCCTCGTCCGGCATACCAGCATCCAAGGCAACGATGACGAGTATGAGGACACTATGGAGCCCTTCATAGAGAAGATCAAGGCGATGGACAAGAACAAGATGCCGAGTGACGGCGAGTGGGCGTTCTTGAGGAACTGGGAGTCGCCTATCAGCGAGGATGTGCTGGAGAAGGTCAGCCAGAGGGGGGAGGATGATTCGACCTTTTTCGGAAGGCGGTTATCTACCCAGTATGCCAAGCTCTTCCCACCCAGGGAAAAGTCAGAGAAGACCAAGAAGAAGAGCAAGCATACAGTGCCCTTCAAGGTGTGTACTATACTCGAGTAGCCCTGCAAAGCCAATCGCTGACGTTGTCAAGGTATGGTCGGCCAGCTCCGAGAGAGACATTGTCACTGCCAAGGCCTGGATCAAGGGTGCTTTCCCAGCCGCCCAAGCTGGGCCTCACGGTGAGGGTGACGGCAAGCAGCTCCAGCTGGTGTCGGTCCCCAACAAGGCCAAGGACTGGGACCGATCTCTGACGCCTCATGTGCGTTCTCCACTCGAAGACTTATCAGACCTAATGGACTATAGAAAGCATGCGATGCGTTTGAAAAGCAGAGCTCTCTTGAGCCTGCCCGGGTATGGTTGAAGACTTATGCGCCGCCTATCCGCGAGAGACTCTCTCAAATTATCCCTGACGTTGCGGTCGAGCTTGTGGACGACGACATCCTAGCTATGCAGATGGTGCGCTTTCTCTTTTCTACCATGATGTTACCTCACTAACATGGAGCCAGCTCTGCGGCTACGAAACTATATCCCAAGGCTGGTCTCCATTCTGCAACCTCTTTACCGACAATGAATGGCTTGACGGTGAATACTATTTTGATGTTCGATTCCACTACATGATGGGGTACGGGAACCACCTCTCGCCCTATCTCGGTGCGCCTTGGGTCAAGACGGCAAAGCATCTGCTGGATGGGAAAGATACTGGAGATGGAGCTGGAGAGCCGCACGGTGATGAGGGTGAGGTGGAAGCGAACAAGGAAAAACACAAGTTGCCCAAACCAAACTTGCCTCCCAATGCTACCCACACCCAACTGTGAGCTTCATCTACGTCCAGGCTTATAAACTGCTAATGAGTGAACAAAGTTTCCACCCTTCCTTCACGCACCGCGAATCTCCAGCTTTCGTAGCCACTTTCCTCAATCTCTACAACTCCACCTACGCCCACCCTGCCTCACTCAGCCCGCCTTTGACCTACCGGCCCCCCAAGTCTGAGCGCGCCTGGCGTACTTCCCACGTCGTCTCTTTCCTCGGCCACGTCGCTCTCGAGCGCTTCCACTGCGGGGAGGACGGAGGCGACTATGTGAGGGCCAAGGTGAATGGAAAGCAGGAAAAGATGGGTGGGTGTGAAGATGGGTTGGAGGGGAGTTGTAGATGGGAGACGTTCTACAAGTGGGTGGATGAGCGGGCTTTGAGATGGAGTGGTTGGGAGGAGGTTTGTGCGAAGAAGGATTGATGGGTTATACATGCATAGAAGTCGTATCTGCGATTGGGATCATACTTGCCCGCCGGCCATCGTGGCTTATTGCTCGCTTGTCCTCCTCAGACGATCACCGAAATCACCGACGATCACAAAAGGGTGCAATCAATCCATAGACTAGAGATATTTGTTCGTGAACTGACTTGATCTACTTGACTTGTCCATCCTGCTTCATTAAATGCGCAGTTGATTCTAGACTACATACATATACCGACTGGTCTTTTGCGGAAAAAGTGAGCGGAGGGTTGTAGGTGCTGGTCATACAGGTGAGTGTTGAGGGTCAGTCTGGAGTCAGTCCAGGCAGCCAATGGCTGTGCGAGCTCCGCAAGGAGGGTATGCCCGGTATGCGGGTGGAACGGGTGCCACGGGTGCAGGAACGGGAAGCAAGTCTACCAAATCCATTGTCACGCAAGCAACGGAAGGCTGCCCGCCATTACTATATGTACCGTACTCGTACCTGTGCCGCGCTTGCATTCCGTACCAAAAGAAGGTGCCCCCGTTTCAAGACGCCTCTGTTGATTCAACTCTCAGCGAGACAAGCATCTGTTAACTGCCATGCCCAACTGCACCAACCCAAGGCCCGATCAGGGTCAAGAAGAAGGACTCAATTGAAGGAAACCAAGCTATAAAGCGCTCTAATAAAGAAAAAGCTGTTTTGGGAGGCTCTGGCAGGTGGGTGTCACCGCCGCGGACATTGTCACGCACATCATCGGTGGGCTGACGCTGCTTACATTTTCCGACATGCTGCATTGCTACGTAGGGAACGGGAAATGCTTCTCATAACCCGTATACGAGCGGGTGCACATGTGGCATGTGAGAAAGGGAGATACCTAGCAGGTGTACGATGTCAACAACAACAACAACAAACTCTGTATCCATTTTGTACATGCATGGCGTTTGGGTTTTTTGGTGGCGTCACCAGTACCAAGCCCTGAGCTTCTGCACCCTTTTGACCGTGAAAAGTCCCAAAACCTCACTTTACCGAAGTGCGCGTCCGAGATGCATACCATCGCTAAGCAGAAACAACAAAAGGCAAATTGAGCGCGATTTTCTCGGTGCACCAAAGTGGCCATTGTTCTCTGCCTCGACGCAGGGCGATCCTCACAGTTCGGCCTTCACGTCATCCAAGCTATCTTTCCAAGCTCTCTATCTAGCGTCTCGCCACTTTGGGACCATCAGTAGAGCAAGCGAGCCCTGGAGGTCGGAGAACAAGGCAGCTTTACGATATCGGCGCGATAATAAAGGCTTGCAAGAAAGTTCCGACACTGAAACGCGTCTTTAGCTCGACATTTTCCCAAATTCGCGCATCTCTCTTTTGTCTCTACTACTATTGACGTTACTCCTCCCACCCCCCCCGCCCTCCCCTTCCCCCTGCGACACCCACGACTGCCGCTCAATCAACCGAGTAGGCCCCTTATCAGCGTAAAAAGGACACTCAAGGATAGTGTGACGGACGGACAAGGGGTTAGGCGCCTGCACCGCGCTCGGACGTGAAAAGCTGGAGAAAGCACTGCTGTGGTATCCCAGCAGCGACACGACTGCACCACTGCCTGTGCCAGAGTGCCAAGGCAAGAAGACGGCTCGACGCAGCGAGAACGAGGACGATATCGGGAAGAGAGAAGAGCACAAGGGAATACGCTGGGGCCTCCTCCTCAACAAACGACCAGCCCAGCTTTTGTGGCACTCCGAGCGTACGCTGTGTCCTGCTGGCTATCCCTGACCCCCTGACGGCACCATCCCTGCACACGGCCAGTGCTTGCGAAACGCACCTGTTCCACGCCAGTCATAGCGGACGGGCCCCTGTGAGCCCCCGGCTGTTCTGGATACGGTCGCCCCCTGTCAATCAACTTGACAACCACCCTCCTTTAACACTGCGACGCTTTTGCTCCCGCTCCCGTCCAGCGTACACCATCTCCCACCCCGCCTAGCTGCACTTTCTGCCCCTCCCGCTTTTGCAGACAGAACGGCTTTATTCGGGCACCTTGCCACAAGGCCACCTTCCTCCCGCCCTCGTCCAGACCCCAGTTCGGCCGGCTCCCCCCTCCTTTGTCGAGACTGCCTCTCCTGGCAAGTATCCAGAACCCGCCACAGCAACCACCTTCTCAACCTCGCCGTGTCTATGAGACACACTTTCGCATACTCTTCCAATCCACCAACTGTCTCTACGAGATCTACGCTGTCTGCCCCCTTCTGAGGCACAGCCACGACAGAGAATCAATCCCTCTTTTGGCAAGCTGCGCCCGACGTCCCTGTCTGTGATACATTCCCCATACCCCTCTGCCCCATCATATAACATCTTCAATGTCTATATCCGGCACCATCTCCCGACGTCGCATCGGCTCTGTGAGTCAGAGAATGAACGACTCGTTGCCGCAACTCGATATTCAGAGCATCCAGATGCCATCAAATCCGTTAGTCTGGGCAGGGAGATAAGAATCTGTGCTGATAGCCTTTCCAGCCAGAATGCCCTCGCCCTCAAGACAGCTGCGCTGTCGACCTCTACGAGGTCCTTGTATCAAACTTGTTCCATCCTGAAGAAAAGACTGATGTGTGTCGAGGGGTTCCAGCCGTTCTTGGGTGCGTTGGCGACATACTCGGTGTTTGTGATTAGGCGCTGACCACTGCACAGAACAACCACCCAACGCCGAACCGATCGACGTCGTCTCCCACATGTGCCACCTCTTCCGACTCGGCTCCCCTCTCCTCCATCTCTACAACCTTCTCATCCCAGCATTCACCGATTCCCTCTCACCCCTGTACGCCGACCTCCCAGCACCCGCTAAACTCGAGTATGCCTTTCCCCAATTCAAAGCTACCCCCAACGGTGTTCGCAACTGGGCGAAAAAGCCTGAGAACGCCAAACCGTGTCAACGATACATTGCAGCATTCTGCATGGCGATGAAGAAGCGGATAGAAGAAGGGAGATGGCACTCGGATATGTGGGCCCTGCACGAGCTGTGGGGCAAGTCGACGGGAGAAGAGCTGGAGGCGTATGATTCGACGGGATTGATGAAGGTGCTGAGCACGGTGGAGGAAATGCTCGACAACCTCCCCGAGTCGGCCTTGTCTCCCATATCTCCGAATACACCCTTTACCGGCAACGGCTCTATCGCTCAGCGCACACAGTCGCGACAATCCTACGACTTGCCATTCTCCATGGGAGGTATGGGCTCCGGCGCCGGTGCTGTCGCCAACATGGCGGCCACCATGAACGGTGGCGTCCACATCGAGGCCAGCGCGAATGAAAACTCGCCCTCCGCTGAAGAGATGCAGCGTGGGCCGTCAAAGATGTCAGCAGAGGCCAATGCGTACAAGTCAGTGGAAGAGCTCGTGGCGAGTGAAAAGAGCTATGTGCAAGAGTTGGAAATCTTGGTGAGATGCTCCCAGGAGATGGTGGAGGCGCGCCTGGTATCGACAGAGACGAATCATATGATCTTTTCGAACCTGTCAAAGATATTGGATTTCCACGTGAGTCCATTTCCGGCCCTAGCGGAGAACACGGCTGATACAGTGGTAGCGAAAATTCCTAATCAAGCTCGAGACCGAGTACGAACCGATGGAAGAGAAAGGCCAGGGTGCTTGGGCTGAAGGCGTGTGGGGGAGACCCTTCATTGTCAGCGAGGCCGAGTTTGACTGCTATGGTCCTTACTGCGCCAACTATCTCGACGCTATCACGGTTGTGAATGAGCAGATGCCACTTCTCATGGTAGGTATCGTAAGTTTGGCAGTCGACTGTTGCTGACCTTGCAAGCAGCGAGGGCAAGAACTTGCTCCGGCTGATCGACCCTGTCTGGACCCTCAACGGGAACTGCAGGCGTTCATGATCAAGCCTATCCAGAGAATCACCAAATATGGTCTTTTGCTCGACGTGAGTTTGACAGTCTCAGCATATGTCGCAATCTGACCCTTTGCCAGGCTATCCTCCACGCGACTGCCAAGTACGAGTACCCCTACCGTCCCGAACTTGAAGAAGCCTCCGCTGCCGTCAAGCGGATCGCTGCCGGAATCAACGAAGTCACCGACTTTAAAGCCAAGCAAGCCACCATACGCGAGCTCGTTGAGCGCGTCGACGACTGGAAAGGTCACGACGTGGACAAATTTGGTCCCCTTCACATCGACGACCACTTTACCGTAACAAAAGCCGACCAGCCCAGAGAGTACCATGTCTTTTTGTTTGAAAAGATGATGCTCTGCTGCAAGGAAATCACACCCGACAAGAAAAAGTCGGGAAAGAATAGCAGTATGCTGAGGAAGGATCGGGGTATGAGCAAGAACGGGCCATTGGACAAGAAAAAGCTGGCGTTGAAGGGAAGAATATTTGTATCAAATATCAAGGAGGCTACTATACTTCCTTCAGAGGCTAGTGGTAAGTCCACTGATGTCAACTCAAACTCCACTGACATTCGAGCAGATCCTTACGGTGCTGCTCGTCTCCTGATCGGCTGGACAATCCCTCTGCGGACGGCCGACGGCTACCACGAGGACCAAGAAGATTCCTTCATCATGATTGGCAAGAGCGAAGACCAAATGAAAAAGTGGTCAGAAAAGGTGCTCGACCTCGCCAAGAATGAACGAAAGGTACAAGAGGAGCTGCGACAGCAGCGAATGAAGTCTGGCCGTCTTTCTGGATCAGAGAGACATTTCCAACACTCTTCCTTCGGTCCTCCCACTCCTGCTAGCGAGTTCCCTCCGCCAAACCCCTTCAACATGCCACCTCTGCCTGATAGGGCTGCCGCTCACTATCACGGTGAAGATGACGATCCCAACGGTCTCCATAGCGGACGCACCACGCCGAGTACGCAACCCCATCCCTACGCCTACCAACCTCCAGGAGGCAACCGCAGAGTGCAGAGCCAACAGTCGATATCATCGATGAACCCCATCGAGACGCGGGCTCGAGCAATGACGGAAGATCAGAACGGCCCCAGTATGGCCCAGTGGCGCACACAGCAACCCCTCGCTCCTCCCATGCCACGCTTGGTATCAAACATGTCGGGCATGTCGATGGCTTCTGAAGCGTCGTTCGGTAACGGGCCGCCTAGTGCTGGCAACAGGCCTGGTATGGGCAGACAGATGAGTTCTGTGAGATTACCGCGCGCGCCGGAAGAGGAAGCCGAGATAGATGCGAGCCCGACAGAACAGAGAGAGGCCTTCAACAGATACGGGCCTTCGCGAGGGATGGCCAGGACTCCCAGTCAAGGAGTTGCTACTGTCCCACATCCTCCGGCTCTGAGGAACCGCAGTGCATCGTCACCGAATGTCTATCAAGAACCTGTCGTTATTGGAGCGGCTCCTCCCGTCCCATATACTGCTGGCGCCAACGGCACATGGACAACAGGCTCAGCTTCCAATCTTCCAGCCAGCACACACCCCTACGCTCTTAGCACCCCTGTGCCGGGCTTCGGACCTCAGGGAGGTCCCCCGCTTCCTCAAGGTCATCAGGGCCATTATCACTCTGGTTCATCGGCAGGCACCACTGTCGTCGGTGGCACGGCGTACTTCAACAAGCGGGTGTCGAGCGGGAAACGGTCGAGCGCAGGTTCGACAACGACAACTGAAACGTCGGATCAGACCAGCCCCGCGACTCCTTATGGAACCAGTGGAGATCTGAGATCAACACAGTTGAGGCAGGGGAGCGGGGATAGTGTTGGTGGAAGTGTCCTAGTCAAGGTCCGGTGTGGCGAGGTAAGCATTATCGTTCAAGGGTCTCCGACGCACGCTGATCGTGACTGTAGGACCAATTCATCCTTGGAGTCTCACATGAGATTGACTACATCACTCTCTACGAGAAGATCCTGAAGAAGCTTCGTCTGTGCAGCTCGCGTCCAGCAGGCGAGCATGACAAGCTGCAGATCCGATACGTCGATAACGACGGAGACGAGATTCAGCTCAAGTTTGATTCGGATGTGGAGATGATGATGGAAGACGGTCGGGATATGGCGGGGCAGATCAACCTGATCGCCAGGTGGACGGAAGGAGCGGGAAAACGTTTGGGAGGCGAAGTGTACCAAGTATAGTGTTTGAAACGGGTTTCGCAGTGTTTTTTTCTTTCTAATGATCATCGTATCCTTCTTTGTTGGTATCCTATCACTACCACATATTGTGACTTTATCTTTGAATATTTTCTATCTCTCAGCATTTGGTTAGTTGGGCGCATCTACTCAACGGAAGTCTGTCTTTTCTCTTTTTGTCGGCCGTAATGTTCATTCTCAGCATCATTCTTTTTCTCTTCCTCCGTTCTCTTGTGATAAATTCTAGATGGCAGTAACATATTTGTATCAAGTACGTTATCAAGTATGAAAAAGATTCGAAACAATCGTAAACTGCGCAAGCATACTTTAGCGCCGCTGCCTCACAATTGACAAAGATGTCCGAAGGCCGAAGACAACGCCGTGGAGAACAATGAGCGTCTATCATCTCTTGCCATCACACATCACTCAACACTCATTCGCAACTATCATGACTACCGCCCATCGGCCATCGGTCAAATATGCGTCTCGGCTACGATGGAAGCGGGAGAAGAGCGCGGAAGGAGAGAACAAGGACCCAACAGCCCAGCCAGCTTAGGCACCCACCCCAACGAGCGCCTGATGTAAGGAGCCCAATTAACAGGTTACTCATTGACCTCCTGCCTTAGAAGTCTCGATGAGGCCCCGAGTGCTCCAATCTCGCTCTATGGCCGCCACATGCACTGGGCAGTAACAGCTCAAAATGAACAGCCATGGTCGAAGGTTTGTTTGCAATCTGTCCCTTTTGATCGGAGTTCACAGCCGCCACGGTAGTTCATCCGTCGGCCACCCCCTCCACTAATTGTTGGATACCGCCTACCAGATCTTGATGCTCGTCTCTTCCCGTTGTATCGCACTCGAACATCATACCTTGATGGATATCAAGGGTCTTGGACCCTTGTTGTCGGGCAGCAATGGAAGCATCATTTCGGCAAAGCGCATGTCTTCTGACATTAGCCCGATCGCCGTTCCATCAGCTCTAGACTTCATATAAAGAGTCCTCTTGAGCGGACGACAATTGTTCTTTGTCCCCCCAAAATTAGCTAGGCTGCACTAAGGAGCTCTTTCTGTAATCGCCATCACCATCACCATCATCCCTTGCTCCTCGTCTCACCCTCTATGCCTTATATATAATAGGACTGTACTCTTTCAATCTTACTCCCATATCACCATTATTAACGGCTACAGCCTCACCCCTTCACACCATGTCTTCTACCTTGGCCCCGGACCAGATTGAGGCAGCCGCCAAAGCTTTTGTAACCTCTCACAATGACCTCAACTTGGGTGTCTTCATCATGGCGTGAGTTTCTCTTTCCTTCTAAGTAGTGTCGCTGACAGTCTTGTTAAATTGGCTTCGATGCCCTCATGCTTGGCGTCCTGATGGGGCAAACGATCGACTATTGGAAATGGTCAGGCGACGACAGATTGATGAACAAGGTCATCGCCGTAATCGCCACCGTCTCCAGCTTGGCTGCCTCTCTGTTTTTCATAGGTAACTCGTTCGAGCTATTCGTATATGGCTTCGGTACCTATGCCAAGTTTGTGGCTGTCAATTGTAAGCACCTTACGCTGTGCAAGGTTTATCAGGATGCTGACCATAGGACTAAATAGCGTTGTCTTAGGCTTGTCTCATCGATATCATTCCTTCAACGGTCACACAATTTTTCTTTGCTCATCGAGCCTGGCGAATGTCTCACAACAGCAGAGCCCTTGCTGTCACGGCTGCTATCTTAGTGTGAGTCAACGTGCTACAGGATAAGACTGCCTAACTTGCCACTTACAAACATCTCCTTCTTCAGCCTTACCTCTGTTGGCGGGGCTTTGGCCACTATTCCCGCTTATCAAAAGACTGGTGGTGCATCCCAATCTGCCGTAAATGCTCCCCCTTTGCCCAATTCCAACTCTCAATGACCATGATTGCTCAGGCGGTGAACGTGAAAGTCACAATGATACTTTGGATCTGTGGTGGTATTGGAGTCGACTTGTTGGTGACTGTTGTGATCCTCCAAAACTTGATCAAGTCCAGGACTGGATGGAAGACGACGGACCGAACTATCAAGAAGCTTTTGACGTGAGTCGTGACTGCCTATCATTCTTATCTGGTAATGACCGATACTCATATTTTTGCTTGGTAGTATCCTCGTCGAGACTCAGATTCCCCCTATCATCATGTGAGATAAGCTCTATTTTCGCCTCCTGGACTCCACTGATACGTCAACAGCATGATCATCTTCCTCATTTCTTACATTGGGTACAGCGGCACCTACCTTGACATCTGGCCGCAATGGGTACAGTCAAAGTTTTACGTTTGCGGTCTCATGGCGTCTCTCAACAGCCGATACTTCCTTCGCCGTGCATTGGTGGGCAGCGAGAGTCAGCGGGCGACTCAGCAGCCTACTGTTGTCCATGTTTTGACCGAGACCCACGTACAGGTGAGTAGGCTGTCTTCCGAGGAAGGGGTGTAGCAGATGCTGATTGAGACTACAGAAGAGCGAAAGTGATCCTTCGTCCAAAGAAGGTGGCAAACCTTTCTTGGCTAGACTCGCCACCGACAACAAGACTGCCCCCCGTAACTATCCCCAAGCCAGCCCTTTCACTCCTCGCCGGGTGACCCGCCCTCCTCTCGATATCGATTTAGATGCCGACAATGACTCCCTCGACGGCAAGACTGTGACGCTGGGAAGTGATCGGGACGACGGTCACAAACTTGATTACATCGAGAATGCTAGCAGGACGGGGCTGACGGCAGACGTAGAGGTCCTGAAGCAGGGGGCGCACGCGGTGTAGAGTGATGAGCTTCGCTTCTTTGTCATAGCATTTGGCATTTTTAATTGTCTTTTAGGTGCAATCACATTCTTCGTTTGTCGCTCCTTCCGGCTACCTGCCACATGCATATCTGTCTAGAACCCGCCACCATCTCATATTACGAGTGATTCGCTGCGCGATATCCTAGTAGTGCTCTGCTGAATGATGGTCGAGTAGCCGAGCTACACACATAGCATCGCTCTCCTCGACAAGAATCATTGGAAGCCTTTGGAAACCTGAGCACTGAGTGGTCTGCAACAAGCAACACATCAGCCCAGGCCCATCACTACTACGGCCAAGTCACTCAGGACGCATCCAACCAAGAAGATTCTGCATTGTTCGACCGATCGATCATCGTCCCCTTATGATGTGCACATGCTGCGGGTGGTGGCTTACATACTGCCCCAACTTCATATTGGTTGTGTGCCTAGGGACAAGTAATAGAAAGGCTGCCTTTGCGACAGAAGCAAACTCCACATAATTGACCTTCCAGTATCGCCACAGCAACGACCATTTGGGGTCTCTGGGGACCATGCATGTTGTCGGCAACCTGAGAGATCTGAGGATAGTTTAAGGAAGACATACTAGTGCAGAGTGAGTCACCCGGCCCCCGACCGATCCTTTGACCTTGGGCCGTTGCGATGGATGGCTACTAGTGGACTATGTACTGACTTTAACAAGGCGCGGCCATCACATGCCAGTCTTGTAATATACAGCCCACTAGCTCAAGTCTAGGTACCGGACTCGCTATCTTCGGCGGTGTTAAGATGCTTTGACCATCAAATACCGGCTCACACAAGTCGTCTGCCTATATGTATTGATCCGTCAATAAATGCTGCGGCAGACGCGCCGCGTCGGTACAAGTACCAGTACTCGCACTTTGCCCAGCAGCCCAGCACCGCTGTATCTACTCTCAACACCGAACCACTCTCTCATCTAGAGAAGACTGAAACAAGTTCCACTCGCTCTACTTTTCAGAGGAGCAGCCATGGCAGAACTCACCCCAGAGCAGATCGAGCTCGCAGCCGAAGCTTTCATCACTGGAGCTCACGATATCAACCTTGGTCTCTTTGTCGTCGCGTGGGTTCCACCTTCGACCTCTTAGCTTTCTCATCTGATCTCGTCGTTGTGCAGGTCGGGTACAGACGCCTTTCTGCTGGGTATCTTGATACTCCAAGTCATCGATTATTGGAAGTATTCCTACGGAGACAAGTGGCTCATCAAGACCATCGTAATTGTGGCCACCACTTCGACGTTCGTCTGCTCGATCTACATTGCCTTCTGCATTTTCAAGCTATATGTGTTTGGTTATGGTCGATACACTCAGTTCATGGAGACTACGAGTGAGTTTGAATTTCCGGCCCTAGGCTTTTCGTGGTAAAAGTGAGAGCTGGCTGATCATTGGAAACAGTACTTCCTTGGTCTTGTCTTCTGGATGTCATACCTTCAACGGCTACCCAGCTCTTCTTTGGTCTTCGGGCGTATCGCATGTCTAAGAACAACAAAATGGTAGCAGCTGCGATAACTCTCTTTGTGTGGGTTCAGATCTACAGCGTGTGAATTATTTGATAGCTGACAACGTTGTAGGCTTATCTCGGCGATAGGAGGTCTCGGCACAATCCCTTCCTACATCCTTGCCTCTGACGCGAGCAATTCATCTGTCAGTTCTTATCACTCTTCCTGATACAGAGTGCGCCAGTACTAACCACAGTCCACAGGGTGTTCGATTGAAAGTGATGATTCTAATGTGGCTTTGCGGCGCAATTGCTGCAGATGGGCTCATCATGGTGGTCATCATGCGCAACCTGCTTCAGTCGAGGAGTGGATGGAAGAGCACTGATCGAACCGTCAACAAGCTCATGACGTGAGTGATCTCTAGAGCCAGTAATACGAGTGACCGATATACTGACTCTCATCTTTAGTCTTCTGATCGAGACCCAGATCCCTCCCACCATCTGGTGAGTTGTTATAGGAAACCCCACTCGTAGATAAGGTGACTGATCCCCGCCGTATAGCATGCTCGTCTTCCTGATAACATATCTCGGCTTCGTCGACCGCATGTTCCTTGATGTTTGGGCCCAATGGACCCAAAGCAAGTTTTACGTGTGCGGTCTGATGGCGTCTCTCAACAGTCGTTACTTTCTACGTCGGGCTATTGACGAGGGATTTGACACGCCTGCTGTGAAGAAGCCGACTGAGGTCCATGTTATTACAGAGACGCATGTTGCTGTAAGCATATACTCGTTGGTACTGAATTTATTGGACGACTACTAATCATTGCTACAGCGAAGTGAAGGCTATGTCTCTCCCATCTCTCCAAGCATCAAATCGCCCAATCCTTTCCTTCGATCCCCCATTACCGAGAAGTCCCAGCAGTCACTACAAGCAGCATCGTACACCAACACCACATCTTCTACCTACACCTCTCGACGACGTCAGCCTCTCGACCTGGAGGCCGACCGGGAATCCGAGCAGGAGGATAGAGATGAGGTACACAAGATGGATTATCTCGATAACCCGAGTAGAACTGGCCTGACTGAGTTCGAGAACTCGAAGAGCGTGCATGCTGTTTAGTAGTAGACAGGTAGCTTTGTGTAGTCTTTGTAGAGCATGAATGCATCAGCTGTGAACGAGTCTGGTATGATGCTATCATCATATAATCTATTCGTGAAATGACCTCAGGCCGTTTCCCATACCTCTTGCAGTCTTGCCCAAGGGGTGCCAAGGCTAAGCATGACTCTGACTCAGCAGTAGCGCAAAGCCGTACTACCAGGCCGTTTCTCATCAAATGGGCATCTCGTATCCAGGATCTCGTTGCACATCATTGGTTTGGCTCCGGAGTCGCTATGTTAAGGGATATCTCGCTCTCGGACATACTCGTACTCTACATCATGACGTTGCATGCTAGGTTCCGAACCGAACCTAGCCTATACTAGATACATATCACATGCATACCAACGACTTTATTAGCAGTTGGTATGTCCACAGGGTGTAGGGGAAATAGTGCATCTTGGGAGATTGATAGCTGATGGACACCAATCCGATTATATTGATGGGCGGCAAATGATGCCGACAATCCCGCGATGTTGAGTGATTGCGCGGCCAAAGGCTCTCGTCAGCCACGGCACGCACCGGTAGCGCGACGATCAGGGGGGACCACATGCTTACACCCCGCACCGCACGGGCCACATGGCGGCCTTGATCTGTGTTCCGTGATCAATCAGAAATGCATACAACGGAAGCAATAACCATGATTAGCGCCGCCATGGATGCATAAGGTGGGGTTCATTAGTCTGTCTGCAACAACGCAACCAGAAACGGACAGCCTGAGGAATGTATCGAATATGCTCTCCTGATGCCTTATATAGCATCCAGGTATTATCAGCGAGTGTCTTCTCTGCAAAGATCAGAGGAGTAACTGTCTTTCAACAGTTGTCGACAGTATTTGTTGTTTGACTGTCCGGCGTCCTCGTAAGCTCCTATCGCCATGTCTGCCAATGCCACTGTGCTCGAGGAGACCGCCAGAGCCCTCATCGAGCCCCGGAAGGGCGCTTTTTTGGGATTCCTCTTCTCTGGGTGAGTTGGTGCACTTGGCTGGGGGATGGACATATAGCTAACAAGGCGATAGATTCATGGCAGACACTATCCTCTTGGGTGTCATGATGCACCAGACCCAACACTTTTTCCGCTATGGACGTAAAGAATTCTCTCACTGGGTCTCGGTGGACACCCTAATCCTCATGATCTTCCATCTCGCCATCACCTTCTAGTATGTATCTTCAACCAGCTGCACTCGGCATCAGCTAACGACAATTATAGCACATGGTCATACCTGCTCGACATATTTGCCTACAAGTCCGTACAGTAAAGAAAATCCACATAAGCACGTTGAACTGACATCTTTCTGGTAGGTTCGGGGAATATTCTTCGTTGACGGCGAAGCATTGGATTGGCTATTACAATGTCATGGACGCCGTGCCCATCGCATTGGTCCAGGCGGGTCCCACCTTCCTTGGCACGATTGCTTTTGACCTTTACCTATAGTCACATTTCGCCTACAACGCCTACAAATTCAACAGCAGAAACAAGTTTATACCCATCCTCACTGGCTCCTTCATGTGAGCCTTTCCGCTGCAAGTCGGTCAGAAGATTGATCAGCGGTACCTGTAGTTTGATATCAGCAGGTGCTTCCTTTGCCAGTTCAACATTCTTTTTGAGACAGGAAACTGCTCTCGATCCCCTTGTGAGTCTTTTCCCGTAGTCCACCTCCTTGTCTTGACACCTGGCACTGAAAGCGATACACAGAGTACCAATATGCAGATCGCCTCCTGGATCTGGATTGCCGGCGCCCTGACTGCAGACACCATCATCGCCAGTGGAATCATGTACGCGCTCCTGTTTGACAAAGTCAGTTCGCCCACCTTCACCGGGCGTCTCGCCCTTCTCCGAAGACTGGCACAGTGAGTAAAAGTCTCCATGCAGGATGTAGGAAACATAGGTGTGCTAACGGTGATCGGAAAGTCTGACTAGGGAGTGTCAGCTACCACCTTTGGTCTTGCACTTGGCTGTGCTGATCATCTACCGCGGTCGCTTCAGCAATCTGGCATTCTTCTTCATACAGTACGTTTTCGTTCTACCACCTCCTCTTTTGTTATCAAAGCTTACATATCAATGTCAGGCGTTTCATGTCCAAGATCTATCCCGTGACGAGACTGTGGGTCATCAACGCGCGATACAACCTCCGCGCTTCTCGCAACATTGGACACTCCACCGACGGAGTAAGTCTAGTCCGAAAGGAAGGTTCGCGAGCTGATTCTGATGGGTGATAGGAGGGAACGAGCCAATCGCAATCTTTCAGTATGAACAAGTTGCCTGAAAGGACCGTCATTCACGTCCAAACGGAGACCTACGTCAACGCAAGTCCCTTCTCTTCTTTCTTCGTACTGCGATACTCAAGCTAATGGCTCGTACAGGATGACAAGGACCTCAACTCCCAAAAGACTTTGGTCCCTGCTGCCGGGCCGCCTCATATCCAGCTCTCATCCCCAAGACACAAGACCCTCCGTGGCCACCACCCCGAATCCCTATCCTCCAATGAATCTGAAGAGTACACAGATTCGACATACAAAGAACCGGTGGATGGCAGGAATGGGAGTGTGGTGGGGCTGGGCGGTGACGGGGATAGTCGGAGGGGGTTGACTTTGAGGAATTGAATAGCGCCGAAAAGGAAAAAAATGTGTCAAAGTGTAGACTGGAGTACCGTAGAGTACAGTATAATCTAGGACAATTAGCTCTTGACGTTCCATTGTCAGCCATTCATCTTTCGCATGCCATTTTTTTTTTCTCAAGAATGTGATATGGCGAGGTTGAAGTGTCAGTGTTGATTGCGGTTGACGAGTTTCAAGCATAGCAGAGATGTGCATGTCGAGCACGACATGGCAAGGCGAGAGACCTCTCTATCCACCATCTATTCCTTCTTCTCAACCTTCCCATCGTTCACCACTGTCTCGGCGTCAAACTCTTTCGCTTCCTTGCCCCCTCCGAAACCTTCGTCCCTCGCCTCGACCTCCTCTTCCGCAACCTCCCCATCCTCAACAAAGGAGCTCTCTTCGCCGCCTTCCAGCTCTGCCACGGCATTTCCACCTCCAACGGATGGGTAGTCACGCAGAAAAGCAGCGAGACGGGGGGAGAGGGGCTGGACACCGCGAATAGCATCAGTCGAACCAGCGGGATCGGTGGTCGGGGACGAGGACCAAGGGACACGGGGGGCATCGGGGAGGTGGGGACCAGCGGTGGCAATGAGACCCAGTCGACGCTCGTTCAGGACGTACTTGATCCTAGCCATTGTTTTTCGGCACTGCGCTCACATTAGCACTCTGCTTCTCTGTGGTACGATGGGAGGCATACTCGGAAAGCACGCTTGGTGTTGAAGATGCCTTCGGCGTGGTGTCCAATACCGAGTCTCTTCCTCTCCGCGTTCTGGGTGGCGAGAACGTTGCGCTCACGGACGAGGATATACCAGAGGGTGTGGAGGTCTTGGAAGGACTTTTGTCTCAGCTCGGCGGCTGACCACGCTCGGCCTGTACACCCATCAGCTTCTCTCTTGCATGTTGCCAATAGAGGGAAAGGTCAACGCACCACTGTGCAAGCTCATATCATCCTGCTTCAATTCTTCCAAACTGCCGGCGCTGTTCGGCCAGTTCGCTCCCTCTTCCAATCGGTTCGCTACAGGCACATGGAAAAACTTCCAGAGCGGGTGCACTGGCCCCGCCTTTCCTAGCAGCGCCTTATCTCTTTCTTCCCGCTCGACAAAGTACTCAGGGGGTGGGGGGTAAAAGGGAGGCTCAAGGTCGCCATTGGGAAGAGTGGTAGGGATTTTTCGGGCGGGACGAGTGGGAATAGGGGTACCACGCCTTGTTAAGCGAGGAGCTGAGGCTGAGGGAGTAGTAGATGGAGCCGTTACTGGAGTGTTGATGGCAGCGGGGTCGGGGTTGGGAAGGGGAGCGACAGTCGATGGGCTGGGTGGGGGTTGATGAGGGGCCGGGGCGGAGGAGTGGTCGACCTGGCGGCCGTCTGTGTGCATGAGGCGGGGCAAGGGCCGGCTGAGAGGCAGCGTGAAACGGGCGAGCGAGAGGCGCGACATGGTGTATGGGTTTTCAGGGCTAGAGGTGATTTCGACCCGAAATGAAAGAGGAGATGAGCGCGAGCGACTTTCTTGGAGAAAATAGCAAAATGGGGCACTAATTTATATTATGTTGTCGTTCAACCTTTCTCTAGAGCTGGACATCGATCAAATCTTGCAGTGAGTCATAACAGGGGTACCGCTTTGTGCACAGATATGCTTCACTGTGTATGTATTGTGCTTACGAGATGGTACCAAGTCGACTTTGGGCGGAAAGCGGAACATCAGTCGGCTTATGCGACGTACGTACACACGCCTATGTCACTAGTACCAGCAGCAATGCATTGTTGTTGAAAAACTTCAATATTATAACATCATAATTACCCCCAATGTGAGCCCCAAAGTCCCCAGAACAATCGAGCCCGCACCAGTCAAATGGATTTTCTCTGCTCTCGAAGACTCGGACGCCGTGGCGCTGCTCGAGCTTGCCGATCCCGACGCGGATGACGAACCTGTCGCCGAACTGGAAGAGCTCGCATTCGTAGCAGATGCTGTTCCATTCCCGACAACTCCCACTCCATATGCCTTGGTGGAAGCACCATCCAAAGCCCATTTGAGACCCTCCATGACGTGCCCTATGAAGGTCTCGTCTTGCCATGCTAGCAACACTCGTCAGAATCCTCGTCCCATATTTCTTGAGGCCATGAAGGTGATTAGAACATACTGGAGTTGAGGTGTCCGAGAGAGGTGTAGAATGATCGTCCAGCTTTACTGGCCGACTCGGCGAGCGGTAAAGCTGAAAGAGGTGATTCGATATACCAAGCGATAGGGTGGGGATCGCCCATGGAGGGATAGTCTCCCGTGGAGCTCCCATTGTCTAACCAAATCAGCCCGGTGGATCATAAGGGAGCACCTGCCAGTACGTACTGACGTAGCTCGTCTCATTCACTGTGAGCAATACGACGGCACCGTTGTCCCGTGGGTTTGAACGGAAGTGGTAGACTTCTTCTTCCTACAGAGGGAGTTAGCTGTAAGGGGATAGCGTGTAGATGAAGAGATGCGTGCAAATGTCCACTGGTCTGGAACGTTGGCTACTGAAGGGTGCGTCGTGTTTAGGCGTTCAAAAGTCTATAACAGAGGTGGGTCAGCTTGGGTCCGACTCTTTGGGATGGTCCGGACATACAGCAGACTGTATCGTTGGGTGGTAGTCGAAGAATGCTACACAACTCATAGATCAGTAATAGATCTAACCCAGCAAAGGAACAAGCGCACCGCCAACAGCCTGCTCATAAGTTGTGTCATTGAACAGACATGCGCTCGCTGCGTGTACACCAGCATAGACGCCTCCCGATTGGAAGAAGGTCTGCAGGGCAGATTGTCCAGAGTCATCTAGTACTGCGACACTCTAGTCAGTACTTGCGAAAGGCAAGCGATAGCGAAAGTGTTTACCTTCATCAGAGTTGGAGACAAACATCACCCCGTCGAAACCACTCAAAGTGTCGTTTGTAAACAGTCCCTTGTCTCTGCAAGATCATAAGTGTCATGCAGAGCTTACAGCTAATGATCCACCCACTCGGAGAAGACGAATTGTACGCCATACTTGTCGGCATTATCCCCCAAGACTTCGATCGCTGTAGGGATTGAGTCGTGTCGGAAGCCTGCTGTGGCAGTGTACACCAACACGCGTGGTATAGACTGCTGGGCATAAATCGCAGGCAGAAACGAGAAGGATATGAGTGCTGGGAGAAGCATGTCTAGAAGTAAGTGCACGAAGACAGTAGAAGAGAGAGATGCTCACCACAGGGTTCGGTATGCCGCCAAGAGAAGCGGCGGTCGGCGCCCGGCACGGAATCAACTTGTGATGTCACCCGGCCGACCGATTTGATCCGTCATCGCTCACTTTTTTGGACTTGCCTATTGTCCACAACTTTCAGCACCAGAATGCTCTCGAGAGCGCTTCTCCGTCCGCCCACTTCGTCGCTCGCCCTCAGGCCCGTGTTCGCCAGCCCAGCCCGTTTGGCTCACTCCTTCCCTTCTCCATCGTCCCCCACCAGGGCTTGCCCCTCCTGCCAATCGCCCATACCTCTCCCACTCTCCCCTTGCTCCAAATGCTCCTCCTTACTACCTCTTCCATCGGACATGTCCCATCACTCGGTTCTGTACCTCTCATCTCCGACCGCTGCCTCCGCTAGAGGACCATTCGACCTGCCCAAGGAGCTGGAGCAATTAAAGGCTCATGGGTTTGGTGTTGATAAGAAGGAGCTGAGGGGTAATTGGTTGCAGAGGCAGTCAGCTCTGCACCCAGACAAATTTGGATCCAAGGGGGAACAGGCGGTGCACCTGGCGAGGGAGCTGAGTGGACGGGTGAATGAAGCATACGCCGTCCTGGGAGACGACCTGCGCCGGGCAGAGTATATCGTAAGTCCATCGACTTGTCGACTTGATAATGCGAAGCTAATGCTGGGTCCAGCTGTCGATATACGCAAAGGATACCCAAGAGACGGACAAGTTGGACGATCCTATGCTTCTAATGGAGGTTCTGGAGGCCAGGGAAGAGCTTGAAGAAGCCGAGTCGCAGGAAGAGATTGATAGAATACGCAGTTCGAATCATGGTCCGTCGATGACTCGAAATTGAAGAAGAGCAAAGCTGACTAAGCTTTCGATAGAGAAAGTATCGGAGATTACACAAGCTCTCACGGCAGCGTTCTCCGAGACGCCGCCCAAGTTGGATGAAGCCAAGGTGTTGGCGGTCCAACTCAAATATTGGATGGGGCTAGAGAAGTCCGCAAAGGACAAGATCGTGTAAGAACCTGGGAGGCGGTGAGTAGGGCCTCGTGTTCGAGTGTCAAGCCGGAAGAGATTGTAGCACTTGTCATGTCACAATTAGACGGATTGCTTGCGCTCTAATCTAGATGCAGCTGCATGTAGACGGAAGCACCCCTTCCCAGCATATCATAGTGCCTACTACCATTCTCTCGTGCTTCCGTGACCTTCACAAAAAGTTGCCATGAGGACACCGTTTTTCGCATCGAGGAATCAAGACTTGCGAGGCATGCACCTTGCGCACATTCAGACCACGTTTGCCACGTCGTAGATGAACCTGGACCACGTCGTTTCGTGGCTTCGTTTGTTTCGTTCATACAGTGGATTGATTACTGTAGGGAGGAAACTCGTCAGCAACGACTTTGTCGTAGATATGCCGATGCTCGCAAAACGACGCGTTGTCATTGGCTGCAAGCCCGACGGGCAGTGTCAGCGCGGACGAACAGTCTCCTTGAGTGCACTGAAGACGAGTTTCGTGGTCTTTGAGTGACATATCAGAGACCGCTGGTCCAGCATTACTCTTCTTTCCATCGCAACTTCTGTAACGGTTCATACCGCTGAAGCCACGCAATCCAGGGCTGACCACACGTCTCGCTCCAGTGTCCCGCTTGCTTTCTCACAACTCCCCATCCCCATCCCCTCATCTTCTCCTTCTGTTCTCCTCTCATGCGCAAGCAGTAGCCAAGACCAGAACCCAGGTCAACATGCCATGATAGTGTTACATGTCCCACTCGTATTGGAACGCTCCGTACAAACTCCCTCCTCCTTCTTCGATTTGATCTAGTGGCCATGGCCGTGTGATGATTTGGCGGCAAAAAAGTCGTCGTAGATGACATAGGCGGTGAAGGCGACAATGGCCGTTCCAAGCCCGGGGAACATGCCCCTGTGTCGCGGGTCAGCCCTGGTCTATAGCCTACAATAAGACGTACTTGAACATGGCCCTGTTGGAGAAGATGGGAGACTTTCTCCACGCCTCTCTCTTCGCCCACGGGTCGCGGTATAGGGGTCCTGGCATGGTCGGTGGTGGGCGGGGTATAGGGGCGCTGGGATGTAAGAGAAGAGTAGATAGGGCGGAAATAAGCGGTGTTATGTGGGTGGCGCTTACATAATAGTAATTAACGGTAACTACCCACTCGCTTCTTTGGACATTTTCCACTCTTCTCTTTCAATCTGCGTCCATCTCCAGGCTATACTATAGCGATGTCCCTCAGCTCATTCATAGAGCGCTCGGGGGACGCTCTCCGGTGGATTGTTCCGCCACAAATCACACCCCACACTCCCCCCCAACCCCCCTCCTCCTCCCTCTTCCTGTGGTTGCTTGCGTTGGCCTTCCTTCTCTTGGCCGGTGAGTAATATTTCGCGTGGCTCGCGCCTGGGATTATTATTGCCTTTGGTGCTGTATCGTGTAATCTCGAGGTGTCTGCAAGCAAAGGCAGAATTGTCACATTGTTCATCCATCTCGACACGCGTGCCCCCATCGGTCTACCTTCAGCTGACGTCAACCTTAGCCGTGATCGCCAACCCCTCTGAATCCTCTTTTCGTTCTCACCTCACCGACATCTCATTCCGCTCTGCCATGGCCGACTTTCGCCGCTCTGAGGATGAGGCTATCGAGGGAAACAACGCCGGTTCAGATACGCCTACCATTCTACCTCTGCGTTTCGCGAATCGCGTAGCTGTTTCACTACGCACGCCTACTCTGTACTACCGGTCATTTTTTCTCCTTTCAGTCTCCGTCACGCCGCCCCTCCAGAGCCCAGCCTATCTTTCCGACACCAGACCAACCCACGGGCACAAGCCCAAAGCGAGTGTCAAGGAGAGACACGTCCTCTGGCTCGGCATGTGGGGCAGCTGGATAGAAATCATGCTCATCCCTCTTCAACTTGAATGGGTATGGCGTGTTATGACTCGGGGAGAGCGGGAGAAGGGAAGAAAGAGGGCGGGAGAGAAGCCGGGGGTGTTTGAAATTAGGCAGGTGGTGGCGGAGAAGGAAACTGCGAGTTCTACTCCGAATCGTACGTCTCATTTCATGATCTGAAAGGATCGACTGACCTTGGCGCAGCCAAATCTTCCTTGAGCCCGGCAGCGGCCAAACACCTTCGTCGCACCGACTCGACCTCCAATCTCCCCGAACCTTCCTCTCACTCATCTCCGCATATAGCCCCAGCTCCTGATTCTCGGCGTCCCTCCCTCGTTTCCCTGCTCCCTCCTACTCCGTCATCACCTACTACCTCTGCATCCGACATCCTCGCATCTTCCCCCTTGCTTCTTACGCTCAAAGCAGAGCTTACCACTGCACAAGGCGTCATCACCGATCTTCAATCTCAGCTCTCTAACCATGAGCTCAGTGTGCAGGAGGCGCATGCCCATCTGCAGTCCAGCCTCGATGATTTGAGAGGACGGAGGAAGGAGGATGACGCGGAGAGGCAAGAGTTGAAGGCGCGGACAAAAGTGCTGGAAGAGCAGAAACGTCAAGCAGAGGGAGCGAGGCGAGAGGCCGAAAAGAAGCTGCGGGCGGTGGAAGGCATAAGAGATGGGTTGGAAGATAAAATCAAGGGAACCGAGGCGGCGCTTCTCGAGTTCAGTCGAAAGATTGAGGGTAGCAAGCAGAGTGTAAAAGTATCACATGAGGATCGGGAGCAGTTTGTGCGAGCCACTCGGGAAGAGGTCGACACGAAAAAAGCCGAACTACGCCAAGCTGAAGACGAAATTTCCCTTGTCGAGAGCCACAACGAATCTCTCGAAATGCGCGTCAAAGAAGCAGAAGAGAGGCTGCAAGCCGTCATAGAAGCTGGCGAAGCCGCAAAGAAGATTGCACCGGAGGAGGAGATGATAATGATGGCTGCGGCGTATGAAGCAGCCGCCCAGGAGGGTTATCAACACGGGTATCAGCATGCTCATGGGGGTACAAATCCCTGGGCGACGCAGGCGGCGGCGTATATGGCCGAGGCAGGCATGCCTCAGCTGGGTTACGACTATACTGCCAAAACAGCTTCGTCCGGCGCGGGTAATCATCTTTCCAAGGGTGGTCTGGCATCTTCGAATAAAGATCTGCCGGGCCTGAGGCAATTCGCAGACATGACTGGTTTCGAGGACTTTGGTCCCGGGGCCTCTGACGGGGCGAGTGTGAGCCGACGAGGGAGCGCTAGGGTCAGCCGGGACGTCCCTCCCCAGCCGCCGAGTGATAGCGAGTCTGAAATCTACGGGCACGATTCTGGCTCTCCCAACGGCATCTCGTCTTCCTTCTCGGCAAATCTTTTACCACAAGGCCTCTTTTCTTCTTTGGAGGGGGAAACACCTTATGTCGGCGCGGGCGAGTTTGACGACCCACTAAAGTTGGAGACTGGATTTGGCGGTGACCCACACAGTCCAGGTTCGGGCTCTTCTTCCGGTGAATCTTCTCCCCACTTTTCACGTTTCCCTGCGTCTTCTTCACCTTTCGCCCCTATCAACAACAATCAATCCACCAATACGCGTATTTCAAGTCATATGAAACAACGGCCAAGTGGTCCGGGCATCGGGAGTGTTTCTGCGTCCCGCCTTCCACTCCTTGCCTCTACTTCACCTTCGCTATCACCCAAAGGCCTTACCCCTCCTGCCCATTCTACCACGCCTCCCCTCATCCCTGGCTTGCCTTCCTTGCCAGGATCGAGGCGGTGGGTCTCGGGCACGATGTCTTCCGACAACCTCTCTCTACCTTCCATCCCTTCATCTACCAAGCACTCCAACCCCTTCTCGGGTTTCGGTGCCCTTCACCACCCTTCTCTCACATCATCCAACGACTCTCTCCATCTTCCCGCCCCTTCTTCAGGACCCTATGGCCTCCAAGCTTCCTCGTCTTCCCCTGCCCTTGATGTCCCACTTCCTGTAGGCGCGGGAGCAGTCGGGGAATTCTCCCCTTTCGCACCGACAGAGGGAGAGAAGAAGGCCCTGCAGCTCGGTACGCCTGGCAAATGGGGTGGACTGGGTTTGGGCAAGAGGTGGCAATCTGGCTCGTCCAATGCTCCTACGTCTACTGCTATTCCTTCCGGGACGGTGGCAGGCGGGGCGGACGAAGGCGGGTGGCCGAGTGCACTGCAAGGATGGAGGAAGAGCGAGGAGGTGGGGAGGGAAGAAGCTGCTCCGGGTGGAGCGGTCGGAGGGGTTTGGGGGGTCAATGGGAACGGGAGTGGAAAGGGAGGGTATGGAGGGTACGGGTTTGGTCAGGTGCAAGGGCAAGGTGTCATCGGGGATGGTCAGCAAGGACAGCAAGGACAGGAGGTGCAAGAGGAGAGAAGGCCAAGATTTTCGTTCTTGCGAAAGAGCCAAAACAATCTGGCTTGAACTCTTCTTGCCAGCCAACTACGCCTTTTTCTTTGCTGTCATATACCCCTTTACCCGCCTTTCAGTACAGACAGACGCCCCCATCCGACACTCTGCTTAGGTGGCGGCTTGGAACACTTTGTTTTGCTCTAGTTTCAGTTTTTATCTTACGACTTTTCAAACATATACGCGTATCAGACACGGCTTATTCAGATGATGTTGTTGGTGTGTGGTGCGAGGCGTGAGGAGAGGAGGGAGAAGGGAGGAAAGAAGAAATATTAGTCGACAACTTTCTCGTGGATATGTCACAAAGTCCATCTGCTGGCACTATACGAAGCAATACATGGCGCGCTGGATGCTAATGCGTTGTTTGTACAACTGTCCATCGATACCCTTGTTTGTTACAAATGTCCTACGGGCTACAGATGGCCTTGACAGCTGTCCCGCTGTCACAGCTCACTTTCCATTCGTCGACTCTTGAGCTTCTTGAAACTTCATGAGTTCATATACCGACTTCTATAGATGAACCAAACTCACTCGTAGAGCCATTCCCCGACAAATACCCCTTGATAACGTCCAATGCGGCATCATACTCCACCTTCACGCTGGGCTTTGGGTACAGCGGCATCGGCTTGTCCCACGCGTGCTTTTCCCCCGGCACTTGCCTAACGCTGACAACCTTGCCCCTCTCCTCCAGCCTCTTTTGAAAGTCTAGACCCTCAGCTAGGAGCATGTCATATTCACACAAGGTCATGTGTACGGCAGGAAGAGTATCCAAGAGCTCGTCAGAAACCAGCCCAGGAGAGAGGCGAGGGTCGACGAGGTCGATGCCCGGCGGTAGGTAGGATGAATCAAAGAGGGTGGTGAGTGAGGGGGCAAGGGTGAATTCGGGATTGGCGCACGCATCTCTCTTCTCGGGCCTAGACTTGGAGTAGTCCAGTAAAGGGTAGAATACGATGATGCCCCGTATCGAAGGTGGGTCGCAAGGCAAGTCGTAACCCCACTTGGCTGCGCTGCGAAGAAGCAGATAGCTGGAGAAGGCCAGGTTGCCCCCAGCTGAAAACCCAGAGAGGAAGAGTTTGGTGGGATCTACACCATAGGCTTTGGCATTTTGGGCCAAGTGAACGATAGAGCTGGCACAATCTTCAACGGGTACTGGGAAGGGATTTTCGGGAGCACACCGGTAAGAGACTGCGATGACCACTGCGCCGAGAGTCTCGTTGGCTGCAGCAGCCCACCGAGCATCATCGGTGCCATGACCCAGCACGAATCCTCCACCGTGAAAAACAATCATGCCAGGCCTTCCAGTTTTGGCTCCCTTCCCCCCCACCTTGGGCTCATATATGTCAAGCCGAATGGTATTTTTGCTCTGCTTGTCGCCCAAGGTTGCGTCGATCCACTTGGTGCGCGTCGGCGAAGGAGCAGCGGGGGAGGCGTAGTGGTGCATTTGAAACCCAATGACGGCGGCATTTCGCAAGGCCTTTGCACGTAGGGCGAGAGCCCAGTAAGGGGGCTGGGAATCTGAGGCATGGGGGTGGTGGGCATGCTTGCGGTGATGATGATTTTGATTCTGTGCCATGGCTTTCTGGTGGTGATTCAGGTTGCAGTAGCAGAGGAGTTTTTGGATCATCAGCTGATGTTGTTGCGTGTACTTGACGTCGTGGAGATGTCGTGGCTCTGCTAGGCTCGATTCCGACCTCCCTCGTGCTTCATGTTTCCAGTCGAGATGCGCCAATTTGCTGGAATCAACCCTGGCGACGTCACACCAAGTGGAGGTTGACTGGTGACTCACCGTCGACATGGCATGCCGTTGAAAAAATGACCCTATATATTTCTTCGCTTCTGCTCTCCTTTCTCTCCCATACTCCACGCCATGTCCGAATCATCCCCCAATCCCATCGCAAAGCTCGGCCACGCCCTCAAACCCTCGACCATCGCAGCTCGCATCCACAAGGACGCGGCGCCCAGTGACGGTGGCGACACTGGCAAGACAGCAGCAGAACAGCGCGAGAGAAAGGAACAACACGAGGCGGAGAGGAAACAGGTGGAGAATGAGAAGAAGCAGAAGAAGGCAGAGCATGAGAGGGAAGTCGAGGAGATTCAGCGACGACGGCAGATCTCAGACCAGCACGCCGAGCAAACAGAAGATCCCGAGACACGCGCGAGCTATGGTGACGTAGAGGAGCTTGAAGACATCATTCCTTTGCAAGAGGTTGTCCAGCTCCCTGCAGGTCGGAAGGTCGCTATTCGAGGACGCATCCACGCGCAACGTGACGTCTCTGCCCATCTCAACTTTGTTCTCGTTCGCCAACGCGGGCTTGTCATACAGGCTGTGCTGTCGGACGATGAGGGCTCGGAACACATGGTCAAGTGGGTCCAGCGCCTCGCAGACGAATCCATCGTCCAGGTGGTAGGTGTACTGCAAGAGCCGCCAAAGCCCATCACCTCACATGTCGACACCCCTCTCGAGCTGCGTATCGAGCAGATCCACCTGGTCGAGGCTTCTAACCTCATCCCCTTCAGCCTGTCGCATGGCGACCGCCCAGGCCAGTCCACCCGTCTCAAAAACCGCACACTCGACCTTCGCCATCCCACCAACCAAGCTATATTCAAAATCCGGGCCAAGGTGCTCAAGGTATTCCGAGATACGCTCGATGACTTGGGTTTTTTGGAGATCAACACGCCCAAGTTGCAGCCGGCAGCGACGGAGAGTGGCGCAGAAGTGTTTAGGGTCAACTACTTTGGGCGAAGGGCGTTCCTGGCGCAGAGCCCACAGTTGATGAAGCAGATGGCGATTTCCGGCGACTTTGGGCGAGTGTATGAAGTGAGTTTAGCCTCTGCGCGCTGTGAACCATGCTGATTCGAATAAGGTTGGACCGGTGTTCCGAGCCGAGAACAGCAATACCCACCGCCATTTATGCGAATACACGGGCCTCGACATAGAGATGGCCATTCAACAAGACTACCACGAAGTTTTCTACGTGCTCGATGCCGTTCTCAAGAATATATTCCGAGCCATCCAGGGCATGTCGCAAGAGCTCGAAAGGGTACGCGAGTCATACCCCAGTGACGACTTTGTTGCTCTGGAACAGACGCCCATCATCCCCTTCCACGAGGCAATCCTCATGCTCCGCGAAGACGGCCGAGATGTCGAAGAGGAAGACCTCCACACCCCCGACGAAATCCGTCTAGGGGAGCTTATCAAGGCCAAGTACGGCGCCGACTATTACATCATTGACCGTTTCCCCAAATCCGCGCGTCCCTTTTACACCGCCAACGACGGCACAGTGACCAACTCTTTCGACATGTTTGTTCGTGGGCAAGAAATCTGCACTGGAGGGCAAAGAATCAACCAGCATGATAAGCTTCTGGCCAGCATGCGAGAGGCCGGGATTAATGAGCAGGAGATGGAGGACTACTTGCAAGCTTTTGCGTGGGGTATGCCTCCTCATGGAGGTGCAGGTCTGGGAGTGGAGAGGATTGTGTCGTTCTTCCTCAATCTCCCTGATGTGCGACTTGCCACCATGTGGCACCGCGACCCCCAATCTCTCCCCAACAAAGCCCCTACCCTTCCTCATCCCGACGCCGACACGACCAAAGAAATCGACCCCAAGAACCCTCCTCCCATCGAGAACCTTATTGCCAACTATGGCGACGCCACAAACACCTCATGGCTGGACGACAGGTTTGAGATCTGGCGCGACGAGGAGACTGGCGCTGCCGTGGGGTACTCTCTCCACAGTGAAAAGTTCTGTATGATCACTGGCGACCCTCTCTGTGCCGACAAGCAAAAGAAGGAAGTCGCACGCCGCTTCATTCACTTTGTCAAGCACGACGTCAAACGGCGTCCTGTTTGGATGCTTGTATCAGAGACGATGGAGGAGATCCTCGCCGAAGAGTTTAGCTGGCGTGCTCTGAGCTGTACCCAGGAGCAGCGGAGTGACTCGGACAAGGCCGACCCAACCGTGATCAACAATTCCAAGATCAACAAAGGCGTCTTCAAAATCCGCGAGGTTGAGCCTACAGACGATATACGCGGAGAGTGCGACAAGAGAATCGATGAGTGGAAGTCTGGGAGAGATGAGAAGGGCAAGCAGGTACACCTAACGGAAGTTGCGCCGTGGAGAGACACAGAGCATAGGCGGTACTTTGTTGCCGAGTCGGAGCATGGGAAGGAGGGCGAGGGCAAAGGCGAGATGCGAGTGGTTACACTGGTGGTGCTGGCGCAGCTTGCTCCCACCAAGGGTTACCAGCTGAAGTGGGCGTTGGACTTTCCTGGTTCTCCTCACGACGCCATCGAATCTACTGTCCAAGCTGCCCTCTCTGCCGTACCTGGGGAGCCCGTCACATTTGGAACCGCTGTATCCGAGCGTCTTGTCGCTAAACACGGTATCAAAGAAGTCCGAGGCAGGTTCATGGAGAGGACGTATAAGGGGATAGTGAAGAGTTTGTCGTTGGACAAGAAGGCTGGCTTTAGGGAGAAATTCGGGGTTAGTGGGGATTTGACGTATATCTGCTATCCCAAGGGAGGTATCAAGCCTTACGAGCTGAAGGAGATTGTCAAGTTTTTCGAATAAAGATCCTAGTGATGTCGCATAGCCCTGATGATGTGATAGACGATACGCCATGTATATACGCATGTGAACAGACGAACTCAAGGTCCGTTTTCTTCAGAGCATATGTTGCTGTTGCTGCTGGATGCCTTTGTCAACGCAATGCTGGGAGGTGATTTTTGGCCTGTAGAGTATGATCGGGAGTTTGACAGAGAGAGAAGGTTGATGCAGTGTGAAGGAGGATATCGGAACTTTGAGGTAGAGAGGTCAAAGAGAAAAGGAAAATGTCAATCACGACGCGACTCGCTTCTGCGGTGGTCCGAGCGCTCGACCAGACATGCGTGAGCTAATCCGGTAATAGCTCAAAATCTCAAGACAGTACATAGAAAGCAAATTAGCAAATAAAGACAGAGCAGGCGAGTCACAATGTGTTGGCACGAGGGTTCCTTGTAAGATACTCGATAGCAAGGTCAGAGACGTTTGCAGCCATTCCCAAACTAGCTTGGAACCTGAAGTATCATCAGTCACCACTCCAGGTAATGACGCTACACTCACCCAGAAGATCCGATCCCGTAGGCATGCACGACCGCAACCTTCCTCTTGTGTCCCAGTTTGCCCACTGCAGGGGCAATTGCATAAGCCCCCTTTCTGCTTGCGCCTTCCCCGATCTCGAGCTCTTCCAACTCCAACCGTGGGCTTCCCTCTCTCGCTGGTCGGAGCCCGACATTGTGGGAAACAATCTCTATATCCTTCCAGGACTTGCCGTTGGGTCCGGCGAGGGCGGGGGCAAGGTCGTAGCAGTCTTTGAGGATGCGCTCGGCCTCGGTGAGGGAAGGAAGGGTGTCCCAGACGTTCGGCTGATAGACGCCTCCGAGGACGACGTGACCCTCTGGGCCCGGACGGGGAATGATGTAGGCAGGAGGGATGGGTTCTGGTTGTATTAACTGGGGAGTCATCATAAGACGAGTCAAGAACTCACTTTTACCAGGAGCGACATAGAACCCCTCCGTCTGCATCACACACTCTTTGAAACCTGGCGCCTTGACCAGGACCGTCTGCCCTCTAGCCGGGTGCACCTTGTCATCTTCCACACCTATCAAGCTCTTTGCTCCCATACCGGTAGCGTTTACGACGAGCTGGACTGGACCGATGGATGGGAGGCTGTAGGCTTCGTCGAGCGAAGACAGACGGGCACGGATGATGGGAATGTGGCGAGAACGAACATCGGCGCCAAGGTGGGCAAGGTAGGCAGGAGCGTTAAGGACGTAAGAGGTGAAGGAATGGCCGTAAGCCTTATTTCCAGGAAGAGGAGCTGTAGAGGTAGCCTTCAAGTCTTTATACTAGACATTGTCAGCTACCAAAACAAGGATCGCGTTGTCACACATACGTCGAAGACCAATTTGTGGAACCAGGGAGTCCCCTCCTTGCCCTTAGGTGTGTCCCAAACGGAGCAGAAGGGAATCTTTTCGCAAAGCTCGGGGTGCTCTTCGGCGAGCTTGCCAAACTGCTTGTAGGTGACGGTATCCCATTCGGCTGCGGGTGTGCCGCCCTGGGCAAAAGAGAACCAGTTGCAGCCTGCCCAGGGACTGGCAAACCCGGTGCTTGTGGCATCTTCTGGGAGGTCTTTCGCGACGATTGCGACTCTGTAGCCGCGGTTATCAAGCTCTCTGGCGGTAGAGAGGCCGACGACTGGAGGTGTCAGCATGGACCAGGCCAGATAACGGAAAGGATGTCTACCTCCTGAGCCAATGACGACGATGTCGTACTGGGACATGATTTTGCTGGTCGAGAGGGCGAATATGTAGTGGTTTTAGTTCCCGAGTCAGTCACGGTGTACTTTTAAGTTCTATACACATACAGATGACCAGTATCGAGGGGAACTAGGGAGCTAAGCTATGAGAGTATATATGGCGGAAAAGAAAGCTATAAATAGATAGGGTTCAATGTAGCGTAGACAAATGGGTGAAGGTACATAGACATTACGAATTACGGGACCCTAACAAGAACATGCGATGCGTTATGTGATTTGTCGAGATCTGACGTTCGGTGTTCATCGCGCCCTGTTTGGTGGCCGAGATAGGGAGCGTGTCTGAGACCGCCACGCTGCGACGGGATCAAATTGCATACGCTGCGCGATAACTGTAAGCGGCGCGGATGTGATGCTGGTGTTATTGTTTGATCCGTACAATGGACAAAGAGGAGCCCCCAAAGCGCAAGCTGGGCAAGGTCGAGCGCGGCAGAGCAGCCTGCAACGAATGCCGCAGACACAAGGTACGGCCCCCGCCCCGCCTCTGTCTCTGCCACCGCTGACCGCTTCAGATCCGATGCCTGCCCCATCCAGAAGATCCAGACCACCAATTCCCATGCTCCAGATGCGAGCGGATGAACCTTGGGTGCGAGTTTACAAAGCACAACAGAGGGCGGAAACGCAAGAGGCCGTGGGTGACCGACGAACCATTCTGATTGTCCCATGCCCGAGCTCACTGTGACCAGGACTGATGCCGGCACTGAAGCCGCATCCCCAGAGGCGCCCGAGGCAGGACCTTCCAAAAACCGCCCACAACCTCGCCCATACGATTACCAGTCTTCAGAGCGTACCGAAGAATTTTCAAAGTCTTTTGGCGACCCCCGTTTCCCATTCATCTCGACCGACCTCGCGGATACCGTCCCTTCCAAGGGCTACAGCAGTACGCAATATGAGAGTGAACACCGCAACTATGGAGCAAGACAGCCAATGTCCTTGAAGCACATGATCGGAGAAGATTACGAGAACGAATTGTCATCGGATGAAGATGAGGAAGACAGCCGGTATGCCGACGAGGACGAGGAGAATAGAGAAGATCAGGGGACGAGAAGAAGGGCTAAGGCGGCCATAAACGGAGGAGGGTATAGCGCGCCTGATCCTGTGAAAGCGGGCGTAGTGTCGGAAGAAGAAGCAAAAGCACTGTTTCGTCTGTAAGTGGACTTGCGACAGAAAAGTTGAGGGGCTTATGGCTTTGTAGGTTTATGGCGCACCACAACAACTCGATGCCAATGCTCGATCCTGCGGTACACACGCACGACTATATCAGAAACGTGTCCACTCTTCTCTACACTGCTATTCGTGAGTCGTCGTTTTGGGACAACTTGTGTGAGCTCATACAGCGTAGTCTGCGTCACATCACGGTATCTCCCCTCCATAACGTCCAACAAACACGAAGTCTCCCCCGAATCCGCTCGTTCGGTACACCAGCAAATTCTCGTATCTGCCCGGGACAACTTGACTTGGATATTTGCAGAAGCTATTATAGACATCAACGCGGTGAGGGCAATGATCGTTCTTGCTCTGTACAAGGAACCAGACGATGATAAGGCTGGATACTATATCAATAGAGTAAGCAGTCACAACATGAACTGAAGTGTGCTCAAATCATTGGTAGGCCGTGTTGATGGGCAAGGAGCTCAACTTGGGCCGGATACCACCAAAAGAAGAGCTGGACCGGATGAATGAAGATCAGCAACGTTGCGTGCGATCGCGACAACGTGTATGGCTTTGTTTGTTCTTTGTCAACTCGATTTTCGCCATGCAATTCCGGCAACCGATGCTTATCCTCCAGAATGACCATTTGGTGGCTTCAGCGTGAGTAAATGTTACTCGTGATGACGATGCAATTAGCTGAGATTGTTAGTCATCATTGGCTCAAGCGGAGTATGCCAGAGACGCTTCTGAGGGATACGCAGCTGGTCTGCTCTGTCGAGTTGCGACGAAAGTATCTCCATTATCGGGATTTGTTGCTTGGGACTGGTCCCGAGGGGACGGCGTATAGGAGTGCTTTATCGCTTTCCATCTTGACACGCTCGATGAATGAGGATTGGGACGTCATATCGAATGCTTGGATTAGGGACATCATTGATGGTGAGTACTGGTATCAGCAAGAAGACGTGAGCTGACGGGGTATAGTCGGAGGAACTTCTTCACACGTCATCAAACCACGTATTTGGTCTTCCGCTCTCTGCCTCAACCTCAATCTCCTCCTGGTCAACCAGACCCTCCGTCTTCCACCAGATGACCAGATAGACTACGGAACTCCAAGCTCTATCCCTGCTTTCCACCATTGTCTGAACGCTGCAACGACAGTGTTGATGCGGTTCGAAGCACTAGATAGGCAGCAGCTGACTTTTGCTTCCGACACATTCCTGCATTTCGCACTGTATGCTGCTACTCTATTGTCGAGTGTGAGTGACTTTGTCTGACAATGGACTCAACCTGACGCCTTGGCAGCTCTGCAGGGGTCAACATCCCTATAAATTTGACTCACTTGAGATCGAACACTGTCGCCGTCTTATCACCAAAGCAGCCGACGCTCTCGATTCGGCCTCGCATTACACTCACGACTCGCCCCAACTCCATTCCTTCTACCTCCGCCGCCTGCTCCAATACCTACCCCCTCCTCCTCCTGTTCCGACGTCAGGCTCACAACAGTCGAGCAGCCCCCGCTTCACAATCCTCCCCGGCATGGCTAGCTTGCCCGGGATGGGAGAGGAAGGCAGCCAGGTAGGGGCCATGGCAGATCTGGCGGCAGTGGCGGGCACCGGGGTGGGAGTCGGGATGGACATGGACATGTTTATGTCTGACTTTGCATGGATGGGCGATCTTGGGGGCGGCACAGATGGGAATCTGGCATTGGGGCTTGCAGGGAGTCTGGGAGGCTCCTTGCCGCAGATGCAGGTGGCGGGTGCGCCTCTGTATGGGTCCTCTTTCGGTCGGGTTTGAAAAAAGGAAACCAATCCAAAACGGAGTGTATAGTACGATCTCGCTCTTTTGTGTCACGGCCATCATCAGCGGACGATTGGGATGCTTCCTCGCTCGAGTGTAATGTATATCCAAGTGCTCTCTTTGTATATGGTACAAGCACAGTATGATTCACACCTATGCTATGCTAGAATCATGCTGCTTGTATTTGATGTTTGTCTACAAAGAGTAAAGAGGCTGAGAAACAGAGGCTTCGGTTCCACGATGCCTAGTGGGACAGGGAGGAAGCAATCCTCGCCCCTTGCGCTAGGCCGAAGGCATCCCCAATAGGGATGTATTATTTTGATCATGTGGCTGTGAAGAAGCATGACATCCAGCAGCCAGGCGGGGCGGTAATGTGATGGACCATTCATTCGCGAGCAAATCTATCATTGCATAGACAAAGCACCCATTCCTGGTTTCCGTTCAATAGCCCAACGATAAAATCCAAATTATGCGCCTTCTACGACTCTACGGCCTAAAGACCTTCTCCGCTGCCCTCAACAAAGGCCACCTCCAATCAGCCTTCCACTCCGTCTCTCCACCTTTACTCAGCACCAACATTTCTTCCTCTGCCTTCTCCTTCCACCCATTTCCCTTCACGGCGTTGTCCACATCTTCCCAGAGAATCTTGTTGAACGTCAAAGCGGCATTCACTTCCTCCGGCTCCATGACTGAAAGACGCAGGTGGTGTACGGCCAAATCAGTACCATGCGATACTTTAGGGCCTTGTGAGACGGGGACAAATTCAATGGCGTAGCGGACCGCCGGGAAGGAGTGGGCGGTGAGGTCTTTGGTAAGCAGCCGGACTGGGAGGTGAACTTGACCATCGGCGAGGACCTGCAAGATGTCAGTGTGTCGATAAGGGGAGAAAGGGAGGGACATACGCGACCAAGTCTATCGTCGAGCTGTTCAGGAGTAGAGTCTCGGGGAATGGGTGGGTAAGAGTCAAGGAAGCGCTGGGACTGCTCGTAGGGGTAGTATCGGGCGATGTTCGGGACCAGTTCGTCGTAGATCTTGCTTGGGTGTACTCCTCTATAGAAGCTGTCCTGCTTTTCATCAACTCTGGTATCAGATGAGCAGTTGACGGAGACTCACTTCATCTCTGACATCACCGGCGACGATGCACTTGACCCCAGCATCCCTCAATCCTCGCGCAAGGCCACCAGATTGTTGGAATTCCATCTCGTCAGCCCGCACCCATCCATCAGAGCCCACCACCCCTCGGAAAGTACAAAGTTCGCCCATTTCCTGGACAGCTTTCATGATCTTGGCCGTTGGATACTTGGCAGTGTCCCGCAACTCGTCGAGTATGTTGGGTGTAGTCGCGTCCGCCCCAAGAGCTTGGCAGAACGCTTCGAACTGCGCCTTTCTCACAGCAGGAGTGAGAGGGTCGGCGAGGATGGCATTAGACTGCAGGTGGGCAGTGATGAAAGGCGCAGGTAAGGGGGCGAGTCGGGCAGCTTGGTGGATGAGCTGATGTACGACATGAGCGCCACCACTCAGCCCACTTAGGTGGATCTGACTAGGATCACCACCGAAGGCAGCAATATTACTCTTGACCCACTCGAGACCGAGCCAGCAGTCTTTGAACCCAAAGTTGCCAGGGACTGCAGGCTCGTCGACGCCGAGGAAGCCTAGAACCGATACACGGTGCCCGAGGAGAACACGGACTTCATTGTAATGTTCGGCAGAGAAAAACTGTTGGTTGTAGTAGTTGCCAGAAGTGCTACCATACTGCAAGAAGCCTCCGTGTATGAAGACGCGGACAGGACGCAGTGGCTGCTCGCCGGGAGACGAGAGAGCATAGTCGGAGGGAACGTAGATGTCGGCAAAGAAGGGGTTCTCTGTGGGCTGTCCGAGGCCGAGACGTTCGCGAATGGTGTTGGTCTGCTTGTAGGTGCGTTCTGGCTGGGCACAGTACTTGCCGTCCACGGTGAAGGGAGTGTCGGGGTACTTGTAGTCTTCGGGCAGAGGCTGGGGATCAGACCACCGAGGGACGTCGACACCATAGGGCACGTCTTAGAGGACGGTCAGAAGAGCTGCGCATGCTAGATAGATAACTCACTCAGGAAGACCTGGACCCCATTCTTGACTCTGCCGCCGGTGACCTTGCCATGCATGGTGATGGCGGATACCTTCTGGGAGGTGGATAGAGCGAGCTGCTCGCCAGTCATATCATTGGCGGCAATGTCTGTCGTGGGCGGTCGGACGGCGGTGGGCATGTCGGGAGGTGGTGGGTACTTGGATGTAGGAGCAAAAGGGGTTATATGAGGACCACGGGCATGCTGGGTCCTGTCACGCTATCTGGCGAGGAGGGGATACCGAGCATCGGTCATCAACCGGCAAAAATAGTTGCTCAGGGTTCGCATCGGTGACTTTTGAGCAATTCGGTGTCTTCGAGATGCCATTACCGATCCAGAATCACGATCCAGAATCACGAATAGACTCGCTGCTGACCTTGGGCTGAAAAGACAAGAGAAGCAACTGGAAAGTGACGAGACGAGGTGTCGCTTTCTAGGACACGACATGCATCTGCCTCTTCTGTCTATCGGTACTGGAACCTCTCCAGTGGGACCATGTACTTTATACAGACGACCCAGATAACGAATAGATGTAGTATTGGCCTGATACCGATGTCGGACTAGTCCACTCCGTCGGTCCGCGTCCCTGATGCCTCGCGCCGGCTGCGCTCTTTCTCTTATCATATCACCGACTTCCATCTCTTGATTCCCGACTCGCCCCACCAGCCACGTCCCACCTGCATCTCTTATCGCCATGGTCTAGTCATATATATCCACTCCCCGTACTCATCCTCGCCGCCAACACATAGATCTATCCCGTCATGATTTCGAGTATAGAAGACGAAAAGTCATCCACCACGGCCTCCCAGGCAATGCCCGTCCCCGAAGTCCTCGATCGCGAAAAGGTCCAAGCCTTGGAACGAGTAGAGTCAGCCAGGTCAAACGTCCTGGAAGACTTGGGGCGGGGCGAAGGCATCTCTTACGACGACCTCCCCATCATCGAAGTATCCCCAGAAGAGAACAGAAGGGTGCTGAGGAAGCTCGACTGTCTACTGCTGCCTCTCACGATGATTGCCTACACATTGCAATACGTCGACAGGTCTGCCATGAGGTGCGTCTCTCTATCTATGCTTAATTTTACTTGTGCTAAACTCTGCCTCGTTCTGTAGCTATGCCGCCGTCTTTGACTTCCGGACCGACCTCCATCTCGTGGGCAAGCAGTACTCGTGGCTGGGGAGCGTCTTCTTCCTTGGTTACCTCGCTTTCGAGTTCCCAGGCTCGTACGTCCTTATCTCTCTCCAATGATATCTCTCCGTCCCTGGGCCCCGCGCTGAAACCTCGCTTAGATACATCCTCCAGCGTCTCCCTCTTTCCAAGACCATGGGCGCCTCTATCATCATCTGGGGCGGTCTGCTCATGTGCATGGCAGCTCCCAGAACGTTCGGTGGTGCCGCTGCTGTCCGAACACTGTTAGGATGCTCCGAATCGCTAGTCACGCCTGGTTTCGTCCTCATCATCAGCCGTTTCTACAAGCGCGAGGAACAGCCGCTCCGCGTCGGGCTTTGGTACTGTTGCAACGGGCTGGGTAGTTTCATTGGCGCCCTAGTCAGCTATGGTATGGGGCATATCCATGTGAGCAACATACCGTCCTGGGCATGGATCTTCATCGTCAAGTGAGTCTTTTCTGGTATTCTTCTTCCATGCCACTGACACCTTGATAGCGGTGGATTCACCGTCCTCTTTGGTATCGTTTTTATCCTGCTTTGCCCTGAAAACCCTCAGAACTGCCGGATCCTGACACCCCACGAGAAGCGTATTGCTCTCGAACGCGTACGAGGCAACAAGTCGTCACTCGGGAGCAAACAGTTCAAGTGGTACCAGGTCAAAGAAGCTCTTTGCCCGTGGATCTGCCCTCAAGGATGGGCCTATGTCTTTATCACCCTCAGTCTGTCTCTCCCCAATGGTGGAATCGGGAACTTTTTGCACCTGATCGTGAGCCTTGCAATTCCCTGCAACAATGGGTGAAGGCTGACATACGCCAAGTTGCAATCATACGGCTACAACTCCTTCCAGACCATCCTCATGGGCCTACCCCAGGCCGCCATGCAAATCGTCTTTCCCCTGACCGGCGCCATCATCGCCAGAAAAGTACCCAACTCTCGCCTTTACGTTCTTATGGCGTACATGCTTCCAAGTTTAATCGGTGTCATCATCCAATACAAGACCCGTCAAAGTGGTGCTCTTCGTACGTCCTCTTTCCCTCTTCATTGATCTGGCCTGACCATGTTTTAACAGTGTTTGGCTATTACATCCTTGGTTCATACGTCGCCTCTCTGGGTGTCGTTTTTGGCGCTCCTGGTGCCAACGTCGTCGGGTACACCAAAAAAGTGGTCGTGGGCGCCATGGTCTTCATTGCCTACGCCCTTGGCAACGTCTGCGGACAGTTCTTCTGGAAAGCGACCGAGACTCCTGCTTACAGGAGTGGTATGCTTGCGTGCATCGTATGCTTCACGGCGACGATACCGATGGCGGGGGCGCTGAGGCTGTATTATGTGTATGAAAACAAGAGAAGGGATCGATTGCAAGCCGAGAAGGGGAACACGGGGGAGATTGAGGCAGGGAACTTTGCGGATATGACGGATGTGGAGAATCCATTCTTCAGATATGCCCTCTAAGTTGCTACATTATTGTTGTTTCTATGCTTGTCTTGAATGAGAGGATTTTTTGGGTGTTCAAGACGTATGTACGTATTATGATTGTAGGTTGTTTAGAATAAGAATAGATCGGTCATAATGATCGACATAATGCAAGACTAGATGCACCCCAGCTCCTTCATACTCAAAAGGGACAGTCCCATCCCTCTGCTCCGGCTCATCGTCTCTCTCACCTTCTTCATCCGTATCCTCATCTCTTCGCCTTCCTTCCCCTTCATCCTTCCCCATACATCCACCATCTCCTTTTTTGATAGCCGCTTCCGGGCCCACAATCACAGTCCCGTCGTATAGAATGTTGTACAAGTCGGGATGTTGAAACGTCTTTGTCTGTTTGAGGTCTATGCCCACGTGAAGGACTTCGGTGAGGAGGGCGGCGTACTGTGCTTGGTCGCCGAAGAAGGGGATGGAGACGATGGGTACTTCGGCGAGTATGGCCTGTGATGCCCATCAGTAACGTTGATTGACTTTGTGCCTCGGGACATACCTCTCCTGTACTGTTACTTCCACAATGAGTCTGTCCATGTATATCAGTAGTCATCACAGGTATCGTCCATGCTGGACACTTACAATGAAGAAACTAGTAGCCTCATGATTCAACACGGCCCATTGCGGCCCGAACCTGACCAAACACCCGTTTTCAATTCCTTCACACTCCCGCAACAGATCCTCGGGTACAGGGCCGATACCAGACGCGTAAGCGAATACGAAAGGGGTGTTGGCCTGGCGGAGAGTATGGACGATGTATCGGATGAGTTCTGGACGGAGGAGAGGGAAGAAGGCGGAGCCAAAGCTGTAATGGAGTTGAGCGATGTTCATGCGAAATGGTGTAATGGCGTACCTCAAGTAGCAGACGGAACGAGAGCCATGTTTGATCTTCATCTCATCAAGGAAGCGGACCACGCGCTCATCGTCGGCACTGTGAGTTTGGATCGTCGAGTGGCCTTCCCACATCACACCCGGGAACTGAGGACTATAATAATGTCAGTCTTTCATGGTTCTAATTGAGATGCGACAACATACCCAGCCATATACACCTTCTTCCCAATCTCGGCTTCTAACGCCTCTACAGCCACTGGCTCAAGCTCAGCGGCGGAAGAAAGAATGACGCCCTTAGTGGCAGAATCTTGGAGCGCATGGTAAGAAGGCAAGATGGTCATGGTCATCTCAGGATGGAGTGGGCAGGTAGCAAGATGAGGCCCTTTTCAAACGAGTCAGTAGGCCTTATGAGACACGAGTAAGGGTGACGACAAACACCATTCATCTATTGTAACATTAGCAACGCCTTGATTCTGAGCTCCGCCAGACATACAGTCAAATTTGGTTGGCAGACCAGGTAGAAGTACGGTCTTTCCTGTGCTGCGATAGGAATGCTAGGACGTAGGGTCAGAGGGCAAATGTTGACCGAGCGCAAAGCCCACCGACTTTTGCAAAGGCTTCAACAGGAGTGGCTCCCTTGGCGATCTCTTCTTGGGTGTCACGAATGACAGTGGCCCATACGCCATTGTTCTTCCCGGAAGCAAACATGCTAATCTAGCATGAGCTTGCTGCTTCTCCCGGGGTTGAATTTGGGGACGCACTGGAAAGCTGCAGCGGCATTGCAAGGAAGTACCATGAGGAGCGGTGGTAGGGAGACCCCAAGGAGCATGGTCACTTGCTTGACAATGTTGACAACCATGTGTTGGCAGAGCTATGCGAACCGGCTCAGCGAGAAAGAGAACAGGTGCCGATAGTTACTCACATCATAGACAATTACTGTCGGGTTCATCCCTTCAAACTTGTTGACGTTTCCATTGATCTCAGCGTTGCCATTGAAAAGCTCTGACATGACTACTGGCAGTGCTGTGGCAAAGCTCGCAGCTTCCGCCAGCTCAGCCAGCGTTTGACCCTCCGCTCTGAGCGCCTGCTGCACGCAATTGACCAGTTGGAGGCGGTCCATGTCACGAGTGTCGGATCCCTGAGTATTTTTCCATCTCCTGTGTAACGCGGGAAGTGACAGAGGGGGTCAGGAGGAGGGTGACTCTGAGCTTGGGGTGCATGCGAAGGAGATTGAGGATGAGGTGGAGGAGTGGCCGGATGTGACCCCTGCAAGGCGGTTTGTCATAGTACACGGCAGTCGGTGGAAAATAAGAAATCTCGCCACATAGCCACGGGTACTGCTACCATGTGCTTGGTCCCGCTGGGCATGATGCCAAACAAGACTGGGATTTGAGATGGGTGCCAGAGGGGAGGTCCAACGCCAGGCGGCTTATGTAGGCAAGAGTCGTAATTGGCCGGATGCTCAAAGCTTGCCCTGTCAGCTGCCCTTAGCCCCTTACCCAAGCTTTGACACGATCAAAGCTGTTACCCGGTCTGTTGGCTGTGCTGGTGTCCAAGTGACAAGTCCATGCTGACAGCGATCGTTCCTACCACGATGCTTGCGAAGCTTACGAGCAGATCAGGTCTGGAGCATGTGGATGGCTGGTGGGGCAGGAAGAAGACAAACCCTGGCCAGGGAGTTGCTGAGATCTAGGATTATGCAGAGTTCGCCTGAAAGCATATGAAATGCAAGAAGAAATCGCACGGTTTGAGCACGGTAGTCCGAGTTGGCAATCCCCGAAAGTCAAAGCCAGGCCCGCGTGTTTTTGTTGTTCTTTCTTCTCAACCACCTGCCGTCAGGAATCGGCCTTCTGGGTTGTTGTTCTGACCAGCCAATAGCTCCATACCACAGCTCAAGGCACCTCTCACGAAAATCGCTGTCTACGCATCCTTGACAACCAATATTCATCAAGTGTAAGCTCTGTTCCCCAGGCCGACCCAAGCGTTGCAGCCTCGACCTCTGATCGCTTCAAGCAGCAGCATGGTAGAGATACCTGTCCACCCCCCCGGCCGCCTGGCTCAGCACCTCAGAGTCACTACGCGATGCACCAAGAGCGGCTACGACCTCGAAGAAGAGCTCAAAGCAGGCAAGATCGCCATTCGCCTGACGGACGAGCAGTCCCAAAGCCCTCTTTCTTTGGACGGTATCTGGTCCACCAGCATGAAGAACCCCGCATCCAAGCAAGAAACTAAGCGCTATTGGGAGCGTATGCGCAAAGAGTGCACGGATCCTCAAGAGGGGTTCTTTCTTCGGTGGGAGAATATCGAGAGCATGATGCGGCATGTCGAGGGAGGCTTTACGGATTGGAATCCAGACGATCATGCGTCAGAGTGGATTTCCCTTTCGGTCGACTTTGACTGGATCATCTACCAAATCGCGTACCGACTTTTCCACCGAAAACGCTCCTACGTGATCATGAGTATCATTCGCCTTCCCGACGGAGACGGCCATGGCAGCTCCCTGATCGTCGGTAATCCTGTCAAGGCGGCCTCGAAAAAGGGTGGTGACTTTAGGGACCGTCGAGGATACAAGTTTTCTCGTCGATTTGCCGAGAGACTTGCCTATAGGCGAATTCCGAAGAGTTGTATAGAACAGTCTATGGTCTTCACGGCCTATGTAAGTTCCTGTGCCAGAGGACCGCGAATTGATCATCGATATTCGCTCTTAGCATCTTCCCCTGACGATACCCGCCAAGTATCTCAAAGACCATGGACAGAGTCAGGACACCAGATGGGAAGACGACCTCTCTTTTAGCCCTCATATCACCAGATTCAACGCGATCAAGAGCCAAATCCGTCTGAGGCAGAGGAAGCTTTTGAAGGGATGAGAGCACGAGCTCAGATGGCCGCTATGGCTACTGTTGGAAGACTTCCAGACCGGGTCTAGGGGTGGGACATTGTGTGCATGACCGGACCAAAGATCTCCAACAACATCGCCGAAGAGAGTAGCCTACAGAAGTGTCTTACATAGTTCACAAGGCTTGAATTGTTATATATGCAGACGTCTCCGGCAATACGTGATGAGAAAACTGGGATAGATGGGCCATGGTCAGCGACGTGTCGCGCAGGGCTAATTCAGAGACTGCACAACAATTCTGGTCATTGCCCGCTCGGCGATCGCAACGGCCAGCCAGCGTCACGTGACCGAGATACCGTTTGTTGTTGTCGCTTCACTCATCCACTGCTCTCGCCCTACTGGGTCGTTCTGCTCAGCTACAGTCGACAATCTACGACACTAGGCATATATCGGAACTGCCACTGTCTTCGCATTCTTGGCCATCTTCGAGTCGTCGGTAAGCAGCGAGTCGTTCCTAGCATATCTCAAAGCCAACACCCAGCGCCCGCAGCCCCTGACCTCGGTTTTTCTCCAGCAGCAGCATCATGTCAATCATCCAAATACCTATACACCCTCCCGATCAGCTGGCTCAATATCTCGGAGTCTCCACATCGTGCATCTGGTCCGGCTCCGAGCTTGAACATGAGCTCAATGCGGGCTGGCTCGCCATCCGCCTGACGGACGAGCAGTCCCAAAGCCCTCTTTCTTCGGACGGTATCTGGTCCACCAGCATGAGAAATCCCGAAACCAAACAAGAAACCATCCGCTACTGGCAGACTATACACAAAAACTGTACGGATCCTCAAAAGGGCTTCTTTCGTCGGTGGGGGACCGTCAAGAGCATGCTGCGGCATACTGAGGGAGGCTTTACGGATTGGAACCCAGACGATCATGCGTCAGATTGGATATCGCTTTCGGCAAACTTTGACTGGATCATCTACCAGATAGCATACCGGCTGCTGCACCGGGGCCGTCCTTGGGTGGTCATGAGCATCGTCCGCCTTCCCGCTGGAGATGACCGCAGCACCCTCATCATCGGGGAACCTGTCCAGGAGGTCATGGGCAAGGACGGCTACCTTCGGAATCGTCGAGGGTCCAAGTACGCTCGGCGGTTCGACGAGAAATTTGCGTATAGGCTCATCCCGAAAAAGTACATTGAGCAGAGTGTCCTTTTTACTTTCAAGGTGAGCTTGGAACGTGCGAGAGAATTTGGATACTGATCGTCAGCCTCTACCTGCAGCATACTCCATTGATGTTACCAGCAAAGCATCTCCGAACCGACCCCCCGTGGAATTTCCAGCGTGGTATCGACTGGGTCGACCAACTCGCTTTCAACGCTTGCCTCAACAGATTCTACGACGTGTTGAGTCAAATATGTCAGAGGCAGAATACTCTTTATCGAAATAAGCTTTATCAGAACGAATCTTACCAAAACGAGCCTCAAAAATACAGTATTCCTATGCGTGACATCTCGGACGAAGATAGCGATGATGACTACTACTGAGTCTTGTTTGGGAATTGTGTTGGGACCAGTGGCTTTTCTGTGTATATTGAGAGTTTCAGTGGGGAATGGCGAGAGTGATCGTATCTGTACATGTGGTATCTGTGATAGATTCATTGAGCATTATCCCTCATCCATTCAACAATCTTCTTCAGTTCTTCCCATTGCTGCTCTCTCAGCTCCGTGTCCTTGCCCGGCTTGACCTTTTCACATGCGTCGACAAACGCCTTGGCCTTTGATATATCGGGGATAACCGGGTGTTTTCTGACCCGGGAGTACCAGCTTGAATCGGTCAGCCTTAGGTATAGGGATTCTGAGCGAGAGGACCTACTATCTCGAGTTCCAATGATCACCTGTAGGAAGAGGACACGGGCGTCAGCGCGCACCATCGCAAACGGGCGCAAATGACTCACCTTCTCTTCTATGCAGAGTCGCATGTAATAGATCCGCATCAGAGTCTCCCTCACTATCCTGGGCAATCAGATGGCAATGGTTGATATCATCGTTCGCCAGATGCAGAGCTGCCTGAAGCGTCAGCTGCGCACACGCAATATGGCACCATGACCTACCTGCTTTGACGAAGCGATGTTCGTCTAGAGCCGATATACTGCTGATAATCGAGGTGTCGTAGATCTGGGTGCCAGGCTCGAGGGGTGGCAAGGGCCGGGCAAAGAGATGTGCCACGATCTCGTCCGTGGTAGTTGGGGCCATCTTCTAGAAGGTTGGGCTGATGGTTTGGAAATTGGAAGGCTCTCGTAGTGAGCGGTTTGCGTGTATAGTCAAACTGTCGCAGTCGCTGACCATTTGGCTCTTCTCTGACTCGCCGATGAGCTCACAGGCATGGGCGGGCGGGCATGACGGGCAGGGTGGAGGTGGAAAGTGGAGGCGGTACCTGAGAGTCGCAGGGGACTTTCGCGTTGTGCGGCGATTTGAGTTGTGGCACTGGGTCGCGTTTGCTGGCACCTCGTCACGTCTCGTGCATCTCCTGCTCACCACCCACCGCCTGCGCATACATCCCCTCGAGCCACCACTCGCACCCCTGATCATCCCCAAAACACTCGGAAACCCGCTCGAGACCGAGGAGTATCCCCCAACATGCAGATGCTCACCAAGGTATGCCTCGTCCACGCGTATACGATACAGAAGCTCATACCGCCTGTAGTTTGAGAGCAAGTCCCCGAGGGTAAAGGGCATTGCTTTCCGTGAGTACCATCCAGCTTTGACTCCATGCACGCACTGACCCTTCATAGACCCCAAGCAACCCTTACTCGCGGCCTCTTTGCACAATGGCACTATCCAGCTATGGAACTACCAGATGGGAACACTGGTCGACAGATATGACGAGCACGATGGACCTGTGCGAGGCATCTGCTTCCACCCCACCCAGCCCATCTTTTGTTCCGGTGGTGACGACTACAAAATCAAGGTGTGGAACTACAAGCAGAGAAAGTGCCTCTTCACTCTGACTGGACGTGAGTGCTATCCCTCGGTGCCACTGAACCGACTGACCCGTTGCAGATCTCGACTACGTCCGAACCGTCTTCTTCCACCGAGAGTACCCATGGATCATCTCCGCCTCTGATGATCAGACCATCCGAATCTGGAACTGGCAATCTCGAACCTGTATTGCCATCTTGACCGGCCACAACCACTACATCATGTGCGCCCAGTTCCACCCCTGGGACGACCTTGTCATTTCTGCCTCCATGGATTTGACTGTCCGAGTCTGGGACATTTCTGGCTTGCGCAAGAAGAACCAGGCTTCCAATGCCCCCCTCTCTGCCGAAGAACAGATCGCGCGCGCCAGCCAGGGCCAGGCAGACTTGTTTGGCAACACCGATGCTGTTGTCAAGTATGTCCTTGAAGGTCACGACCGTGGAGTCAACTGGGCCACTTTCCACCCTACCCTCCCCCTGATCGTCTCTTGTGGTGACGACCGACAAGTCAAGCTCTGGCGAATGTCCGACACCAAGGCCTGGGAAGTCGACAGCTGTCGTGGGCATTTCAACAATGTCTCGATGACCTTGTTCCACCCCAAGCACGAATTGATCCTGAGTGCCAGTGAGGACAAGACCATCAGGGCTTGGGATATGACAAAGAGGACTGCGGTGCAGACGTTCAGGAGAGAGCATGATAGGTTCTGGGTGTTGACTGCGCACCCCAACCTCAACTTGTTTGCTGCTGGTGAGTGATTCAAATGTTTCAAAATCATCTGCTGACTGTACCAGGTCACGACAATGGTCTCATCGTCTTCAAGCTCGAGCGAGAGCGTCCTCCCTTCTCCCTCTCCGGCAACCAGCTCTACTATATCGACCGCAAGGTCATCCGCATGGGCGACCTCGGTACAGCCACCAACCAAGGCCTCTGTTCAGTCCGCAAGTTTGGCTCGCAATACATTCCTCCCCGTACCCTCAGCTTCAACCCCGCCGAGCGTGCCGTCCTCGTCACTTCTACCGCTGAAGGCGGCATCTACGAGCTCATCACGCTTCCCAAGCCTGGCGCACCTACATCGATGGACGGTAGAGATGTGCCTTCTGATGGTAAGCGGGGTACCGGGTTCTGTGCGTTGTTTGTTGCTAGGAACAGGTTTGCGGTGCTCGAGAAGGCTGGACAGACGATCGAGATTAAGGACTTGACCAACACCACTACCAAGACGATCAAGTGCCCTGTTCAGACCACTGAGATCTTCTATGGCGGTACTGCTTCCCTCTTGCTCGCCACTCCTTCCTCCGTCGTCTTGTTTGACATTCAGCAGGAAAAGATTCTCGCCGAGTTGACCACTCCTCCCGTCAAGTATGTCGTTTGGAGTCCCGACGGCAACTCTGTGGCTCTCTTGAGCAAGCACACCATCACCATCGCCAACAAGGCTCTTGCCCAGACCGCTCTCATCCACGAGACTATCCGGATCAAGTCTGCCGCTTGGGACGACAGCGGTGTCCTCATCTACACCACTCTCAACCACGTCAAGTATGCTCTTCCCCAGGGCGACAACGGTATCATCAAGACGCTCGAGCAGCCCGTCTATCTTACCCGAGTCAAGGGCTCTGTGGTGTACTGCCTTGACCGACGTGCCAAGCCCCAGACCATCACCATCGACCCCGCCGAGTACCGATTCAAGCTCGCCCTTACGCGAAAGAACTATGATGAAGTGCTCCACATCATCCGCACGAGCAACCTCGTCGGCCAGAGTATCATTGGGTACTTGCAGAAGAAGGGATACCCCGAGATCGCTCTGCATTTCGTCCAGGATCAGCAAACCAGGTTTGACCTCGCCATCGAATGCGGCAACCTTGCTGTCGCGCTCGAGATGGCTCGGGCGGTCGACCGAAAGGAAGCGTGGGACAGGTTGGCCGCTGCAGCTTTGCAACAGGGCAACCACCAGATTGTCGAGACTGCGTACCAAAAGACACGCAACTTTGACAAGCTGTCCTTCCTCTACCTCCTCACGGGCAACACCCAGAAGCTCGGCATGATGGGCGTTATTGCGGCCAAGCGAGGCAACAACATGTCTCGATTCCAAAACTCGTTGTACTTGGGCGACGTCAAGTCGCGCGTCGAGGTACTCAAGAGTACTGGACAGTACCCTCTTGCGTACTATACTGCCAAGACGAATGGGCTGGACGACACGGCGTTGGAGATTCTTGAAGAGGCTGGTATCACGGAGGAAGACTTGCCTCCTCCTCCTCAGAACTCTGGCCACTCTTGCATCGCCCCTCCCCCCGTCGTCTTCCCCCAGGAGGCCTCCAACTGGCCGCTCAGGGACCTCGGAGACAGCTTCTTTGATCGCGCGCTTGCCAACGGCGGTATCGACGCTGGCGCCGAAGAAACTGGCGAGCAGCTTGACGCCTGGGCCGCTGGTGACGAAGCTGCTTCATCGCGAGCTGAAGAAGATGACGAGGAAGAAGGCGATGAAGATGAAGGATGGGACCTTGATGCGGATGTGCCGGTCGAGGAGGAAGAGGAGGAAGAGGTTGAGCAGGATATCTTGGTGGATGAGGAGGCAGAGGCTGATCTGAGTCAGGGTGTGGAGGCTGGCGTGAGTGAGGATGAGTTGTGGGTGAGGAATTCGCCTTTGGCGATTGATCATGCTGCTGCGGGAGCGTTCGAGTCTGCCATGCAGGTGAGTCTGGATACATTCATTGACAGGCAAATGCTTATCGAGAGTAGCTGCTCAACCGACAAGTCGGTATCGTCAACTTTGAGCCGCTCAAGTCTGCATTCCTTCAAGCCTACCAAACGTCCCACGTCTACATCCCCGCCAACGCCTCCCTACCGCCTATCCGATACAATGTCCGGCGCGATCCCGAAGCTACCGAGATTGGCCAGCAGTTGCCCGCGATTCCCTTTTCTTTGCAAGACATCAAGGCAAAGGAAGTGTCAGAGGCAAACAAGGCGTTCGGCAGGGGCAAATTTGTTGAGGCGCTGGCTGGGTTCAGGGCGGTGCTGCACAAGGCTTTGGTGGTTGTCGTCGAGACTGATGGAGAGGCTGAAGAGGTTGCCGAGCTTGTGGAGCTTGCTCGAGAATACGTTGTCGGTCTCACTCTTGAAGTCGAGCGTAGACGGATTGCGGCCGACCCTGAAAACGTCGTGCGCAATTTGGAGCTTGCTGCCTACTTTGCCAACTGCAAACTGTCTACTGCGCACACCCAGCTTGCTGTGAGGAGCGCCATGAAGGTGTTTGCCGAGGCGGGCAACAATGCGACGGCGGCGGTGTTTGCGAGAAGATTAGTGGATGCTGGTGTTGCCCAGGCTCAGGCTTTGACTCAGGTACGTGGATTCATTTCCATGCGTGTAGCAAAAAGCTAACAATCATACAGGCTCGAGCTGTCATTGCTCAGGCTGACCGGAACCCCCGGGACGCGCACGAGATCAACTTTGACAAGTTCACACCCTTCGACGTGTGCCCCGCATCCCTCACGCCGATCTACCAAGGCTCACCGGCCGAGGTTAGCCCGTATAGTGGGGCCAAGTACCTGCCAGAGTACAAGGGGACTATCTGTGTGGTGGACGGGCTGAGTCGAGTGGGCGCTGGGGGCAGTGGGCTGAGAAGTAAGATCTAGGCTGGAAGGAGGGCTGTTGTAGATGGTATACCTAAAAACAACCTAAGTAGAATTGTGTGATTATGAATGACATGGACTGGCTGTGGCGGCGAGCGCCGTGACGGACGGCCGAGGCGGTGAGTCACGGGCGGGATGACGCGTGGACGGAGCACACCTTTAATGGGGCGTCAGATGACGAGCGAGGATATATAAACGGGACTCTCCCCCTGTTAATTCTCTCCCCATCCCCACGATGGACTATCTCGCCGACTTTGTGCCCACCTCCACCATCTCGGTCAACCCCCCGGGCGGCACCCACACCCACCACCCCCACCACTCCCACCTCCCAGTCCCTACAGACGTCTTCCCCTCCGCCACCCCCCGCCTCCTCCACGCCACCCACAAGGGCCATGTCGCCGCCTGGGTATTCACAGCCGTCTTTGCTGCCGGCCTCGCCGCCTCCGTCTTCCTCGTCAGCAGGACCCCAAAGAAGAACCGCCTCTTCCATGGGTACGTCGCCTCTTGCCACAGCATCGCGATTGGCTAACCGTCCCGCAGCATCTCTTCCGTCATCTTGCTCGTCTCCACTCTGAGCTATCTTTCTTTGGCCACCCACATCGGTGCCGGCAAGTTTGTCCCGATCTACCACCCTCCCGGCCACTCTGAGCCGCTCGTCCACCTCTTCCGCCAGATCTTTACGATCCGCTACATTGACGCTGCCATCACCCTCCCTCTCATCCTTCTCACACTCAGTCGTCTTTCGGGTGTGAGCCCCGCGACGACGCTAACCGTTGTCATTGCGCAGCTGGTCAACGTGTATGCGGCCTGGGCCGGGAGTGTGGCGGGCGGATGGCCTTGGAGCAAGCACGGTAACGGAGCAGGCACCAAGTGGGCCTGGTTTGCGATCGCGGCCTTGGCCTACTTTGCCATATGGAGCGTCCTCTTTGCGCAGGGCCGAAGGGCTGCTGTTCACAGGCTTCGATCCACCCAGGGTCTTTTCTACCTCCTTTCTGCACATGTCTTTGTGTATGTCCTTTTTTCCTACCATATATATTATTCTGCTGACTATTGGAAAGCCTCTCTGCTGGTCTCGGTATCGTCTGGATCCTCACCGAGGGCCTCAACGTCATCAGTGTCGATGCCGAGCTCATCACCTATGGCATTCTCGACGTTGCCAACAAGGTCGGCTTCACCCACGTCCTTTTGCTCTTGCACAAGGCCGATGAGGAAGGCCCTTGGACGCTCCCTGACTGGTGGGCGGAAGACCCCGAAAATGAGGGTGAAGACGGACGAGGCGTCTATGGCGCTGTCGCTAGTGTTGGTCAAGAGTAAAAATGGCTCTTCTGAGCTGCTCGCATTGAACCACGAAATTGAACAAGCAAGTAAGAAGAAAGATCATGATGTAAGAAAGAAGAAGAGATGTAATCAAAGTTATGAAGAAAAGGATGCAGTTCGTGTCATTATGCAAATGGAAACGTTTGGGAGTTGAGTGATTGCATGCATGGTACTGTTCGAGAGCCAGAACCTGCAGCTATCGAATGGTGGCAGTTTGAGCACGAGGTTTGGAAAGAAAGTGACCCGACGAGAAAAATACAAGTAGTTGCTGTACTGGGGGGCGGGCAACGATACAACCGGAGATATGGGAGCCTAGGGCAGGTGCTATGAACGCGTGGGCCATCGAGTATCTCAAGGAGAGCGTGTGAACAAGGTAAGAAGGGGGCAAGGTGCGTGGTGGTTCTTCTGGGGGGGTATGTATGACGGATAAGTCTCTTTGTGCAGACTTGATATGTCTGTCACATTCTACAAGATAATCTACCGCTTTGAACATCTCGCCACATCAAAATGACGTCGATAAAGTAGCTGGTTCCATAAGACGTACCGTATGTTTTAACATCAAGTCCGCGTAGCACAGTGGTAGTGCGCTTGACTACGATTAAGTAAATCTGGCGTATCAAGAGGTCGTGGTTTCGAGCACCACCGTGGATTCTTCTTTTTGCTTTTCTGTCTTTTTCTCATTGCAACCAATCTTTCATGGGTACATATTACGATGCATCGCACCCGACGCAATGATGTTAGTACATATGAAAAGATTGCGAGGCAACATGCGTTCTTGCATGAGATCTTGTACTTTTCATACGACTTTTGGACTACGACGATGCCATCTAGCCGCAACTGACTTTCCACAGTCCTTGTTGTTCTATGATCTATGAGTCTGGACTCTGTGTCATAGCAGGTTCAACCCCATATCCCAAAAGTTCCTTTCCAGCCGCAGACACTCGTGGAAGATTTCGGTGAGCTTGGCGAGTTTGTAAGGACTGGGTGGGTCGAGGGCCACTCGTCGTTCGAGGTTTTCTATAGCACACCGTAAGCATCGTACTTCAGCTCGTGGCCGAATGAAACTCACCTATGCCCCTATTGACCGCGCCCAAAAAATCATCCCCACTATAATCCTCAATCCACTTTCCATACAAGTTCCCTTCCACCTTGGCCTCCCCTCTCTCAACTTGCTTCTTCAACCACAACCCCACCTCGCCATAGCCTACCAGACAGCTCGCGACGGCCATATAAAGGTCGAGAATGTCCCCCTGGGAGCCGATGTCCATGATGTAACGGGCGTATGCGGAGGTGGGGGCGGATTCGGGGGTAGCTTGGAGATCGGACAGGGAGATGCCGAATTTCTCACAGTACTGTGGCGTGTCAGCTGGGCATTGGTATGGAGGGGGGGATGCTTACAGCAACGTGCATGGTCGATTCTGCGGCGACGTGGAGCGCAATGTTGGAGAATGCTTCGATGTCTGCAAAGTTGTCGGCCTTGTAAGCTCCAAGCGCGTGTGCTCTAGCATCTACAGCTCGTCAGTACATCATCCTATTTCAAGAAGCTCACGCACAATGTTTCAAGTAGAGATAATCCTGCTTGATGTAGTGCTCAAAGCACTCTCTGGGCAGGGTTCCCTTGCCCAGTTGGACGACAAACGGATGGCGGACATATGATTTCCAGAGAGGCAAGTCTGACTGTACCAAGTGGGTGAGGAAGGGGTGGGGGTTGTGCTTCGTCGGACTGCAAAGGCTGTGTCAGTACCAGACTTGCAAGCAGGCTCGTTGCGTACGGAGGAAGAGCACGGCTGAAGGTGAGATGGCCATGGTTCAGAGGACCGTGCCCGTGGCCAAAGGGGAAGGCGGTGGCAATGGCAGATTGGGTGTATGCGATGGCACGCTTGAAGATGGCAATTTGGGCATCGGCTGCTTCGAGTGAACAACTATGCCAAAGATATAGTAGTGACTTACGAGTATCCTGAGGCAAAGTTGCGTGGGCGCAAGCGATGGCACTGCTGAGGGTACAACCAGTGCCGTGTGTGCTGGTGCTGTCAACCTTTTTGCCTACAAAGAACGCAACAACGTCCCCTTTGTTGACGAGGATATCGACGACAAGGTCCTTCTGCTGCTTGATGTTCTGATCGAGGGACCGAATGTACTCGGAGAAAATCTCGACGGTATCGTCTTGGTCATCCCCTTCCTCCCAGATGATCTTATACTTGCCGACGTAAGGGAGCAGTTCTTCTCTTGAAGCGACAGCATGACCACCTTTGAGCAGGACAGCTGCAGAGCCGGTCCTCTCGTTCGTCTTCTTTGCGAGCTCCACCAAACTATCCACCGTCTTTGCCTCGCCCTCCCACTTTGACAGCTTGATGGCTTCCGGGATGTTGGGCGTCAGGTAATGTACGTGAGGATAGAGCTCGTACAGAGCCTCAATGGCGTCGTCTGGGAGAAGAGTGTGGCCGCTGGTCGAGATCATGACGGGGTCGAGGACGATGGTAGCGTCGAGCTTGGCAATCTCTTTGGCAAGAGCAGAGATGGTGGCCGCAGAGGAGAGCATGCCGAGCTTGACGGCTACGGGGGGCGCGTCAGAGACGATCGAGCTGAGCTGTGCGCGCGTTAGTATGTCGTTGAAAAGAGTAGGAGCGCTCACCTGTTGGAGGACAAACTCCGTAGGGACGACATGGACGCCCTGGACACCCAATGTATTTTGGGCTGTGAGCCCAGTGAATACAGATGAGCCATAGCATCCAAATGATTCGATAGTCTTGAGGTCAGCCTGGACTCCTGCGCCTCCGCCAGAATCACTCCCTGCGTTTTGTATGAGCTGGCGACATTGGGAGAGGTGGTGAGTACCCACCGGCGATGGTCAGAACGTGAGGCCTGATCCTTGGCTCGAGGGATACCGCTACAGAGGACATATTGCTGTTCTACAGACGGGCTATCGGCGGTCCTTGAGATTGGACTAAATACAGATTCAAGCACAAAAGCCAGCCACGGCGTCCCGAGACATTCTTCGAGCCGGGGGGCCGCGTTGGGTTACGTAAGCCAGTTTTCTCCGATGGCGGGCATGTCCGACCGGGCGAGTCATGGACAGTTGAGTGAAAAGTTGACTGGCTATCTTATCTCTCTGTCTCTTTTCACTTTCCACAATGTCCGACACCAAGCAGCGCCTCGACCGCTGGACCACCCGTCTCGGGGCTCTCCCCAGCTTGGCCCTCCCCACAGACTACCCAAGACCCTGTGCGTCAGAAACTCCACACCCTCAATCGTGCTGACGCCTTGTAGCTCCGGCCAAGCTCGTCGAGTCCTACCAGTCAATGCCCATCCCAGCCACTCTCAATACCGTCCTCATGAGGCTCACCCTTGACTTCTCCACCATCTTCCCCGCCTCGGCTCTTCCCACGCCCTACCACATTCTACTCACCACCTTCGCTATCCTGCTGTTCAGGTACACTCCGGATCCATCTCTGGTCATCTGCACCTCCTCGAGCGACAACGGCAACCCATTGCTGCTCAAGCTGGATATTGCGGCGGAGATGACTTTCTTTGACGTGTTGCGCCAGGTCATGGAGCGAGAGCAGGAAGCTCAGGCTGATGTGGTCCCTATCAAGGACTTGGTCGACCACATCAAGCCAGAGGGCCCTCTCTACAGAGTGAGGTTCTTTGACTCTACGCAAGTGGTCACAGATCCCTCGACGTCCCTCTCCACAGACTTGACGTTATTCCTCCTCGCGTCTCCCAGCGATACTCCTACCACTCGAACCGCCGTGCCTTCTCTCGAGCTGAGGCTCACCTACAACTCTTTGCTCTTCACCCAGAGCCGTATCACCGCCACCCTCGAGTCCCTCCTCCAGCTTCTTTCTTCGGCTGCTTCTCACGAACCTGCCCACCCCATCGGATCCCTCCCTCTCCGCACGCAGGAGCAGGGATCGGCTTTGCCGGACCCTACCGCGGACCTCGATTGGTGTGGTTTCGTTGGTGCCATTCCCGACATCTTTGCGGCCAATGCCAAGGCCAACCCGGACAGAATCTGCGTGGTCCAGAGTGAGCCGGCGGAAGGTCAGACTATGATGGACGGGCCGAGTCGAGGAAGGAGAATGTACACCTACAAGCAGATCGACGAAGCGAGTAACGTTCTTGCCCACTCTTTGCTGAAGAATGGTCTGGAAAGGGGCGAGGTTGTGATGGTGTATGCTGCGAGAAGTGTCGAGATGGTCGTCTGTGTGATGGGTATCTTGAAGGCCGGCGGTGTCTTCTCTGTCGTCGACCCTGCCTACCCTCCGTCCCGTCAAAACGTCTACCTCTCAGTGTCCACACCCAGAGCCTTGCTCGTCATCTCCAGTGCTGGCAAGCTCGCTCCTCTGGTCTCAGACTATATCAACGACAACCTCTCCCTCCGCCTTTTGGTCCCCGCCATCGAACTTACTCCTTCTGGGATCAGAGGTTCTCCGGCTGGCTCTGCTGAAGACATCCTCGCGCCATTCCAGCAGTACTCAGAGACGCCCGCAGGTGTCGTTCTCGGTCCCGACTCTCCCGCGACCCTGTCCTTCACCTCTGGCTCCACTGGTATTCCCAAGGGTGTCAAGGGTAGGCATTACAGCTTGACGCACTTCTTCCCTTGGATGGGCAAGAGGTTTGGCTTGGACCACAACTCCAAGTACACCATGTTGAGTGGTATTGCGCACGATCCTATCCAGCGTGATAGTAAGTTTGGCCCATTCAGTCGGGATCAAAGCTGATGAGTGTTAGTGTTCACCCCTCTGTTCTTGGGTGCTCAGTTGCACGTCCCCACTGCCGATGACATTGGTACTCCCGGACGATTGGCCGAGTGGATGGCCGACAGCGAAGTGACTGTTACCCACTTGACTCCTGGTAAGCTGTGATCGTCATCTCTTCTACGCATGCTGACATTGCATAGCTATGGGTCAGCTGCTTTCAGCTCAGGCTACTCGCCAAATCCCCTCCCTCCAGAACGCCTTCTTTGTCGGTGACGTTCTCACCAAGCGTGACTGTACCCGTCTCCAATCCCTCGCCAAGAACGTCCGCATCATCAACATGTACGGTACCACCGAAACTCAGCGTGCGGTGTCCTACTTTGCCATCCCCAGCGTCAACGACGACAGCACTTTCCTCACCACCCAGAAGGATCTCATCCCCGCTGGTCAGGGTATGATTGACGTCCAGCTTTTGGTCGTCAACAGAACTGACCGCAATGTGCCTTGTGCTGTTGGCGAGATGGGTGAGATCTACGTCCGATCTGGTGGACTCGCTGAGGGTTACCTCGACCCCAACGCTACCGCTGAGAAGTTTGTCCCCAACTGGTTTGGTCAAGGAGTTGAG